GTCCAAAATGTATAAGTTTACCATGGTCTGAAATATATATATAAGGCGTGTATTTGGGACTACACTAAACTTTGTTGAGATTGGCTACGACGAAGCACTGAATATAGAATGAGGGCCTGCTAGACAAATCGACCTTAATGAAATTGACGGAACTTGAACTTGTGTTATATTGTCTACATGCGATTCTGGGGGTATTTATCCCTGAACGGGCAGCAAGCCCCTCACAGTAGTAAATCCCTCATAATCGATCTCGATCGGGGTTCTTCCATGAAGATCTCCCGAACGTTGAAACGCATACTAAACTCAGTGCCTCCGGTTTCCCTGGGTAGGCATGCCGACAGAGGTTGGGAATGAGGCATCAATTCGGTGCCTTATCCTGGAACCTCAACAAACTTATATATTTTGGACTATATCTTCCTTCTTCACTTATAACTATGTCTTTCTTCTCTACTTACTTTAGAACCGATTTTGCATAATCTCGCTTAATTGTCTACTTTACATAACTAATTTATATAAGTGTTACGAAGTACTTAAATCTAGGCTTGGCATATTTATACGATTTATAGGTATATTTACACTCCTTATACTCTTACCGTTCCATTGTGCTTAACCGTAATGACCGTGGTACTGCGAAGAGCTAGAACCGTAACCGCAAATTGCGGTGCGGTTCTTTGAAGGCTAGCGCTGAAACCGCTGTTTGCGGTGCGGTTAGCGAGGAACCGCCCGGGACCGCGGTTTGCCGCCGCCTATGTACGAGTAAGGTTACTGAGGTGCTAGTGGAATTCTGTCGTACTCGGGAGCGACGCTGTAGTAAGTTAGGGAGTTGATCAGACCTAGTTAGTACGGGGAACAAGAAATTGTGGACAGTTTCCTGTTTAAAGTCGACAAGGTCGGACAGTAGTGGAGGACATTCCGGCAGGTGTATCATGGACTTTAGGGGTTGAGAATGTTCCTCTGACACTTGCCATTCTTGTATGGTGGATGGAGGAACAGATTTGAGACCAGGGGATTTCATAGAACATGGTGTTGTGAAAATTGAGGCGAGAATGGTGATATGGTGCTGGGCGTCATTTGCTTCTATTCCAAAAAGAAGCATCCTGGAGGGGTTCTTTGCTCAATAATTTCTCTGCATGTGAGAAACATGCGAGGTTTCGTCTTCGGAGTAAGAAAGCGGGCTAAGGGGATTATACATAGCTGCATGGAAACAAAATTGCCCCGAATGCAAATCAAGTGTGGAAATGCAATATTCCTCGTCCGTTGCGTTCAACGACCCCACAGTCATTCGATATTCCTCACCCGATGTCAGCAAGCTTGCTGCCGAGGAGGCTGCCAAGGACCGCCTTGCACATGTAATGACAAAACTCTTGCGTCGCCACAGGGCCAGAAGTCGTTAGATTACCAAAAGCGCTACGACCGTCTTTAGTCTGGGAAAGAGCAAACGTAAACTCAAAGAATAGTTTCATAGGGTAATGAAGGTAGTCGATTTGTCCTCACTCCCCTCGATCCAGCAATACGTGAAGATGGTGGTATTGTGAGCAGAACTCATCAAACTTTGTTCTATCTAACCAACTTACATCGAATTGGGATATGAAAAAGAGAGTTTAGTGGTAATAGTGAAGCTTGGTAAAACGGATATTGCGACCGTTATGCGTAGTCCATTCCGCGGAGCTGTAGGAAGCTGTCGACCATTGTCAAACCCGTCCAGAACCAAGAGAATTCCGGTCTTGAATCGTCAGTGAGACTAACGATAATATATTATTTAAGCTAATAACTAAAGATATGACAAGGCGGTTGATCACAGCTTCCGCTACACGAAGATATCTGCAATAGCTGACTTGTAGCAAGCGAACACGGCAAGTCCTGTCGCGTCTACACTGTCACAGCGAGTAGGCAAATTACAAAGTACTATCCATGTTGGCTCTCCCAGCTTGTCTTTTATACATATCGACGACTTTAAGCCAAACGAGGTGATATGAATCATGAGGTGGAAATATTCAGCCAACATGGTGATAACTTCTCTCTCAACGCGTTCAATACTTGCGAAAGAATCGAGTTTCATTAATGGAAGTCACACAACGCCGAGATGTTTTCTTGAATATTTAGGTAGAAAAACTCAACCAGATTCTGATATAACACTTCTGCCGTGCCTGAAACTACCTTGTTGTTGCCTAGGGTGGCCGCCACTATCTGGAGACCCTTGCTGCCTGTTGCAAGAGACTTTGTGATATACCCGACCCACACGGAAGTCGGTCTTCACAGATCCGAATATCGTATGTGGAGGCGATAAGTTTGCGACTTGCTAGCCCTGATTCAATCATCGGCACTAAATGGATCAGGAAGGTGGCTGAGAAATTCGTGTCGATGAATCATGAAGGTTTGATGCAAACGGCCACATCCGACGTGGCCTCGACTCGACCGATATAGCAACAACTTATATTTCGCTTCCAAAGACCCCAAGTTAGACTAGTGTGCCATATTCGAGCTAGGTATGGCCATGACGAGCAAGTTCAATGTAACCGCTAGTTGAGCACAAAATCGAGATCCGACGGAATATATCTCACACCAATTGTGCGGAAATTATACGTTTCAGCTTGCGAAATCACAGAGTTCTCGTCTATCTTTTCTCAATCATTATGTCTTAGAGCGCTCGTCGGCTAGAACCAATTGCCGAAGAACTTACGCCTATAGACCACCACGTCCTCTGCTGCGGTGGGACCTCCTCTAACCTAGAACTGCTTTATTCCAGGCTTCAAAAATCTAAAGAACATCCCCTGATCTGAGGAAAAAAATTGAGGAGCTCGCCTATAAGGCAAGTTATCTAAGGGCTGAGCTTAAATGGCATAAAGAGAGAAAGTAGATATTCCTCGATCTATAAGAGAGAATGCATGCTATTTTCCAAACTATAGAGGACACACTCGCTAGGGCCATAGCCTGACTATATAAGTCTGAGCGGCGCTATTTTCAATTATAGGAAGCCTATAGTTAGGACACTTTGGGAAAGGCTTATTCATCGTTCGCCCAATTTGCCTTAACTAATGTGTTCACACAACATACCACAGTTCAACAAGGGAGACCCCTGAGATCGCTCAACCGATCTCAGCAACCTTCTATCCATCATCCTATTCTGTTTTGGACATCTTCGGTACTAGCCAATACATCGATTCCTCATCCTGACAGATGATTCAAAGTGTCAGCTGGGTACTTGCTTACGGCCTTCTATTTCATCTGTCACTTACCACTCGTAATTTTCCTGCTAGGATGGGTTGCTAAGGCACAGATAACACTGACAGAGGAACGTTCTGAGATTATATGTAGAGAGTCCACTTCGATCCTGTACATTAATCTTAGTGACTAACATGGTTGATGTGAGAGGAGATGGTTTAGTCCATGGATGCAGCTAGCTTTGAGATCCGCAGCTCTAAGATGAACCCCACGACCCAGTCGTCGACTGGGTGTCTGCGGAGTCCTTGACAGGTAGGTTCGTTGCAATTCAGGTACAAAAAGTTATCTGCTAAGAGGATCGATAATTTTAGGAGTGAGAATGTTGACTCGGAGCCCCAAGGAAGCAACTGTCTAGTTACGGCAGGTAATAATAAACAAAATATCAGGGCAATAGAATAATCTGGTATTTTTTGATATTGTTCCGAGAAAACAGGGATATTGTTATACATTGCCTGGCCCTTCTTAGAACCGGAGTTACAGAAACAATGAAAGAGGGTATACAGGTGGTGACGCCAATTTCTGGAAATACCGTTACTAGGACTGGAAAGTACATACTCAACAATCTAAGAAATCAACGTTCTAAACCAAAGCGATAAAGGATCCAAGGCAATGTGCATTACGCCTCAACCCCAGACTGAAGGCCCGCGCTGGCATCAATTATGGCACGGGAGGACCACGAAATACTTCGGTAGGGTCAATCGGATCGGTTATTTCTTATCGCTTCAAGTAGAGGAAATTGCTGTAAGGCCATATCAGCTTAAACCTCCTGCGACTGGCGTCTCTGCTTCGCAAGCTTCCTGCGAAGGTAACCCGTGTAACAGATTAATAACATAAATCCGAGTGACACATAAAATGTCATCGAGAGGAATCTTCCGTCGCAGACTTTGTCGTCATTCCAAAAGTTGCATGTAATAAGCGAGCCAAATAGCAAGATATAGACCGCTAGAATGGACCTAATTTAATTAGCTCGATAGTCCCTCAGAGGCTGAAAAGGTATGTCTTACTTAAAGGGGTGTCTAACGAATGGTACAACGAACCATCTGACAATGGGATTGTCAGGATAGGCGTCTGCGATCTCAACAAGACGATTTGGAAACACGGTATCGTCTACCTGGCTGCGAGTGCATGTTGATTTAGGGTCCTGGGGACCTCCCTTTTCCATCTTGACCAAGAAGAGAAACAGGCTTGGACAACGGAGCCCACGGTTAATTTAATAGAATAATGAGATGGGGGCTAAAAGAATAGAAGACTGAGAGTGGTGAGAGGGCCAGAGCCCCAAGCCCGGCGGCGGCCGGTGGGAGATATTTAGGATCGCTGGAAAATTTCGAATACTAGTTTCTACTAGGCCTCTTAGGGCGGGGCGGTGTGGACCATCGAGACCGGATCTTATGGTACGTACCATATACAAGTTCTTGCTAAATAAATTCATGTATGAAACGCAGACATTACCAACCTATGTACTCCGTGCTGCAGCCTGGAATAATTAACTCACGCGCCCCACAAGGCCAAGATGGTTGTACTGTAATCGATTAGCATCTTGGCTCGTCAAGCATAAATGTGTCGGAGATCTTCGGGATAGCCCGAAGCTCGATGAGTCAATTCCTCTTGGTTAAGCAACAGGACACCAACCAAATTGTATCCAACATCCCTCTACACTCTACGAAATAGATTTCGCGATCCATATTATCACGTAGTGAAGGGCTGTCGGCGGAGGCATTGTGGCGATTTGGTTGTATTCTTTTGAATGACACACTCAACACAGGCGGCTTTACTGGGATTTATTGTACGACATGCTTCGACAGAGACCCAAATCCGATTTCTTCTGTGTCTATACTCCTCCCTTGCGGCCCTGCCGAATAGGCGAGCATCAGCAATACGAATAAGGCTTTGGCTGGATGTGTCATATCCTGCTTGTTTCTGTCCATGCTATCTGTGTCACACAATAGTCGTGAAAATTGTCGGGCGGTACCGCGATCGGATTCATCCCGCTTAAAGAAGAAGCTGGCCGCGAGACGATCCCGGGCGGCAAGGTTACGGGCCACGGTACGAGCTATTGTTGACTTGCCGGTGCCGGCCTTCCCTTGAAGCCAGTATATATGCTCGCGAGTCATTGGGCCGTCGGCCCATTGGTTGATCTCCTCGAGCAGCTCACGGCGCGTGTTTTCGAGGCAAGTCGCGACGTGTTCATTCGCATGGGAGTTGAATGCGGCGCCTTCCACGGTGCGTAGTTTGCCGACGACAAACTTCAGGTTGCCGTTCAATGTCGGGGTGGTTGTTCTATCGCGGTCAGCCGGTGCGTCTGGAAATAGAGTGAACTAACGTACGGTCTGAGCCTATGTAGCTGTCGACGGAGGTCTGTATATAACCGATCCACCCGCTTCTCGCACTTGTTCAGCCCAGAGTGGTCTGTATCGATAAAGACAATTAAAGCAGCATGGCCGCCTCGGGCCGAGTCCGTGGGGACAATCTACGGAATGTCAGAGAGATTCCACATGAGGACAGCAGCACCTACCAGGCCGACAGATAGCCATCCCAGCACGCGTGTGGGTTTTGTTTCGCAGAAAGCTACGATCTCGGCCTTCTGTCGTCGACTCTCTTTCTCCCTCATGCACTGAACAAAACGAACGTCTAAGTCGGAGAGTTGTTCCCGATAACTCATCAGGGAGAGGAGCAGCCCGGTGCTGGACCCTAAAAAGCCGGTCACACGGGCTGCAACGGTCCCGAGACGCGATACAGGTGACCCTTGGTGAGGGGTCCCGAGGAAAATGATGCCGCAAGTGCTGTCGACGACGTCTCGCGTGGCGTCCTCGGGATTGCACAAGGCCTGTAGAAGGTTTAGGTCTGCATGTAGGGGAATGGTGTCGCGGCATACCTCTTTTATGACGATGCCCCCGAAGCTGTGGCCGATGAAGACGATTGGAACGCACTGTGGCCTCTGTTAGCCACGTTGTCTTTGGATTTTGCAGTCCTCGCCTGTTTTTTTTTGACCGATACTTCACTAACTCTTTTAGCAATCGGTCGCCGATCTGCTGCGCTGACTTGACCGGGGCACCGATCAACCAGTCGGAGTTGTGTGCAAAGGCCAGGATTCTTGCGTTGGGGAAGTCATGTTTGAAGAGATCTCTCAGCAGGTGGACGCGGTTTCCGACTTCCGAGTCGGTAGAGCTCGAAGGGGCACTTGTCCAGGTGTATCCTGGATGTGCCCCAAGGCCGTGGACGGCGACAATCCTATAGCCATTAGGGCACGCGTCGCGGTTGGCGTGGCGGCTCTTACTCGAAAGCGACTTGCTTAGGCTCGGAAATAGTGTAAAGTCCGTCGGGGCGGTCCGTCCTTCCACGACGACGAATCTTGCCAAAGATAGGGTAGAGAAGGGAGCCGGTAAGCACGACCAAGGTAGCCCACAACGCGAGGGTCATGGCGTACGCTTTGGACACTGGTCTCGGCTCAATGACGGTTAGGCGGAGCAACCGCTTCGAAGTATCTCACTGCCGACGCCGCTCGTTCTGAAGAGATACGCACAAGGCCGAAGACGTGGCATCTCTTGGTGTGCTTCCATCAGTAGTTGTGAGGCTTTAATTTGAGAGCAGCCCTCAGCTTCGCCGACGCAACACTTAGCCGCCAGCCTGACCCACTGGTCATACCCAATCACCATGCAGGAGGCGCGTGACGGCGCGAAGTGCGCAACGCAGACATCGCCCTTGAGCTGTGTCGACCTACCAATGGCACATATACATATTGATCCCGGCCAAGCGACAACTTGACGGAGCCGAAACAAACAAGTCGGCGAGATGTCGGACGACGATCAAAACGGCATCTATACGGAAGAGCAACGAGGCCGCGTCCGTTTATCCTGCCATCATGGCACTGGACATGTGAGCTAACAGCTTTGCGCAGACATGCCCCTTCCTCGTCGAACCGTTGGACCGCGACGACACGTCGATGTCCAGCGACTACCCGCCCCGCCTACTCTTCCCAGCGTCATACCGCACCGCGTCGGATGATTTGGCTGCTTCCACCTGGGACATCGCGGCATGCGTTCAGAGGGAATTCAACTTGCACAGGCTCCAGATCATCTTTAGCTGGCTGTGGATCGTCGGTCGCCCGATGCCGCCGCGTCCGCTGCACCATCAGCTCCTCCTCTCGCGGGACATATTCATCACGGAGCGAATGGACATGCATCTTGTCTGGACCGCCGGCCGCATATTTATCAAACCGATTCCGCGCTTCCTCCTTGTGCCGCGCTTCTGGTCCGACCACCTCTCCTGTCTGCCGGGTTGCACCTGCGCTTGCGTGCTAGCTAGCGCGACTGGATATCCACCTGGGGGCGATGGTTCATGCGACCGTAGGAGGTTGTGGAAGTCAGCACTCGGGTTCCTGTTCTCCTATGCCGCCCTGGTCTCGCATGAGAGCGACTTTCTCATCGCCCGGGATAAACAATTGATACCCACGGAGGTAACCTGGTCGGACTGGACGATCCTTGTTGAGCAGGTCCTCGCTACGGACCATATATACCACAACATCCACGCGCGATTCATCTACGGTGAGCTCTGTCTGAGTCGGCTCAACAAAATATACAGCCTCACCCAGCCACCGTTCCTGCGCGGTTACATGTCGCAGTGGCATCGATATGGCGACTTCTTCCAAGACAACCTCTCCTGGCTGGCTGCTGCTACGGTCTATATAGTCGTCGTCCTGACAGCCTTGCAGGTTGGCCTGGCGACTAACTCCCTCGCTGGAAAGCACGTCTTCCAATCGGCGTCGTATGGATTTGTTGTCTTCTCCATTCTTGGCCCCCTCGTCGCCCTTGGCCTCATCATCCTTGAGTTCTGCTGTATATTTCTGAATAACTGGATCGTTTCAGTGGCGTACAGAAAAAAAAGGTTCCAGATCATCCAGGCAGCGTAAGGAGCACAATAGACTCCCGCTCCTCCAGGAAAAAGCCTACGAAGATGACAATGAACGTAGCGCCGACGCGTCTTGAGGTGATTGCAACCAGCTCTGTCGTCTACGTAGTTTCGTACGATTACGCTTCATGTTGGGGGGGGGGCCAACATTTGCGTTGTAGTTATCATGTGACATGTTTATAAGTCAAGCTGGCGACCAGGTTGGGAGCCATGGTTCGTTGCACTACTATTGTAAGATTGGTAGCCAGTGAACGCTTGGGGATGGTTGAACTAGTCGGCCTCGGCGGCTTCGGCAGCCTCCTCGTCAAGGCGGGGCCGTTCTCGCTGGTGGATCGAAACTAGGTGGACATCCGCGGTGCGGTCCGGCGCCACCGATCGGACGGTTCGTCCCTGATGGATCACTGTCCAATAACGCCGTGAGGAGCTTTGGGACCATGTCTGGAGGTAGATATCGTCGTAGAGGTCGTTGGCCCGACGACAGGAGACTCACTGCTGCTGCAGATGCTCCTGTGAAGATGACGTCGCAGGACGGTGATGTTGACGGTGTGATAGCCACACTGGCGGCATGTTTTGCCGTCTTGGAACTGGAGGTGGGGGTCCATCGGCGAGTCATCGAGGCGAGGTTGAGCACATGCTGGCTCCCGGAAACGCACCCGTTGCCGTCGCAGCAGGGTCGTGAGGCCTTTCTGTACCGGCGATGGGACCTGATGCTAGCAAATCGCTGGCAGATAATCAAGATTTGGGTGGGCTTATGCACAAGGTCACATGCCTCGAAAATATGATCGATAGACACCGTGGCCATTTGGGGCTACAGAGGACTAGGTGGGGGTACATTGCGTCGATCGGATAGTAGAGTTTCGTCAAGCGGAGTCACGCCTGGTCGCGAACGACATTATGGAGAAAGGGGCCCAGAGGGGCCCAGAAGTCCAACGGGAGGACAGGCCAACCCGTGTGAGCAAACCTCCTGAGACGGCATCATTGAGGAGGCGGGCAGGAGGTGTGATAGATCGCATGTGGGATAGGATCAGAGTAGGGCGGGAAGCCGAAACCCAATCACACTACATCGGCGCGAAGATGTGACAAAATACACGACGCGCATTGGGGCGGGCGGACAAAGTTATGATGGATCGCACGGTACGTACTCGTTACCATGTAGGTCATGCATGCCGTCATTTCGCTGAGTAGTCCGTAGACCTGCCAACAAGTGTATTTCGTGTGCAGAAGCCATTCCGGAAAGCGGCTCTTCGCGTTTTGCCGAACGGATTTGCCAGTTCTCTCCGACTTATATGGGTTTCGGCATGAAGAAGGGGATGTATCACGGCCGTTTGGAGTCGACACCCTATCAAAGAAATCCCTGATTTTGGCCCCAGTAACCGCCTTTTCGAACACTAGGAACGATTTAATTTATCTTGATCATTAATTGGAGCGTGTAAAAAACCGTATGGAAATCCGAGCTCCGTACGATTCCAGAATCCGGAATCCGGATCCCACCCTATATCCACCGGTGTCCGATCACGTGGTCAGACTTCCAAATTCGCGCCGTCCCCGCCTCCCCTTTTTCCATTCTCTCTGGCCATTTCTTCTTCCCTTCTCCCTCCAACATCATCCTGTAAAGGAAGTATTTGCTCTTTGCCGTTCTCGCCGCCAGTCCTGCCATTCCTGTGTTTTCATAGGACTCTCCGATTTCACTTGTTGACTTCGGATTGGGCACGTACTCGTGACCAGGCCGCAAGAGCTTTTACCACTTTACGCATCTTATTATCATTATTCATCCGTCATTTTACGCGAGTCAGGGCTGCTCAACGCTGTTCCAAAGCCCGGGTGGGAGGGTTACTCGATTCATCGAGGGTTCTCTTTTTTAACCCAGCGAATATTGCAACAACACAATGACTACCAAATCGCCAAACTCGCCCTGGGTCTTGCAGAAGGCAGTTCTTGTTTATACACCCGATTTCGATGTTTCTTGTTCTGCTCGTCTTCGTATTGCCCATCATAAAACTACCAACAAAGGATCTATCTCCCTTCGGATTACGGCAGATCTCGCTAACCTGAGCGGCAGATCACAGGTGCTGACGTTGAATGTCCCTCCAGAGATAATCGAAATATGTGAATTGGCCCCGATAAGCAACGACAGCCTCTGTTCATCTCGTTTGGTTTCCATGCTCCCGGCATCCGTCACCAATGTTTCGGCCGCCTCAACACTGAGTCTGACACTCGGTTCGACCGGCATTGTTCTTTGTCCATCTGAGATGGAGTCTCTAAGCCCTGCCAATCAAGGAGACTTGAATTTTCACGCATTTGCAAAGATCTGTCAATCCAAATTTCTACGTCTACACTTTTCCAGACAACAATTTGTGAAAAATGAACTTAATCAGCTGAAAACTTTCTCCTGTGCCCTGCAAAAAAGAAGTCTTCAGGCGGAGTCTTTTGACCACGCTCGCCATGGCGTGGTCCAGAGAGATTGGCGTGCCTTTAGTCTGTCGCTCGATCCACCCCCATATTATCAGGAGTCCGTGTCCGAGCAGGTGAAGCAGGTGGATCCACCCCTATATTGTGAGGAGTCCGTGTCCGAACAAGTGGTCAGAAAACGGCGCAGAGGTATCTTCTCATCTTATCTACTGACGTACTTTGTCATTCAAAAACTCATTAATAGTATCTAGACCCATGGTCAATGCCATCTGACGATGAAAGACAAAAAAGACTGCTCCTTCCATCCCCTCAACCGCTAGGCTCTCCCACCGAAGTCAATACACCGAGTACTCTCTCCCCGTCACCCTCCTCAATCCGTCCAACTTATTTTACGCATGTTTCCTCTCCTGGCCGCACAGAGCGTAACAGACTTGCGCGTCTGGAACGTGAGCTCCGTGGTGTTTCCGATGACCTGATCTGCCAACTATTAATTCGATCAGGACGCCAACATCTGCTGGCCATACCAGAAGATGTAGGCAATGGACTGCCATCCGAGTTTGAGAAAGTCGGCTTTGCCAAGGTCGAGATGATTGAGCGCCGCCTCAAACGATATGTCGATGAGATGATTGAACGCAGCCTCAAATCACATGTTGTCGACGAGATTGTCGATAGTGCCGTGAGCGAGTGTCGTGATCAGATCTTCGACGAATGCAAAACAAACGAAGCCGCATTTCGTGAACATGTCGACGACGGTAACTCCGAGGTACGCAATACGACCAATGAATGTATGAAGGAAATGGAAGAACAAGCGCGAAAGCACATGCGAGAAATGGAAGAACGAGCGCAAGAGTACATGAATGATATCGAGGATCAGGGGATCGAGATTGGGATATCTACAAAGGAAAAAGTCGCAAAGCTCAAGCGCTGGTTCAATGCTTCTGCCCAGTCTTTACTTGATAGCAAGTCAAGCCATGGCCATGAGCTGGGCACTAATGCCAGGCGCAGTTCCATTTAGATTTGGTACAAGCATTAGGTCTCTTAGGATTGACGTCGTGCACTTAGATTCTTTATTAGTCCGCCAGAAAGGTAGGTGACTAACGTATTCCTTAGCGAGTAGGTCACCTCAAAACCCGATCATACTAGTAAATGCGAGAAACCTGACATCTATCTCAGGGGATTACTGTAATGCACTGCGTGACAGTTAGTGTATGAATTCTTTTCATGGAGCCCTTAGCTGAAGAGGGATGGAAAAGTCCAGAGGGCAATCATTTTTTCGAAAGGCAGCGTCAAACTGCTAATTTCGCAGATGAAAACTCAGTTATACAGTTCTACAAGATAATGAAACTAATAGGGGTGATGTGCATTAACTGACAGGTATCTTCAAAATCGAAAGGACCAACACTTGTGTTGGGTGGGACAAGTCGCAGACGGCGTGATGTGTATATTTAGAATTGTATTTTTGGACGCATACACAAATTACTTATTCTGTCTTCGACTTCATTTTTGAACTTAAGAATCTCTCCCTCAAGGCGGTTGCTTCAGTTAGACATTAATTATCAAAAACTTCGTCACTTGGAGAAAACGGTAAACTAAGAGAAAGAACACTGTGGAGATATCGACTGAAGCAAGAGTCATTATGTATTGAAGGGGGGAACGCTCGATGGCAGCACGCGCTGAGACGTGCCGGTCGATTCAGCAGAAAAACCACCACAAAACACACGCGTAGCAATCAGGAAATAGCGAGAAGCCCAAATGTAGGGGTCAGGTCGGGGAGGTGTAAGAAGGTGTATTCTAGAACTAGCTATCCGGCCACTGTATACTGCCGGCTATGTCACATAGTCTGGATGGCGCCCATGTAGTACGGGGAGGGGGTCTCCCCACTACACTAGTTAGATGCTCGCTACCGTGCTTTTCGTCTGCGCAAAGGAAAACATCACACTCTCATATTGTTGCTAAGCTTTTTTATGCTACTGAAATTCTACTGCTAAATACATGGTGAAATTTCCTTGTCCGTAATATAGTATCGTCTGCGACCACGTAACCGTTTCAGCCTTTGGGCGGCTCCTCCTTCCTTGACCCACACAAACTTCCTGTCCTTACGGGTTAAATCCGTCAGTGGGCAAACAATCATAGAGAGTCCCCTATAAACTCCCGGTAGAAGTTAGCAGTTGCTGAAAATGGCAGTATTACATTAACTGTAGACCTCTCCAGTATTGATATATGCAGGAAGCGTAATAATATACTTCATCAGAGGAAAGCCAAACCTAAGATTCGGTGGAACACAAAATATACCTGTGAGCTTCATTTTTTCAACTTCAAGGTAAAGATGCATTGTTTGAATAGACCCTGCTGTTGACCTCGCGCGTTGCCGTATATGTCGCATTAATATCCAATCCAGTATCGCCCGATTCTGGGTGGCGGGTGCGAAAAACCCAAGATTTCAACTTAGCCAGAAGAGGTCGAAGCGTCGCTGTTGAAGCAGCAATAATAGCTACTCCAAGTTCAATCTGCGACCAGATAAGAAAACTGATGTTAAAGAAGATAGACTCCGTGATAAGATGTCGGATATATAAGAGCCTTATTATCGATGCAATTATTGCACTGCACACACATAAGTATTTCTTTCATACGCAGAGTGAGCTCGGGAAGTGATTCAACTTACACTGAGCTAATTCCAAGAATAACAGCCAGGTAGACTTTCGTGCGAAAGCTCACGTTTAACTTCCAAATAATAAAAATTGGTAAAACTCCATACACCAAATCTGAAAAACAGGTCATTGATGCATAAGAGTATATACCGCTGGCTACCTGCCTAGGGTGGAGACAAGATCCGTGTGGGTTTACCCTATGCTCCCAAAATTCTGATGGAGGACGGCATTGGAAGATTATGAAAAAAAATCCAGCGACACCAAAGCCAGTCACCATAACGAGCACACCATATATGACATAGGTATGAGTTCGCTCGACAGTGAAGCGGAGGAGAAAAAGCCCGATGGACACTTTAATCGTGGCTGTCGCAAGAACATAGAAGATCTCATATAGTAGGATCAACTAAAATAGATGAGAACGCTGAGCTTTCCACGGACAATAAACCACGTACCTTCAGCGCTCTTGAAACCGTGTCGGAAATCAGGTCCGTAATAGGGTTCCCAATATCGCCGCTTTTAACTGCTGCGGCCCAAAGGCAGGAAGCCAGAGTAAAGAAAACCTTGAAGAGTTAAAAGCATCAGACCATCTTTGTCGATAAAATGAATATTGGGGATGACGTAATAAGCATCTGAAACTGGGCACCCACCAGAGCCGCGATCAAAAGAGCATCGTCAGCTCCAAAACGGGTTCTCAGTCTTATCCGGACATAGCATCGCATTAGTACTGTTAACCATGTAGTGATAAGGAAAAACAACGCGACTCCAAGAGCTTGGCCTCGATCCGCCATACGGCAGACATATGCATGAACTGTAAATGAACATGGTGGGGATATGTCGAGCGGCAGATGTTTTACAATTCTTTCGCCACTGCCGTAATCCTGGTGACATAATCAATCATCAAGCTCATGCACACCACCCACCAAACCGGCCACGGCCTCCGCAACCAGGAAAAAGATAGAACAGATGTTTATTTCTTAGGATAACTTCATATACTATATGCCTAATATAGGGCTGTTGACGATATTGCCGATATACCGATACTGACGATACGATATCTACAGACGATACGATATCGGTTGCTTTTGAATTTGTCGATGCCGATTGCCGGTACGATATCGGCGGGCTTCAAATTTGATGATATCACCACTCACGATATCGTCATATCTTATCGACATCGGCATATTTTCCCTTTATAATCATCTAGAGAGTGAACGGGCTTTGATCGAACAGCAGTTTATTTGACAATTTTTGAATGCAGAACCGGGAAATCGCGACGGTATATTTTCACCAACCCCGATCCTTGACCGCTACCACTTATACCCGTCGCGAATCAACATCAGCATTCTTATGGTACCCCCCTTCAAAGAATATCTCCGGATGCCTAGCACATCCCTCGCTGTGCTAAACACTCTCTCAGCACCAACTTCAGAAGCAGGAATCGCTAGATATTCCCTGGCTGCTGCTGCCATCCGCGGATACTCGCCCTTGTGCATCTTCCACCAATTACAGAGCCAGTTCTGGCCGGTGGTATCTGCGACGCTGATCGGAGGGGTGTCGAACTACTTATAAATATCTGACAGCGGTGGATCTCGCACCTGCAACTTCTTCAGCATTCTAGACTCCACATCACTATGCTGCAGGGAAGTCGACTGTGATGCAGCGGCATCATGCTCCGGGTTACTAGCCGCGTATACCTGATGCAGATGGGTGCGGATCGTTTCCAGAATTATTGTCCCTGCATTGCCATCTTGAAGTTCTCGTAAGACCATTTCGCCTTTGACTCGAGGATCCAAGACGAGGGCAGTGTAGTAGGCAGTGATCCATAATGGAATAGTACTTTTCGTATTTCTTCATCCCGTCTTTCACTGCAGCTATGATATCTCGATCCAGTTTTGCGAAGTCACCATTGCCCTCCCTCACATCGTCAAGCAATTCGTGTAGCTCATAGTAAATCGGGACTGCGAGGCTGATTTGTGGATTGCGTTTCGAAATGAACAAAGTAAGCTCATTGAACTTGTGGAGTACTGTGTGAATCTGTTCCAGCCGTGACCAATCTTGGAGAGTAAACGGCGGGAGTTTCTCCTGAAGGTTTAGGAACTTGTTGACTTGTTGCCTTGACTTCAAGCCATCGTCGACCATGCGAAATGTTGAGTTCCATCGTGTCGTCACATCGTACGCAACGAATTTGTCTGGAAGATTGTTGAGTCTGCAAACCTCCTTCCATTTCTGTCGGCGCTGAGGACTTCGGTTAATCCAAAGAGCGAGGACCCGTAATATCCCTATAGCTGAGTGATCGGTGATCGAGTTACCAGCCTGTAAACAGTCACAGGCAACTTGTGCTTGTTCCATCGTCCCTGACCCTAGGTTAGGGAGGATATTTTTCACAATCAGATTGAGGACATGAGCCAGGCAGCTGATGTAACTGTCAAGGCTTCGATAGAGTGGTGCTGGCATTGCTTCTTCCACACTAGGTCGGTCGGAAAGAGAGAAGAATAACTCCGAAGCCATGGCCTCATTGTTACTGGCGTTGTCGCCTGTAATGGAAATGAGCTTGTCCTTGAGACTCAACTCGATAAGCATATTTTCCACTGCAATTGCCAGGTTTTCGCCGCTATGAATGCCCTGGAGTTCGGCGAACTCGAGTAATTTCTCGCGGTACTCAAATTCGTCAGTCAGCCAATGACCAATTATCCCTAAGATAGGAAGATTTCTTGCTTGTCCAGATATCCAGTGATAAGGTAATGGTTTTGCAAGTCAAAGCCAGCTCATTATTCAGGTCTTGCGCTGTATAGGGAACTCTTGCATGATTCGATCCCGCAAGGTGTGGCGAGATGTGAAAGGAGGCTCAATTCCAGGAATGTCTCGGAACATTTGCTGAAACTCTGGAGACTCAACAGTGGTGAAGGCTTTCATATCAGTCACCATATCAGTTAGCGAATGGCATTCCTTTCCACGACCTCTTGATGGGTGAGACTCTGTTTCCCCCCCATAAAAACCCGAATGTCTGGACCTTTCTTCGGTGGCTGTATACTGGAGGTCGGGCAGTAAATGTCATGCCTTGCCCAGTGGGTTTTGATGTTGCTGGTTGTATTTTGCTTCTGGGAATCTGACGTATGCCAGTCACAGCGTGTTCCTGCTTTCTCATCTACATGCGTACAGCAAATCTTTCGGCCGACCAGCCTCCTCTTGTTGGTCCTTTTGATCACCCATGGACAATCAACGACTGTGGTCTCGAAATAACCCCAGATCCACTCAGTAGTAGGCGCTGGTCGTTTGGAGCATCGAGAGGATACGTGGCTTGTGATTGAAGTATCAGCATCTGTTGAGCTCTCTTGGGATACTACCACTTGTGACACAGACTCGGAAGGTAAAAGCTCGCAATCCGGTATGTTGGCGAGGATCTCCACGCTTTCTTGACAGGCTGGGAGAGTATGTGTGAGGTTATTCGGTAGCTCGCTTGGTTCGTTTGTTTGGTCGGTTCGATCATCCGGCAAAAACTTTCCATCGCTCTCGTCGTTCAGAACCCGGTAGGTGGGGCGTTTCTGCCGGGTACGCATTTTGTGTTGGATACACCGGGCTGCTGGCCAAGTGCTAATGAATACGACTTGCTGATCGTGGCTCACTGTCGATATGGACCCAGCAGATCAGCAGAACCAGGACTGAAGAGTCATATGTGGAGTTGGTTAGTTCCTGGAAGAGCAGGTCACTGTCAACGAAGAAGAGGTCAGGGCACGCGTCCCAGACTCTGAGATGCGTCACGTCCAAACAAACTTGAACCATAAAATGGGGTTGAACCCTTATGACCTCTACATATTCCGCCATATAGCACAACGGAAGAAGGAAGGCGTAGCCATAGAATAAGTCAGGTAATATGACAGTATGTTGACAAGAAAAGGCTAGATTAATGAAATCATATATATGTATCCACGTACATATGTACGTCTGCATTACATAAATGTGTGGGCTCCTTCACAACATGAATAATCCAAATACAGCCGGGTGCCGATTAGTGAACAAGGTGATGCGATGTGGTTAGACAAGTGAACAGAGCTAGCAGTGGCAAGGCGGCGAATTATTTTGCATGCATTGCCTGGCGGTTGATACTCGTGGTAAAGTATTCCAAATCTTCTGAACCCCGGATACAGCAATCCACTCAATTGACTTTCGTTGGGCGTAGTTGGGTCAGTAACTGATCATACTCCATCCCAGCCTTATGGAACTTCTATTTCTTGTCAAGTGGCGAGAAAAATTCCAATGAATTGGTCTCAGCCAAGTGGGATGGAGGTTTCAGGTCATGCTGGAACCGTTTCAGACATCAGGCTAAAGCAAAGATCTGCAAAACTGGAGCAGTATCAGGTCCTTGGCTAATTAGAACAAGTGGTCCGTTTTGAATCAAGTTAGCGACAATGATCGATGGTTTATTTAAACCTGTATACAATCCTTCGAAACCTTTCTGGCTATAATTTCACAGTTTTTACCGGAAACCCGCAATTTCATCCTCCCCCGCCCCAATGAAAGTGGTATCGACCGTCTCCACCGTCCTCCTATGGCTATCGCCCCTGAGCGCAGCCATATTAGTCTCCAGTTCAGCTGAAGGTTTTGCCGCAGGGGTGACTGGCGGCGGCGATGCCGAACCACAAATTCCTAGCGATATTGCTCAGCTAAAGGAGTGGCTTACAGATGATACCCCGCGCGTCATTGTCCTTGACAAGGAATATGACTTCACTGAGTCGGAAGGCACGACCTCTGGAACAGTTTGCGCTTCTTGGGGTTCCGGCGATAATTGCCAAAGGATAATCCAGGACGACTGTGGAGATTCTCCCTCTTCACAAGAAACCTGGTACACTGCCGGAACGACAGGGATTGATGTTGGCCCAAACAAATCAATCCTCGGAGATGGAGACAAGGGTATAATTAAAGGCAAAGGCTTGAGATTCAGGGCTGGCGTGTCGAATATCATCGTGCAGAACATTCAGATTTCTGACTTGAACCCCAAGTACGTATGGGGTGGTGACGCTATGTATTTCGACGAGTCTGATCTCATCTGGATTGACCATGTTACCGTACGTGTGCTTTGGACCCAATGATGGAGTGCGATTGCTAATGAAATCCCTAGACGGCTCGCACCGGACGGCAGCACTACACGTTCGGATTCGCGACGAACACTCGCATTACTCTCTCGAACAACTTCATCGACGGAGAAACCCCCTACTCGACCGGATGCGATGGATACACCTACTGGGGCTTTGAGATGGTCGGTGCCGCAGATGAGATTACATTGCAGAACAACTATATCTACATGACCTCCGGCCGCAGTCCAGCATTGAGTGGGGGTACTCTATTGCATGCAGTGAACAATGTTTGGGATAAAAACAACGGACATGCTCTGGAAGGCGGTGATTCAAATGCGAGGGGAATCTTCGAGGGCAATGTTTGGCAGAGTGTCACAACTGTCGTTGGCGAGTACAACGGCCGTCTTTTCGCTACCCCCGACTCATCGTCCGCTAGTGAGTGCGAGTCTGCTCTTGGCCGTGTGTGTGAAGAGAATATCGTTTCAGACTTGTCCAGTATCTCTTCCTATACAGATACTTCCTTCTTCTCGGACTTCTCAGCACTGACTATTGCTCCCGCCACATCTGCCAGCGAGGCGCTATCTAGGGTTCCAAACAATGCAGGCATGGGCAAACTTTAATATTCCAAGGCCAAGAAGGTCTATTGTACCATTTACTATCATTGTCTCCTACCTAAAGAGATCAAATGTAATCAAAACTACGCCTTTCCATGTGCTTTTGATTGGAATGTATTTTGTCTACAAATATTGACCAATGGAATTAATACAAATGGAACTGCCTACAATCGTATTAATATAATTGGGAACGAATGTATATGTTACGAAGCTACCTGCAGGTCACAGACTTAGAAATAGACGACAGAAAATTATATGCAAAATCCATTTATTGCCCAAATTCATTTTAAGGAACTCACCAAATTGTGCCTTCAATACTATAGAAAAGCCACGCAATTTGTGATCCGCCAGGTTCGACCAAAAGCAGCTAGCCCAAGAGATCTGTTATGAGAAGTAACTCTGAGACTTTCCACATCAATTCAATTCAATTCAATTCAAATTTCTATTAACCTGATGCAGCCCAACTAGAACGTAATGGCTATGCAGGTGCTTCCTCCGTCGGAAACAAGCACTCGTCCAAACGCCACGCCCAACAGTAACAAATACAAAGAAAACACTGCATGTCGCAATTCAAAAACAGGTGATAATCTCACAAAAACCGTCATAGAATGCTCAAAATGAATGTAATCGGCTTATGTCAGCACACGCCGTGCCATGCGGCCATTACCTCAGTTACCTCAGCCGGCCCCGAAAAGCGGTAACTTTTGCAATCTACCGCCTGCTGGTTATAGACAAGCTGACTCAGCCTTTTTTTGGGGCCGTCTGAGCACAGAATTTGTCGCTTGTAGCACTAGCTCGATATTTTCTATGGTTTCCCCACCAAAATTACTTCGGAATTTTTGCGCGACGAAAATCGGTTATTCTACATTTTCTCGACAGCAAATACAGTTATCAAAAATTGGGCGACGATGTCCTCTAGATATTGAGGCCCTCTATCTTCTCGTGGTGGAATTGTTCCAAATTTCCAAAATTAAAGGTACAATAATTGTACCCAACGCATACTACTCCTTTTTCCCAGCAGACAAAACAACACCTTATCGCACAGTTTTCTAGTCCTAATCATGCTAATACTTGGCTTTGACCACTAATTAAGTGGAAATTGGAGGAATACGCCAATGGCTCGTCCAAAAGCACGAAAGCCTCCTTCCTTCCAAGCACGGGCCTGTCGCAAGTCCCCTTCTAGCACTGCAGGACCATGCCATGAGCAGGCATCGTTGGACAAATGGTTGAATTCAGGCAATACAACACATCACTCAGCATCAGTGGTAAAGGCACAAAAGATCATCCGAGAAGCCGAAGAGAAGGGGGAGAAGGAACAGAACGCTGCCATCATTGCGGCTATTGAAGGAATCTATACATTTTCTCCATGGGATGGTCAGCGAGAGGCACTCCGCCACCTTGTTTTTCTCCGCAAAGACATGATTCTTATAGCCAAGACATCATTCGGTAAGAGCATGCTCTTACAAGCAGTATCCCTTCTCCTTGAGAAGGCAATCACACTCATTGTGCTCCCACTGAACCAGATTGGTATTGAGCAAACAGAGTATATCAGAAATCTTGGAGGCAGACCCTGTTTCCTCAATGTCGATACCATGTCTGCAGAGCTGCTCGAAGCAGTAAAGGCAGCTAAATATACCCATGTTCTGCTTAGTCCCGAACTTGCAATTGGGGATAAATTTCACGCTGTGGCTACCCATCCACGGTTCCGTGAACGCCTTCGTCTTGTTGCAGTTGATGAGGCACATTTGGTTGCGCATTGGGGTCGTGCTTTCCGGACAGAATATGCACGAATGCATCAATTGCGTGCATTGCTAGGAAGGAAAGTTCCTTGGTTTGCATGCTCAGCAACGTTGGACCAAGCCACTTTGGAGACTGTGAAGCATGGGTGTGGTTTCTTACCAGATGTCAAAGTTCAGCGAACCTCCATCAACCGACCAGAGCTGGTTCTCCGTTTGGGCAAGATACCAAGGAACAAACGTCGAGCATATTCCGCCTTACGTTTCCTATTCAAGCAAGGAGAGGTTCTGCATGCTGCTCGCGACACTGCGCATTTAAACATCCCCAAGACTGTTGTGTTCTTCGACACTAGAGATGAAACATCTTCGGCACTGATGAAATGTCGTGAATGGCTAGAAATGAGTGACAAGCACCAGTATACATCTCAGCAGGCTCAGTCTACTATTCGGGTCTTTCATCGCAACACGCCACAGCATGACAAGGAGAGAATTGTTGCAGAATTTCGGCATTTGGCCTTGGAGTCATCAGTCCGGGTTATCTTTGCGACGGAAGCATTGGGGATAGGGGTAAATCTTCCCGATATTCGACGCGTTGTCCTATATGGGATCCCTCGGGGACACCACCCAGCAGTTCCTTGGCAGCGCGGTGGTCGAGGAAGTCGAGATGGGCAGGATGGGGAAACCATCTTGCTAGTGGACGAATGGGCATTTGGCCCCCGTGATGAAGCCGCTGCTCAAAGGTATGCACGCCAGTCCAAGGCCCAAGGATTAAGACAGGAGACTTGTGCCATGGGTGTTACTGAAGAGCTCAATAGAGGCTCTGCAGAGGAGTTGCATGATGAAGAAACTCCCGAGCAGGAACAGTCAGCAATCTGTTCATCTGACAAGGAACGCCGGGAGAGACTACCAGCATTTTGGTATAATCTCATCAATGCTAGCACTTGTATACGGCAACAATTCTTGGATTTCTTTGAGGAACCCAAGGACGGTGATAACCCAACTCGGAAGGAGCGCTGTTGCAGCTATTGCAACCCAGACTTTACTATAGAGGACCTTGATCAGTATTATCTATACAGTGAGAAAGGGCCTTCTTACACCAAAAAGCGAAAGCTGATTGCAGATGACCTGGAGAAGTGGGCCTGGTGTAAATCTCATGAAGTTCTGCGCAAGGATGGGCTCATACTAGATGCCTGCAATATCCTAACCAAAGACCAACGAGTTGAACTGGCACGGTATGCCCATCAGACATTGACGAAAGACGATCTCTTCGACAGACTAGGATTATGGCACTGGTGCGGTCGGTTCGATCAAAGTCTCTTTGAAGAACTGCGGAAGGCATACTGCACTCATGGGAGTAGTTCTCAAACACCTGCAGAACAACTTGGTCAGTATACATGGTTAAGAATTTCGTATTCTTGGGACAGATATGCTCACCACGCAGTGTTAACAGTCAAAATGCAAACACCAGCAAAGACGATGCGCATATTGGACGACCCTAGCCAATTCAGCGAATACAGTAATCTCACATGGTCTTCTGCACCTACGCCAGACAGTATCAGACAACCGACACCTTCTGACAATATCTTTGTGCCTCCATGGATTGATACTGATATACCGTCCCAAGATTATATGGATTCGACACCTGCTTCGGCAACTCCAGTTCGCAAACGCAGAGCCTTAAGTGGGGTATCAGGAAATAGGCGTCCACGAAGATGCCCGGAAGGTGTGAACAAGAAGTGAGATGTCAGATTTCATCTTCATCATCTGCTATAGTCACAAATTTATCAAGAGCAGCAATAGGTGTTGAAGTAAGGTGGCTCGGCTCCTCTCCTCCCTGGCACCCTCCATGAAGCCGCTGTTGATTGAATTTCTCAACCCCTTTAGCTAATGCTTCACTAGATCCTCGAGACAAGATATCCGGAGGTTTAAACCAAGAATCTCGACCATTTAGATGCTTCTGGATAGAATCCGATTGAGCAATCTCATGTGCAAGATTGCGGACATCCATGCTGGCGTCCTTAATCTGGTGCCTTCCATTGCTATACTCGCCAAATTCTGCCTCCAACTTCGCCTTCAATTCTGTACAATAACTGGCTGTCAATGCCATTCGTTGGAACATGGGCGTGACTTCGACGGTAGAGGTACGTCGTGTGGTCATCAGGGACTTCATCTGGAGGTTGAAAAACTCATTCAGTCGGTCTATCTCGAACCAGGAATCCTCTGCGCCGCGAATGTTGACCAGCCCATTAGCCAATATAGCCTTTTGGAGCTCTGGGCTTGCAGCCGGAGTCTGTGTGAGCCATGTCATGTACAAGGAGAGAAAGACATATTTAGACTTCTTTGAGCCGTGGAAAAGGAAACAGCACAGCGCAAATATACGCCGAAGGATCCCAATGTCAGCATATTTGATGGCCTTCTTCATTATCTTGTAGATGGCGATCTGTTGAAGAACTTTCGCATGCGTGGAGAATGGGAAGTCGATTGGACGATCTGGGAACAGTTTTGCCATATTTTCAGACTGCTGCTCCGCCATAGTAAACAACTCGTCTCGGATATTCTCGATGATGCGGTGAAAGGACGCGCGTGTCATATTTTTGATGTAATGATTAATCTCCTCGTCAGTTGATAGTTGAATATCTTTATCCTTCTCATTTGCAAAAGATCTCAGCAGCAGGTAGAATTTAGCAGTCACACGGGCGTCAAAAGCACGTGTAGCCACTTCCTCCTTGTGGTGAAATGGACTTTTGTGGCCCTGCACACAGCCTAGAAAATTCTTGTTGTGGTGTAGAGTTGTTTCATCTGCGGCTGCCTCCGTGCCAGAGTAGAGCTCATGGATCATGTCCATGTAGTTGGTTCGCCAGTGGAAGAGACCAGGGATAGGAAGCAGCCAATTGCATCTATCATACGGCAATGTGGCTTCCGCCTGCTCCTTCTTGACAACCTGAATCAAAGAGACTGTCTTTTGATCCCCATATACGAGTCGCAATGGTCCATCAAAATCTGTGTCTGGATTGTACCCAAGTTGATCAACAAAGATGTTGCGAATGACTGCATATGTGCCGTCAATGGTTCCTTCATTCTCCGTAATAGGACCAAGACCATAATTGGGAGTTTTGCGAGGGAGAAGACGCTCAACTGCTGGGAACTCTGGCCAATCAACTAGTTGAATTCGAGGTTTCATTGATCCAGTTTGCTTAGGCGGCTGATCCATGAAAAGTGCCTCCACTGCCTCCCGATGGGTTTCACGAATTGCCTCTGCGATAAAATGAATTTGACATTGTCGAATGACACCATCTTGATCATCTGGGCCTGGGGCATCATAAATCCCATGACGACTGAGTGGGATATCTGGATGGAGCATTGATCTCCGTAACCCTCCGGCTGGAATGGACTGACCAATGCAGAGCTTGCCAGTGGTAGCAGAAATATGTCGAGACTGCTCCCGAAGGGTTTGATGCCGGACGTTTTGATTGTAGTCGAAATTGTCCCAACATATGATAAAATTGCCATGAGAAGACTGGGCAGCTTCCTTGAGTTGCCCCTGTACTCCTATTAGCAATCAAGGGTGATTTCGTAACGACACAGGGTAGGTTTATTGTGCAACCTTTCCTAACTTGACAAGTTCGTCACGGCGGCGCATAATGGTCATATAGTTTGCAATAACGCCCAAGCCATAGAGGAGATTAATAGTACGGCGTTTCACCCCCATGGAATGTAAATGCAGGCCGAGCAACACTGGAAACTTGTTGCACGTTCGAGGAGCAAAGGCCGATGCCAAGATGACACAGATCATGAATACGCTGCCTTGAAAATCCTTGGATGTATCGCGAGCGCTAGGATGCTGCTGTGCCATAATACTGACAAGTAATGCCCACAGACGAGGAGCAGCAACTTGTACACGTGAAGCAATCCCAGGTATATCCAATTGATCCACCGACTCTTCTGTATCAAATTGAGCGAGCCCGATGGCGGGATTGCCAAATTGAGACAGTTCGGACCGAATGTGAGCGACCAGCTGTGACGTTCTCACGGACTCAGTGGTTTCAGTCTCAGGAATTTTGTGCAACTCAGTGACCACTTCCTTCTGTTCGTATATTGCCTCAGATAGCTTCTGTGTCCGGTAAGCGGCCGACCGGGCATTTTTCTCTTCCGGCTGTGCCATCACTAGGTGATATATGAAGGATTTGAGAGTCCAACGATGCTGTTCATGCATATGCTTAAGTATCATATCGACTCTTTGCCGTTCTGACAATCCAGGAATATAGGTCTGCTCGTTGAATACCTCCCTGGGTGGCTGTCGGGAACGCGTCGCCGTAGGGGCCTTAGGGGGTGACTCGCACACGCGTTTTCGAGACATGACAGCCAGTAATTAGAAAACTAATGACAGAATATTAATATTAATCATTATATATGCCAATATCAATCATACGAAGACTTACCTGGTTAAAATGGTCAAGTTGGTATGGAGCTATCGAAAAATGCACGCAAAGTGCAATTTCAGTGCTCAGACCTTAGATCAGCGTGCTACCCGATTAGGTTTAGTGCGCCAAAAATCCGGCAGAATTTTTGATCATGTGATAAGGTCTGAGGGTACTGAGGTAATGCGGCCACATCCCATCCCCGTATTGCCGCACCATCCATGCTTCTTCTTCCACATCTGCTCCAGTTGGCATGCTGTTTTTCAATATGCCCTGTTCCTTCGATATCGTTCTTCATCGGCGTTGTATTTCTCCCACTGCCTCTTGTCGCTGTAGGTTTTTGATCTCTTATACCCAGCGTCGTCACCTCCTGCTGCCACCTTGCCAAGTTACTTTGGCGTGTTAATGTTTGCATCAACATCCTCGTAGTCCACGTGCCTGAATTGGCCAAGGAGTCCTGTCCGGTGCATGAATTCGGCCACGTAGCGGATGACCTGCGAGTCCGACATGATCGTGTCATAATCGGTTGTTCTCCCCAGATCGGTTTTGTACCAAATCTTGTTCAACATCACGGTCCTAAGCCCGGTGTATAACGGACACTGGAGAAGGACATGCATGGGAGCCTGGCTGCCCTAGTCACAGTGACACCAGTCTGTGGCCCCCCTGCTCTCTGCTGTGCGGTGGCGATCTCGAACAGGAAATGTCGAAGCCCAATTCGCTGTGACCTCATCTGAATGAGGATTGGGGTGTAGGACTTTGAGAGGCCCCCATATGGACCTAGAGCCTTCTTGTGCGGTGTGTTGACCAGTCGATAGGTCGGTCTTCCTGTCTTCTCTCTTACCCACTCCTTTGCCCATCTATCCCTCATCCGCTGCCGCACCCAGCGCCTCGCTGAGGAGGCAAGGCGGTATGCTTCGGGAGCACTATTCTCCGCCCCACCTCCGTTCTCCGCAGCACCGTTAGCTTCAACATCAGCTGCTTCAATTACCATGCACCCCCACATGTGCGGGGATCCAACGGATCTCAACGGCGGGAATCTGGCCGAACGTGGGCGTGTGAGAAGTTGATCGGAGGGCCCGTACATGATCATATATGCATGCGAGCATGTTCTGGCCGGATGATCGCTCCGGGTTGGAAATGGCCTGGATGGCCGCCTTCCCGGTTACATTGCATCAGTGAATCGGTCTTACACATACTAACTTCAAAGCTCGAATAACACAATTTCCTCGGAGCGAACGTTGAGAGTCAGCTGAAATATATAGAAAAGCCGGTCACTAGCTATGATGCCGTAAATCGAATTTTAATAGAATAACGCTCCTTATTACGTGTAGTTTCCTAGTCCCTCCCTAAGAGACGGCTGAATATTAAACTCCACACAGAATACTCGATAACCTAGTGTAAATAAATTTCGCATCTTTCGCGCTAGGTTATGTACTGTAACCCTATTAGTTGTTCATGTGACGGATGAACCTGGGAATAGCCTCGTCTCGTGGAAGGATGCCTGAGGCATAATATTGGGTCGTTTGCACTACACGTTTGCTGGGGACTTAACCCCTCTTTTTCTGGCGGACTTCTTTCTTTCTCCTTCCTTCTTCATCTTCGAGATTCTCGTCCTGTAGGCACCGAATGAATCTGTTTCTTTCGAACGGCCCGCAACAGTTCAATTACCATTATAGGTCGAGATTCAAGATCTCTGTTGACCGAAATGCTGAATATTGTCTGTCAATCTGGTCAATCCTTGAGTATATGAAAAGTTCACAATTTGTCGCTCACTGCCACTGAACAAACCCCGTTAAACAAGCGGTGTGAAGGTATGATCTACTTTGCAGGGTAGAAGGCCTGTCAGTGAGGTAGGAGAAGAAAGCACTAAGTCCCAAGTTGCTTCAAGACTGTTTCTTAGGGTTTCTATAACCCACTGTGACTCAATTTATATACAGTCTCTTCTCCCAAAGAGGAAGGAGGGGAAAGCCCCACAAAAGAGGGGTAGAGAGAGGAATACGAGATTATGCAACGTATAACAGGGTTCCCCCCTGTAGAGTCCCTTCACCGCATCACTATCGAAAGGTTGATGATTAACCACAGGGGCTGCCGTTCTGCCAGGATCCTCAGGCTACCATATAGCCTGAGGCACCACCGACATTGAAATAGCCTCATGGCGGGAATATCATAACACTAAGTATGAGCTTATCTATATCACAAATAGCGTAGGCTACTAGCTCAATAGGTACAACAGGAGTACTATCCTAAGAATATCTTCTAAGATACGTATAGAATAGTAGCCAAAACGGGGTCAAACATTGGTGGCTTAATTGATGATGCTCTACAGACGACCAAAGAACAGGTGTAACGGCGGATATCTGCTAAACTCCATAATTCTCGTAGTGAATTATCACCCTTCCGGTTCAGCTCCCCTTCTCTGCAACGCAGAAGTCGCTGCTAAGATTATGTCGCTTCCCAAATAGGTGTTCGAGTTCTAGGACCTTGATAATAGCTTCATGGCGATGCTCTCTCGCCAAAGATAGTGGTGTTTCGCCCTCGCTGTTCGTAGTGTTTGGGTTGACTCTACCTGTGGCCAGCAGTATCGTAACGATTGACTCATATCCGCACCGTGCTGCTCCTAAAAGCGGCGATAGCCTGGTATGCCCTTTACCGCCTAGATCGGCACCTGCTGCGATCAGAAGTTTGACAACCGACACATGGCCTGACTCTGCTGCTAAGTATATAGCTGTTTGCCCATCGGGATGAGCGAAGTCCAAATTGATACCATCGGCATCGAGAAGCAGATTTACAACTGCTTTGTGACCGTTCCATGCCGCATAGGAAAGCGGTGTGAATCCCCGGCAATTAAAGTTGACGTCGACTCTACCAGTTAAAAGTAGATGCTTGACCACTACTTCATGTCCCATTTTTGCCGCACAAACCAGTGGCGTTTCTCCTTCTGAGTTCTCCTCGTCTGGGTCAACACTCTCATCATAAGCGAGAAACAGCTTGAGGACCCCATCGTTGCCGTTTTCCGCCGCTAAGCACAACAGCGTTTTACCCCAATAAAAGCAGCAGTCAAGCTCTAATCCTGCTTGTAGTGATTTTCGAGCTGTATTCTCGTTTCCATTTTCAGCCGCACGCAATATTGCCAGTGGTTGATAAGATGCGGCATCCCGAAGGTAGAGGAGGGGGTCAAGCAATTTGCAAAGGTGGGTGTTGGTTTGAATCAAACTATTGAGATCCCCATTTGACTTCAAGTTCTCGGCGATCATCAGTATCAGTTCGTTTGGTAGATGATATAGTGGCATGTTGAATTAATTTGATGGATGTTGACTGGGTCATGAGAGTTCCTTTCAAAATTTCATAACGGGACAGAAAGTGGCTCGAGGGATAGGGGAGAAGAGGCAGAAGACCGGAAGAGATAGGGGATAGCCGAGAGGGCTTCCGACTTGGCTTCGCATGCCATAAATACCTAACTGATACCATAGCCTAGTGTCGGCATTACGAATACTGCATGAAACCGGGTCTATGGATGATCCGACGGCATTGCTTATGTAACTAAATTGGACCATAAAAAGCGTGAATAGGGGTAATGGAAATACAGAGTCATTGATATCTCCAATTGGTCGGATACTATACGGAAGTTGACACCTAGACAGTCGCTTGGTCTCTCCGCCTCGGAGGGGAGAAGGTTCCGGGGGGGTTGGGGGGGGGAGAGTTCCTGCAGTTATGTTTATTGAGCCGTCTAGCTGTGTTAGCTGTTTAAAAAGGCCTCAGGGACTAATTCTATCACACCGCTAACAAAATGTAGCTTGTCCATACGTTTACAAGACATAGTGTATTCTATAGAGTAAATGACTGTATAGGTGACTATACAGGAACATTGCTATTCCGGAGCTATTCTCAATATAGTGTAGTGTATTTTGGCAATTGGTCGGAGAATCAACCGAATAGTGGAGGTGTGTCTTCAATCTATGGTGCCTTTTGCCCTCTGGATCTTGCCGGCAGTATTGTCCTTCGTGGCGACATGGAGGCCCGGGACATCGCATAACACGATACACATCGTGCCAGACGGAATATTGGCCGGAGACCTGCTCAGCGTCAATCTGAGCGTCTCGGTCAGCGAGCATCCGTGTAGCCACCGATGACTTTCCTCGCTTGTCCGTTCTAGAAGGAAGAGGTCCACTTTCCTCTATGTAGTTGATCGATATCTGGAGCCGGATCTTCTTTCCACGACGAAATAGATAGGCCCACGCTAGCAGCTTTTTCTCCACCGCTGTCCAATCAACACTAGTACCTTCAAAGTGTTTGTCAATATTCCGTTGGGAGTTCACCGATAACACCATGTCAGTATCATCTAGTCTCACCCGTCGGCCACGGGCTGTCTTCCGTCCTAGAATATTACAAGCATCCTCTTTTATTTGTTCCCAGTAGGATCTAGGTGGTTGAATAAGGTCTTGTTTTGTATCCTTGACCACAACTCGATTGTTCAATTTAACCCTCCACTCGATCTGGTAGTGGATACAGTCCGGAGATTGTTCATCCCATGCACTTCCATCTGCACGTTTAACCACAGGATCAAAACTCAGCTGGTCGGATAGATGTTGATGCAAGGAAGGTGGACATTCACCAACTATGTCCTCGGGATCGCGTGAAGGGCAGATTACTGATGGCGTCCATTCGCGGTCTGGGTAACCAGGAGTGGGGGCATACGAGGGAGTCCGTTCCCATAGACCAGGCAGTTCAGGTCGGTAAGCATCATCATCATCGTTGAAAGGAGTGTGAGTCATCCCCCCAAGGCAGAAGATGCCACTGAGGAGTCTATTAACATGGTTGTGTGTCAGCTTCCACCGTGTTCCAGGGCGTTAAGAAGAGAGGACTGTGGCTGACAGGCTGAGTATTATGATAAGCGGGTTCATGAGTAACGTAATTCACGGCTGACCGGGTCACACGGTTGAGCGGGTCACCCTAAAACACCATACTAAATGGAATATTTCACCACTTCAAATTGCAACGCTTAAGGCTGATTATATGATCTTATGCTACCCTAGTATTAAATATATCCTACTAGATATTTTTATGTGCTCTAGAAATATTATACGGTATGATAATATGGATATATATATTGTCGAGGATAGTGGGGTAGCACCCGAAATAGTTTAGTTCCGTTTGTGTCGTGATATCTTATTTGTACTTAGGGATTCTCGACACTCCGAGATCGGGAGGTTCAACCCCTCACCCTGCTCATGTAAGCAAGGACACCCTAACGTGTCCTCGCAGCGTCCGCTCTTTTCTTCTTTTCTTCAATCAATGCATCCTATCTTTTTGGGATTGGTTCCCCTTGGTAGATTAGCCCCATTCTTGCATACAATGCCATACTGTATCAGCTAGCTGCGACATATATCTACATCGCTCGATCGGAGCGTATTTTTGGTAATACTGGTAAATAATCAGTTTTTGAATATATAAGTTATTCTATACTAATTCTTATGCTAGAAGATCATAGCATACTTAAAATCAAGCAAAATAATAGTCTCGTTGTTGATATATTATGACTTAAAATATCGCGTTTAGTATGGTGTTTTTGGGGTGCTCTCGGGCTGCTCTGTTGAAAGGAGGATATCGCTGGGTCCGATGATACAGAAACGACAGAGTCAAAATCAAAAAGACGAACGACACGGCACGATCCAGCATGCTTGAACCCACACAGAGAACGACGAGGTACTTTGGTTAGTAGGAGGGACAACGATGTGTTGCTTGGCTGTTCTGGGTACAGAGAGGATACAACCGGGCAAACTCCTGCGAGACACGGTCGGCCTTGTCGGAGAGATCTTACAAGGTAGCGCGAAACGGATTTGACAATCTGCGGGGCGCAGCATATAATGGAAGCGACGGAAGACTGGGTGGGCGGACTGCAGATACGACACTTTCTATATGGCTCGAGAGGACGGACGCGCGTGTCGGTCTACTGAGAGAATAGGATTTTGAAGATGGCTATCGAGGATGGAGTCTTTAAGACCGCTATGGAAGTAGGCTTAAGGTGCAAACTGGTATTGACTTGCGGAACCGGCTGTGCCCCGCGAAGGATGCGGATAAGGATCGAAGGGGATGCAAGGTAGAGGGTCTATGTAGGTAGACGTGCTGCCACCTCTCCAATGTATTATCAAGCGTCCTAGTAATGCAAATCAATACTTGAAGCGGCGGCTCTCACGATTAGGAACCCCCGACAACAGTCAGGCCAGGAGTTCGTCTGCCAGACGTACAAGTTGATGAGAAGACTGCGGAGAAACGGAAACCACATCGATATCCTTTGGGTCCCTACCAGCGAAGACAATAAACTGCTAGGTCTGGCTAAAGAGCAGGCCAGAACCGCGACCCAGAAGGATGCTGCCCCACAAAAATCGGTCCCCAGGATGAAGTCGACAACACTGAATATCGCTCGGTCCCAAGCAGTTGCCAGCAATGACTTGCCAGAAAACGTAGGGAGACACGTGAAACGGGTGGACGCAGCACTTCCCGGGAAACACACTCGACAGCTGTATGATCGATTATCGTGGAAAGAAGCGAGCGTGCTGGCCCAACTCCGGACTGGCATGGCCAGACTCAATGGCTATCTCTATCGGATCAACGTTGCAGAGACGGATCAGTGTGCATGTGGACAAGCAAGAGAGACCGTGGAACACTTCCTCTTTCGATGTCGGAAGTGGACCGCACATCGGACGGAAATGCTGCAACGTACCCATACTCACCGAGGCAACATGTCCTTTTTCCTGGGCGGAAAATCGCCTTCGGATGACCAGAATTGGACGCCGAACTTGGAAGCCGTGCGAGCCTCAATACGATTCACAATCGCCACGGGCCGACTCGACGCCGCCTAACCATGTCGACCAACACAATTTGTTGATGAATCCGGATGCGATAGAAGGATTGGGTACAGGCGAACTGGATGGTCACCACTCGGGGTGACACCAGTTCAAGTGTCAAAATTTCATCGCGGCCAACGCTATCAGATACTGCCCGCATATGCTCAAGACGGTATCCTTATATCTCGTATTTTCAAAGGTTCAACGGATGCCGCCTTCTTCGAATCGTTTATCGAGCAACTTCTCCAGCACTGTGGAAGGTGGCCGGAGCCAAAGTCCGTGCTTGTTATGGATAACGCATCATTCCATCATTCACATCGAATCAAGACCTTATGTGCTGAGGCGGGAGTCAAGTTACTGTACCTCCCGCCATATTCGCCGGATTTCAATCCCATCGAAGAATTTTTTGCTGAGCTGAAAGCCCATATCAAGAAAACTTGGTCAGCAGACGAGAAGAATCCTGAACAAGTGTTCCATACGTTCCTTCGGCGGTGCGTGTATGAAGTAGGTGTCAAACAGGACAGTGCCGAAGGCCATTTCCGACACTCGGGTATTTCCATAGAGAAGATATGACTGGCTGTCGGTTAAGAGCGTCGTGTCTGCACAATACCCCTTTCACTTCAACATTTTGCCACTTCGTTTTTTGTTCGTGTTTGTGGCTTTTTAGTAATATTTTGTTCTACCCTGGGATAATCTGTTTTCAAAACTTATTGTACCATAGGACGGAGACGTATTTCGTTCATTTACCAAGGACCTCCCGCAGTTCCACAACGATGAGCTGGAGCCAAGCACGGCTGACACTAGTGGCCCGGGAAGATCGCAGCTACGACTCCATGGTTACAGTCGATAGAGAAAACAGCTTCCACCCTGGTGACAGCTTTTGTTCTCTGGGGCCCCACTGCTCAAGGCTCTAGCGCAGATCATCAATCGACGGGGCAATACATATTGAATTAAGGGCGACTGTAAAATATCGCTTGACTAGTGCCGCTGTTATCCAGCTTCATTATTGGAAGTTCCAGTTATACATTCCATAAAAGGGTCGTACCAGAGCACTGCGCTGAGTCGGCTCTGTCGACGAAGGGAGGAACAGATATCTGGAAATCGCCGCGGAATCGAATGAAAGACTTGTCAGAAGAGTTCAGTCTAGAACGCTGCGTTAAGAATATGCACCTCTCGATCGATCTGGTCTTTGTGATCTTTCTATGCAATGTAATCCAGTATATTCTATGGTGGGCCATACTTAGCTACACAGAGAGCGGCATTTTCTGAAATCGAGGTCTGACAGCGACCTCGCGACCTAAGCGCGCGACAAAAGGGTGCGGCGCACAGACGAAAAGTGTGTAATTTCCAAATTACGAGCAGCAGTCCTTAGTACGGGAGGGTAGGACACCGACTACTAAACCTTGTACCCGGAAATGATATGGGAGGTAGTTAGTGCAGTAGCTATGGGAATTATAGCTTAAAGGGCAAATTTGATTCTCTATCAACCTCAGCAATATGCACCCGAAAAAAGCCTAGCCCTATCCATACTCCACGACATGTGATCCGTCATCTACTCAGGCTTCGTCCCTGAGTTGATTCCCATAACTCATTTCGTTATAGCTTCACCCTTGAAAATGAAAGAGCTTGATTCCCGAAGAAAATCTGCATGTTCTTCGTACATAGGTTTCAGACCAGTTTCCAACGTCTCTTTAAAGAAATCTTCAAAAGAGATTCCTTCCAGGTCAGGATAGAGGTCCTTGCCAACCTGGTAGCCTAGGTAGCGGGCGTATTCGGGTGTATTTTCTCCCATAATGTCATATGACTTTTGGTACGTGAACTGGTAATAATCCATCATCTTGTAGGGGTCGTCCTTGGTTCTAGCAATACCGTCGTCAATCTCATCGGCGGTGCGCTACGAGGTGAACAGTCAGTATTTAGCTTATCATAAAGACTATGATGATAAGACGGAAACATACATATTTTCTTTCTATTTCCTCGCCGCTGATCTTCTCAACTGTATCATACAGCTCGTGCTGAGTGCGAAGGTCGGTATAGGCGAAGACCTTCTGGTTAAGGGTCCTAGTGTCGGCGATGATACGAGCAACATATACGCCAACATCGCGGGAATCGGTCCTGGCACAAGGTACGTCACCACTGCCTCCAATAGCGCTATTATAGAGAAAAAGGTTGCGATCAATGCGGCCGGAGGGCAGGCGGGGAAGGCTGATCTGGTACCACCAACCGACGTCGATGACGGTATAAGGAAGGTGCAGCCTTTGAATATGGTCTAGTATGGACTCCTTCTATAGACGCGGGTAAAATGTCAGTCTTTTGAAGTTAAAATAATGCATCATTGTGAGCAGAGTGGGAAAATGACCGCCACTTACGTTGTCGCGCAACGTCTGGACGCCTCTGGGCATCACTGAAGCATAAAAGCATGGAACATAACGCTTTACCCCTGCCTTCTTGGCTGCATTGGCAAGAGCAACTTCGTCCAGTAAGCAGCAGACAATAAGGACGTCGATGCCTTTGAGCTGGGCTGTGACATCATCCTCAGAGTCGGCAAGACTGAATGACACTATGTCAATACCCCTCTTCTGTAGGTCGAGCACATTGGGCTTCTTTAGTGAAGAAGGTCGGACAAGGGCCGTGATATCCTGCTCCCAGCAAGAAGATTAGAATGGTTGACAAAATCTGATGCTTAAAACGCAATGGAGACCCACAAATCTGGTTTCTGTTGATGACAGCAGGCCATTGACAATAGAGCTACCGTTTTGGCCAGTGGCTCCAAGAATCGCGACCTTCATGTTAAGGCTGTATTAGAAGGAAGAAGATAGTTTTGAAGTTGCTGTCCGAGAAGAAAGCTGTGTCTTGCATTTGTGACAGTGTGTGCAACTCTTTTATACTCAAGATATGCGAAGGGTCCCACTTACATATCTCCAATTTCTCCAATCTTGCATCACAGCTGCTAAAATACTTCCATAGCTCTCGGATCAATGGCTGCTTGCGGACTACGTTGTAAAAGTCCATCCAAATCGCGTCGGCGGGTGGGCCGGTTTAGGCGGAGGTCTTTGGGGTGGAGAGACAAAACGTTAATGTAGAGTTTACAAATCATGCAGAGTGGGGAACGAATAAATCATTCGGTATAGCGCTTCCGTTCTACTTCGTGACTTACTTGGGTGTACTCCGTATGAACGGCGGAATGAGGCGGTCAATTTGATGGGGTTTTGGGGGTTTGCTTTACTTTAGTTGATATAATTGGTGGGCTATGTCGCTGTGTCATCCTCGGATGTTGCGTGGCCCGGCATCCGAGCCAAATGGCAGTGAGCGAGACAACTGCCCAAGAAGCGGGTCAGCGAGACCCTAGGAGCTCGGGTCTTCTGGTTCCGGCCCACTTTTCATTCTAGAACCCCCCATCACGTGTGTCTAACGTGATCCACGGTCGCCCGAGCGACCCCATCAAAAATCCACTTCAATAATAATCCATCTTTTTCAACCACAAGAACAATGCCCCCCCAACGCTCTGATAAAAAAAAAAGTTGACAGAGCAGGAGGGTCGCCTTTTATTAGCTATAAAAGCTATAAAAGATGGCAAATATCCCTCTGCTGCAGCTGCTGCACGATCATTTGGGATACCTGTCTCAACTTTGAAGGCCCGGATCAATGGGCGCCAATCTGCTACTGAAAAGAGGCCATCTGGCCATATTTTCTCTCAAATCGAAGAGCAATCGATAGAAAACTGGCTACTCGATATGGACTCAAGAGGTGCAGCTCTTACTTTGCCTATGTTGCGAGATATGGCCAATCTTCTACTTAGTGCACGGAAAAAAGGCCCCTGTACCACTGGTATTAATTGGCCTTCTCAATTTGTCAAACGACACCCAAATCTCTCTACTCGACTTTCACGCAAATACGACTATCAGAGAGCACTTTCAGAAGACCCTCGAATTATTAAACCATGGTTTGATTTGCTTCGAAGGACGATGGAAAAGTGGGGTATCGCTTCAGACGATATCTTCAACTTTGATGAGTCTGGTTTTGCCATGGGTGTTGGCGCAACGCAAAAGATTATCACTTCAGCGGAATACCATGGAAAAAGAGCACTTTCGCAAGCCGGAAATCGTGAGTGGGTGACTTCGATTGAGTGTATAAGAGCTTCTGGAAGTGTTCTCCCTCCACTCTTCATTTTCAAAGGAAACCGATTCCCAGAGCATTTACGACCCTACCTCCTTTTAAATCAAAAAGGAGCTCGTCTAACTATGAGCCCAAATGGTTGGACTACCAATACAATTGGTTTATGGTGGCTAAAACATCATTTTATCCCAAATATTGGGACAAGAGTGGGAAAATATTGCTTACTGGTCCTTGACGGTCATGGGAGTCATTTAACACCTGAATTTGACCAAATATGTGAAGAACACCAAATCATCGCAATCTGTATGCCTCCGCATGCTTCTCATCTTTTACAGCCTTTGGATGTGGGTTGTTTCTCGGTTTTAAAGAGACTTTATGGAGGAGCGGTTTCAACTTTGGTGCGGAACGGAGTTAACACCGTTGACAAGGAAGATTTCCTAGAACTAATCGCAGATGCGAGAATGGGTTCTTTTAAGTCTTCCACTATACAGAATAGCTTTTTGGCTACTGGATTAGCACCATTTGATGCTAATAAAGTCTTGGAAAAGCTAAATGTGCACCTGGACTCTCTTCCTCCTCTGGAGATCCTCTCCCAGCGACCACTCTTTTCTGGCAGTGATAGTGATCCAAATACTCTTTGGACCCTCTCAAGATTCACAAAATCGCAATCTCGGATCAAAAAAGGTCTAGAGTCTTCTTCTTCTTTTCTTTCTTCACCAACAAAAAAGGAGATTGAGAAGACCTACAGGATGACTATAAAAGTAGTCAACCGCCACATTTTTCTCCAGCATCGCTGTACCCAATTAGAAGCTACCAACAAGAAACAGGCCGAAAAACGAGAGACCAAACTTAAGTTTACTACCCAGAAAGGCATCTTTGGTGGTCTAGGGGGTGGTGAAGATGATGTGGTGGTTGAGGATGAAGATAGAAGCAAAGATATATCTTTACCAGAGGTGCCTGCAAAACTGGTTACTGAGCCTACTTTACCTTCTACCCCCTTGGTTCGGCGGCAGGTGACATGTTCTAGCTGTGGGATAAAAGGTCATACATATCCTAAATGCCCTGCACGTGTTCAATAGCTAAACTTATGTTATTATTGTGGTTTTAATAGTGGTCAAAAATTGAAGGTTTTCTCAATTTTGGTGGGGTCGCTCGCGCGACCGTGCCGCCCGCGCGGCCGTGGATCACGTTACGGTATTGAAAATGATATCCAATATCTTCAACTGCCGCAGTCTAGTATTGCGTTATGTGGGCTTAAAGTTGAAAGATGTCGGAATAAGGAAAATACGCGACTAGTACCGGATCAATGCCTTTGGCATTTTTTTGGTCGAGCGGTGTTTTTCCTCTATTTCGGTCGACAAAAACTCTTGGCTAAATATCGACAATGGCTGGGCACTTGGCAGGGCACTTGGCACTGCATCCAATCTGCCAGTGATAAATCTTGTAGTTTCACGTGGTTCACCACTGAACCGTAGAAACGAAAACTGGTTATTTTCTATACATAGTAACGATCCCTGCCGATCCTTCGAGCTGTAGGGTCATGTCGCCGTTGGTCCTTCCAATTCGCTGATCATAATAGATGCCAGGTTAAATGTTGGATGCCACGAGGTGGCTGTGACACCCCTCAAAATGCAAACCACCACAATTTTCTTTATTATATATGCGCCAGTCAAGCGCCTGTTAGATTGGGGTTACCGAGGCAATCCAACAATTTGACTTCTCAATTTCTTACCCAGATCATTTGTTTCTCTCGAAATGAAGCTCTCCTGGTCTCTCGTGCTGTCGTCTGCAGCCACGGCCACAGCGAGCTATTCAGGCAATCTGAACTACCGCAGTCCGTCAGAGAATCACCCAGGACTAGGTGTCTCGATTCACCGAGTTACGAAGCGCGGGGTCCCAGGATCGTCCTTTGAGCCATCCAAGTTGCATTTCACCCATGGCGTTGCTTCTGGAGATCCCTATGCAGATTCTGTGATTCTATGGACTCGCTGCTCTCCGTCTTTCGATGATGTTCATTCGAATAGCTCTACGCATGGTCTTGTTCCGTTGTACAACCCAGTCCCGATATACTCAGGGAATGAGAATGCAGAGGAGCAGGTGTCTATGTCGAATGCTCCTGTTTGTTTGGATTACAAGGTGTCTAAAGATGAGAGCTTCAAGCATATTGCATCGGAAGGTATTGTATATACTAGTTCCGACATTGACTATACTGTTAAAGTAAGCAAGCTGTTTATAGATCGGAAACTTGGGAAACTCGCTCATTGGATTACCAGGTCGAAGCATCCAAGTTGAAGCCATTCACGACCTATTTTTATCAGTTTCAAGTCTGCAATTCAGACAATAAGAGTCCGGTTGGAAGAACCAAGACGGCTCCTGATTCGAAGGAGGAGGTTGATCAGGTCAACTTGGCCGTTTACTCTTGCGCCAACTTCCGTATGTCTCCGTGCCGACCTGTGTGGGTGTATGCAAACTGACAGGAAATACAGCATTTGGATTTTTCAATGCCTACGGGCACTCTGTACGCAAGGATTCCGTGGACTATGTCGTTCATCTCGGGTAAGTAGCGCTTAATATATGCATGAGCTCTCAACTGATTGTATACAGTGATTACCTCTACGAATACAAGAACGGTGACTAGTAAGTAGAATTAACTCGAGAATGTCGACCACATTAGCTAATCTTCGCTTTAGTGGCTGGGGTAACAGCTTGGGACGCATCCCTCAACCGGACCGAACCATCGTCACTCTTTATGACTACCGCAAGCGCATTGCCACCTACAGAACCGACTTGGATCTTCTTGCTAGCCATCAGAAGTTTGCTTGGATTCCTGTCTGGGATGACCACGGTATGGCCCTATTGCATTCACAGAAGGAAGATGTGTTTGGGTTCTAATTTCAGCAGAGGTGGCCGATAACACCTACCGGGATGGCGCTTCGGAGCTCAGGAACGACGAAAAATCATTTATTCAGGACGGAGGTGTCTCCGTTGACCAGCGTAAGATGAACGCCGTCCGTGCTTACTTCGAATGGATGCCCATCAGGTGAGTCGTCTGTGAATAGTGTCAAGTTGTATGTATTAATCGAGTTCAGACAAGTCGAGATGGACGATAATCTTCGCATCTGGAGAAACTTCAAGCTTGGAAAATTGGTGGACCTGATCATGCTGGACACCAGACAATACGACCGCTCCATTACGGATACCTACGATAACACTAATTATATCAACAAGATCAAAGATGACGCCGGTCGTAGTTTGATGGGAAGCCGTCAGGAGGCCTGGTTGCAGAGTAACCTGATTGAGTCAGCCAACCGTGGTGCTCACTGGCGCATACTCGGTAGCCAAATCGGTAAGCTTTCTTTATTCAAAAGTTTGAAACGTTATCTTACTCTAGACATTACAGTATTCTCTCAACTGAACATGACACTCCAGAATGGGCCCGAACAACCACTGAACCTGGATGCTTGGGATGGCTATATGGCGAGCAAGAATAGGACCTTGCAGACTCTCTACGATAACAACATTGGCAACAACATCGTCATCGCGGGAGATACCCACGTCAATTGGGTCAGTGATCTGGCCTGGCTCGACCACAGCCCATACGACTCCAGCAGCGGAGTCGGCGCCATCGGTGTGGAATTCGGCGGAGCAGCCGTCAGTTCTCCCTCCTCATTTGGAGAGAACACTACTGTATCTGTGGCAAACGATATCTCCAAGCGGGTTGTCACTGACAGTGAGTCGTTGCATTGGTCTGAGGGATACTACCGCGGATACTTCGAACTCCATATCACCCCAGAACAGGTTGGAGCTCATTTCTTTGGCATGCCTACCACCAAGGAGCGTAATGTTGGGGAAATCTCCCTGGCTAACTTCACTGTTAAGAGCGGCGACAATCGCTTGGAACGGAACTCGGACAATGTGACCGCTGGTGGAGTCGTGGCGAACGGATTCCTCAAGAATGGGGAGGTCGTGCAGACTGACATGGTCCACGATACTGAGACTGGTCGTTACTATGCCAGCTAGTGTGGCAATGTTGATTGGATGGGGTGATGGAGATATTCATCTCAGCTAGGGTATCTCGGACAACTTGTGCGGTGTCTGTAGGAGCATTATCATGCTGGAATATCCCATCCTCATTCTGCATTAGAATAGGAAGGATGCGGCGATATAACTCCTCAATAACGAAGCGATTCACACCCCTTGGTTCCGAATTTGGATCCCCAAAAGTGGGATAAATCCAGTCTGTCGTTCAGCCCCTGAAAAAGCGGCCCGGAACATCTGTTTAACTTGCTTTCCCTTATATGGGAGACCCTGGACTTGCCTTTCTTGAGGCTAGTTTTTGGACGGATATGATGATGATGATGATGATGATGAATTCATTTGCCCGATGTAGCTCGCTCTATATACATGCTGCTATGCGGGAGTGCTGTCAGGCCCGCCGACAGCTGGAAAGTGGTCGCTAGCCCACATGACGATCAAAAGAGACTCGCAAACCGAACCACTGTTTGGTCGCATCGAATGGAAAATTGAAAAAGGACAAAGGAAAACAGATGCGTAGGTGCGTAAAGCACGCGAACCACATGAAAATGAACGTCGTTGGCCCTCCCCGCCTTCGCTGGGACCTTTCCTCTTCACCCAAACTCTCTCGCCGTATCTCCTCATTCCTACCTCAACACACTTCCTCATCTCTCTCACGCAACCTTCTCAGCGGTCGGCTGCCGCTTGCGCGTACGCTTGGATCAAAGGAGCACAGCAGACCTGGCACTGCACTCCTAACGGGCACCATCCTTCTTCCATCACACTGTTCTAAGGGGTCATTTACTTTCTTCTGCTTCTTCTGTACCCAAAGCAATTGGATCAACTGCTTGGAATTGGTCCAAGAGACCTGTTCTGGTCATAAACTCAGCTACAACTGTGCGCGCCTCCGGCCGCGTCAGGAGTTCGTCTCGTCGGAGAGCGATCTTCTGTACGGATAGGGCACTGCGCATCCAGTCGCGCTCCTCCTGGTGCAACGGGCACTCAAGAAGGACATGAATCACCGCATTACCCCAGTCGTTCTGTCTGTCCAGATCGGCTGCAGTGTCCGCCATCATCTCCAGGGTGAGCTTCATCGATCGCACCGGGACATTGTACGCCATGACGCCGCATGACTGCTCTTGAATCACGGAACCGGGCCCGAACGCCTTCAGCCATCCGGTATGCTTGCGGAGTAGTTCAGCCCTTGTAGCGTTGTTCGCGACCAGAACTACATCGCCTGATGGTAATTTTCGAGCCGCAACAACAGTAGCTCCTCGAGCCAGGGCTGTAGAGCTCTTCTGCCTTGCAGTCGTAGCCCGGTGTCGTTCCACTTGCTCCACCAGCTCTTGAGGTGAGAGTCCACGGACTCGTTCGCGATTTGGCCCGACTTTCACAATCACCTCGCGATCCTCGCGAAGCTCGATCTCAGGTACCCCCGGAGACGATGTGCCGTTGCTTCGGGTGATGGGTGCCGCGGCTTTGGACTGGCCACGCTGCCAGTCTCTGGCTCGAATTCCCCCCATGCTGCTGCGGAATCCGCGTGAGAGGCGGAAATAGTGGTGGAATAAAGCGCTCGTTGTTTTCTCAATGGTCTCCATTCGCTGGTTCAGGCGTTCGGTGTCAGGGTTGATCTTGGTCAGTGCCTCGAGCACCTTGGCCATTCCCATGCCATCACCCCGTTGGGCATTCAGCGCGTACCGGCGGACGGCCCGGATATATCTAGTGACATATCGGTCCTCTGTGCCATTGTTCTCGATGTGATTCAGCACCTGACGGGCCCCTTCTGCGATGTCGTTCATCGACTTAGGGGGGGTGCCCGGGCTCCGCAGAGTTTGGTGTTCCTCTCTTTTCAGGGGGCAATTTCTGTGCATTCGCACCAGTCGCAATTATCGCAACCATCCTGCCTACAAACTAGGTATCAGACGGTAGCGCTTGAAGTTGCGACTAAGATTAATTCCAGAGGCTCCAGAGCCTGTGATTGGCGAGATATTTCAAGAAAACGTTTTTGCCAAGAAAGAGTTGTTCCCAAGGGGCGGGCATCTTTCACGTTGCGAGCAATTTATTTTCTACGTCTGTGATTCTTGCTTTTTCTGCATTTTGGTTTCTATATTCTTGTTTCTTGCATTCGTCTTTCTTGAAGTTTTGTAATTAATTTCCATCTTGGCGATTTTCCGGCGATCTAAATCCGATCCCTGGTAACTTACTCCTCAGAAGTAGACTGCTGCAGACCACGCTCACGCTGCTTAATGCCATGGCTAAACTAGCCCAAACTGGGTCGAGTCTGACATGGCCTCCATTGGCTTCCACAGGATACAAAACTCCAGCAGCCACAGGTAAGGCGATGAGATTATAAACCAATGCCCATGCGAAGTTAAACTTGATCCTCTTGAAGACAATGCGACTGAGATCAATCAGTGTCAGCAATGAATCTAACCGAGACGAAACAAGAATGAAATCAGCAGAGGAGATGGCAATGTCGGAGCCAGAACCAATCGCAACTCCTACATCTGCCATTGTTAAGGCCGGGGAGTCATTTATCCCATCGCCTACCATGGCGATCGTCGCCCTCCTGTTTGTGTATTCATGTGTGTTTCCAAAGGCGTTCCGAGAGCTGACTTTCTTTAACGTCCTTTGGAGGTACTGGATTTTCTCAGCTTTCTGCCCGGGAAGCACACTCGCAATTATATTTTCCCCGGGGATCCCAACCATTGTACCAATGGCGGTTGCGGTTGTCGGGTTATCACCGGATATCATCCAAACATCTATCCCTCTTCCTTTCAGTGCCTTGATAGTAGCAAAAGCTTCTTGGCGGAGAGGATCAGAGACTGCAAAGGTTATCACCAAATCCCATGATGTAGAGACTGTAAGTGATGGCCAAGCTTCGTCACCTGGGGCAACTTTCATGGCAACCAAAGAGATCGATCTCCCTTGAGCTTTCCAGTTGCCAAGTTTTTCCACAGTTGTATTTGGGATTTGGACATTGTAATCCGCCATGAGAGCCTCGTTTCCGACAATGATCGTCACAGTCTTCTTCGTAGTTGAGAATGTCCCTTTCATGCCCTTGCCAGCGATCTCCTCCATGTTTTCCACTTGGACTGACGTTGTGTCTTTCAACTCGCAAAATGTGACAACAGCCTTCGCGATTGGATGGCTGCTGTTCTCCTCCAGGCTTTTGATCATCCTTCGAGCCAAACGTTCATCGGCACCAGACATGACCTCATAATCTGTTATCACCGGTTCACCACCTTGTGTTAAAGTACCAGTTTTGTCAAAAACAACGCAATCCAGTCCACTGGCTTCCTGGAATGCTTCTCCTCCACCTTTCACAAGTATCCCGTTCCGAGCGGCCAGTCCACCACCAACGAAAAGGGCGGTTGGAGCGGCGAGAGCGATACCGCAAGGGCAAGCTATAACGAAGACAGCGATAGCAAATTGCAAGGACCAAAGTGGCCATCCTCCGCGGTTGATATCTAGGTAATCACGTGGAAGAGTGCCAGAAAGACCAAGACCCAGCCACACGATCCATGTAGTTAGAGCGATGAGCGTGACGAACGGCACAAAATAGCTAGTCAGAAGATCCGCAATACGTTCAACTGGAGCACGTCGAGTTTGGCCTTCCCTAACCACTTCCACAATTTGATCCAGCATGGACGTTCCAGAAATACCGCTGGCTCGAATAGAGATAGGACCACCATTGTTCATGGTCCCCGAAAAGACTTCGTCACCGACTGACTTCTTCACCGGTCTCGATTCGCCCGTAAGACTTGATTCATCAAAACATGCCTCGCCCTCGATAACGCGTCCGTCGCAAGGAGGGGAGCCGCCATGCGGGACTCTGACGACGTCACCAATTTCTAGAAGGTCTGCGCTGATTTGTCTCGTTTGCTGCCCGGAGCCTTCATCAACGAGTGTGGCCTCCGTTGGTCGAAGTTTCGTCAACATCATCACGGCGTCTCCTGTCTTTGCTCGGCTATACGCTTCAATGAGCTTTCCAATGAGGAGGAACATGGTCAGAAAGACGACCGAATCAAAGTAACTCGTGTGGTTGGATCCTGTGGCCGAACTTGGCGAATGCGTGGCTGCAATTGCTAATTCCGAGACCGATGAGAAGAACGCAATAGACGTTCCCAAGGACATAAGCATATTCATGCTTCCGAAACGGTAGAACCTTTGCAGTATAGGCGTCGTGCTCCCTGGCTTCCATAGAGCGAATATCTCCTTCAATGCACGACGATGGAAGATGTCAGCCGCAAAGAAGTACACAGGACAAGCCATAAGGAAGGAAGCCCAATCACCACGCCGAACATCACCATACCACATTGGCCGCATGAAAAATTGCCGAAGACGATTCTCTAGCGGTACCAAGCTCATAAAAACGATCGTTATTAGAAATGTTGGAACAGCGACAGAGACAGAAAGAGCGGTTCGAATTAGAAGGCGTCGTTGTTCGCGAGCATTGATCTTTTGCGAACGCTCTTCCAACGTAGGTGGGTGATGAAGGGAGGCTTTTAAATTAGGGTCTGCCATTGAGATCGAAGCCAGTATGTGCCGAATGGTGAAACTAGGGGCGTTTGGCGTATAGCTGACCTTTAAGATTGGGTCGATCACACTCAACAGTTTATCGACAACTACTTCCCCAGTACATTGCTGCAGATGCCCAATGATTCGAGGAGGGCAATAATCACAGTACATTCCACTGACCTTGATTGAGATCACTCTCCGCTGATTTGGATACAGCGCGCTGTCCAGTTCGTTCACGTCATTCAGAGTGGCCTCGTAACCAATATCCTCGATAATGCCTGCAATCTCAGGCAAGTGATCTTTGCCTTCGAATACGACCGTGGCACTGTTTGAGAGGAGATTTATGTCAACCTTTTTTATCCAGCCAAAGTTCTTGAGTGCCCCGTTAATAGCACCAATGCAGCTACTGCAGGTCATCCCACCCACAGAATATGACGCTCGCAGAGTGGCATTTTGGGGCTCATGGTCGGTTTCCCCTTGAGTAGGATATTCATCGATTTGTTCCACTGTCGCCTCATATCCCACGTCTTCTATGCTCTGAAGGATATCCGTCACATGGCCTTTGTCCTTAATCGTAACCATAGCACTATTTGTAAGAAGAGTGACGTTCACGGACTGTACCCATGAGTGCACCTCGAGTGCTTCGGAGATCTTGCCGACGCAAGTGCCGCAAGTCATTCCCGTAATAGATATGGTCACTTTCACAGCTTTCGGAGAATCAGTGGAGCCAATAACGATGAAAGGTTCGTTCGTTACACCTACTTGCATATCTTAGTAGGTCGCTGTCTGTCGCCGACAATGTATTTGCGAAACTCTTACCTTGCCCCATGGTGGAAGCAGAAAGCATTTTCTCTCCCGATTTTGCCCCTTTCTCCAGGCGACAAATATCACATCGTTCAATGTGTCTGGCTATTCTTTTCTTTTCGGACTTATTGCCCAAATTGTAGCGCTTCGACCATATCTCCACCGCCCGGTCAATCCATCCGTCTTGCTCCGCCAAAGCGTTCTCATTGGGGTTGCCATTGTCGGTATTAAATCCACTCTCTGTGTCTCGGACTACATTATAGATATTGAATCCAGCATCACGAAGTGCTTTGGATAGTGTTGACTCGGGTAGAGAAGGATGGTGGCGAACCGTGACTGTCTGAGAAACAATAGAGGGATCAACCGAAATAGGCCTTGGGACGAGCCGGAAAAGAGCCTCTTCAATATTTGACACGCAAGAGGCACAATGAAGGTTTGACAGCAAGAACGTGGTGGTGCGACTCTGGGAAAAGGCATCCGGCCCATGTGCAGACCCAACCATACTGACACCGTGACCAGCCTTCGACAGTTAGGCTTGAAGTGGATGCTGTAATAACAACAGCTCCCCATCGAATATCCAGGGAGAACAAAAGACTGAGTAAAAATTCCGCTCTTCAGTTGCTCTCTGGATTAAATACTTTTTAGCAGCATGGCGCTTTGGGCATTTACGGCACGGGGCCCGTGTTATTCTGGCGCACGGTCGTGGTCAGACGCTCCGTTCTATCTCGCTAGCCAATTGAATAGGGCTCAGATGAACCATTTTCCATCCATGGTTTTTGGATCAATCGAGAACCAACCAAACTCAGTCCCGTCGTTCTGGTTTCATGAGCAGATTTGAGCCACTTTCTGTAACAACCTTCTATCCCTCACCGCCTTATCGCGACCATTATTGCCGTCCTTGCCAGGCAAGCATTTCTTTCCTCGAGACCCACGGACACATTGCCTGCAGAGTAAACACCAACCTAAAATGATCGCCATCCTAACTGTGACACCGATTGCATCCCCTATTATAACAGCATTATGATGATAGCTCGATCCTCCTAATCAGTTTAGACCTCGGCATGACCCTACCTGAGGGTTTAATTACGAAGCTGCAGTTCTGCGAGCAATGTGTCCATGTGATATCGTAGGAAATGCGGGCTAGATAGTCTCTTAGCTTTAATACATTTTCCATTGAGTGTCTCGACCAGGGAGAATATCTGGCATCACCCTTGAGACTGTATGGAGATGGAATCAACACCTCATGCAAACGCCGAGTGTCTGGGCACTGCCGCTAATTGTTGAAGAGAACGCCAATTCATTCTATTCGGCCACTCTGTACTTTCGACATTAAGCATTGCTGGTCACAGTAAATATGCCAGCGGGCCCAAATTAACCGGTCGGGTAAACAACATCTGGCAGAGCCTACAGGACAATGATCTCTATTTTCATTTAGAAGCATCACTGGACTCGGAAATTCCCGGTCGGTTCCGGGCGCAGACCACACCGACTGGTAGCTGAAGGTACTACATGTTACCAAGTATGGGTATAGCAGAGGACAAGCAAGCAGGGCTTGCTGAGTATCTCCCGTGGAAGCCAATCCGAATTGAACTGGACGCCATTAAATCCTAGCATCGTCGGCCTCAGCAAAGCAACAAGGGCCTACGATTGCGAGTCACCTGTCCTGGGCAATTACGGATGGTCGAGATTTTGTACAGTACCGCTTAAACAGTAAACAATTAGTTATCGTGTTAGAGCACCTCCGATGGAATTCAGGTAAGGTAGACTGTTCGAAGTGAGGAGGAGAAATCTATCCACCATTCGCTACCGTACAATCCATTACCGCATGCAGACGTCGCGGAAGTGGGGAACTTCAAAAAAGACAATTGACTTTTGGGGCCGTTGAGGGGAGAACTTCATGTAGACATTGAAGTTCTTAGATCAAAGTTTCGTTGAAGGATTTAATTAAATCAACGTTGCAGTATTCAATTTAGGACGTGGTTGGAACTAACAGGAGGGGACCGTGGAAGGGGTCGTTGAAGAAATAATTTAGGGGGTCGTCGAAGGTATCAACGGAGATGCTTGTTAGCAGAATACTTTTTATAGGACAGTAAATAGGTAATTAAGAGGACCCCTGGAGGATTCATTTTTAGGAAGTCATTGGAGGAGCCGATGGAGTAAGCAGTTGAAGGAAATGAGGGTACCATTGAAGGTACTGGGTGTCACTGAGGGATCGAATTTTGGGGGATTTGTATAAGGCAGTCGTTGAAGAAAACTATTTAAGTGGTTGAAACGACCACAGTTATAGAGAAATTTACACCCTAAGAGGTCACTGAAAAATTGCAGAATTAATCCCAGGCAGTCGTTGGAAAAAGTCGCAGAAGGAAGCTTGGAAGAATCGATGCTAGAAGTTGTTGAAGTCGATCGTTGATAGCGAAGACATCATTAGGGATTGCCGTATCTCAACAATGGCTTTATCTACTTCGAATGACTCTAGTGACTCCTTTAGGCAATTCCGTTGAACAATTCCGTCCGAAAAAGTCAAGTATTTCAACGGCTCGTATCATTGGTCCCTTTTAACGTTACCTTGTTACTGATGCCCTTTTTTCAATAATTTCAGTCATCAAATTTTTTCAATGCTTCACTAATATGATGATGAATTCATTTGCACGATGTAGCTTGCTCTAAATATATGCTGCTATGCGGGAGTGCTGTCTGGCCTGCCGACAGCTTGGTGGTCGCCACCCCACTGAACGATTGTTTCCATGGGTTGCAACGCAAGCCCCTGATTGGTCGCCTGAGAATGTATGCAAACATGACAAAATATACAAAATAATCAAAAGAAATCCAAAACGAGGTCGGACCAGTATTCCAGGGTCATCTTTGTTGGTCATTCGACTAAGCGTTTCGTCGGTCGACCTGTTCTCTCTATAGACCATGACCTTTCCCACTCGATTTTTGCCTCGCGGCGAATGCGGCTTTAGCTGCAGCTGCAAGGCGAATATAACGATTGTTTGGGGTTTGTGGTCCTTCTGGTTCCTGGGCCGCCTCCTTTGCGTGTCGGTCGACACGTTCATTGCCGGCCACTCCTTGATGAGCAGATATCCACTCGAGGTGGATTTTATGGCCATTGGCTGCATGTTGCCTTACCAGGTGGAGGCAGTCTTCCAGGTAGACCTGTCCTGATGGCATCCGTGGTTGGCTAAGCGTCTTCAATGCCGCTTGGCTGTCTGCAAAGATGACAATCCCGTTTCTCGCCTGTGCCGCCCACGGTTCCGTGGCTTCCAAGATTAATTTGAGTGCCATTTCGATGGCACGGAGCTCGGCAGCTTCGTCGCCCATTTGGCTGTGAGCGTGGTGATCCTCGAGATCAACGACTACTGCTGCTCCAATTTTTCCCTCGATCCCACTCCCGTGGGTGTAGAGAATCAAGGGTCTTTCTTTTGGGTCTTTGGATAGAATGTGGTCGTGAGTTTTCACTGCCATCTCTCTGTCCTCGATGAACACTTCTGGCGGCGCTTGCCATAGTGCCTGGACGAATGCCTTCCGACTCTCCCAGTCCCTCGCCAAAGTTCCCGGGGGAGCCGTAAGGCATCCGCTCGTTTTCCAGGCTTGCGCCTCCATCGGTGTCCATCCAGACCAATCTCTCTCGTCCACCGGTCGGCGTCGTAGCTCTTACTAGCAGATAAAAATTGTCTAATGGTTATTTTTCTTATTTTTTTTTTTTATTTTTTTTCCCGCTCGTGCAACTATTCGATCAAATTATGCGTCGTAATAATTCAACAATGTTTGCGCAAGTGACGAAAGTGACAACCCACTTTTTAGACAAGGTTAAGAAGTTAACTCAAAATAAGCCCACTGAGGAACTGAAGAATCTCGTCGAACCCGAATGGTTCTCCGATCCAATGTCCATCATACCCCGGAGGAATAAGCCCACCAACTATTCGAATATCCGCATTTAATCCCACCCCACAAAGAATGGCATACGCTTCTCTTCCTAGCTTGGGTGCTATAACCATATCATCCTCGTGGTGAATATGAAGAGCGGGTATACCCAAGTGGGATTTATCACCCACTCGCTTGACCTGATGCTCATGCTCACCGTGGGAAGCCTCAAGCTTGTCAAGGATAAATTCGCTAACAGCAAGGGATGCTTCTTTGTTGGCAGCATTGGCCTCATCCAAGACCTTTGTGATTTGTGTGTTGAATGGCAACCATCCGCAAAGACCCAAGTAGCCCCCAAGTGGCTTTGAGAACCGACCAAGAGAAGAAAAAAGCGTCCACAACGATGTTGCGTTGCCCTGACTGAAGCCACCAAGAACAATTTTCTGAGGATCACCATTAACCAATGCAATTTCACTCTCTATGATCTCGAGAATGTAGGTCACTGATTCCCTCAAGCCATCAATCTGTAGGTCCTGCTCCTCGTCGATGTTTTTCAGAGAGTATGCATCGAACCAGGTGGGCCTACGAGCCTGGATGGAAGTATCATATAGCTGACGGGAGGACGGAAAAACCCAGCGCCATGATGGGAGACTAGAGGGTAGATTCTCTTCATTCGAGGTAAGTCCAGAGAAAAGCTCGGAAGCAAAATTGGGACCGTTACCGCTGCGACCGTGGAGAAGGATGGCGGTATGGGTGTGTGTATTCTGGGGCGGGACGATATATAGCGGTGGACGGTCCATGTTCTTGCACTTGTGCTTTCTTGCCGTTCGGCAATAGTTTTTGTTCCTGTGTGAAAAGAGCAAATTGAAAGACAGGAAGGAGAGAATTAAAGCAAACAAGACGAGGCTAAGAAATACATAAGCTATGTAATAGTTTGTTGCCTAGAGTTAGCTCTTGTCTGTAGTTTGAGACATTATGACTCACGTTCGGAACTGGATACGAGCTCTCTACTCAGCCACGTTCACCAATGAGCGAAGAGTACGCAGAGGACAAGGACGAAACATCGAGTTCGCGGCGTGCGAAGCGCGCATCTTCCAGCGTCGACAACAATGTCAATGTCACTCCCTCTGCATTCGAAGATTCTGATTGGTAGCAAACAGAAAACTAAAAGGAATAAAAAGCGACGCAGTTTGGAATTGTTCGGGAATTACCGGAGTGGAGAGACTATCGTTACGTATATCTTGTAAAGCATGGATTAGCGGGAGAAACATGCAGTATCATGAGGACTATCAGGGTTAGTTGACATATCGCAGATTGAGGCCTCAACGATCGTAAAAGACGAGGAGACGCAAGCGTAGATTAACAGTCAAATTGACTTCAGAACACCAAAGCCGTATCCACAGCGCCTGGGGTCCTTCGCACCTAGTTTTTTAAGGCGAAAGCACAGAGTGCGCCTAACTAACTAGTTAGAGCTTTAGTTAGAGCTTTCAAGAATATTGATGCCTAAAATGAGGCAACGAATCTAACAGCACGGTAAAGGACATTCCAAAATTCTCACCATGTGACTGACCCCACTTCTCCCTTATCTCTCCGGCCTCTCACCTGCCTTTCTTCTCCTACCTCTCAAAGGCCTCACCTAAACCAGTCCAGAAAGTAAGGTTGATGATCAGAATGAAAAGTGATGGGGAGAAAATTGGAACGGGACCGGGTATCCCTCAAGCGAAGTAGTGCGCTCTCCTTCTCTTCTACTAACAAAGAGGGAGTACAATCTCCAAGAGGTGTGAGCTACACTGACATTCCTTTGACGACCAGGAATGGACTTCGTTACTATGCTGGTAGATCCAATATACTCTTGTATATTAGCACACTTACAGCATTTATAGCCCACCACATACCTAATTTTCTAGCCTAAAATCTATACCACAGAGTAAACACTGACTTCAAAGGTATTTATATTTATTTATTCATATTTCGAGCCCCTTGTTGTGGTGTAATTCGCGTTTGAACATCACCCCTTCTCGCGGAGTGTTACGGACCCTGCAAGGTGAGGGTTTGCGGCTTATCAAATAAGCCGCTCAGAACCGGGAATTGCTAAGGGTACCCCCAAATTTGCTAACTAGTGAAGAGGGGAACGCTCGATGGCAGCACGCGCTGAGAACGTGCGGGTCGATTCAGCAGAAAAACCACCACATGACACACGCGTAGCAATCAGGAAATAGCGAGAATCCCAAATGTAGGGGTCAGGCCGAGGAGGTGTAAGGTGTATTCTAGAACTAGCTATCCGGCCACCGTATACTGCCGGCTATGTCACATAACATGGATGGCACCCATGTAATAGGGGGAGGGGGTCTCCCCACTACACTAGCTAGATCTTGGTGACGAAAGCGGTAAAATGGCCGTATGGTTTACTTTCATACCTGCATAGGAGGGGACGAATTTTTGAACGTGAGATAAAAAAAGTACATGAAATATGGTATAACAGAGCAGATAAAGTGTCGGATTGACGGATACTGACTGGTATGTGCTCGTTATGATATGTGATGGTGCTGGCATACAAAGCGGTATAATCGAATTGTAAAGATGTGGCTTTATACAGTGTTACGACATTTTCCATGGTCCTGCACAAGAGGCTCTCTCTACACCACTGCGTCCTCATGTATAGGTTCACATGATAGATCGTCTCGATTAGACCGCACAATCCTGATATATAGCCATGCAGGTTCCTCGCGGACGCAGAGGAACCAGCCAATTAGTTTGGACAATACCCATACGCATTGTGTAGCTCAAGATATTAGCTTGCGTTCTTCACTCATAATCCAATCCACCACACAGGGTCCCAAGTCTAAATCGGCAGTCCGTCGAGAATTTCCTTTCATTACATGACGTCATTGGCGATCACTAAACCAACCAACGCGGAGGCAAAAAAAAACAAAACATGGAAACAGCAGCTTCCAATCTTGCTGTGTCATAATTCAAAAGTACATGTATACTTGAAGAAAGACCGGGTTGCAGATAGCCATCTCTGCTCTTGCATTCCACACCTACATCTCCCCATTATCCTGCGTAACTAACTGCGCAACACAATCATATTATAACCCTCAATCTTACAAGTCGGACAAGGGGCAAGACAACTAGAGGAGACGAGATTAGAAGGGCCAAATCCAGTTAGTTCTTTGTGCGTTGGATATTTTTATAGAAGTGTTTGTTATACCAGGAAGTGAGACAGGGGCAGAACTTAGCAGAGGGTCAGATTAATCGCACGCAGTCTTTCTACCATTGGACGTGGCAGCCACTGGAAAAAAAAGAGGAATCAGTCCTGTGGTTGGTTTCTTAAGAGATCCAATGTATCATTGTGTACTGTAATTAGTGAATAGCTTCCCCCGAGTTGCTGGATAGAATGGTAGTCGTTGCAGAGAGGAAGCGTATCGCACAGGATGGTTACCATTTTTCTGAGCATTTGCTACATTGGCCGCGGTTTGTATGGACTTTTATCCTGTCTAACATATATTTACTTTATCTCCGGCATCGTGGCGAGCTCTGGAAATGAAAGTGTCATTTAGTTCGAATATTATAGAGAAGGCTATACCCGGTCATTTTCTGCCAACTTCATACACAGTGACTGTCGGGATATATTCTCCTGTCAGAACAAACTAGCGGTGACCCACTGCTAGCGACCGATGGATAACATCCCTTGCTTGGTGTACCCATCATTGCGCTGGGCTGCGGCCCCGGTGTTGTGACCGCCGAAGGCCGGTGTGTGGGATCTAGGGGTGTTTTCCAACTAGACTGAGAAGGAACATCTATCTACATGAATCAATTGACTTTTGCTTTGGAAGCACACACACTGTCCACTTAACTGTGTACACAGTACCTAGCTGGTGATACCAACAGTAACAATATGTCGATGGTCCTCTCGCGGGGTGTAAGGTGGTAGCCCAGGGGAAGTAAAGTGGATTCCTAGGTGCTAGCCGTCCCGTCGGGGATATGCCCCGACCTGGCTGACTAAGCTAAGCTATCCTAACACGGGGTCTTTTAGAGGAGGTATTGCAGAGGGGTATTTGTCCAGTATGACCTGGTGCATATAGTGCACTGTCAGGCGTATCAATAACTCTGTGTCCTATTTAGCTCCGCGGCCCAGGAAGATATAGAAACGGACTGCAGAGGAATGAACAGTTCAGGTAATCCAAATGTATTGCATCATGCCAGAAATGAGTCACTAGATTAAGATTTTGACCTCTTAACGAAAAAGAGCTCACTACCCAATAGATCTACTGACGTCTGAATGACGTCTAGAAGGTCCCTCCGGCATGGCTCTTTCCATCTTCCAAGGAAAATCACCTATATAGTCAGATGATTATTCTTTCGTTTTCCAGTTTTAACCTGTCCATATATATTTTCAGTTCACCTGTGTTAATTTACAACTTTTAACTCCTACCCCCATCCCGTCGTCCCATCGCCCTCCCAACAATTATATTTTATACACTACAATGCCTAACAGCATACCAATTATGCTCGAAGTTGGAACGGTTATGACGCCCATCATTGTTTATGAAGACATTTCATACACACAACTTTTAGATATGGTCAGAACATATCTCGGTCTGAAGACAAATTTATGCGGGCAGAGCCTGAGGGGCTTCTGGGCGCGTTGGGAATGCAACGACAAACAGAGCCCTTTTCCGGAGAGAACCCGAATCGATGATAAGAATACGAAAGCTACAATAGCACTTATGATGCTAAGGGGTGGACGTGACGTCTTAGAAGCGGACTATCAATAAGCTCGTCACTGGGGGCATACGCCTAACTCGGCAACTCATGTTGCAAATTTGTGCTTTAGGACTAAATAATTCCATAAATTATGACCCACAAAAGATATTTCGTGAAGGGAATACTTTTGATATTGTTTTAAATTCATAAAACAATTTGAAGGTCTTGTTCGGTTTTTTTCACTCTGCCGCTCAATATCAAAGTGGGCTTAGGGTGAGCACAACAGTTATTAACAAAATAGCAGATTCAATTAAGATCAAGATTGCTCCTTAATGGTAACAGGGATCGCTCCCATAGTACCGGTTTCATTCCATTTGCCAATTTCAACCATGTACTTTGAGTCGTGGTTGAGTTTTCTGAATTCATTCGGTTCTCCGGGCTCCATAGAAGCTCTCCAGGCTAGACTGCAAATCCTCGTATCCTTTACATCGTCAACGAGATCGATGCTTCCTTGAGACCCGTACATAGAACAGACGGTCCGTATACCACCGTTATGGCGAATAACCATGTCGTCGACATCGTCAGACGATAAAATATCGTTTCGATCATCCTCTCTGTAAAATTGACCACTGTGCATACGTCAGAAAACACACCCCAAACCTTGGGAAAACCAAAAATACCTCTCAAGGTCCGCGTTTTCGATACGAATATCATATTTTAAATCATCCTGAATTTGGATTTGAAGGTATTGCTGGGACAATGCGGAGGCCATGTTCAATAATTGATTTCGAAAAATTAAATGTGAATCAAGAATAACGGGGTTTAACGTGCGAAAAAGGATTCGGGGATACGCACTATATACGAGAGATGATGTATCTGTGACGGCTACTATATTTACCAACCATGGGAAGACGCCAGGCTTCACGTGGATCGCAAAGTCTAAATTCAGGAAGCAGATCAGGCCGACAATACTAGGTGGGTCAGGCCGCACTCCGTGGGAAGATATATTTTCCGAGTGTCGAGGGTTGATTAGTAATCTATTATGATTGGTCAGGTCAAATACCAACTTCTTGGCAATACCAACCCCTTTCAATCACCACAACCCCCCCTTCCTCTCCAATCGTGAGCCCTCCCAACTCCCCGCCTATTTCCATCAAGAACAAATTACTAATCTATCATTTTCGAATCCTAGTGTATTCGTACAGGTCCCTGAGTCAAGATGGTGCGTTTCCTAGAGTCCCCCTCCCCATACAAGCAATACGTGGCGGATGCGAAGGCCGGTATGCTAGAACTACCCACGTATGAGAAGGTGAGTGGAAGCATCTCTGACTGAGTGGGGTTTCTAATTTGTTGTATTTCAAGCAAGATTGCTTGATTTTTCTTCTGGACAGAAAACTTGAGGGTTTATATACACATCAGATTGATTTCCAATCAAAGCTGGCAATTCCGTGAGGTAAGGAATTGATTCAGTTACGATACGACACATCACAACATGATTGTCCTGGGCATTGAAATATGTTCCCGGCCGATCGCCAATGGCGGCGCAAGTCGAGCTAGGGAGTTAAGAGGGGAAATGGTTTTTAAGACTTGGTTGATCGAACGTCTACTCCTAAAGGCTTGGTATAGTCTACTCTACCTCGTTCACAAACACCCCCGCAAGGCCTCCATCGACGGCGTGAAGAAATACTCCCCCCGCGCTGGTCGATCCATGGCAGATAGCCCATGTGTAGCTCTTTGGGCTGGTCGCCGTCGAAAATGCCGAACTTGGGCTCCGGGTGGTCGGGGCGGTTGCGCTGGCTGATGATGGGGTCCTGGCCAGGGCGCAACTCTATCCCCTCCTTGCCCGAAAAGACCTCGTTGCTGGCCCAGCCTGGTGTTGTTAGAGTCGGACGAGCAGATCAAGAGGGTGATGGGAACTTACGACTGATCATGAAGTTCCAGCCATTCCGGAAGTCGCCCTGGTAGCCCAAGAAGTAAATGCCTCGCTTGGGGCGCTCTGCGGGCTTCATCTTCTCTTCGCCCGGCTGGAGCTCCGGACCAAAGGTGACGCTGCGACGCAGCATCACGTTCGTGTTGTTCCAGTAGTTCGTCTGCGCAGAGACATCCCCGCCATCTTTCGAGATATAGAGGTCGGCGCGAGGGCGCATCTTGCGAATGTGCGCGGCAATCGGACACTTGATCTCCTTCGGGCTGGAATAGTGCTGCTTGAACTCGAAGTTGTTGGCAAAGGGATGTTGGGCCACCGAGTTCTCGCTGTCCAGCGCCACGGGAGACCCTGCAGAGGCACCGTTAGAGTCGCCCTCCTAGACGGGGGACAGGACCATTCCTACCGTTCTTCCATCGTCCGATCATATGAGCGGCCAGCTTCTCGCCGGTGCCGTCGTTGAAGGTGTGCATCTTCTCGGACTGCGTCTTCACGAATCTGTAGGACCGGATCAGCCTGACCCTCATTCAGGGACCCTCATTCAGGGATCCGAGCAAACCGTACTCGTTGAACTCGGGCACGTGCTCCTCGATCTCGCGGAAGACTAAATAACTGCCATCTGTGGCCCACGCCGGCGACTTGGTGTTGTCTCCCCGGCGGTTGAGGAAGATCACACTGGCAACGCGTCAGTACATCGTCCTCGATGGATGGATAAGGCTCCAACTTACCCCGGGGCAATGGCCTGGGGCTCGCCCTCCTTGCACTGGTCCAGGCCCTCGATGGCAGGCTGCGAAATGTGGTCTTCGAATCCGAGACTGAGCGGAAGCAGGGTGACAGGTCAGAGAGAAGGTGGTCTGCGAGATCTCCCAGGAAAATACTCACTGTTCCTTGCCCCGGAGGTTCTCCAGGCGCTTCTTGGACGGGTCCTTCTCGTCGGGAATCTCCCTCCGCTGCGCTTTGCCATCGGCATTGCGAACGTGTCCGTTCTTGGTCAGCGTGATCTTCGCGCTGGCCTCCTTGGCGTCAACGGTATGATCGTCGGCAATGCGGAAGTAGCTCTTGAGGTCCTTGACCGTGGCCTCTAGCTCGTCCTCACGCTGGGCGGCGACGATGAACATCCCGTCGCACCGCCAGTTGTCGTTATTGGCCCAGCCTTGGGGCGGCCGGTACTCCGGGGCCAGGGAGTTGGTCTCGTCGGGCCCTTCGAAGACCATGTCCTGGTACATGCCGCGCTCATGCAGCAGGTCCCGGAGCTTCAGCTCGTCGTACGGCCCAACCAGCTTGGTCGTACCCTTGCCGGAGAAGGTAATGTTGATCGCATTGAACGTCTCGCGATCCTCGGGACGAGTGTCCACTCTTTCCCGGGCCTCATTAACGCCGTCATGTTTCTCGAGATACTCCTTGCATTTGCTGCCGGTGGTGATCTTGCCGGATTCCACCAGCTTTCTCAGGTCTTCTTTGAACGTGGTGTAGGAGCGGTCCTCTTCGAGGTCTTTGACCTTGAAAAACAGGAAGCTTTCGTAGTACCGGGGGAGACGGGGCCTGTCGATCACCAGTGAGCGTGGGATGCACTTGTATGAGAGAGCTCGAGGGCATATGTGATATACTGACCAGATACTGCCCTGGATATTGGCGGGATCGACTTCAGACGCCATGCTGGAGATGAATGTCGTTCAAGATTAAGTCAGATCGTTGGATCCGTCAGGCTGAGATCATGGCCCGGCCGGACAGACGACTTCTTATGGCCATCTCCCCTCGCGGCCGTGGTGGCCGACGAGTGGCATGACCAATTAGACTCATGCGTTTCTAATCGCTGCCATGTGTGCGAATTCAGCTGGGAGGAGACACGATATCATCGACGTCTCCGCCCGTGATGGACCATCACGGGCCAGGCCAATCAGCGCCATGCGTTTCTAAGAGCTGAAACTCGCATAAGGGATGCATGCCCGAGTGGACGCGACGCAGAAGGCGATATGATTTTCGCAGCCGGGTGTGGCAGATCGCGGTGCGAGGGCCCCCGGTCCACGCACTATTGGCTTTGCAGTGGTTCATCTGAGGAAGCGTGGCTCCGCGGGGAGGCCCCTGGTTGCCTGCTAGACCCAGCACGGTGGAGTCGTCGCCATGCAAGAATCTTGATCGAGCATTCGAACTCCTGCCGGAGCGGGCGAAAGGGTCCACTGGGTATCATCGTCAGATGACAGGAGCTACGAGCCCAGAGTAAGACCCAGAACGGAGCGTGATGAAGAGTCCTGCAGCGCTTTTTAGCTCTGGGACTGGAGTGGAGAGGAGTCCATGGCCGGCAGATGTCGGGGATGCCTGTCCTGAGTAGTGCCTGGAGTGTTCCTGGCAGTCAGTCTTCATCTTCATCTGCATGGATGTGCCGTCTGCATGGATGGGCCGTCTGCATGCATGTCCCGTCTGCATGGCCAGTTCGCTGCGATGTATGTCTCTGGAAACGTCAACGTCAAGCAACGGCCCGCTCGGGGCCGCATCGGATCTCCCGCTGGAACCGCGGTGCAGGATGAACTGTTGATCGACTGGATGGTAATGGTTTGTGCTTGTTGGTGCTGGGGAGGCCCAGTGGGCCCTGCGCGGAGACGCTGCGCAGATCGCAATCTTGGATGGCTGGCGGAGGGCATCGCCAGGGCCCAATAATAGGACCACCTCAGCTAAACCACCTACGTCACGGCCTCTGCTGAAGAGATTCCAAATTTTCTATATCATGCCCTGGCCTGTGCGAGCATCGTGCGTGTGGTGCTGGGGGTGGCCACGCTGAGACGCCCGCCTGGTATTTCTACACTGGCCGGCCCGTTCGCGCTGTCTCCCTCCAGACAGCCATCTTTCTTTCATAATTCTGCTGAGAATGAAGCTCCATTGGGCCTCTGGCCTCCTCCTGGGGCTGATTGCCCGCTCTGTGGACGCCCACGCGGAGTCTCACATCCCATTTGCCACCGATTCGAGTCACATTGAGCCCGAGACCGAAGGGCCTATCGACCCCGAGGGCTACCTCTGGCAATCTCGGCCTCATGGCGGCAAGCTCCTCCCCCGCGATCAGTTCACGACGCACTGCTCCAGCTTGGCCGCGGGAAGCAGGTGCGAGTATGCCAACGACGGTCTCGCGGAAACCCACTGGGTCAGCGAGTCCCACTCTGCTCATGAGAAGGACGTACTCACCCTGGACCTGCACACGGTGCGCAACGTGAACGGCATCTCCATGCGTCCTCTCATGGGGGAGAAGGACCGCGGCCAGATCGCCAAGCACGAGGTCTATGTCAGCGTGGATGGCGCCGCCTGGACGAACGTTGCGTACGGCACATGGGGCTGGAACAAGAGCCCCAAGCTGTCCGCCTTCGAAGCCATCCAAGCCCGATACGTCAAGCTAGTGGCCACGAGCGAGGCGCCTCCGCCCAGGCATCCTAGCCACCAGTATCCCGATGCGGTCACCAAGATCGTCGACGTCAACGTCTACACTACCAACGCCGTGCTCCCCCACGAACCCTCCAAGGGCATCTGGGGCCCGACCCTGGACCTCCCTATCACGGCCGCGGCGGGCGCCCATGGATTTGGTGCGAACGGTCACCACAACATCATGCTCTGGTCGGCCTGGACCGACGACCGCTTCTATGCGTCGCCCGGGGGCAAGACCTTCACGGCCACCTGGGACCCGTACCTGAAAGATATCGTGCAGACCAACGTCACCAACACCTACCACGACATGTTCTGCCCGGGCATCTCGATGGACATCGACGGCAACATCGTCGTGTCCGGCGGCGCCGACTCGCAGAAGACCAGCATCTACGACGGCTCGGACTGGATCCCCGGTGGCAACATGAACCTGCACCGCGGATACCACGCCTCGACCACGCTGTCCCACGGCAAGATCTTCGCCATCGGCGGCTCGTGGAGCGGCGGCTCCAACAACCCCAAGGACGGCGAGGTCTACGACCCGGCAACCAAGCGCTGGCGCATCCTGCCCAACATCAAGTCCGATGTCATTCAAACGGTCGATATCCCACTGCGCAACGACAACCACGCCTGGCTGTTTGGCTGGAAGAAGGGCAGTGTCTTCCACGCCGGCCCGAGCAAGAAGATGTTCTGGTTCGACACTCACGGTGACGGCAACGTGAAGTACGCCACGCGCCGCCTCAACGACCAGGACTCGACCTCGGGCAACGCCGTCATGTTCGACGCCGTGCGCGGCAAGATCGTGGCTTTTGGCGGTCAGTCGTACTACGATGGCTCGTATGGCAACCGCAATGCCCATCTCATCACCATCAAGGAGCCCTTCAAGCGGCCGCTAGTTGAAGTGGCCGGCCTGAACGGCACCGCCGGCATCAAGGGCGCCGGCGGCATGTACAATCAGCGCGTCTACCACACGTCGGTCGTGCTCCCGGACGGCACGGTGTTCATTACCGGCGGCGAGATCTACGGCGTGCCCTTCAACGAGAACGAGCGCGACGTCCAGTTGACGCCCGAGATCTATCATCCCGAATGGGACGTCTTCATGCCCCTGAAGCGGAACAACATCGTGCGTGTCTACCACAGTCTGTCCATCCTGTTGCCGGACGCCACCGTGCTCAACGGCGGCAGCGGGCTCTGTGGCAACTGCACGGCCAACCACTACGATGCGCAGATCTTCACGCCGCCGTACCTGCTGCGCGAGGATGGCACCCCGGCAGAGCGCCCTAGCAAGCCGGATATTGTCGACAACAAGTACCGCGTGCAGGTCGGGGCCAAGCTGGCCTTCCAGGCGGATGCAGACATCAGAAACGCCTCGTTGATCCGTCTGGGAACAGTCTCGCACACGGTCAACACCGACCAGCGCCGCATTCCGCTGTCGTTCACCCGGTCCAATGAGGCCGAGAGTGGTCGAGCTGTCTTCCACGCGGCTATCCCGGACGATGCCGGTATTGCGCTCCCTGGGTACTACATGCTCTTCGTGCTGAACGACAAGGGCGTTCCAAGCCACGCGGCCACCGTCAAGGTCGAGCTGCCCGGGACCTCACATACCTCGACGGAGACGGAGCACGTTGTCACTGTCGAGGAGGAGGATGTGGCGGATGTCGAAAAGCCGGAGGCCGACTGCGACATGGAAATGGACGAGAAGGAGGCCCAAGGCATGATGAATGCGCTGTTTGCGGCCACTCGCAGGCTCTGGAACTCGCGCAAGTCGGGGCTGGTGCATCAGGCGTAGATGAGCTTAGTGGGGAGTCGAGTTCTGTAAATATAGTTGAGGAGTGCAAAACAGAGTGTTCTTCTAGTTGACTGAATGCCATCCGGTAGTGATATTAAGACTATTTGATATTGAACGTACTTACATCAGGTACTCACTTAGTCACCACAGTCACCTGACTCTGTACCTCTTGTTAGGGAGATGTGTGTTGTTATTGGTCATCTAAGCTAGCATGGAGTATATGACCCCCTGATGGTGGTCACGTGGCTCCCGGACTATAGTTGATCCACGCCGGAGGAAGATCCTCGGATGTAGCACGCTGGCACCTCTTCTCTCACTTCCCACGCTCTCTCTTCCTTCCTCTTCTCGCTCTCTGATAGCGGAAGATAGCAGCAGATAGCCAATACCACCTGCTTCTCACCCGTTCACGATCATCCTGTACATCTCACATTCTCAGATATGATTAGTCTGTCCCCTGCAGAGGAAACCGCAGGACGGCAGAGCTTTGCTTGATCATCATTTGCAGAGCAATGTTGTACGCTCCTTTCTCGAGGACGTTAGAGGTGGGCACGAATACAGTACTGAACACGCGTGGTATTACACCCTCTCGTTTGGCCCGAGCAGCTTGCACCGCATACTCTTGTCATGTTCTAATAGGCGGGACTAGGCAGGACTGGGCTGGGGCCAAGGGAAACGAGGCAAAACGTGAAGTGAGGTCCGGTCATGTTTAAAAAAAAATGGATGGATGGAGTACCGAACCACCCGTGGTCTAGTGGGATTCATAGACAAAAAATCGGTAACCTCATCTCTGGCAAGTCAGAGACATAACTTTGGCGCCTGGTAGGCGCGGTTGCCATCCTTCCTAGCTGAACACCAGTGAAGACTGCTAGATCGGGGCCAACGGGCCAGGTTCACGGGATCCCTTTTTTTTTTTTTTTTTTTTTTTGGAAGCTGTGCAGACTCGGCTTCATCGGCTTCATTCTTGATCAAGTCACCTGATTTTGTTTTGTTTTCTGTGACCCTTTGCTCTTGAGCTTCATCACCGATCATCCGAACACATACAACCATTGTGTTGATGTCCCCGGTGCTCGGCCACGATTATTATCTAAGGTTGGACCTGGACCCACTTGCGACCACCCTGTTGATGATAGTCTAACCGAGTTGCCCTCGGAACGTTCCATATTTAGAGGCGCATTATACGACATCAACATGCCGACGCTTTACTTTGGTACAGCATTCGCATTTGAGGTGGGTCATTGTGTGTAATAAGGGCTCTGAAAGGCCTGCGCTCTTTGTTTTGGAGATATAGTTACACAAGAGAATGAAGCTAGGAGAACCGCTGGCTAAGCTTTGGCTTTGTGGCTCTATAACTTGGCCGATGCTGGGTCCAGACACAGCCGTCACAATGACGCTTATTACACACAAACTGTTTTGGACAAAAGCCGTTGGAGACATTCGGAAAGACAGGTACAAAGACAATTTTAAGCATCTCCTTCCTCGTACATAACCTATTTCAGAACACGAACAGATCCTTTCTTCCTCATAAACTTCCTATCCCTCTTTCTTTCCATTCAACCTGTCCATGCCCCTGTTCCCTTTTTTCTCATCTTGCACTATACCCAGAGCTGCCTCATACCCTGCAGGGCTTAGTTACTTATATTATAGAGGATTGATAGATTTTTCTTCCAGCAATGTTTAGCATGCTGTGAGTAGGACTCATCAATCCGGGCAATGAATCTCGACATGGGCTTAGCCCTTCACAAAAACTACCACAAATACAGCATAGCTGTCAGGAAATAGCGAGAAGCCCAAATGTAGGGGTCAGGTTGGGGAGGTGTAAGAAGGTGTATTCTAGAACTAGCTATCCGGCCACCGTATACTGACGGCTATGTCTGTTGTAGATTCACTGGTATATTTTATTCTTGACGGGATACATGAGGCTATATATACGAGAAGATCAAGTTGATTGCAAATCAACTTGATTCTTCGTATAGGCAACCCGGGATTATTTCCGATATTGCGGCTTTGTTCCTGATCTGCGCTAGCCTCATATCACAACAATGTCACATAGTCTGGATGGAACCCATGTAGTAGGGGGAGGAGGTCTCCCCTCTACAATATATATTTGCTAGATAGCTATGGATTATCCCTAATACTCGCGATATATAGGAGTAGCAGGGGAACCGTAAGCTAGAATAGATAGGGAGACCGGGGATAGGCGCGGAGTTGGGTAGAGCGAATTTACACGGCTCCTGCATCGGCTCTAGCTAGGGCCGTTTTAGCATCTCGGCTAGTGCCTCCTGACGAAGTTCCGCGGTTCTGGCGGATAGATAGCGTTAGTAATAGCGTTAGAGATAAGTGTCGAATTGACGGGGCGAGACAGCGTAACGGCAGTCGATGCAGATCTAGACCCGGTACGTTGCGTTGTGTATAAAGAGGTCTATCTCGAGATACTGAACCGTCTGAGCCTCGCGCGGATAGAGAGGTTAGGATAGTCACTATGTGAATGAGTGAGTTTGTCTGGGGCTGTAATAGAGACACATGAGAATTGAAAAGACGCGAACGTGATCACAGACACGTCTCAGACGCGTCGTGCTAAAGGGCGCCGCCACGATTCCTACACGGGCCATGAAAAGAAGCATTCATGATATAGGTAGAGTATAGGACGTATACGTCGAGTTAAAAGCTGGCGCGGAGGACTTCCGGACACGCACTTCAAGGGGGACGGGACCACGCACGAGGACAAGCTGGTAGCCAATCAAGGGCCGAGTAATTCGAGTGAGGGCTGACTTGTTCACGTACTAGGGTATAATAAGGCTTACAAAATAATGAGAATTCGATGCATCCAGGATATACTTTGGGGCACTCCTTCTCCGGCCCTTTGTCGCAATATCTTCGGGCCCCAGACGGGGTCCCACGGGGTAAAACGTCAGGTCTCCGGATGCCTCCGCACACGACCCAGAGGGATATTCGGCTCGGGATGTTGGTTGATTGAAAACGAAACCGATGCCAAGACTCGAATCCAATCGTATTCGACTAGAGTGATGTCGATGATGCATGGACCCCGAAATTTCACCGGTGGCATTCACGATTAGCGTCACCGATGCACATCTGGGGAAATTGAAACTCAATTCACCACTGACCGAATGAAATGATCTGCAAGGTGAACTTTAGCTCGACTCGACGAATCGACGCACGGGCCCAATCTTCTTTCTCTGGTAGCTTCCCGGGGGGCGAAATTCTTCCAGGTTTTCGCCGCTGCACCATTGGCATTGGCATTGACATTCTGGTGACTTGCTTTGGTATATAACTTCGTAATGCCATACGGCATATTTGACCAGGATTTGTCCCTGGTGACAAGTGACCCTCCATCCCAACCATTTTCCTGAAGCGAAATCGAAGAATATTTTTCGCTTCTCGCTCATTGAATCTCCCTGCTTCAATCCTCCTGATCCTTGACCGGCCATGGGTACTCCACGGATCTGGACAAAGGCGTTTGTGGGGCTTGTCAGCTTTTGTGCGATAGGCCAGGCCCAAACTCCGACCTCATCGACAACTTCCTCCACCTCCACTTCGGCTCAGTTCACTGTGCCTGCGAGTGCGAACAGCGCGCTCCCCGTCATTCCCAACATCAAGGATCCGTTGGCTGTGGATGCCCAGGCAGAGTGCCCCGGCTACATTGCCTCCAATATCCAACAGACTTCGTCTGGATTCACCGCCTCGCTTTCACTAGCGGGTGATGCGTGCAATGTTTATGGTACCGATATCGAGGCCTTGGAACTCACCGTCGAGTATCAGACAGCCGATCGCTTGCATGTTGCTGTTCAGCCGACCTACCTCGGCGCGACGAATGAAAGTTACTACCTCATTCCTGAAGGCATCGTGGCAAAGCCTGATGTCGAGCAGTCCAACGTCGTTTCGGACTTGGAATTCTCCTGGTCTAACAAGCCAAGCTTCGGGTTTGAAGTGACCAGAAAGTCTACGAAGGACGTTCTTTTCTCTACCAAAGGCAAGAAACTCGTTTATGAAAACCAGTTTATCGAGTTCGCAAGCTCTCTTCCTGAGAACTACAACCTCTATGGACTGGGCGAGACTGTTCATGGATTTAGGCTGGGAAACAACTACACGAAGACTTACTATAACGCAGATGCTGGCGCAACGATTGATGTGTATGTATATTCACATATGTGCAATTTGCAGTGCTATGTCCGCTGACGAGTGTATAGTAACGTTTATGGCACACATCCTTTCTACATGGAGACCCGGTACTTCACCGAGAACCCGGATGGCAGCCTCTCGCCTGTGACAACGAACGAGACCCCCCGACGAAAAACTACACGTCTTTCTCGCATGGTGTCTACCTTCGCAACGCCCACGGTCAGGACATCCTGCTGGAGCCGGAGAGCATCACCTACCGTGCCATCGGTGGTAGCATTGACCTTTATTTCTTCCAAGGCCCGACACAACCGGAGGTCACATCGTCGTACCTGAAGGCTGTCGGCCTGCCCGCCATGCAGCAATACTGGACCTTTGGTTTCCACCAATGCCGGTGGGGATACAAGAGCTGGTCCGACCTTCAGGATATCGTGGATAACCACGTCAAGTTTGGAATCCCACTAGAAACTCTTTGGTACGTGTACCTTTCTCGCACATTCACGCACTGTTCCACTCTCACTATCGACTCGGCTAACACAAACAAGGACTGATATTGACTGGATGCTTCGTTACCGAGACTTTAACAACAACCCCGTCGGCTTCGACACCGCCACTGGAAAATCCTTCCTGCAACGTCTCCATGACGGCGGCAGACACTATGTTCCAATCTTCGACGCAGCTATCTACATTCCCAATCCCTCAGATCCCAGTGATGCGTATGTATCCAGTCTATCCACGCCAGCATTCCTCCACCTGCTCACTAGTTTTCAGGTACCCTACCTTCGAGAGAGGAAACCAGACCGGCTCCTTCATGCAAAACCCAGACGGCAGCCTCTACATCGGTGATGTCTGGCCCGGATACACCGTCTTCCCTGACTGGCTGTCTCAAGGCGCCGAGGCATGGTGGACCAAGGAATTCTTGCTATACTATCAGGACACCCCCTTCGATGGCGCATGGGTTGACATGAGCGAAGTTTCGTCCTTCTGCGTCGGAAGCTGTGGCAGCGGTAACCTTACCCTAAACCCGGTGCACCCTTGGTTCCCTCTCCCAGGTGAATCAAGCAACCCGGTGCTCTATTACCCCGAGGGATTCAACGTCACCAACTCTACTGAGGCAGCCGCTGCATCGGCGGCGATCGCGTCGTTCTCCAGTGCTTATCCCGAGCCAACTGCCTCGTCTACCGTTTCTTACTTTCGAACCACTCCTACCGCCGGCGTTCGCGATGTGAACTACCCTCCCTATGTCATCAACAATGTCCAAGGTGCCCTGGGTCGCTCTGCTATGTCACCTAACGCCACCCACGCAGACGGAACACTAGAATATGATATGCATAACCTCTGGGGTCACAGCATCCTCAAGGCAACATATAACGCCTTGTCCGCCGTCTTCACAGGAATCCGTCCCTTCATCATCGGCCGTTCAACCTTCGCAGGCTCCGGTTCTTTCGCCGGCCACTGGGGCGGCGATAATTGGTCCAACTGGCCAAGCATGGCCTTCTCAATCCCACAAGCTCTCCAAATGTCGTTACTTGGTATCCCTATGTTCGGCTCAGACACCTGCGGCTTTGCTGACAATACCGACATGGAGCTGTGTAATCGCTGGATGCAGCTTAGCGCGTTCTTCCCCTTCTACAGAAACCACAACATCCTCGGCGCAATCAGCCAAGAAGCTTACCGATGGGCCTCTGTCATCGATGCCAGCAAGACAGCTATGTCCATTCGCTACCAACTCTTGCCTTACATGTACACCCTCTTCTACCACGCCCACACCACCGGCGACACCGTCATGAGGGCACTGGCATGGGAATTCCCCAACGACCCGTCGCTCGCAAGCGCCGATCGACAATTCATGCTTGGCCCGTCTATCCTCGTTACCCCCGTCCTCGAGCCGCTGGCTACAACCGTGAACGGTGTTTTCCCCGGTCTGATCGAGGGCACTGAGAAATGGTACGACTGGTACAACAACACTGCTGTCCCCGTTCCAGCCCAGGCCAACACAACCATCGGTGCGCCGCTCGGTCATATCCCCGTCTATGTCCGCGGCGGCTCCGTCCTCCCACTCCAGCAGACCGCGCTCACGACCAGAGACGCACGAACCAGCCCCTGGGATGTCCTCGTCGCCCTGGACAAGAACGGAAACGCAAAGGGAGACCTGTACCTCGATGATGGCGTCAGTGTTCAGCCCGACGCCACGTTGACTGTTCAGTTCGCCGTCCAGGACAGGAAATTGGATACTGTCATTAGCCACGGTGGATGGATTGATGGAAACAGCCTGCAAAACATTACTATCTGGGGTGTTGATGGCATTGACAGCGCTGTTAAGTTCAATGGCCGGAATGTGTCCAGCTCGAATGTTATGTTCGATAGCGACAAGCACACGCTCGTCGTTTTTGGGTTCAACGTCTCGGCTTGGGCTGGGAACCAGTGGACCCTGGAGTGGTAGGACCATTTGTCAACACCTTTCCTTGAATTTAGAATATAGCATTTCACTTTTTTGGTTTCCACTGTCGGACCTGCATGTGCCTACCTAGGTCTCATTTGGTGGCTTGAATGTCTCGGCAAGTTGATCCTCTTTTGAGCTGCACTTAGTACCTGGATGTGTAAGTGTTGTAAAACAAAGCTTACACATAACCTTAACTTGCCCTGTTCGTTCATGTGCTACTTGCTCAAAGTTTTGCCAGATATCTGATGTCTTCTTGCCATCCCAATGGATATTGCCTCCCTCCTGTTGCTTACCATATCCTGTCGTAAGCCACCACTCAACGAATTGTTTCCGAGAGTCCTCCATGTCTGGATGAGTCTCATATAGAACCCAGATACGTTGTAATGTAGGCCAAATGCGTATAAAGCCTTTGGGGGATAATAGGAGGAGGAAGGTAATTCGAATTCGAGTGGATAGTCGCTCGGCTGCTTGGGCGCTCTGGTATCTCTGGAAAGCTATCTGATAGTAAGATATCACGATCAATGAGAGAGTCAGAGTAAAGAGATGTATGTGGTTGAGACATTGTAGACTATTCCAGCATAGGATAGTAAAAACTGAGTATAGGGGGAAGGCCAGAGACTTACAGATTTTTGTCTCCTTTGTGGTCGCAAACAAGGCGAATTGGACGTGTTAGAAAGTATAGTTAGATATGATTGGTCAGATAAGTGGCCTAGTGCAGCTATAGGATGGGTACCCATCCTGTGGCCGTTTTATTCTATTTTTAAATCTAGTGTTAAGTGTTGAGAGTGTATATTGTAGAACTTCGTCAGAAATTCATCACGAAGGTTTCTAAGAAAAATATATATTTTCAAGATCAGTTTAACTTATTCAAGCACAAATCTCAAAATTACAGGTCTATATAACAAATAGTTAAGGCATATAAAAAAGAGACGATCTAAGTGAATAGAGGCTGTAATTAATATTTACAATATAATTTCTTATAATTACCTAGTAATTGTAGCACAAGTAGTGAATTGTATTGGAAAAACTAGCACACATGTTTTAAAATTGTCGGGACATATCCTTTCGTCAGAACAAGCCAGCGGCAACTTACCGCTGGCAACTGATAGATCACATTCCTGTGCTGGGTGACCTTGCGCCAAGCTGTGGCACCGGTGTTGAGACCACCGAGTATCGGCGTATGGGATTCAGGGGTATTTTGGACCGGACCTGGTACACATGAACATCTATCTACACGAATCAATTGACTTTTGCTTTGGAGCATACACACTGTCCACTTAACTGTGTACACAGTACCTAGCTCTTCACCTGAACAACCCATGTATCGAGAAAGACCATAACTGCATCAGAATTAGCACTGAGCGATCTTTTGTTGATCCGAGAGACAATGACGACAGTAACTATCATGCCTTTGGCCGATACATCCTAACGGAGGCTGCGAACACCCACATCCGCACTGCACTGTTGAGTGCGTCGTCGACACAGGATGACCAAGTTTGCTGGGGTAGACACTACTAAGACAGGATGTGATACAATTCAAGAATGCAGAGTATAGCACTGACAGCATCTGGCGGAGGTGTACATAACAGTGATGAAGACTTGATATTTTTAAAGCTTAACAGAAAACACCTCAGATGGAGGCAGATCAGAATCATTGGATAGATCGTAGCAGAGTGAAGCATACAAGAAGAATTGAACTAGAATTTATTTTTCCTGTAATATAATCGCTAGTTGAAAATCCGTTTCAACTAGAAAACCAGAACGAACCAGACATATTGCTCTAGCGACAAGCCATCACCCACAAAAAGCTTCGTCGGCTTCGCTACAAAAGAGCAAAAAACATCAACTACAAAAAGTGGGGGGCATTAAGGACAAGACCCATAAGACATCCCCCGAGAGTACCAGCGATAGGGATGGTGAGGACCCAGGCCGTGAACAGAAGGGCCACACGCTGGAAGTTGATAGCCTTGAAAGTGCCGTTACAGAGACCAACACCGACGGTGGCACCGGTAATGCACATGGAGGTTGAGACAGGGAGCGAGTAGTGCGAGAAAATTAGCACTGTGAGAGCGGCTCCCATTTCCATCGAGCAGCCTCGGCTCGGCGAGTGGTAGGTGATCTTGTTACCCATGACTAAGTTTGTGAGTTAGCGTACGTTTTCAGGGGCTACTAAAAAGAAGAGTTGGAAGGCTCACCCTTCATAATGTTGTATCCGTAGAGAATAAAGCCGACGCAAATCGTAACGGCGACGACAGCCAGCTGCCAGACGGGGACGGGAGCCTCAGCGGCCGTGACATCGCCAGTTTTCCAGGAGGAGTAGATGGCGGCCCAAGGGCCGACGGCATTCCCGACATCATTAGCGCCGTGGGCGAAGGATGCGGTGCAGGCTGTGATGATCTGGATAAAGGAGTACCCGTGCTCGACCTCGTTGGGGTACTTTATAGCGTGGGAGTATACACGCTGCATGCGGGCGGCCTCCGGCGTGCCCGAGATACCGGTTTGTGCGGCATGAATATCATAGTGCATACCATAGAGAGCACCGACAACGATCATAGCAGGAATCCGCTTAAAAAGGACGGCTATGTTGTGGAACTCGTAGATCTCACCAGCGCCCATAGGATTGTTGTGGAGGACGCGCATAGCCCATCCAAGGGGACCAGGGGATTGCCTGAGCTTAGCGTGGAATCTCTGCTCACCTTCCACCATAAGCTTGTGGTAATTGAATTGAGTGGACTGAACCTCAGTGACGGCGATAACCTCGTTGTCCCCCTTCTCGTTTCCTTCGAACAACTGAGGTGACGAGATATGATCCTGATCTTCCTGAATAACGGCATAGTTCGGGACCTTAGCCTGTTCGGCGTCGGAAGGGGCGGGACGGGAGAAGAGCAGCGGGCCCATGATAGCCATATACCACTTGACGGTATAATCCTTCTTAATAACGCGCGCGTATAGGAACGGAACAAAGAAAATAGCGGATAGAAGACAGACACCACCTCCAGTGCCCAAACTAACCGAAGCAACATACCATCCGGGCTTCTCATCGAGGTCAAGGTTAGGGGAACCCTTAAAGACAATAGACAAGGTACAAATGGTGGTTGCGACAAGAAACCAGAAAGGCGAAGTCCAGACCGCCCACGGCAATGGGTTCGCACGTATGTGGACAATAACCTTGATCAGCGAAAAAATAATCGCCCCAAAGCAGCCAGCAATAACAGGAGCCATGCCTAGGCCAGCAAATATAGCACCAAGGCCACCTCCTTCATGCCATCCCCATTGCACTTGGGAGGCACCAGCAGTGGCTACACCCACACCAGCGACCGCGGAAATGAGAGAATAGGTGGACGAGACGTGGGTAGAATTACGTGTACACCACATAACCCAAGATGATGCCGCTGCGACGGCGCAGGTGAAAGCGAGCATCTGGACACCAGAATTGCCTTTGAAGGCTTCGACTGCAATGATGCCGTCCTTGATAGTCTCTGCGGTTCGTGATCCCACGGTGCATGCGCCAAGGATCTCGAATATCGTAGCCAATATCATTGCCATTCTGTAAGAAACGGATCTCGAGGAGACGCTTGTCGCCCATGCATTTGCAACATCGTCTAGAAACTCGATCAGTATCCATACGATACGGGAGAGTGTCTAGGAAGCGACTGACTGGCACCGTTGTTGAAAGCATCGAGAAGGGAGAAGACTGTGCCAATAGCAAACACGTAGGTGTACTGGTGGGCTGCCATTTTTGGGAAACCTGCGCGAGACGGCAGTTAACGGTCAATCCTTGATGATTGAAATGATTGGAAAATGGGCAGATAGAAAAGCCAGGAGAAGACTGGAGACAAAAGCGCCTATATGTACCTGTACCTCGGAAACTCAATCTGACAGCGTGTTCCGGGGTCTTTTGGCTGATTCGCTAGAATGTGAACCGAATGCTATGTTCGCCAGCATCTTGGCACTGACGCATGAGAGGCAACCGATCATCTCACTAGGAGACTCATACAGAGTTCGGAAATTTCGATGCTGGGCAAATGAATGCATTCGGCAGGTCTATAGCTTGAAATCCACTAAAGCGCCTTCCAGATGCTTGACAGAAGAAAAGATATTCTTGGCGGACATCTTAGTAGAGGTCTTGGCGGATGTCGATGAATAAGGTATTCCTTCATATCCACGTGCCTGCGGGATGCAGTCTTGGCCCGGAGTCTGTCTGCTCATTGTTTCAAGTGAGCAATCTCAAACTGTAGATCGGGAAGAGTTATACTTTCGGCTAACGCACACAGCAGGTAAGCGTTCATCACCACAGACGACAGCCTGAATATTGCAGCGGGACTAATTGAAAGCCAAGGCAACCGGGTAATTCGTAGAAAGCTTCGCACTTACTTTTACTCTCCCGCGTCAACCACAAGAGCAACAGCAAAGCATAGTTGGCGTTGACATGCTCCCGAACAAAATTACAGCCTGTATGCCAGAAAACCTAAAAGCAACACGTCGAAAGGACTCGCACCCATCAGCAACCCATTGTTCGAGCGCGTGCTCATGGAATTCGTGATTGGCCGTGGATCGACCAGAAATTAAGTTGGCCTCTTGCTTGGCGCCAAGGGCCAAGCTGCCAAGGCTTGGCGAGAACCACTTCACTGTCAAGCAAGAGACTCAGAAGAGTCACGAACCAATGTGAATCGAGTACTAGAGCACGACGGCCCTTGTGGGTGCTGTTATTAGAGAAAGAAAAGTAGAGCTGTTAACGATACGATATTGGCACTGTTTTCCCATATCGTCAATCGGCACCGTCAACTTCGAAGTCTGCCGATATCGTATAGGCAATCGACATGGACAGTTTCTTAAACTGTCGATAAGATACCGGCAAGTGATAATATCGTCGGCGATATATCGTCACCGGTAATTGGACAATAAGAGAATAGCTCCTGGTCTTAGATATAGAAAACTTTACTACGAAGAGAATGTAAGCATAGATACTCGTTAATTAGGGCAGCCCACTTCCGTTGTGTAGTCCTAAGTTGTGTTGTTGCCGTACTATGTGGCTAGATATTTATATATTTAACGTTTGCTCTCCCGTCCTATCAAATAACTCTGCGATTGCACAGTACATGTCTGATCCTTTCTAAGTTGCTTCCATTCCTCTGCGCATACGGATATACGTATATATTGAAGAGGGGAACGCTCGATGGCAGCACGCGCTGAGACGTGCGGGTCGATTGAGCAGAAAAACCACCACAAAACACACGCGTAGCAATCAGGAAATAGCGAGAATCCCAGATGTAGGGGTCAGGTCGGGGAGGTGTAAGAAGGTGTATTCTAGAACTAGCTATCCGGCCACTGTATACTGCCGGCTATGTCACATAGTCTGCATGGCACCCATGTAGTTGGGGGAGGGGGTCTCCCACTACAATATTTACTTCATTGGCTTTTTCCTGCCTACATAGTATCAAATTACCTGTTCTATTCTATGGCTACGCCTTCCTTCTTCCGTTAAGCTATATGGCAGAATATCCAGAGGCCATAAGGGTTCAACCGTATTTTATGGTTCAACTCTCTTTAGACGCGACGCGTGTGAGAGACTGGGACGCGTGCCATGACCTCTTCTTCGTTGACAGTGAAGCTCTTCCAAAACTAACCAACTCCACATATGACGCTTCAACCCTGGTTCTACTGAGCCACAGGGTCCATATCGACAGTGAGCTGCGATCAGCAAGTCGTATTCAACCGCACTGGGCCAGTAGCCCGGTGTATCCCACACAAATGGGTACCCGGCAGAAACGCCTCAACTACCGAGTTCTGAATGACAAGAGCGAGGGAAAGTCTTTGCCCGAGGATCAAAACGACCAATCAAGCGAACCAAGCGAGCCGCCGAGCAATCTCACACGTAATCTCCCAACCTGTCAAAAAGACGCGGTGATCCTCGCCAACATACCAGATTGCGAGCTCCTACTTTCCGAGTGTGTGTCGCAAGTGTAGTATCCCAAGAGAGCTCAACAGATGCTGGTACTTCAATCACAAGTCATGTATCCTCTCGATGCTCCAAACTGCCAGCGCCTGCTAGAGAGTGGATCTGGGGGTACTTCGACACTACAGCCGTTGATTGTCCATGGGTTATCAAGAGGACCAACAAGAGGCGGCTGGTCGACCGAGAGATTTGCTGTATGCACGTAGATGAAAAAGCGGGAACACGCTGTGACCGGCAAACGTCAGATTCCCAGAGGCAAAAGACAACCAGCAACATGAAAACCCACTTGGCAAAGCATGGCATTCACTGCCCGACCTCCAGTATACAGCCAGCGAAGAAGGGACAAGACATTCGGAGTTTTATGGGTGGTAAACAGAGTCTCACCCATCAAGAGATCTTAGAAAGGAATGCCATTCGCTGGATCGTAACTGATATGGTGACTGATATGAAAGCCTTCACCACTGTCGAGTCTCCAGAGTTTCAGCAAATGTTCCGAGACATTCCTGGAATTGAGCCTCCTTTCACATCTCGCCACACCTTGTGGGATCGAATCATGCAAGAGTTCGCTATACAGCGCAAGACCTGAATAATGAGCTGGCTTTGACTTGCAAAACCATTACCTTATCACTGGATATCTGGACAAGCAAGAAATCTTCCTATTTTGAGGATAATTGTTCATTGGCTGACTGACGAATTTGAGTACCGCTAAAGACTATTCGAGTTCACCGAACTCCAGGGCATTCATAGTGGAGAAAATCTGGCAATTGCAGTGGAAAATATGCTTATTGAGTTGAGTCTTGAGAACAAGCTCATTTCCATTACAGGCGACGACGCCAGTAACAACGAGGCCATGGCATCGGAGTTATATTTCTCTTTTTCGGACCGACTTAGGGTGGAAGACGCCATGCCAGCACCACTCTATCGAGGTCTTGACAGCTACATCCGGTGCCTGGCTCATGTCCTCAATCTAATTGTGGAATATCCTCCGTAACCTGGGGTCAGGGACGATGGAACAAGCGCAAGTTGCCTGTGACTGTTTACAGACTGGTAACTCGATCACCGATCACTCCGCAATAGGGAGATTACGGGTCCTCGCTCTTATATTAACCGAAGTCCTCAGCGCCGACAGAAATGGAAGGAGATTTGCAGACTCAACAATCTTCCAGGCAAATTAGTTGCGTACGATGTTGCTTGACGACGTGGGGGAGGGCAATGGTGACTTCGCAAAACTGGATCGAGATATCATAGCTGCAGTGAAAGTAGGGATGAAGAAGTACGAAAAGTACTATTCCATTATGGATGACTGCGATACCTACTACACTGCCCTCGGTCTTGGATCCCCAAGTCAAAGGTGAAATGGTCTTACGGGAATTTCAAGATGGCAATGCAGGGACAATAATTCTGGAAACGATCCGCACCGATCTACATCAGGTATACGCGGCTACTAACCCGGAGCATGATGCCGCTGCATCAAAATCGTCTTCCCTGTAGCATAGTGATGTGGAGTCTAGAATGCTGAAAAAGTTGTAGGCGCGAGATCCACCGCTCTCAGATATTGATAAGTACTTCGAAACCCCTCCGATCAGCGTCGCAGATACCACTGGCCAGAACTGGCTCTGTAATTGGTGGAAGATGCACAAGGGCGAGTATCCGCGGATGGCAGCAGCAGCAGCCAGGGACTATCTAGCGATTCCTGCTTCTGAAGTTGCTGTTGAGAGAGACTTTAGAACAGCGAGGGATGTGCTAGGCATCCGGAGATATTCTTTGAAAAGGGATACCTTAAGAATGCTGATGTTGATTCGCGATGGGTATAAGTGGTAGCGGTCAAGGGATTGGTCAAATTATGCCATCGCGATATTCCGGTTCTGCATTAATAAAGTGTCAAATAAAACTGTTGTTCGACGAAAGCCCGTTCGCTCTCTAGATGATTCTAAAGGGAAAATATGCCGATGCCGATACGATATGACGATATCGTAAGTGGTGATATCGTCAAATTTGAAGCCCGCCGATATCGTACCGGCAATCGGCATCGACAATTCAAAAGCAGCCGATATCGTATCGTCTGTAAATATCGTATCGTCAATATCGGTATATCGGCAATATCGTCAACAGCTCTACACATAATCTTTAAGTGGCCTTCAAAATTTATCGATCTGGGCTGACAAATAGTGCTAGCGTCTAGGTCATCCTAATTCAGGTTTACATGGTGCAGATAGCTAGCTAATCTGCAAGCTGGAGATGCAGCCGTTCTTGTACACTCTCCAGGAGCCCTTGTGATATTGTGGTTTTACGATGCAGCGCTTCATGGCAGGGCCGCGATGGAGCCACTCATGACAGGAACCGCTTTTCCCCCGAGGTGCAGCGCCTCCAGCTTCCTTGCCCCGTCCAAGCCCTTGCTAACCTCGACGTCAATAAGGATATTGCTGGCCCGTCCCATCTCAACGCCCTGCGTGATCTCAAAGGTGACTGACTGCTCATCCAGTTTATGCAGGCTCAGATAACTTGACAGCGCGCATGCCGCGCTTCCCGTGGCCGGGTCCTCTATTGTTTGGTTGACCATCCTCGTCCGGATCTTATGGACTGTCCTGCCACCGATCCGCTCGCTGCCGAGCCGGACATAGTAGTATCGCCGCGTGACCCAGCCATCACGCCAACCGTCATCTAAAAGCTCAGCGGGCAACTCAGGTAGAGCGCCTACCCACACGGCGCCTAGCAGGTCGAGCGACGGCAGCTCAATAAGCGCAAAGGTCATGCCCTTGACGATACTGAATAGCGGCGCAAAGCGCTCCACCCTCGCAACCTCGTCCTGGGACGCAGGGAACGAACCTGGGTCAAGACCCGGCAGACACCTCTGGTGCAGCCTGACATTATGCGGGATCGCGGCCCGGAGGGCACCATCCGCCGCCGGCTCGATATTAATAGGCCCTGCTTTCGCAAGCAAGGTCCGCACGCCATGCGGGTGAAGGAAAACGGCCGTGCCAATTGTCGGGTGGCCGGCAAATGGTATCTCCACCTGCGGCGTAAATATGTCGAAGCGCCGCTCGTCTGTCGTTGTGGGGTTCTCGATGTCATACACAAAGACAGTCTCAGATAGGTTGAATTCCCTGGCGATGGCCTGCTTCTGGGCCTGCGTCAAGACCATGCCCGGTGGGACCGTCACCACTGCGAGGGGGTTGCCCTTAAAGCGCGTTTCGGTGAACACATTAAGGGTGGTGAAGGGCAGCGCCATCAGGAGAGAAAATTGCGATAATTTCTCACGGCTTATCCACAACACAAGATAAGTTTTCGACAAGACAGATTGAATTATCTCCTTCTGTTTGCAAACCAAATATATGCTTGGTTGGGTGTTGAGGGGGGAGGGGGGCAGGCAAGAAGGCACTGACGGAGTACGACGGAGGGAATGAGTCAAACGGGTAGTTAACGAGTTAACTAAGTTAGACTAAGTCCCCTAGTTTCTTGGCAAGATGGCCAGGCACGGGGGCCTTGTGACAAGGCTTATTGCAATAATGTGAGTATCCGCCAAGGCTGCTCGCACTCACGCACGGGGACATACTTAAGTGGGCTTCCCCCTTATCTTTTATAATAGGACGGACGCTATATATGTTATACTACAAATTACATTATCAGGAAGTGCATAAGGTCCAAGGAGATAATTCTTCACTAAAACTCGGCTTAAGCTCAGCAATGCCAGAAAGTTAGTGGGAGCTGGGGTAGAATTATAGGCGAACTCACTAATAGCGGTGGCCTCGGAGAGCAGGGAAGGAACAGAACAAGATTCTAACTACACACATAGAGTAGGGCGCGCAGTAATGACCGCCCTAGGCGTTCATAACCTCTTAAAGCCGCGGTTCAAGAGAATACATTATCTCCAAACATCATGTAAAGGCGTAACTCCGAGGCCAATTTCTTTACTTTCGTCCTTAGGGATTTGACATTGACTATTAATAGTCATTGGACTTGGGTGGCCGGCCGACCGTCGTCGCCCAGGTGACCCACACCCCTCCGGATGTTGGTCACTCCCCATCCCAACATAGACAAATTCTTAACCCTTTAATAACTTTTATTAGGGGCCTCTGAATGGCATCGACCATCCAGAATGAGACTTTGACATTGGGATCTGGTGGAGAAAGAAATACAGTGCCATTTGGCTATTGGCATTGTTCGTCCGCGAGGTTATGATCGCGGCTTACATTTCATATTCAGAAAGAATATTGTCGAGCCTAAAATTCCGTCGGTCTCATTGAAGGTGGTGTGGTAGCCTCTTATCGATACAATTTGAATGAGATCATCACCCATCGCTCAATCCCATTAACGAGTAGCGAAGCGATCATGCATTTTGGATGTTCCCTGCCGCTGACTCAAAGTTGGCGTCAATCGACTCTTTCTTGTCGGTCCTATCGAAAGGACTCGTCAGTGATCATATTTTTGCTATTGGTCAATGACTCATTCATATGAACTCTACCTCGTCAAGATGCGGACGTCGGTTTGTATTCTCAAGATTCCGCTGTGGTGGACTAAGGTATGTGCGACGCCAATGAGTCGCATGACCTTGTCCCATTGCCCCTCTGCGAATGCACTATCAGTCTTTTGAAGTTTCATTTGATTGAAGTTAATGAACATCCAAGGTGGAATTTACCGATCGTTGTTCCCGTCGTATGTGTATGGGACTTCAATCCTGATTCATGAACAAGCTGCTGGATAGCAGCGATGGTCTTAGAGAAAGATGAGTCCTGCGATCCGATCTATACATGGGAAAAGGTTATTGAATGAACTATGGATCGTAGGACATGGTGCAGATTTTAGTATCAAGGAAAGGGAAGTTACGACTTGCCGGGATGAGGGAAAAGTCAGCAGTGCAATGAGAAGGAGTATCTGATGTAGCGCCTGTCGAAGTCATGGTGTCGTTTGGAAGTGGCGATGTCTATCAAATTCGTAGGTGGAAGGAGCAAATATATAAATGATAGAAAAGAAGCTTCATGCGTCACTATGACGAAGGATTTGGCAGCTGATGATGAAAAATGACGCTCAGTAATTCGAGGTTAGAGACTATAGTTAAGGCCAACCTTGGAATCAGGATCATTTTGTGATGGGCTACTGCCTAGGTCCCTCTTACTACTGGTGGAAAAGTCAGCAGCAGATCCTTTCTCACAACTCCTCACGAGCAGACCGGCAGTTGACTGACCTCAGATTTACATCACGCTGCTTACATGGATCCCTTTGAACATTTCCCTGTTGAGATTATCTACAAGATCGTGCAGCACATAGCAGATTTCATATCCACCGAGAGTCTGCTCGGACTGTCTCCACGAGTCCAAGCTGTCCGCCAAGTGAGTCCGACTCTTATACTGCTTTCGAGTTGAGGATGCGGTCCGTGGCTGCGACTCTGCCACTCTAGATCTCGCCAAAATCGCGGGTTGGGTTTCGACCCTTGACCCAAAACCCGCCAAGAGATTTGAATACAGGTAATATATACCATATTACACATGTTTATATGCGTTACAGGTAGTATTACAACTGTTATTCCGTAATATACGTGCTGATGGGTTCTTGGCGGGGGGGCGCGGGTACCCGTAGGGTACCCAAAAAGCAATATGGCGAGGTCTAGACTCTGGTGACTTCGAGCACGTGACTTGATAACGGGATTCAATGTAATGACACCGTCACCACTTTTTTTTTGCCATGCTAACTAAAACGCTAAAAATCAACTGAGCCCTGATTCGATTAACTAACTCATCTGGTTTAAGAGAACTGCTACGCTTACGCTCCGAAATCATCCTCACATTGATGTAAGATGAAAGAGTTCTGATGGTAGTAGGCGACTATGAGGGCTGACTATTTTGAACCTCCTGCTGGCTGTGTAACTTGACCAAAATGACCATAAAAAGGCCACGAACATGAGTGCACCGGAACTCAGGCCAAAGATTGCAGTCTGTCGATCTGTCAATTACGTGTTTATGAAAATATAGACATGCGCTCATCTCACCTTGTGTTCATCGGTGTCCCTTTTGGTCGGCGCGATGAATGGTCTCGCAATAAGCACCACAATCGCAACTGAGTATTCAACCCACGACCTCGCTTCATCAGCATGATGGGGGACTGCCAAGTGAGGATCATGTTAGTATTAATATCTCTCTGTCCCAAGAGGTCGTCGGCACCCTTGTCCACCAGCGTTCCAATGTCACCTTTTGTCTTGAGCTTGAGGGCCACAGGCCATGAGCATCTTCGCATGTCCAGAAATTGCTCCTGGGCAGTTTGGTAAACATTGTGCTTTGTGGAGTCGCAATAAATCATCGGCAATCTTCTCCGTGGTATAAAGGCACATTTTATGGAAGAACATTATGTGCTGCCAACCTTTCACAGACAAGAAAAGCGAGTCGTAGAGAAGTGCCGGGGCAGCCCATGGTGCACCGTCGAGTCGAGGCCGGGAGAATGTTGCGACTGTGAGGCCCGCATTGATGGTTGCCGCCGTGAGCCAGTATCAGCCAAGACAATCCCAACTGCAGATAAAACGCAAAGGCCCCGGCCACATCCAGGAGAGAAAGACTTAACAGCAAACCCAATATACTTGAGCTCGGCGGCTTTTCCCAGGGTGAAGTCTTGCACGCACTGCTTCAACTGCTGCAAGTCCTTTTGGGGAGCAGCTACGCGCTCTAGGTGCTCGATTGTGTACCTGATAAGTGTTCCGTAGTATAGCCAGGTAAAAGATCCAGTGAATAATGATGTGGCAGATGATGGAACCAACTCATCTTTCTCTTTGCGGTTATGTATGGAGGGTTTCTGGGTGACTTAGAAGTGGGGCCTCAGCTATCCTTTTAAACTGCCATGCTACTATCTAGTCTTTGCCATGGAATGGAGGACTAGTAGCTGAAGATGGATTTGCAAAGTGTTCCGCGCACCACTCCACTTGGTCCCCTTGGTCGCGGAGTTGAAGTTGCTTGGGACTGATTACAACGTCTTGACTGGGCGCCTCGTAATTGGCATGCCGGTATCTCGCTGATCATTCTGTTTGCGTCTGTGCTATTATGCACACAGCCCGCAGGGCGATGAGACCTTCTACCCAATGAATGCTTCATCTGGCCCCGATGGCCCCACTAGGCTGAGCGTGGTCTGTATGAGAGCTCTGCCTGATTGTCAAGGTGGGCTTCTGGTGATATTTTGAACAATTTAAAAGACTATGGTTGAGCATCATGGCTGACCCTTTGCACCTTTCCTGGTCTTTCCGTCTCCCCCCGCTACCCAGATTAGAGACATTCTCAATGGCGCGACTCCCTTCCTCTCAGCGCGAACAACCCCAAATCATTGATACCAATTCCGCCCGCCGCGAGCGCTCGGTTTTTTGGAGGTGTCGCTGTCTTGATGGTGTGGGGGGTACATGGACACATGGCAACTACTTGATCCCTTCATTGTTGGGAATCGATCACTACGTCCCTCCATAGGAGTTGCAGATGCACTGGGCATTGTGGATTGGCCCGTACCTCTATGAACTACACGTTGATGCACATATGCAAATAACGGAGAGCTATGTGGACGAGATGCGATGGGGATCGTGGCAGTCCGCGATTCCGGACCGAATCGTCGGTGGGACGTTTGCAACAGATTCTGAGCTGGAAAGTATGGGTGAGTCGACCCTATTCTCAACACGTTACAAGTGATCAGGTCTGGGTTTACGACTAACGTATCTAGCAGCGGGTGTACTTGGCCAAGGGGGAAGAGGATCCCGGTTTGCTACAGCTTCAGGAGGAACAACTCTCACACGTTCGCGCTCGGGCTTCTTCAGGCTTCTATTTGCTTTGATATCGGGGAGGCAGACCTATCCTGGTCGCGGGCCTTGGCAGGTTGGAGAAAGATGAGCGCGGTCTCGAGCTGTCATGGCGTGAAGGAACTTTACAACCGTCCCAATTCGTGTCTCCGAGCACTCACAGGCATGTATTCGGGCAAGCTTCAAGAAAAGCATTTTGAGGGACTACTGCAGGACTATAAAATCGGAGCTGTAATGGAGGAGAGGTTAAGCAGATAGTAATTAATGTACGTTGCGGTTGGAATCGCCATACCCCTGGAGACAGAAACGCGCCTCCCGATGAGTTCGCCGCGAGTAAAGCGCGGTATGAGGCCAAGAAGCCTCATTGATTTACTTCCTGGCTGGACATAGTAGGTAAATTGGCAGCGACCCTGGCTATTCATTATACATAATACTTTAAAATCTGAAATTTGTCAAAGATCCTCGAGCATGGTATATAGGACTACACCCCATATAGCCTGGAATGTGTCTACTAGGAGGTTTATAGTAGGGTCCGTCTGTGTTGTTTCTAGGTAAGGCTCGTACGAGACTGGCCCAAAGAGCTATCGCAGCTGCGCCGACTCTTATTCCAACTCCAAAATCCATCTTGACTGTTCATCATAGCTTTGCGGCCGGGCTCAATAGGTGTTTCATCTCCGCATTGGGGTACTCCACATTTTGCGACGAGTCGGGCCGCTGTCGATCCCACGCCCATTTCTCTACCAGCTCCGGCGCCAACTCGCCCTCGAGCATCTGTGTAATATACTTGCCCAGGACGGGAAAGAACTTGAAGCCATGGAATGAGCCACAGGTAGCCACATACAGACCCTTGGAGGCCGAATGGGGTGAAATGATGAAATCCGAAGTCGTCGTGAATGCATCCCTGGGCCCATTAGACGGTGGATCGCCAACATCATGTCGCAGAATGATACTCACCAGCAGATTCGGTGTTTAGTCATGGGCCAGTCGGCACTCTTCGGTCCATACCACAGATTCCGTGATTCCACGATATCCTGCTTCAGCGGCCCCGGTACTTTCCACTGGTTATAGTCCCGTGTAGGGGGAGGCGAGGAGAGGTGCCGCCCTGGCAAGATCTCGCGGGTGTTGGTGAAGATCTTCGATCCCCACCATTTCAGCTCTCGATCCTTCGTCGGCGGAATGCTCCCGATAAACGGCTTGCCTGTAAGGGTGTGTTAGTGGTACTCGCGGAAACAGATCGTGATCGAAGCACTCACCCTCCGCGGGCGTGTAGCCCTGGAAGCCAACTGGCATGTCCTTGAATTTCTCATACTGCTTCTCGTCCAGTTGGGCCATCCCCGTCGTAATGCCGGCGGCCACGATGCGCTCGCCGGCTCGCAGGCCTGCGTTGCCGCTCTTCGCCGCACTCCATTCCAGGAGGGTTGGTGTGAACGCACCGGCGGCCACCACGACGTGGGTAGCGGACAGAAGCTCTCCTGTCTTGGTGCTGACGCCGGTACAGGTTCCCCGGCCGTCGAACTCCAGCGTTGCGACATCTGCAGTCACGTACCTGACGCCCAGCTCGATACACCGCTTGGTGACTGCTCGCAGAGAATCCCCGGCGGCGGCCCATCCGCTGGCTCGGTTCACCAGCACTTCCTTGACCCCCGTATAGTCTGCGTCGTTGAACAGACCGCCGTACAGCTTCCGGGCCTCGGCCACGGGCAGCGCGATGATGTCGTCGTTTCGACCGAGCTCCTTGTGGTTGTTGATGACATTTTGGGCGTAATCACTGCGGCAGGTCCAGTACACGCCGGTCTGGTGAAAGAACGGCTGCCAGAGCGGGTCCGACTTGAAAATTTCCTGGGCCTCCAGCGCCAACCGGCAGTAGACCTTGTCATCATAGTCGGCGCGCACCACCTTGTTCCAATCCCACGAGGCGGCTACCCGCGACTCGGCATCGTATGCATCGCGATCTACCAACGTTATGGTCGCATTGGGGTATTTCTGGATGAGGTGATAGGCCGTGGACACGCCAAACACCCCCGCGCCAATGATGAGGTATGAGGCGTCACTTCGCGCCATTGTCGACTTCAGCAATTCGTTGCCCAGATCTCGGGATGTCTGTTGTTCGTATGCCCAGCCGCGGCTCCCAATGATATTTTTTTGGCAGATCGAGCACCTCCGGGGGCGATTGGACAGATAAACCCCGTTGAATGTGCGATTGCCGGCATTTCAAATTGCTCCACCGTGCGGGCAGTGCGGGCTTATCAGTGCGGAGGCATCTCCAACGGGTCCAAAAGGAAGACGAACATCGGGCGGGGTCCCGGTCCGAGCCGATCACGTGGCCACATTTATCAAGGCGATAAAGCGAGCAGGTGCGCCTCGCGCCCTTGAAATCGTAGCCTCTTTGGGAGGCCACCCGGCCAGCCTGGCGACCATCGCAGGCGGCCCCCTCAGCGCAGTCGCGCCACCAATCGTCCACGGGGGCTGGTCTCCGCATGGCGGAGAGGGCGCTTTCCCGCGGGCAATCCGGTGCGGATTGCCGATTCCGGGTCGAGACTCGGATGCCTCCCGAGGGCTGCCGCCAGTCATTGGCAGTGCCTAGCTAGTAGATGGTCTGCACGAGTCCCCGTGGGAGATCACATGAGACATCGGTCTGGTCAGCGGTGTGTGCAGCCGCCTGACTTGATGTTCTGCAAGTGGGCCAGCCTGCATCGTGCGTTTCATACTAGAAAATATATAGTTCTCGCTATTTCGTAACACCATCAAACACTGAATGATCCCGCCGGGTGCTAGATGAAATACTGGGCTAGGTCTGCTCGCGGTCAACTCAGCAGTGCTCTGCAACCTCTGAATTCATTTCAGACGACCCCTATATCGCCACAGTCTAATACATTTAATCGCTGCGCTTTTGCTTTTTCCATAGTCGGTGCGGTGCCTGACCACACTGCATCCAGCGTCGGGCGATTTGACCATGATACATTCGCAGGGCCAAAATTGGAAGGCACCCACGACGTTGAAGTGAAGTTGAAACTCGCATGGTAATCACTGTGTTTCGGTATCAGGGTGACTTTTCCAAATTTTTTATGTATCAAAGATCTCCAACGCGAGCCAGACACTTATGAATGCGCTACCCGTCCCGACGCTTGTGAACTCGCGAGTCTGATTGCCCAGCTGCTTCCGAGCATCGAGGATAGATGAGAACACCTTGGCGCTGTAACCTCAGCCCTGGTGTTGCCAAATGCCGTCGGGTGTCCGTCTGCAGGGTCAGTTCCAGGGCATCGCCCGGGCCAATGGGCGTGGGTTCCCCTCTGCCAAGGACAGCGCAAGGCTTGGCCCATTCGAGGAAGACCTGAGGCATACCTGGGCAGAGAGGCTGCCCTGCAAATGAAAGGGCAGTCACGCGTCGCGGCGCCTGCTATCGCGTGCTATGGCAGGAGCCAGGCCACGGCTCAGTTGGAAGAGGGAGAATGTCTATAAGAAGACCCGGTCTCGCGCCGGCTTCCAGGTCACCTCGTGTGTTCACATTCCGGAAACATGAAGTGGTCAATTCTAGTCTCTTTCCTTCCCATCGTGTGGGCTGGTCGGTCAAAGCCTCTGGTGTCCCCGGTAGGTTCCAACATGACATGATCCCGGGCCGGCGCTGCTATTCGCAAGCATTACTGACTGAACAGAAAGGATGATTTCCCGTCTCTGATCCGACTGGAAGACCTCCTCAAAGGGTCCCGGACTCTGGAGAAATTTGCGTACTCGTACCCGGAGCGCAACCGTGTTTTTGGGGGTGCCGCCCACAATGATACCGTAGACTTCATCTATCGTGAGCTGAAGAAGACGGGCTATTACGATGTGTGGAAGCAGCCGCAAGTTCACACTTGGACCCGCGCCGAGTCATCTCTGATTCTCGACGGCGAAGCAATCGAGGTGACGACCATGACCTACAGCCCCAGTGTCAATGTGACCGCGGAGCTGGTGGTAGTGTCGAACGTTGGATGCAGTGCACCCGACTATCCGGACGAAGTAGCCGGCAAGATCGCTCTCGTCAAACGAGGAGAATGCAGCTTTGCAGAGAAGTCGGTGTTGGCGTCCGCCGCCAACGCAGCGGCCGTGATCGTGTATAACAACGCCGCCGGCTCGCTCAGTGGGACGCTGGGCGGAGCCTCGAGCGACCTGGGCTCTTATGCGGCCATCGCGGGGATATCTCAGGCTGATGGCGAGAACCTGGTCACCGCGGCAGCCGGAGGAACGGTCACTTTGTCTCTCGATATCGATAGCAAGGTGGAAAATCGCACAACATTCAATGTCATTGCCGAAACGAAAGGCGGAGATCATCACAACGTGGTCTCCTTAGGAGGCCATACTGACTCGGTCGAAGCCGGCCCCGGAATCAACGATGATGGCTCGGGCATCATCAGCAACCTGGTGGTCGCCAAAGCCCTGACACGCTTCTCGGTCAAGAATGCCGTCAGGTTCTTCTTCTGGACCGCCGAGGAGTTCGGCTTGCTGGGAAGCGAATACTACACCTCGCATCTCACCCCCAACGAACTGTCGAAGATCAAGCTGTATCTCAACTTCGATATGATTGCCTCGCCAAATTATGCCCTGATGATCTATGATGGCAATGGAGACGCATTCAACCAGACCGGACCCCCGGGTTCTGCCCAGATCGAAGCGCTTTTCGAGAACTACTTCACGGCCCACCACCTCCCCTATATCGCCACGGCTTTTGACGGCCGATCCGACTACGACGGCTTCATCTCGCGAGGCATTCCTGCGGGAGGGATCTTTACCGGTGCCGAGGGCGTCAAAACGGAAACAGAGGCCAAGCTCTTTGGGGGGCAGGCGAATATCTCCTATGATGAAAACTACCATGCGGCCGGGGATAACTTCACCAACCTCAACCACGAGGCATTTCTCATCAATTCGAAAGCGACGGCGTTTGCGGTCGCCACCTACGCCAACAGCCTTGATTCGATTCCTCCGCGCAACCAGACTATCACAAAGAGAGCGTACAAAAAGCGATCCCCTCGATCGCACGCACATGTCAAGAATACCGGCTGTTTCCATTCGCAGGTGGAGATCTAGGCGTGCAGGCATATCGGCATCGCTCTTCCAGTACATGAACCAGGGCAGGCCCAGTCGATTGATCTTTCGATCTCTGCGCTTTCACATGCTTCAGGGTCTGAGCATTTCCCCGCTCAGTGTTTGTTTGTGTTGCTTCAACAGCGCTACCTAGGTATTGGAACAAGTAAAACGCTTAAAACAAGCTTGCATCGCTTATATACAGACGGGTTAAATGCCAATGAATATAGTCAGCCTGTGGATAAGGAGTTTGTGCAATGACCCCCTCAGAATCTGAACATAGTTCTAAAATATGACCTTCTCAAAGGCCTCTTGTAGTCCTTTCGCTTCCAGCCATGCCTCCAGAGCCTGCATATCGCCCCGGTTGGCTCGCTGTCCCCCACGCTCCCCGAGCGAGTCTGTGATCTCTTCCATCCCCAGGAAGACGCGGTGCACCCCGTTGGTCTCCCGAAACCGTTCACTAACCTTTTTTTGATGACTGGGGATATCCCCCCACGAATGGGTTTTGATGAAACTCATGTAGGCATCAATGTCGGGGGAGGCACCCTCGAGACACAAGACTCCGGGCTTACCGGCTAAAACAAATCCGGTGAGGCCGTATCCCGGCGCCAGATTGACCATATCGTCTCTCTTTCTGCGCGTGGAGAGAGATGGGAAGTAGAACCACACTCGCACCATGGGTTCTCGAGGTCCCAGCCCCGAGCGTGTCTTTTCCGAGTCCGCGTCGTGGCACTCTTTGTTTTCGAGGAAACAAGTAGCTTCTGCTTGAATATATTCGAATGCCTCCATGACATCCCCTTGAGGGATGGACGTTGCTATCTGACGAATCTCTGCCTTGGACATCCAATCTGGCTGCCGAAGTGAATAGCCTAATGGCGGTGGTTGATCCATATTTGCTGGATCGGAACATTGTAGAGGGACTGCAATATTGACTTGAATTGTTTTCCCTGTCTCGGCAACCGGGAGTGAAACCGTCAAAAATAGATTGGCGGGAATCTTCGCCATTGGGGTTGGGTCTACACACCACGCCCGAACCCTTTCGACATCTTCTGCGGTGGAGTCCGAAATATCGAGTTCTCCTGGAGATGGAAACATGGCCACTAGGAGATCAACGACGGATATTTGGGACTCCATCAGGTCCGCCGGTAAGAATTGCAGCGATTGGGAAGCCATATTGAACCCTCAAGGCACGCAATCCCCCATTACATAAACGGCCTTCCAAGATGATTGGCAGCCTGGGTCCCGGCCCAGAGCTCGGACGGTGGAGGAGTGTCTGTTAGAGAATGACGGCCTCTTTCAACAATGCGAGATTAGATGATCGCTCATGCAGTCCCCGACGGGCTCAGCAGCGCGGCTGCCGGGACGCCCTGCAAAATCCCGCTGCTCAGTCAGCGCGCTTACATAATGAGTTTCCCCGACCAACCGCTGCTTTGCACCCTCCGCGTCACCAAGCTACCATCTCAGGAGAATAGAAGAAACAGGAGCATAGATCCTGAGATCCAATTGCTAAACAGGGAGGGATTTGATAAAGGATATGTCTATGTGATTTGGAACCATCTATGTTCTGCCATGGACCCGTGTACTTTCCGCTGTCTGCATCAGGTGAGGCTGACCGAAGCTGACCTGTGTGCATGGAATGTCCCACTGAATCACGACGTAGTCTGGGCCAGCGCCCGTTGGAAGAGCTCGGCAATAGAGCGACTGACCGCGTCCGTACGAGGGACTTCGTGTCCACCCCCATGATTATAGGTGCGTCGGTTTTCTGGATCGCATATCCCAGAGAGATGCACCCCAGCCGCGTACCGGGGATCTTTCGACCCATAGATATGCACGGTGGGGATTTGAATTCGAGAGGGGCTCGTGATCTCACGACGAAGTTCCTCTTCCGACAGACCCCCGTCCAGTGAATTCAGCCCCGTCCACCGATTGGCACCCTTGGTTAACACGGCGGAGGAGCCAGCCTGGAGGGCCAGAGCCGAACGTGAGGCCGCGTCCCGCTCACGCGCTTCCGCCGACACATGGAAGCCCAGTTCGACCAGCACGTTCAACGACGCCCCGCCACAGATGAAAATGGCGCTTTTAAAAGGAGGTGGGAGGTGCGGGGTTTCCTCTTGGTGGAACAAAAGCGCACTCGAGCCGAGCACGCAGCCCTGGGAAAACATGAGAGCGGCATCGTAGGGCCCATTCTTGGCGATATAGTCGTTCAGCCACGCACACGCCGCGCGAACCGAGTCGACCGAGTCGGAATCCCAGAAGGCATAGTATGGCGGGCTGTAGAACAGGTCGACCCCCGCCGCGGGATCACTCTGGAATGGACCATCGACAAAATCGAACTCGATGTTTTTGTCAGCCAGTCGGGCCCGAAAGGAGGCTGCCGGTGGCGGCGTGAGCGACGATCCAGTGCGGGGGGGTTGTAGAAGCACATACACGTCTGGGATCGGAAGATCGCGCCACTAGTGCCTTTCCCGTGGAGACAGAGAACCCTCATGGCTGGTCAAGATCGGAATGGTTGTTTGGACACTGGTCAGTGAGGAGGAGGGGAGAAATGGCGGGGCGAGGCCGAGGGGATAAGCACGGCTGCGTCCTGTCTGCAATCCTGGTCACGCCCCGGCCCGCGCATGCGAGAGCCGCACTAGGCCATGCATACCATTGTCGGCCTGCCCTGCGTTGTGTCAAGAGACCACTCCCTCCGTTGCAAGACCTCTCAAGCGTGCAATCGCCCGTCTCGTTCAATTCCAGACGGACACTCCTTCGCAAGTGGGTCGGCCGTCAACATCGTGCGGCTCCCCCTTGCGCCCGCCAGGCAGCATTCCACATTGCGGACGAGCAGAAAGAAGAACCGCAGAGGATCTTATCGCTGCGCGCTGCCATTCATCCTCCCATTTTGATCGGCATTGGATGGCAAAGTGGCTGGTGGAGCTCCATTCAAATTTGTCTGCTAGTCCAAACTGCCTCGGTCGGAGCGTCATTCATCCGATATGGGGAGGGTTGGACTTGACCGTCGTCTTCCGAGGTCCATTGCCGTCTATTATTAATCGGTTGGAAATGGCATTGGACAAGAGCGGGAAGTCTCTGGAGCGACGTGGATGAGCCGATTTGTGAGGGACTACACGAGAAGAGCAGAAGAGAAGAGGAGAAGAGGAGGGAAGGCGCCCGTTTGCAGGAGACCCTCGATGATGTCACCAATGCATCTCCCGTCTATCAAGGGCGGGTGCCATGGCTACTATATGTAGTCTACACGAAGCAAAGTTGGTCAATTGATCTTCTACAGTCTATCGAAGAACTTCGAAACAAAACTACACAGTGCCATCGGTTCGGTCGATCGGCAGAGTTTGTGGGAACTGCAGCAACGGGATCCACCATGTTCACCGTCGTCATGATGGTGTTATACTCACAGTTTGCGGAAGGCGTAGGAGTCGAGATTTGTAATCAGTCCGAAGCTTGCTTAAATAACTAGTTATATACCGGCCGCCGGCGTTGGCCCACAGCACCCTTCCACCCAATTCTGCACTCTCTCACAATAGCATTCTGACACTCGCGGAATATGTCTACCCAGAAGGCCGTCATCATCACCCAGCCCAAGACCAGCGAGCTGGTCACAGACCGTGCTATCCCGGCTCTGCGCGATGACTATATCCTGGTGAAGAATGTCGCCGTGGGCCTCAATCCCACCGATTGGAAGCACGTCGCGTATCTCTCGCCCCCGGGGGTCCTGGTGGGATGTGACTACGCCGGTGTCGTTGAGGCTGTCGGAAACGAAGTCCAAAAGCCGTTCAAGAAGGGGGACCGGGTCTGTGGCTTCGCCCATGGGTGCAACACTGTGCAGCCCGAGGATGGCACGTTTGCTGAGTATATCGTGGCCAAGGGCGACCTGCAGATGAAGATCCCCGACAGTCTTAGCTTCCAGGAGGCGGCTACCCTCGGGGTGGGCATCAACACGGTGGGCCAAGGCCTGTATCAGAGCCTGAAGCTGGCCCTGCCCACAGAACCCATCAAGGAGGCCACACCGATTCTGATCTATGGCGGATCGACCGCCACTGGCACCCTAGCTATCCAATTCGCCAAGATATCCGGCTACACCGTGATCACCACCTGCTCGCCACATAACTTTGACTTGGTGCGTTCGCTCGGTGCTGATGCCGTCTTCGACTACAAGGATGCCCAGGCCCCGGCCGAGATTCGCAAATACACCAAGGACAACCTGAAGCTCGTCTTCGATTGTATCTCGCTGGAGTCGAGTGCCGCCTTCTGCGACCAGGCCATCTCGACCACCGGCGGCGAATACAGCGCTTTGTTGAACGTCAAAATCGAGCGAGCCAACGTCAACGACCGATTCACGCTGGCCTATACCATCATTGGGGAGGCGTTCAAATTCGGTGACGTGCCATTTCCCGCGAAGCCCGAAGACCGAGCCCATGGCGAAAAGTTCATTGCCATTGCGGAACAGTTGCTCGCCCAGGGCAAAATCAAGGTGCACCCACCCAAGGTGGGCCCCGACGGCCTGAAAGGTGTGCTCAATGGGTTGGAGCTTCTCAAGACCGACAAGGTCAGCGGAGAAAAACTGGTTTACAATCTGTCCGAAACTCCTTAGAGGATGATGATTACTGCGATCCTGCTGTTTGTAGCCTTGATACAATTCAAATTCATTCTATGCCTAGGTAGTCACCTTGGCCGGATTTCTCTGCTCATTTTTCGATCATGGTTCTGTCATTAATCAGTGCTTCTGTGCTACACTATTAATGCAGTTCCAAGATTGTACAGGTAAGAAGGTCTTGAATCTGAGCCAATCAAAGCGTTTATGGGTACTTATATTCGCTACACTACAAAGGTGATGCATACTTTGTACTTCAAACAACTTGTTTTTTTTTTCCAATACACCGTTTACTTCGGGATTTCTCGAACGTGATTAAAATTAATAAATAGCCTTTACATTCTTTTATCTGGAATCATTATCCTTTCCCCCTAATTATTATTTGCTGGTGCGTAATTTATATTTGAATATTTCAATTGGGAAAATCAGGAATCGGCATTAAATTCAGGGGGCCTTCAACTCAACGAAGAATCGAGGGCGGATTAGTGATTCGAGGGCCGCCCACATATTTCGAGGGTTTATTAGAGAGCCGCCCTCAACGACCCTCAAAATCTAACCAATTATAAGAATAGTTCAGAGTAGAAGTGGGAAAAAATATGATATATCTATTTACAACGCGACTACGACTGCACCCGCAAGCGAGCTGAATCTCAAGGACTTGTGGAATTTTTTGTAGGTCTTGACTCTCTTTCTCTTTTTCTGCACAATATGTCATTTCTTAAGTAATGTCTCAAATTTCTCAGTTCTCTGATATCTATCCCTCGTCAGTACATGAGGGTGATCCAATTGATCCTGTTCTCTAATTCCCCGATGAGCGATTACGAACGCCTGACCCTTCTGGAATCCAGCAGACACTCGAATCAGTATCGAATTCCGCCCCGATCCCTCTACCCCTGATTCCTGCTTCACTTCAGCGTGTTGGTCTTGGTCGATCCACATCATTTGTTCTGTACTCTGAGATGTCGAAGAATGAGTTTGTCGCTTGGTGGTTGAACACTGAGTTCGGAAAGAAGAAACGACTGAATTGGAGTGCCAACCGTACAGCTACTTGTTGGGAGCAATTCGAACAAGTTGCTGATACTAAAACTGGCAAACCTGGGGCTATGTGTCGTCACTGCCATAAAGTCCTTGATCATCCAGCGAATGGGCGTTATGGAACAACATCCCTTCATCGGCATTTGGCTGGACCAACTTGTCACAGATCTACTTCTCAGAAGGCTGATATCAAGTGGCTACTAGCTGATGTTGTATGTACTATTAAAGCTATGTCAACCTTTAATTTACTAACTTAAAACCCCCTGGTTCCTAGGGACGGAATACACCAAACAAGTCGACAGTCTTTACACAAGCAGCATGGGAGCAGAAGCTTCTACAACTTCTTACTCTTTCGCACCTTCCCTTCCAATTATCGAGCACCCGGAGTTTCGTGAGCTTATTTCCTTTGCTCGACTTGCGCCTACACCACCAGAGATTCCTTCTGCACGGGTAATTCGGTCTCGGCTACGGGGTTACGTTCAATAACAGCAACAGTCCCTTCTTCAAAAGCTACCTTCTAATGCAAAGCTCTCGCTTGCATTGGATTTCTGGACATCTCCATTTCGACAGGCTTTTATGACTGTGACAGGCTACTTTCTCGATCAGGATTGGGAGTATCAAGAGATCCTCCTCGGCTTTGAACCACTATCTGGGTCACACTCAGGTGTGAATCTAAGTGATGTGGTTCTTAAGCTCCTTCAGCAGCATAAGATCGCAGATCGAGTCCTCCCAGTCACTACTGATAATGCGTCAAACAACAACACGATGATGTCGAGTATCCATGAATCATTACAGTCACTTGAACTCAACAATCATTCTACTATTGTTCGGGTTCCTTGTATTGCTCATGTTATTCAGTTGATTCTGAATGATCTTCTTGGAGTGATGAAAGCAAACCCAAAGAATGAGAGCGCTGAGATAGAATGGCCTAAAGGTCGCGTCCAATCTCTTCGTGCGAGGCAGCAAAAAGACAGATTGTTGATACACATAATAAGGTATAACTATTCCTATTTCTTACTATACTTTCTTACACTGACTCTTTTCTTCTCTTTCTAGGTCCGAACCCTTGCTGTCTATATTAACGCGAGTCCTCAACGCCGGGAGGCATTCTGCAATCTTCAAACTGAAGAGCTAAAGCTTGTTCCAATCCAGGATGTACGAACTCGCTGGAACAAAACCTTTTGATGCTTCGACATGCTAAACGACTACAATCAATATTCGATGAGTTTTGTTCCCAGTACAATCAGGAGCACTTTGCGTTAAGTCAAGAAGAGTGGTGACAGATTGAATATCTTGGATCATCCAACCTTTCTTCAAATTCACAGCCCTTCTTTCAAAGACTAAGGATGTTAGTATCCATCTAGTCTTTAGCATCTACAATAAGCTCTTCGATCATCTTGAAAAGTCTCAAAAGGCGTTGAAACGGAAGAAAGTTGCTTGGAAGCAGCTCATGCTCGCTTCGCTTGAAGCAGCAAAGAAGCTTTCACAATATTACAGTATGACCGACACAATTGACAACAATCCCTACGTAATTGGTACAATCCTCCCCGCAGCAGAAGCTTCAATTTTTTGAAGGGAAGGACTGGAATGATCCAGATAATGATTGGCGTGCAATCTATCGAGCAAGCTTAAAGATTACTTTGACATCTACAAGCGACGCCATTCAGATGCACAATCAATATCTAAAACCCGATCATCTGTAGTGGCTATATCGGAGCTTGAGATGGAATGTGTGGCAGAAGGCTTCCATGACTTTGTCTCTGGTGAATCTGATGAGGTAAAAGAATACCTTGAAAGTGGTAAGTGATAATTCTCTGTCATATAACCTAGACTAACCTCCATTATAGGCATTGTGCGAACTCCTATTCGTGTGTTTTGGAAGGATCATCAGCATCAGTTTCCAGCCCTTGCAAACCTTGCCCGCGATGTGCTTTCGATACCTGCAACAGCGATACCTGCAACAGGAGCAGGTATAGAGCGGCTTTTCAACTCCGCCCGGAATGTCTGTCACTACCGGCCAGGCTCTCTGAAGCCGTCAACAATCCAAGATCTTGTGATATTCATGTGTACATCAAGGTTTGAGATTTAAGGGGGCCGGCGAGCTTTGATCAATGAATATCTCTCTTTTGAAGAGATACAGGCTGAACAGGAGGAAAAGGATACAAACCCTCACTATCCTGAACCGATCAGTGATAATGACGAGGGTAATGATCATGATTATGATGAGGGTGATATTGATAATTTTGTCCTTGATATTGTTCAACCCACTCATAAGAAGGCTCAAGCAAAACGGCGACAAAGCGCTATATCTGAGCTAGAAGATGGAGAGCAGGATACTCATGAGGATGATGCTTCCCCCTTACCTAGTATGCAAAATCGACATTCAGGGTGAGTTCGAAAGCGCTCAGGGCTTCTTGATGGATATGAAACCCCTTAGCTGTATATAGAATAGACCCCAATAATAAAATATATCAGAATCACTGGTTTTACATTAATGAACACCATACGATTACTCTTTGAAATCTTAATCTTGAAAACAAAATACTCAACGATACAGCTGTAACCTACATATTTTATGCAATCCCAGGACTTTTTGTGTTTGTCATGTTTGTCGGCCCTCGAAATGTCTCGAGGGCCACCCTCAGAGGGCGGGCAGAAGACCCGCCTGGCCCTCGGGCAGGAGCTACCGGCCCCCCGCCCGCAAAAACGAGGGCGGCCCGCGGGCAACGGCGAGGTCTAGTGCCGAGCGAGGCCTCGAATTCCTTCGACCCGGGCTCCCAGACCTGGCAGGAGCTGAGCGCCGTCCACGGCTTGTATATATTCTGGGTTACAAACTTCCACGTGTTCAGTACATCAATGTCCAAGAAAATGAGATGTTTGAGCGTCGCAAGAGAGGAATCCCTGTGATAAATCGCCTTTGTTAGATGAGACATCCACGGATCAAAGGAGTCTCTCGCTCTCAACATCATTTCGATAAAAATCACACCGGGGCCCGTCCGACCCTGCCACATCGTATTACCTTCTAGATAGCCCTCTTCGCCGCGTGGGCCTTGAAGATTCCACAGCTCGACCCATCGGTATAAAGACTGCTCGTCGTCTATCCCGCTCTCAACCGGCAGCCACATCTTCTCAATTAGTGCGCCATACTTGCGCGGTAGACCCTCAGACGTGATCTCAATGCGCCATCGACGGCTTGAAAGGCCGAGGCAGTTGAATCCAGTAAATGAGATTTGGTGGTGGTAAGTGCTCGCAGTCTCAATGCCATTCATCCGCTGGTGAAGTATCTTCCCTTGTTCCGACAGTCAACGGCAGTTCAACTCTTTGATCCCGTCTCCAGGACCCATATCTAGGTCGAGGTTGATATTGTTCTGAGTCGGTAGACATTTATGGCGAAGGAGGGAGCCCAAGATGTCCAGTCGCAAACAAGTGAGCGTTCCGAGGGCATGTCATCTCGAAAACTTCCTCGAGGGACTTTATATGGTCACGTACTCGGCACTCCAAAAAGGCACACTGCCCCCACGGAGATGCTATCCCGAATCTGAAACAAAGAGGCGCATCTGGTTGCGCCTCAAAGCATCATCGTCCGGGGGCGCCGGGGAGTCTCGACTCCTGATTGCCCAAGAAATTATAGCCAAAATTAGATTGTCCCCAGATCGATTTCATTTCCATGAATGACTGAATCTGTCGTCGGGTCCTGCCACCAGCCACGCTCCCCATTGTTCTCATTGAACGAGCAATGGGCATGCTGAGCGAGTCAGTCAGAGCTTTTTATAGCCCACACCAGACTTGGCCGCCATGGCCGTCGGCCTTTTGTCCTGAGTCACTTGCAGGTCATGTCTTTGCTGGACCCGGGGGTGGTTTGTTTCAAGACATCCTCGGTGCGGTGGATGGATTTGTCGAGGGCGCAAGTCAGATCGCCAAGACGGCCAGATCTTGTTTCTCATCGACTTGACGTGTCCGCAGAGGGCCCTCATGCGCCGCACTGCCCCAGTACCTCGCCAGTACCTGGGTGCTCACGCTGGGGCAGGAGGACGGCGGGTCGCTGGCAGGTATTCGCATTCCCCGCCAAGCTTCGGCGATGACGTCGTCCATCGATCCCTCGATTTCCCTTCGATCTCCCGCAACTTCCCCTCTGCTCCGACACACCCACCACTAGCATGGCGACGACCTCCGAGGCAAATGCGCTGGGTTATAACCTCCAGGTGGACTATGTCGTGTGCTACAGCTTCGGTGACGTCGGTAAGTGTTTCGTTCAGGGGGCTGCACCCCGTACTTGGCTAACGTCTCGGCAGGCCGATCGCAAGCTGTAGAACAGCTCGAGAAGCTGCTCCAGGCACTTTCTGACGTCGGCTTGCAAACGGAGATCCGTCAGGGCGATGAATCATCTCTTCTGATTTTCGTGCGAGCTTCCAAGAAGCGACTCAGGCGGGCGGTGTATCGATCACGGTAGGCCATCTCCTCTGCTGGTCTTTTCCAGCAAACTCTTCACGACGCCTGACCCCCCAGCCCAAAAGTTAACCGATGATCTTCCTTTCGGTAGTGTTCGTGACTGGTTATATGGAATCCGCAATGCCGAACCCGAACCCGCCAGTGCGATCGAGCCCCAAACAGAAGCGGAACGACTCCGAGTCATCTACCACATGATCACCCTCCCCGCGCAGGAGGGCGGTGCCGGGATCACCCCGAATCACGGAGAATGGGAGAAGATCACTGCGGTCTTCCCCCTCCACGACGAGGAGACAAACAAGAAATGGATACGGGAGTGGAGCAAGAAGACCTTTCTCTCCGACGACGATCTGGACCAGATTCGCAACAAATTTGGAGAAAGCGTGCGTATTCAATGCCAGAGAGCCGTGAAATGTGGGGCTTTGAGACTGACGAAGGTGGACAGGTTGGCTTCTACTTTTCCTTCTTGCAGTCATATTTCCGGTTTTTGATCTTTCCCGCGGTGTTTGGCTTTTCGTGCTGGTTCTTCCTCGGTGGGTATTCCGTTGTCTATACGGTAGTAAACAGCCTGTGGTGTATCATCTTTGTCGAATACTGGAAACGCCAGGAAGTCGATCTCGGTTGCCGGTGGCAAACGAAAGGTGTCTCCGCGGTACAGACGAAACGGCGCGAGTTTAAGCCTGAGAAGGAGGTGCGCGATGATAGCACTGGTGAAATGCGCGGAGTATTTTCCGCCACGACGCGGATGCAACGGCAGCTTCTTCAGATCCCATTTGCTCTGCTGGCCGCAATTGCGCTCGGTGCGATCATTGCGACCTGTTTTGCGATTGAGATTTTCATCTCGGAGCTCTACAATGGTCCTTTGAAGACCTATCTGGTATGTGCATCCTTTCCAAACTAGGCAGAAGCCTCCCCTTCCGCACGGGGCTGACGATGCGGCCCCAGATCTTCATTCCCACCATCCTAGTGTCCGCCCTGGTTCCGACCATGAGTGCGGTGCTGATGTCCATTGCGACCAAGCTCAATGATTACGAAAACCACGAAACCAGCGATGGTTACGATGTGGCGCTGACCCAGAAAGTATTCGTCATCAATTTCATCACCTCTTACCTGCCAATCTTTTTGACGGCTTTTGTCTATGTTCCATTTGCGAGTCGGATCGTGCCATATCTCGATGTGTTCCACTTGAGCGTGCGGCCCTTCGTCTCCAAAGAACATGCGTCGGCGAAACGGTCGCACTTTCAGATCGATCCTGCACGCCTCCGCAATCAGGTCATCTATTTCACGGTGACGGCCCAGATCGTCGGGTTTGCCATGGAAACGATTGTGCCGTATCTGAAGCAACACGCATTCCGAAAGTACAAGGCTTTCAACAAGAAGCGCAATGGGAAGCTCCAGGGGAATGGAGACAAAGAATCCCCCGAAAGGAAACCCGTCGTGATCGATAACGACCCGGTCGAGGAGAAGGAGTTCCTGGCTCGCGTCCGGAATGAAGTCGAGCTGGCCGAATACGAGGTGACTGATGACCTTCGCGAGATGTGCATCCAATTCGGATATCTAGCGCTGTTCTCACCAACGTGGCCTCTGGTCCCGGTCTCATTCTTTGTCAACAACTGGGTCGAGCTGCGCTCCGACTTCTTCAAAATATGCATGGAATTCCGCCGCCCAACACCAATCCGAGTAGATACCATTGGCCCTTGGCTCGACACCCTCGGTTTCCTCTCCTGGGTGGGCAGCATTACGAGTGCGGCCTTGATCTACATGTTCAGTGGCAACTCGCAGCACGGTCCAAATGGCGAGCCAACCGACATCGCGGGCTGGGCCCTTCTGCTGACCATTTTCTTCTCCGAGCACCTCTACCTCATTGTGCGATATGCTGTCCAAACTGCCATGACGAAGCTTGAGCCCCCCCTTTGCACGTAAAGAGCGGGCCGCACGTTACTTGATGCGCAAACGATACCTCGACTCGACTCTTCGCGCTGAGGCGAGTGATGACCAAGAGGAGGACGATGGCATCTCAGCCTCGGGCCCGTCCGAGATTTCACGCCGTGCTCTCGAGGATGATGCACGGCAGTCAGCCTCACACAGCACCGATCCCGCCGAGCGATTTTGGATGCGTCAGCGCGGTTGGCAGGAGTCGGCGCAGATCGGCGCAAGAATCATCCAGTCGCAGCCTAGTTCTGACGACAGCAAGAAGCAGCAGTAGAACAAGAAATAGCCCCGGCCCGCTTTCCATCAACGGTGTTGGTAGGACAGATTAATCACCAGCTTTTTGTTAAACCCCCGGCAAGTTGTAAACACTGAACGATTGTAGAGTATTTCTATTCAAATTAAAATGAGGATTCTTAATTGTGATAAAAGAACGAACGCCTGTGCTCTATGGTCCATGATATATCGTAATTCGTCAATCAAGTATAATACTACTAGTATAAACAATCATTTGCGTCCAGGCGTCGGCGTCCAGACGTTCCCCAGCCCGGAGCTCGTCTTGGAAGCCGAGGAAGTTCGCGGTGTACTGCCACCAACCGAGTGCAGCAACCTCTGTGCCGCTGGGGTGAGCAGTTTTCCATGAGGAGAACCCGATCTGGCGCTCGGGGTCGATCCACGCAATCCGAAATCTAATCGGGGACTGCTGGCAAAACGGGGCGTGGGCGTCACAGGAGTCTTGGTTGTGCGAGCCGCTTTTTCAGCACGTTTGTTGCGAGCAACACGGTCGACCATGCGATGATGTAAGGCCTCTCGCTTCCGTGTTTCGGCGATCTGAAAGGGGTTGGGGGTCGAATCCGTCGGGCCGAGAAGACGCCAGTCTAGTTCAGAGGAGGAGTCGATTGGGCCAGCAATTGATTCTGGCTCGTCCTCATCGACAAAGGCGTACCCGTTTACGCGTGGGGTTTCCCCTCCCGCAATCGCAGACCCTGCATCCGACTCGCTTAGTTGTGGCCTGCCTGCAATGGCATCTTGGATTGCGGACATGGATGGCGAGGACGGTGTATTCCGAGTGGCGTCTGCGGCCGCAGCCGCGTCAGCATCGACAATTCTGGTGTTCTGATGCAAGACACGCTTCGGTCCAGCCCTGGAGGCATTTTCAGCCTTTTGTTGTCTTGTTTCGTGCGTATCTTCGACGGAAGAAGGGTGGAACATGAGCGAATTTTCAGGACGGGCATTCCAAGAATCGGGCCTAGCTGGACGTGCTGCGAGGTCGGTCTTTATGGCTGGCTCGGTCGATGGATTTCGCAGAACAAGATCCTTGTTTGGATTCCCGCCCTGAGCAGTAATACGCTTCGTCTCCTGCTGGTGATGCGCAATCTGTCGTGCTGACGGGATCTTATTGTTGTTCCAAATCCAAGCATGCTTCTCTCGACGCGCGGAATTTTGCTTGTCAAGGACCTTGTTGAAGGACTCATTATCATCACTAGTGTACCTGGCTTGAAATGCCATCAGACTCATGTTTGACAGATCAGGCACAATGCGGTCCTTTTCTCCGGTGGCGCCAGTTGTTGCCGATGCGACCGATATGGGAGTATCGCCTCCCCATCCACGAGGGGTCTCATCTGGCTGGCCTGGCAGAACATGCTGTGGCGTGCTTGCGACTGATGCGGGGCTGGATCTTCGTCTGGCATTCGAACCGGGTATTGGACTTTGCATAACATCTGCGAGCTTCCGCTTTGCGCTAATAATCCACTCTTTGTCTTTGGACTCCACGGCATCGAGGTACTCCTGCTTCGCCTGAGTCTCACGCAGACCAGGAAAAAAGTCACGCGAAATGATATGCGACATGGATTCGGTGTAGACATCTTCATCCAATGCTGTTGTGGGACGTTTAATGCGCTTCGGAGGCGGAGGTGGAGGCATGAGCTGGCCGTCAGGCCGCTTGGCGAGCGAGCGCGATGTTTCTGGATCCATTTTGATCGCGGGTTAATAGACGTATCATGTGTGTATCATTCTGAGAGAATTTGGGTCGATGGCAGGGAGGAGGGATAGGAAGTATTAGTGTATATGACGAAGTCTCGGCTGATCGCAACGGCTCGATGTGAACTCACTGGTGTTTTTTCTGTTTGCGATGTTTGTCTGCTGATGTCATCGGAGTTTGCACTCCTTGAATCTTTTACTGCCGGGCGGTGTGGTCTTGCGTTGCGGGATGCAATTCAGGTTGCGGTTGCATTCAAGCAGGACCGCAGGTTGCCCTTGGGAGTCCATACTCGCTACCTGCTGCCGGGGGATATCGCCTTTGACTTGCCTGGCATTTGACATTCTGACCAGAGATGCGGGCTGAGCAATATGGAGAGTGCTCGACATAGGTTTTCACGGATTGATTCATCCCACCTCACTTTCTTGCCCTTCGCATCTTCGCATCTTCGTTCACTTTACAGATATCAATACAATGGAGTACGGGTCGCCACCTAAAGGGGCCCCGTCTTCACCAAATGCCTCTCGGGAACCGCGTCTTCATCTTCCCTCGACGACCGACCCTCCAGGGTCACAGAACCCCCCAAACCACTTGTCTGGTTGATTTTCGGGGCTACCGGACATATGGGCCGATCTCTTGTCAAAACTGCTCTTTCACGCAATGATCTTGTGAGTGCAGTCGGTCGAACATACGAAAATAGTCCTGAGTGCATGAAAGAGCTAGAGGACGAACATGAGAATTGCTTGGGGCTGCTCTGTGATGTTCGGGCTCGGGAAACCGTAAAACGAGTTATCGAGCAGACGATTGCTCGATTCGGCCACATCGATGTCATTGCGAACTGTTCAGGCTACGGGGTTATTGGGGCCTGTGAGGACCAGGACGAATTTGATATTCGGAATCAGTTTGAGACCAACTTCACGGGCACCCTGAACATGATCCAGTTGTCGCTGCCGCACTTCCGCGAACGGCGGGCCGGTCGGTATTTGATCTTCAGTTCGACGTCTGGAGCTCTCGGGGTGCCAGGTCTGGGGCCATACTGCGCCTCTAAATACGCGGTCGAAGGCTTGATGGAGAGTATGCTGTACGAGGTCGACAGCTTCAACATCAAGGGCACACTGGTGGAGCCCGGCCATATGCGCCGGGACGATATCGGGGACCTCGTGTCGCCTTCTGTGATGGCCAACAACCCCTCCGAACACAATCTCTCCTCACCACTCCCGCTTTATGGCCATTTCTTGGTGAAACCACCCAGCGAACCATACAACACCACCACTTCACCCGCTGCTCACGCTCGTCGTATGCTCATGTGGCTAGGTGACAAGCAACCGGCGTCGGCTGTCAAGGCTGCTCACTTAGTGTGGGAGCTTGGTCACTGCTCTTATCCTCCTTTGCGCTTGATTCTCGGTACGTATGCTGTCGAGAGCATTCGCGACCGTTTGAAGTGTATCATTGAGGAAATTGAAGACTGGAAGCATCTGAGTTTTCCACTTGGCGAATCACAGCCGGCTCCTGTGCCCCGAGAAAGGGCATCGACTGTTGGAGATGGAAACGAGGGCGATAATCCGTCATGAGGGACTGCATATATGACGCGCCCATAATTATTCCGCTGGCACAGTGTCAGAGTACGAGTCTGCAGAAATTTGGTGAAAGAGTAGTCTTCGGTCTCGAAGACTACTAGTGGTTAGTAGCCCCTCACACGAGGCAAATCACGAGACAACGAGTATACGATATCCAATATACATCAGAGCTGGTTCCTACGTCCTCAAATCTACCCGGTGCCCGAGAAGCTTAGGTGGCCTGCCTTGCTGTAAATATCTTCTACGACATTGAATCTGTCTCTCGGCCCAAGTGTAGGGGTGCTGGAAGTTGGAAAAGAGAAGGTGGGGGAGTATCTTCGTGTTGTGTACAAGGATGGTAATAATAAAATACTTCGAAAAAGATCTGAGATCCATTTGTGCGGTTTTGCGTCGGGTCAGCGTGGCTATTATCCCTTCGTGATCACACGGTCCTCGATCCAGCGAGCAAACCGAACACTCGGGATGTCCACGGCACGCCAAAATACATCACCGGCCCAGATACAGAGGGGTAAGCAGAACAGCCAGCCAACCATGAATCCGAAGCAGTACTGGAAGTTTGTTGCTTTGCCTGTCATTGCCCAGATACTGGGCATGAGAGAGTAACCAAGGGCGTGCAATATTGGACCATGTACAATGTAAAAGGCGAAGGAAATCTTGCCCAGATACTGGGAAAGCGGGTGGGTGAAAAGCTTTTGAATGTCGGGCGAGTGGTTGACACTCAACACAATGAGGGCGGCTCCAATGGTCTGGGGGAATCGATGAGGCTCGGGGTAGGTCCATGGCGTGACTCCCCACAGCCAGCGATAGAAAGGCGTCCACTTGAAGCCGATATTGGGGGTCGAGCCCAGATAGAGGCCGAGCACGAACACGGCAATCCAGAAGCGGCGACGCGAAATGCTGGCCAGGATCTTGCCCCGAAAGATCAGGCGGATCTGTGGCATCTGTTCTGCTGACTGGTGTGGCTTTTCCCACGTTTCATTGATCAGGTCGATCTCAGCTATCAGCATTCCAAAGAAAAAGAGAACTACATCCCAACGGCCATATCGCATGCAGAACCAAGTCAGTGTCCCGACGAGAGGCATGCGCAACCGGGCGGTGAGGCGGGAGGTGGCCAGGGTAGTAAGAAACAGGACCAGCGAGCTTCGAAATTCCACAGGAATGGTCCACATGTGAGGGTTGTAGTTGTTGTAGTACAGGCCCCAATCGAATGGGTTCAGCAGATGCGCGACGGTATAGTACCAGTCCCACGACTGTTTGTAGAGGGATTTATAAACCGGCGGGTGTTGCTCGTTGGTGCCGAGAATCGTGTGGCCTTCTTTGACGACGCCCCAGGAATAGTTGTACAGGCCAAGACGCACCGCCACGAAGACACAGGCCAAGCCAACCATGCAGGGTATGTAAAGACGTAGGCCTCGGCGGAAGGTCGACGAGGCTAGAACGGTAAAGGTTTGGTCGAACGAGCGAGATCGAATGGTTTTGAGCGGCTTATAGGACAGGACATAGCCAGAGATGACGAAGAAAATGGCCACCATGATATGCCCGGAAATCAACATGTGCACGATGGGCAATTGGTGGATGCCGAAATTCTCGTTTGCGAACCCCCAGCCGATGGCAACCTTCCACGTGTAGGTGAATAAAAAGTGGAAGTTGAAGACTAGGAGACAGGCCCAGCCGCGTAGGCCATCCAGGCCAGCGATGGCGTGTAACTTGGCGGGTTGAGGCGGGTCGGCGCCTACATATCGCTGCAGGAAGCTGGGGGTGAGCGCGACGGTCAAACGGTGGAAGGCATCTTCTGCGAGAGCCACCCAGTCCTCCTGGGGTACTTTTGGGGCCAGCCCATTGGGGTTTGCCAGAATGTTGGACGGGTGGAATTGCGAGAAGCCGTTCCAGCGAGCGTTATCGGGACTCGGGCTGGGGTGCGATCCCAAATTGCCTTTTTCCAGATCTTCGAGGGGAATTTCCACGGCAGAGGCCGAGTCTCGGTGGGTAATGCGAGATGCCATAGTCGTGAACTTTTTCGTGTCTCGGGTGGGAGGTCTTCAACGGGACATGTCCGATCGGGAGCTGGGCGTGGACGACCACACAACCTGGCGCATTGATACTAATCACGCGGGAATGGTCAGTCGGGGCATTGCGGGCGGATTGAATGTAACTAATTACCTGTACAAATTTCGGCGAAAGAAGGACTTGTCGAAAAGCTTGATGTTGATGCCACGTTCGAACGGACCATCAGGAGTTGCGCGGCCGGCGGGTGGAGATACGTCAGCGCGGGAGAGGCGCGCCCGCCAAGCCCACACTCAATTGCAGCTGTGCCGGGAACGAATACAAGCGTGAGGGTGGCAATGCGCAAGACGAGGGTGAGGTTGGTAAAGCAGGAGGGCGGAAAGAAGAGGTCAGAAGGAAAGTATGGCGGGAGTTGGAAGAAACGGAAGAAACGTTCCGCAGCGGTTTTAAGGTTCCCGCCGGACTTCCGTGTCGCAAGCGTCGCCAGGGGCGCCTGCCGAATGCGGATGCATAAGCACGTGATCTGTGCACAATGTATACGACTCGAATCGGACATCAAGTCGTTCCCCACCTACAACAGTACCATTGAGGCAGTATGCACTGGCTGCCAGAGATATGAAGGGAGCAACCACGTACACCCAGAGATGGGGTCCCTCGTGCCGGAGATTTCTGCAGTGAGAACCATCGAGTTGATTATTCCTGCGCCTGACGTCCGAGTGACGATACCGTCCCATACTATCTTGAACTGGCCATGTCATTAGTTCGCCATTTCAAGGGTCCTGTTATTTCCTCGCTTAATCTTGTATCGATTTTGATACTGATACCTCGTGGCTTGTGAGACGTATTTTGAATTGAACAAATACTTGAACGCCCAGTGTCCTGGAGGATTCCAATTAGATCCATTTCTCGAAAAATCTCATGCGTAGCAGAAAAATGCGATCATTAGTGTACCTATGTAGCATACTGACATCTACAAACGCGTTCGTACTGACGTAGAACTCGTCATATACGAGGCAAGAGGCGAGTCTGAAAAAGAAATTTCGATACAGATCCCGATGCCACTCTGTATCAACCTTATGGGACTGTGAGCCGTTGGCCGACGAAATCTATACCATTCCTAGGTACCACGCACTGTAAATTAACCTGAAGAGCTGTGTCTTCCATGCCCAGCCTCGGTACAATTGCATCTACCGGCGCTGTATTGGATCTCAAAGGGTTCGTGTTCAGCCTCACACTCATACTGCAATACCTGTGAAGCCACCATTGTCTCCACCGCATTGTCCAGCACCTGTGCAGTATGTCGGCCAATGAGTCCAAGCGCAAACTCATCATCGTGTCCAATCGCTTGCCCCTCTCCATCAAACGGGTGGATGGCGTCTTTGAATCCTCTATCTCGAGCGGAGGGCTGGTTACGTCCCTATCCGGCCTATGCAAACCAACGCAATTTCAATGGTTCGGCTGGCCAGGAATGGAAGTGAAAAATAGCAAGGACAGAGAAGACGTATCTCGGAGCCTGAGCGAGTACCATGCCGTTCCAATCTTTCTCGACAGCGATCTCGCGCATGAGCATTACAATGGGTTCTCGAGTAAGTCTAGTTCCGAACATCACTGCTTATTATGCATCCTTTGCCACTTCCCAACAGGGTGATGATCGTTTTCATCCCACTCACTTCTACCAGATCGAATATTGTGGCCTATTCTGCACTATCAATCGGGGGTCATCTTTGACGACGGCCCATGGCAAGCCTATCGACGCGTCAATGAGCTCTTTGCTGACTCCGTCGCCGATGTAGCCCAGGACGGGACTCTGATCTGGGTACACGACTACCACCTCATGCTGCTGCCCGAACTTCTCCGGACTCGACTGCACGCGAAGGGGAAGCACTGTGCGATTGGCTTCTCACTGCACACTCCATTTCCCGCGGGCGATTTCTGGCGTAATCTTCCCGTTCGCAAGCATCTCATCGATGGACTCTTGGCCAGCCACTTGATTGGATTCCATACCGACGAGTACAAGCAGAACTTTATCGACACCTGCGCGAGTCTCCTGTGAGAAGTTCCTGTTCGTCGACGCTGATGACCGAATTGCTGACGATCGTTCCGGAAAGGGGCGCACGCACCGAAATCCCCAACCAGATCCAGTACAAGAGTCGATTAGTATGTACAGACAAATTCATAGTAGGCATCGATCCGCAAAAATTCAGCGATACCTTGCAGAAACCCGAGGTACAACAGCGGATTCGAACCCTGGAAGAAAAATACTGAGGCATGAAGGTGATCGTGGGTGTGGATCGACTCGACCACATCAAAGGTCTTACACAGAAGCTGAGAGGATTTGATGTCTTCCTGGACGACCATCCAGAGCTACGAAATAAAGTGGTTCTCATCCAAGTGGCTGTTCCCAGCCGTGAGGATGTAAAGGAATATCAAGAGTTAGAGACTGAGCTCAGCACGATCGCTGGCAAGATAAATGGCAAACACGGTGCGTTGATAGATAGTAATTCCGGAGGGAGATATCAGTACGGATGGGATATTGACCTCAGCAGCAACCCCCGAAGGAACGCCGTTGCTATATATGCATCGGTCTGTCCCTTTCACAGAGCTGACAGCTTTATATTCGGTTGCGGATGCCTGTCTTCTCACCTCGACTCGCGATGGCATGAACCTCGTCTCTTTCGAGTACGTCGCCTGCCAGGAGAAAAGACATGGCGTGCTGGTCCTGTCTGAATTTGCCGGAGCCGCATCCTTCATGCGCGAGGGCAGTATTCCATTCCACCCAGCTAACACGACAGAGATGTCGGAATCGATTTTTCATGCCTTGAACCTGGATCCGGCCGAGCGAAAGTGCAAGTACCTATATTTGCGAGACTTTGTCAACAATAACACAAGGCAAGCTAGCACAATCCCATCACCAGATAACATTCCTGTGGCTAATCTGTGCTACTAGTGCAAAATGGGGTCAAACTTTTATTGAAAAACTCTCCCATCGATGCAAACGCCCAGAGGATCCTTGTTGAGGAATTAAGTTGGGGGTGGAATTCGTCCACACTCAAAGTCAAAACTTGGGCGCGTATCCTTTCGCTGGAACTATGATACAACATCGGATCTACACTAATCCATGGCTTCTCTTAATGGCGTGATGATGGCGCTCGCAGAAAGCCAGGCTGCGATCTCACTGTCTATGTCTAGTCGACTGGGATTATGAAGCTGCACACAGTTGATCACGTCGCTTCCAAGGTTGATTCGGTGGAGACATACAACTAACTGATAGACCTTGTATTAGCTCATTTTGTGTTGTGTTCAAGAACTTTGTTCTAAATCAAAAGTGATTTGTTTTCGCACGTGTCATTACAAAATCCCGACCGGTGCTAGGACTGATGCGATCTGCATAATCAATGGCCATGGGCGGTATAGAGTGTATTATGAGGTGATTGGGGGCTATCATATGACAAAAGCCTCACTATCACTGCCCTCGGCACAATAATAAATCATTCCCTGAGCACAGCTCTGACGAGATGAGGGGCGTTCTAGGACACGGCGTGGCTCGCGCCTTGCTCGAGAAGTTCACCTTCATCCAAATCCTTCATGATCTGAACCCCTGCACTCGTGCCGATGCGGGTGGCGCCTGCTTTAATCATTCGCAAGCAGTCAACTGCGGTCCGAATACCTCCACTGGCCTTGACACTGATGTCATGGTTGTCGCAAGCCTTCGCGGTGAGGCGCATAATGGTGACTTGGTTGACGTTGGCACCGGGGCCATTGAATCCGGTACTGGTCTTGACATAGTCGACGCCGGCCAGACAGCATATAGTAGTGGCAGCAATGAGCTCGTCTCTATCGAGCTGGTTTGCCTCCAAAATGGCCTTGATGATGGTCGGCGAAGGAGCCGCTTTACGCACGGCCATGATGTCCTCGAAGACGGAGGTGTACCCGCCATTCTTAAGTTTGGGCCAGTTGATCACCATATCCAGCTCGCTCGCGCCCTGCGAGATGGCCTCTTTGGCCTCGTGGACCTTGTCAGCGGTGTCGTGCGTGCCTTCGGGGAAGCCCACCACGCATGCGACGACGGTACGCGGTGCATCTCGCAGGTTTGCAGCCGCCTGACTCACGTAGTCCAGCCATACGCAGACCGAGGCAAATTCTTGATCCCGGGCTTCCTGGCATAGAACATCGATCTGCTCGGGTTCGATTGGCCTTTTCAGCAACGTGTGGTCAATCATCCGGGGAACTTGTAACGGGATGGTCGGCTGCGATAAACACCGGTTAGGCACCCGATCTCGCACTCTGGAGATAAGCGTCTCCCACTCGGCGTCGGTAGATGGAATGGACGACATGCTGGGGAATTTGCATCCGCGTTGGGTGGTTGCAGGAGCATCGAACTCGCTAAGAGGGGAAAGAGGGTGCCAGCGTGCTGCATCCGAGGATCTTCCTCCGGCGTGGATCAACTATAGTCCGGGAGCCACGTGACCACCATCAGGGGGTCATATACTCCATTCTAGCTTAGATGACCAATAACAACACACATCTCCCTAACAGGTTATGAGACCCTTTTCTCTTCAATTTGAGCTATACGGAGCTGTTCTATGATCGCTGTGCCTTCAAGAATGTCAGCTGCCTCTCCCTCATCCGGTGAAAAGCTCCCAATCCTTGACTATTCGAATTGGGTTGACTGGAGCGAATTCTGGAGAGACCATCTGATCCTCTTTGACCTCTGGCAATACATCGATCCATCCTCTACAGCAACCGTGCCACCTCCTACCTCCAATGTCAATCGAGATATCGCTAAAACGTTGACTGAGAACCTTGCAAAGCTACGCCAGCATGTTGCTCCTGAATGTCGAAAGCTCCTTGTTGGCCATACAAATCCTAGAGACCTCTGGTCTTCGCTCAAGGCTGGTTGTGATCGAGGAACAACTCTACCATTGCTCGCCCAATACGAATCGTTCCAGAGCATCAAATGGGAACCAAAAGACACCATTTCTACCTATACAAGCCGATTCCGCAATGTCTTTCTATCTCTCGAAAACACCCCCTACAAGATACATCGAGATATAGCAGTCCATATCCTTGTGAATCGACTTCCCGATTGCTACAAGACAGAAGGCCAAGCAGCCAAGCAACTGAACCTACCCTTTATCGAAACTGTTACCTACCTGCTTGCCAATATCAAAGACACCTCCTCTGCAGGTGACAACACCTCTGGCCAAGCTCTAGTAGCTCGAGGTCGTCGACCAAACCGCAGATCAAGCGCTCAGCATCTCCGTGACCAAGGCCGCTCAGGAGTATCAAACCGCCGTGGTCGATCAAACCGAACCTCTCGAAACAAGCGTATCATCTGCAACTGGTGCAAACGAGAAGGCCATTTTGAACGTGACTGTCGAATTCGTCAACAACAACTAGATACTGGAGCTGCAAGATTAGATGGCAGCCGTGCCTATCTAGTCCAGCAGCCGAATATCCCACAGTATCCACCTCAATCTTCGCCTGCACCTCCGCAACCTTCACAGGCGAATATTGCCTATTCACAGCCTCAAGGCTCCGAATCAAATCCCTACAACTATCCGACACACCTCCTCCTCGCGAGAGCTTCCTATGTCAACAGTGAAACCCAGCAGAAGGATTATCTCAGCTGGATCCTTGACTCTGGAGCCACTCAGCACTTTTCGAACAGCAAATCAGACCTCAAGGACTACAAACACTTTCTTGACCCTAAGGAGATCTACCTTGGAGATAATACAAAGATCCACGCAGAAGGATCTGGGACCCAACTTCTACAGATTGGTCCTCATCTCCTTGTCCTGAATGTCTGGTTCGTACCAAAGCTGGCTGAGAATCTGCTATCCCTGCAGCTTCTTGACCGAGCTGGCTATTCAACTCTCATTGAAAATGGCAAAGTCTATATTCGACAGAGTCATGACTCTGCATGGTTCCAGCTCGCCGACTCCAAACGTGGAGATCTTTATCGAACGCATGTGAATCCTGCATCTCTATTGAACAGCCCACGAGCCCTCCGTGCAAGAGAATACAGCACACTTCGATCCTGGCACAATCGACTAGGCCACCGAAATCTCCGCTCAGTGGGAGCTATGATGAAGCTATCTGTACCACGCAAGCTTCCCACCTGTACTGCATGCCTCCAGGGTAAAATGAAGGCAAATCCTCACCCTCCTGTGCTTGAACGTTGCAGCAAGCCATTTGACCGAGTCCATTCTGACCTTGTTCCTCTGGATGGCATCTCCTTTGGTGGATCCAAATATATGTTGCTTCTTGTTGATGACTTCACGCGTTTTGCATGGTGCTTCTTTGCCTCAAGCAAGAATGTTTCAGCCATTGCACCTCTTCTTCAAGGCTTCATAAACATGATCCTGACCCAATTTGATACTATCATCAGGTCATGGCGGACTGATGGTGGTACTGGTGAATTCTCAAACAGCATGGTCAGCGAGATAAACCGCAGATTTGGAATTCTTCATCAGCTTTCTACCTCTGGTGTCAAGCAACAGAATGGTGTACTCGAACGAAGAGTCCAGACAATCAAGAACATGGAACGCTCCATGAGAGCTGGAGCTGGTGTTCTAGATGACTACCGACTACAAGCTGAGTCCCTTGCAACTTCGGTATTCCTATCTAATCTCCTTCCATCTTCTACTCTAGGTAATATCTCCCCACACCTTCTACTGTACAGCAAGCAGCCATCGCTCGCTTCCATGAAGCCCTGGGGATGTCTAGTCTGGATACACCTTCGAAAGGAGCATCGCAGCTCGAGTTCTGATCCTCGCTGCAGGCCAGCCATGATGGTAGGCTATGTACAAGACTCAAGTTCTATTTACAAATGTCTTGATCTCTACACGTTGCAAACAAGCAACCATTCCGAACTCAAGTTCGATGAGGACCTCTTTCCAGGTCCATGGCTTAAACGCCCAGCTGGTTTCAAACCATCGATTGCACATAAACGAAATCCGCCTGGTTCCGCGGTCGATACTGTACTTGGTCAGTCAGTATCGGGAGTGCTTCCCGCAGTATCAGGCATACCACCTTCCTCGATGAACCCCTTCTGGCTGCACCCACCCGCAGCTCCTGTGAACCCAAACGATCCTGCGAAGCCTGCGGATCCTATGGAACTAGCAGATGAATCGGACGTTCCCCCGTCCCTGGCACTCCTCACGGACAGCCAGACCGTCTACAACCAGCGAGGAGTTGTATTCGGCACCTGCGCCAAAATCCACGAGTACGATACTACTAGGGAGCTTGTGGAAGCCGCTTTGATCGTGCAAGGTATGGAGTCGCTCTCCTACCCACCCAGGCAAGCAGCAGAGAGGACAGTCCAAACAGACCACAATGGAGATCCTCTCTCCTATTCGGATGCCTTGCTCCAGGATCCGATTAGGTGGCCACCAGCAGTACAAGAAGAACTGAAATCTCATGAAGAAAATGGAACTTGGATAGTTCAAGAGATCAGTCAAATGCCTAATGGGTGCAAGCCGATCCCTGGCAAGTGGGTATTCAAGCGTAAATTGAGTCCTGATGGAAGTACGCGCTATAAGGCACGTTTGGTGATCAAGGGCTTTCTCCAACGCTTTGGAATTGATTTCATGGAGACCTATGCCCCAACTGCCTCTTTAGCTGCATTCCGACTCCTGGTGGCGATCGCTGTGTTCAATGGCTGGTCCTTACGCAATCTCGATATTATCACTGCCTTTCTTAATGGCAGCATAGACTCTGAAGTCTACATGGGGATACCAGAAGGCATGGATTTAGATCCAACCAGATATATTCTGAAGCTCCGCCGGTCACTGTATGGACTCAAACAGGCACCGCGCATTTGGTGGGATAGGATGACCGCATTCCTATCAAAAGCAGGCTTCTATCAGTGTGATGCTGAGCCAACAATATTCATTCGCAGCCACGAAAACAAATTCATGATACTTCTCCTCTTTGTTGACGACCTTTTGCTAACTGGTGATCAGGAAGCTATTGAGGAATTCGTCCAGGAATGCTGCAATGAATTCAACACTCGGGATATGGGAACACCCAGGCTGTTTCTAGGCATCCATATTGACTATCGAGATGGCAAAGCCATTTTGCATCAGAAAGCATACATCAAGCGAATCCTTGAACGCTTTAATGCACCCAGCAACCCTGTTGCAACTCCCCTAGACCCCAAGCATCCACTTGTTGAAGCAACTGATGCAGACCGTTTAAGTGAAGCAGATTCATCAGAATATCGCGCTGCAGTGGGAGCGCTGATATATTTAATGATCTGTACAAGACCTGATCTTGCATTCGCACTTTCACGCCTATCAAAATTCGTGCAGAAACCGGGTGTAAAGCATGCAGCAGCACTTAAACGATTGCTTCGGTACCTGGCTGGCACCCAGGACCTAGGCATCGTCTTCAGCAAACCATCTTCCACCGAACCAATCCTATATGGCTATAGCGATTCCGATTTCGCTGCAGATCTCAACAATCGACGCTCGACTTCCGGCTTTATATTCCTTCTGAACGGTGGCCCGATAGCCTGGAAATCGAAACAGCAATCCCTAGTCACAAGCTCGACTCATGATGCTGAATATGTTGGATTAGCAACTGCATCATTTGAAGTCATTTGGCTTCGTAAACTCATCCTTTTGATTCTGCCTCAGTATGCAGAACATTCAATGCCCTCCAACATCATTTATTGCGACAATCAAGGTGCTATTGCAACTGCAAATCGACCTAGCAATTCACCCTCTCCACGATCGAAACATATCGACATCCGTTTCCATGTTATTCGCGAGGCTATTGCTAATGGCCTTATTCGACTCGAATACGTTCGTACGGCAGATATGACTGCAGATATCCTGACAAAGGCCCTGCCTAAGGAATTGCATCAGCGTCATGTCAAGGGAATGGGAATGGAAGCGATATGATGGAATTGGGATCTATGTATCCGAACTGGCCTGGTTTCCTCCATGGTTTTGTCCCACAGGGTTTTGCATGGAGGTTTTCCCCCAGGACTGTCTGTATATAGCTATTTTGTCTTTCTTTTGACTCACCCGTGATCTAGTGGGAGGACCCTAGTCGTTTCTGACGCCTTCGGTAGAGATCTCGGATGAGTGGGAGTGCCAGCGTGCTGCATCCGAGGATCTTCCTCCGGCGTGGATCAACTATAGTCCGGGAGCCACGTGACCACCATCAGGGGGTCATATACTCCATTCTAGCTTAGATGACCAATAACAACACACATCTCCCTAACAGAGGGGGACCCGTCACGTGAACACGTGAGAACTATACCAGGGCATCATGATGACGATTCGCTGAGTCTATGCGAGTTCCATGAATTGGGGGTAGAAGGAGCACCGAACGTTGATAGAGAACATACAGGACAGGGTCTACACGGCCTACGCGGCTGGACAGAGTCAACGCCTGACCGGCCATATCGTTTCATGCGCCAAGAGAGAAAGCGCTGCGTGAAACTAGTTGAAAAGCCTCCCATTCATTTGAATCAAGAATAAGGAAGTGTCATGAATGAAGGAGAGTACAGTCCCGGGTATCCTAAATCGCATGGCCCCCTGGCCAGTCACACAAGCCATGGGAAGTGGCTGGAAACATAACGAGGAAAGATCGATCAGAGCCTTTGGTTACCTATGCAGTGACAAGGTCGATCCCTCGCATTGAGGGAGAATTATCCTCTTATCTGCAGCTGCCACATTCCGGCCCCCGAACATCGTCCACCCGGCCAATCCGCCGACCAGAACCGGATCCTGGGCCACCTCCCCCTCCACTTCCGCCTCCACCGCCACCATAGTAGTTGGTGCGTCCATTTAGCGGGCGGGAACCGGACGAGCTATTCGGTCGGTGAATGTTGAACTGAGAGCTCTCGGCGGCGGCGTACGGATCGAGCTGCGAATGATGGTGTTAGCGGATCGGAATATTCCTGTCACAAACGAGGATAGACGAGAACTTAGGCTCCGCTGAACAGGAGCAAAAGGAGAGAGATCATCTTACAGAGAACAGACTCACGGCATACAGCCCCAGAAAGCCGTAGGCATCGTTGATGAACCGACTGACACGGACAGAAAGTGGCGGCCTATCGGTCGAGCGCGTGAGCAGGTGATCAGTCTAGACAGAGAGACAAAGAGCTGCTACCTTTCGAGAGTCTGGCCATTGGAGAAATATGTCGTCCGGGGCTTTGCAGCGGACATGGCGATGAAGGAATCACTTGAAGGAGGATGCAGTGGTACGAGCGGTGTTGGCGTTGACGTTGACGTTGGAGAAAGGCGGGCGCGGTGGAGATCGGCAGAGCGAATCGGGAAGGGCCGTGTTTATCCGGCAGAGCCGCAAGGAGTGCATTACTTCAGGGTTTACAGTACATAATACCTTAAATTGTAATCGAGTACGACGAGAGAGTAAAAAGAAGTAGATTTTATCGTTGACCTTATATATCCCCCAGTCTACCCACCTATCTACAACATGGCACTGTGCCATGATGTGAAAATACATTACACGGAGAAAGCGTCTCGGACCCTTTGTTCATATCTGGGGCTTCCCCATCTTCCAATGCCTCATCGGAGCTGCCATTTGTCTCAAACCACACTGCCTCAATGGCACCCTCGCCGTCGTATTGCGTGGCTTCGGGCTCGACTTCGTCGCCAGAGTGCATCGCCTCCGAGAGATGAGCTGCCATCTCCTGATTCGTGGGTAACCTGCGCGGCGGGGCGACTCTGGCCTTCAATTCACATAGTTCTTCGCCAAAGGTATTAAACATGAACGTAGAACTTGCGTGTTTCTTGTAGGCGCACGATGCAAGGAGAATTTTCCACTTCTTGTGTCTACGTTGCCAGGTATGAACTAGCGGATGGGACCCAAACGGTAGGAGGCTTTTATAGCCGCGATGGACTTAATTGCTTCTTGAGCTTCGGGGGCAAACTCTTCCTGGCCATGCCGGACAGCATATTTCCACTTCCCGTAGAGGCCGTCAACCGCAGATATCACCTCGTCGAGGATCGCAGAGGGGCCAGTACCAGAGGAACCGTCATTCCACGCGCTCTCCCGGGGCCTCTTAACTGGGCGAGTGAGGTCCTCGTCCACATCTTGGTAGTCTTGCCCCTCAGGAAATTTCTGTTCCAGCTTTTTCCGCACGTCCTCCGCGTGACCTTTGGAGACATAAAATTTGAGATAATCAGAGATATCTTTTTTTTCCGATGTACATCCGGGTTCTCGGTGTGGCTGGTGGAACTCGGAGATTTGGCCTGATAGTCATTCTATACGCCTGCCAAGCCTGCTTTGAAAGATGCACTTGCTCGGCGAAAAAGCCTAAGACCTCGAAATCTGCATAGTTGGTCTGGGTGTCCAGCGGCTCCGTGATATCGGTGTCGAAGGAAAATTGTCGATGTTGGAGCCACGGGTGAAAACAGAGGCTCCCGACACCGTAGAAGAGCTTGTACCAAGTAGGTGAAAATTATCAGACCGTAATGTACCACTGTTCTCGACGTCAGTGGAGGGATCGAGCTGGGCCAAACTCAGCCCATTGGCTTGCGGAGTCAACTGAGATCGAGGGGTGGGGGGTTTGGGGGCGTATGGAGCTTCTCGGCGACATCGGAGAAACTGCCTTTGCGCGATGTTGAGTCTGACTCCAACTGTGGCATCTCCGACGATCGACGATGGCTGGTCCTGGGGCTGAGGAAGGTGCCATTGTTCAGCAGGAACACCGCGCAGTCGAGCTCCCAACAGGAGCTCGGTTCGCTTCGATTTTTCGTGAGCGCTCAGATTGCTCCCAGGGCTAACAGGGAGGGGGGTCTGTGAAGCGACCTGTTCCCGGAACCCGCCGACTGCGGTTCGCAGCTCGCGGGTGTCCTTGGAATAGAGAAATTGAATGTTTTCGACACACTGCCTTGAAATACAGGTAGTCAGAAGCCATCTTTCAGCGCATGACTTATACTCCACATGGCTTTTGGAAGCTGTGGCCCTCCTTCCCCGTCCATAACAATGTCCGGTTCAAAGTTCACGGTCTCGGTGGCTATGGCGATCCTCCCACACCCAGCAAAAACCATCCAAGAAGTCCAAGATGTTCATCCCGAGATTGTCTTCATTCGCCTCCAATGGCAAGTCTACTCTGGTGTACAACGGGCCTGCGTGCTTCTTTTGGGGTCCGTGATTGATCTGCTTGTTCAAGGGAATTCAGGCTGCCGAGATCGCGATCGACTACACAGTCACCAATGACATTTTCCCTCACAAACCACCCCAAGGCATGCACTTCACCATACAAGACTGGTCGTCCTCGTCCCTGCGAGTTGCATCTCATCCGGGGACTGCAATCTTCATGTGCGCCTTGAATTACCAAATATAAGATCTTCCTCCGAGGGGTGATCTTTGTCCCCGGCAGACGCTTGCCAAAGTGGTCCAAGAGGCACGTCGAACTTGGCAACTTGACTCTCTCGTCGGTTTCGAGGTGGAATTCATTGTAATGAAGCCCAGAACAGAAGGATCAGGTGCCATGGCTCGATTTAGCGATGGTGCCATAAGCGGTATCCTATTTTCCAGGCCTGTGCTATCAATACGTGGAGCAATATGTACGTCGGCTGCGCGTTCAAGGGACAAAGATCCAAGCTGTACATACCGAGGGATTTCAGGGACAGTATGAATTGTTTTGGGGCCTCTTCCACCTATACAAGCAATCGATCAATTAATACTGGTGCACGTCCATCTCACAGACACATTCTGCCACCTGGGTTACATGGTGACTATGTCCCCAAAGCATGTGGCTGAAGCATCGCAGGCAAATGGTCAGCATATGCATCTCTCGCTTCCGCCCGCTAGTCCGTCATTCGGGGTATCATTTTTGGCCAGAATCCCGAAGCGTCTTCCGAGTCTGTGGTTTTTGTTTACCCCTTGAAGCATCTTACGAACGGCTTGATGTGCACATAGCTGGGGGACATGTCTCTTGGGGAACATCCTCCCGACTCGTCCCCATTCGGAAGGTGGAACCTAGCCACTTGGAGATCCGATGCATCGATGTAACTGCCAACATGTTCTCTACCCTGGCAGCAATCCTTGGGGCTGGACTCTTAGGATTGTCGGGAAGTGAACCCCTCATCTGGCCAGACTTTGACATTCCAGAAAATCTACACTTTGCCTGCGATGGCCAGCCGTTGCCCCAAAGCCTGAATGAATCATCAAATTCGTTGGACGCTGATGAAGGATCGCTGGCTTCCATGATCGGCCGGCTGATGATAGATCATTTCATCGAGATCAATCGTTATGAATCTCACAGACAAGAAAGCTGGACTCCGGAGGGGCCAGAAAGCTGCTGATTGAGGAATTCTAGCTTTTTACCTTTTCCTCGCTTGCTTTGATGGTGTACTTGAGACATTTTATCAATTTTTGGCTCTGCCTTTTGCCACCAGGCCTCAATGACGGCACGGTGCCTGAATGGGGGAAGCTCAATTTTTTGCATCCTTCAACAAATTCGAGTACAGTTCACACTCTATTCAGTTAATTCTGTGTATTCAATGCATATCCTGATCTCATATACCTACACAGTGATCATTTATAGAGTTCATCCCGTGGATTTATCACAATAATTACATTGATATCTTCGCGAAGGCATTGTGATGTGTGAACTATCTCCGATTTTAACTTTCTCTGTGATCCAGTTTCATGTCATCATGACCTGAAGCTTTGCCACAGAATGTATACTGGATTGTATTATCAATTGACTGGTAAATGTTCTTTCTATCAGAATAACATCATGGAACACGGAACGAATTGATTGCTGACTATCTCGAAGCTCCTCTTGATTCATCCATGAGTAACTTAACTTGTATTTTTGTAATGAAGCGTCTGCAAAATGCTGCATTATCGTACTAGGCCAGCTGCGTTCAGATAAATGAATACCACATATAGCACCATAAATTGTAGGAAAGCTCCCAAAGTCACCTCAATTGTGCTCAACCGACATCGTATCATAGTCAGCCCTTCCTTTCAGCCAAATCCTCTCGCGCTCTAAATATCCCAGCGAGATTTCTCGGTTAGACATCGCAGCTTGCAAAATCATCCCTTCCTCAGCCGATATAATTGGCTCCCCAGGCTGCCGATCAAAAATGCTCTGGGGTCGTGTTCGAAGGGCTGATAGTCCCTTCGGATAACAACGAAAAGTGAATCTGTGAATTCTTTTCAGAAGTGGCTTGGACAGTATTTGTGAATCACCTTGCGGAACTTGTGGACAATTTCTTTTCTCTACTGCTAGGCGATCGCGGTGCTGGGCCTTCTTCCTCCGATGTGTCCTCGATCTGTCATTCGTTGATTCAGGTCGTTCTGGTTCTTGGGGAAGAAAGTTGGGATCGCCATTCTCACGCTTACGCTTCCGAGATAATTGTGTCCTTGATTTAGTGGAATCATTGGAATTGTCGACCTCTTCCTGCGGAGAGTGGCTTGCCATTACAGTCAGGCTGTATTGATTCAGGATACGCTTGCGATATTCAGACTCATATCGTCCAGGCTCACATAGCATGATGTAGAACTCCAAGGTGGCTGCCTCGTGAGAATTCTCGTCAATGAGATGGGGCTGTGCATCTTGGAAGTGACCATATGCCTCATAAAACCTGTGCTCTTCGACTGCTATGCGACCAAGCCAATAGAAACACCTCGCAATACTATACCTATCATTCAGGTTGTGAGAAGTTTCTTGCGCACAACGCAGCTTATCTTTTGCTTTGTCAAATTTGCCGCGCTTAAAGTAATCCAAGACTGTTACAAATGCCCAGGCTACTTCTGTCTGGTCTGCTTGTCTCTTTAAATCGTGGAGTGGCAAGAACAGCAATGCCTGCCGCCTGAAATCGTCAAGATTAGCCTTTGTTTGACTTTGGATGGCATTGATCTCGTCTTTTAAGCTCGCAAAGGAAATTGCAGAGCCCTCAGATGGATCTTGGTCGTGGGCTCCATCAAATTTAGCGATCATTTGCCGGTCAAATGGTGGCTTTTTTCTCCTTCTGGGGCTCAGACTCCAACAGCGATTCCGTGGGATTCATTCTGACTTCCTTCTTTCATAATTCAGTAGTAACTGTCTCTTGGTAGTGGCTGGTCATATAATGCGTTAGTGTAGACTTTGAATGCCAGCAATGAGTTAATATAATCAGAGTTGGTATAATCGCGTGCCAACCGTAGCACAGTGCAGCAGCTATATATTTCATGTACTAATCGTCCATGATTGGTACTCTGGGCTAGATATAATCCATCTAAAGTTATAAAACGGTTTAAATAGGCGAATCTAGTAAAGGGCCATTCTGGAACCAAAGAAAGAGGTCTATGGAAAAGATTTCTTTGTTTCAGGTACCACTGATGTTGTTTTCGATAACAAAGCCCTGTCTATTGTCGCGTCGGACATCTTTTGTCTTGGTTTTCTTTACAGGCGAATGCCGAGTTCAAATCCCGATCCTCTCCACCAAAGTTGCCGCCTTGATTACTTCTCCATTTTTGTATTTCGCGAATCAACGAGGAAAGCCCTACAATGGTGCATTGTGTAGTAAACCCCAACAAAGCGGTTTTGGTGGAACTATAACCCGGCTTATCGGAACCGACTCGAAATGATCCCCGTACAGAGCAAACATGCACTCGGGTATGTCATGAAAGGGTCCTGATGCACGGAGAGATCCCACTGGGGAGATACCACGCATTCTAGAACGGGCCTAGTGCGGCGACCGGGGAGGTGGTTGGTGAAGGCGTGGGGTGAGGATGTGCTGGCGGCGGGCGAGTGCGGGTTATCGGCTTTGCGGGGTTCGAAGCCAGTCCACCTCGAATCGCCCTCTTCTTCTTTCACTCGTGTGCAACTCGAGGATTGCAACCATGACCGTCCAGTCGCCGCGAGAGATTTTCCGCTACAACCTGCGCACCTTCCAGCATCACTATGTCTCTGAAATCTCCGGCTCGCTGGGCGACCTGGGGACCTTTCTCCCCATCGCCATTGCGCTGGCCGCCAACGGGACGGTGTCGCTGGCGAGCACGCTGATCTTCTCGGGCATGTACAACATTCTGACCGGTCTGTTCTTTGGAATCCCGCTGCCGGTTCAGCCGATGAAGGCCATCGCCGCCGTGGCCATCGCCCGCAGTTTCTCGAGTGGCTCCATCGCCGCGGCAGGCATCTTTGTCGGCGCGTGTATCTTCTTCTTCAGCGTGACGGGGCTGCTGCGCTGGTTCTCCAACGTGATTCCCATCCCAGTCATCAAGGGCATTCAAGTTGGCGCGGGCCTGTCGCTCATCATCTCGGCCTGCGGTGCCATGCTTCACCCACTTGGGTGGACTAGTCCATCCTGGGCTGATAATCGCATTTGGGCAATCGTGGCGTTTGTGGCGCTGGTGGTCACCAATGTCTATCGTCGGGTCCCATACGCACTGATTGTCCTGGCTATCGGTTTGATCTTTGCCATCATTCGGACCGCACTCGCGATGCATCTTCCCCGGTTCCAGTTTTGGCACCCATGGGTGACCCTCCCAAGCCCCCATCAATGGCGGGTCGGAGCCATCGATGCCGGGGTTGGGCAGATCCCTCTGACGACGCTCAACTCGATCGTGGCTGTCGTACATCTGGCACACGACTTGGTCCCCAATGTCCGAACCCCGTCAATCACTCATATTGGCCTCAGCGTCGCGGGCATGAACCTTCTCGGCTGCTGGTTCGGTGCCATGCCGGTCTGCCATGGATCTGGCGGCCTCGCAGCGCAGTACCACTTCGGAGCACGCTCCGGTGCGAGTGTGATATTCCTCGGGGTACTGAAGCTGATCATCGGTCTTCTCTTCGGAGAGACCCTGGTGGATTTCCTCAAATGCTTTCCGGCGGCTTTTCTAGGGGTGATGGTGGTGGCAGCAGGCCTAGAGTTGGTCATGGTGGGCGAAAGCCTGAACACATCTGGTGCTCGCGATCTGGGCGAAGCGAGAGGCGGAGTCTTAGGTCATGCCCAACAGCATCTTGGTCCGATGCTGACGGACGATGAGCGTAAGCGTCGTTGGACGGTGATGATGGTCACTGTCGGTGTTCTCGTCGGTTTCAAAAACGACGCCGTCGGCTTTCTGGCGGGGATGCTGGCCAATTGGGCGTATGATATTCCCCTGTGGTGGGAAAAGGGCCGCAGCTACTGGTCTGAGGGACGTCTCCGCCTGAACTAGACCTGGTGCAGTCTGTTGATCCATCTGGAGACCGGCTGGAATGACGCAAATTTTATTATTTTCGGTTTCTTACATAGCGCTTACATAGCGGGGCATTTCAATCCATTTTCTCTCTGCTGTTGTCTCGTGCAGTCCAGCACACGACCTCCCGGGTTAGTCGCCCCTCGAGTCCTCTCGAACAATTCTCCTAACACGCGATCGTAACAAGTCTACGCCAGCTAGGGCTAGATCAGGGCCGTTGGGTTCGAGCTGAGATCCACAGTGATCGGGATGTAAGTACATGTCATATTAAGGCAGAGGGTATCTATATGTAAACAACCTATTTATACAGCATTGCGAAAATGAGACAAGCCACGTATTTTCAATCACAATTCCTCATGCTTGTAGGGGCCTAGTTGATCGCAGACACTGGCGTAATCGCGCATGTTTTGCGGAATGGTTTCTTCCCATAGCTCATCCCGTTGGAGGAATCTGTACTGCTCCTGGCACGCCGCCTCAGAAGCCATGGGCAGGAGGATGGGGAGATGCTTAATGGATGCTTGAAGAAAGTTGCGCTTAAAGCAGTTGCCAAAGTCAGCCAGCGTGTTGGGATCCGAGCAGATATGGCGGCCATGTAACAATGGAGCACAGCGCCGCTTTATAATCACGGCCACGTCGTCGCCCATCTTCAGCAGCGCTTCCTCCTGGTGAGGAACATTCATGCGCTTCATCAAGCTCTGCACGGCGGGTACAAAAGAATTGTTGCGTGTCCAGAGGTCCCAGTGTGGGATCGTGGGCTGGCATCCTCGCTCGCAGATCTCGGTTTGGAATTTGTTGAAGATGTGGCTGGGTCGACCGACGAGCGCGGAGACGACTCTGAAGCAGCTCGGTCCGATGGCGAGGGCCGGGCAGAGGAGCAGAAAGAGAAGAAAGAGATGGTCGGTAATGCGCATCGCGTGAGCCGACCCGGGCTGGGTAGAAAAAGGGTTAAGATCGGCCTGCGGAATGCAATCAAAGGTGAGGAGTGCGAAAGAGAAGGGTTTCCCCGCGTATGCGGAGGCGACCTAGATATGGCGCCTGGTGGATCAGGCAGCAATCGGTGGGCCATTACCTAAGCAGGTTCCCACTCTCAAAGTAGTTAGTTAACTAAATAGTGACGAGGGGAACGCTCGATGGCTGCACGCGCTGAGGCGTGCGGGTCGATTCAGCAGAAAAACCACCACAAAACACACGCGTAGCAATCAGGAAACAGTGAGAAGCCCAAATGTAGGGGTCAGGTCGGGGAGGTGTAAGACGGTGTATTCTAGAACTAGATATCCGGTCACTGTATACTGCCGGCTATGTCACATAGTCTGGATGGCACCCATGTAGTAAGGGGAGGGGGTCTCCCCACTACAATAGTTAACTACTACTAGTAAACAGTGCCTAGCAGGTATACATACCTAAGGTAGGTAGGCCTAGGGTACTATGACTATCTTCCAAGAGTATACGGTACCTAGTCGATACAACAGAGGGCTGACTGAGGGGCTATTCAACGGCTATTCAACGGCTATTCAACCCCCCAGTATGTACAGACCTCGCTGTGGAAAGACTCGATTTTGGATATATCAATGTCTCAGTGTAGGGACTCCATACCCTCGGGTACTATGGGATGTCTAGTAGGAATTGTAAAGCATTCAGCTAAACCCAAGGGGGAAAAAGTGTACACCACAAAAGGGTTTGCATGGAAACCTGAATCCACTAGCATTTTACCGGCCTTGCTTTCCATGCGCCTATCTACGCGAACACTCGAGTGATCCCAATTATTCGGTCTATCCTTAACGACACGTCTTACAGCGACGCAAGAATGGTGTCGGCGCTGGATTTCTGTAAAAGACGGTTCACGATCAGCCACATGCTACTCCGTCTCATCTCCCTGGTTCAAGTTTATCTCTCACCTTGACAGCGCCCTTTTCAGTCTCGATGTCGGCGTATTTGACTTTGCCGTGGTCAATGATGATGGCATAGCGTCCGGTGCGACCCGACGCGGCATCCGCCCAGCCAATGCTCTTGGAGAACTTGGCCTCGGGGTCTGAGAGAAAGAGCTGGAGGCGACGGTTAGAGCATATTCAAGCAAGCTACAGAGCTTGGTTCTGGAAAGGGCCACTCACGATCTCATTGTTGCGAACCTTATTCGCCTTGCCCCAGGCGCTCATCACGAAGGGATCGTTGAACGCAACCACGGCCACAATATCAACACCCTTCTCACGAAGCTGGGGCAGGTTCTTGATGTAGCCGGGCATGTGGTTCACCGAGCAGGTCGGAGTGAAGGCGCCTTGATTGAATCCGGATGCATCAGTCGGGGAACAGGTCTTACAAGCTTCGAATGCACGCATTGAATTCACGAGATCTGTAGAGTCGTAGGATAGATGACTTACCGGGCACGGAGAAGAGGACGACCTTCTTGTTTGCCCATTCTTTCGAGGCATTGTAGTTGATGGGAATACCACAGGCGGTGATATCATCGCTCTCCTCGGTCCATGGGATATACCTAGCACAGTTAGCTTGGTTCCCATTGCTCTCCGCCCTCATTTGGGAGCCTACTTAAATACCACGTCACTGGGGAATGCGTCGCCGGGGTTGAGGGTAGCCATGTCTAGAATTTTGCTCAATTGTAAAGCTGAAAGGTGGTGGTGGAAGAAAGGAGGACATGCGGGGCAGAGCAGCTCCAGCGGTCCTCGGCTGAATAATGCAGGGGCGGAGGCCGCCGATGCGAGGTCGCGATGGCGACCGATGGGGCGATTATGGGGGGAGATCGCGGACGAGGTATCCTAGGGTAGGGAAAGAACTAACACGTATTTGGAAGTCTGGCTGCATTGGCAGAAATAATCATACTCGAGGGAAAGACGTCAGACAACGCGAGGAGACAGCGCAAAGAAGGACAACAACTGTTGGCCAGCTCATAGTTCACCGTGTCATGTGATTACTTCTGCCTCAGGCCGCTGCCATACTGCCACCGGCCCGATTATCGCGAATCGCCGCCATCGACGCCGACGTTCTTCGCCGAAATCCTCCGTTGCGATTGCCCGAGTCTTTCCAGTCGCTGGCCATGAGCAGTGCGGTCTGCGCCGTATGGCGGCTCCCCTGTTCGGGGCTCCGAAACTCCAGCGCGTTGCCCGCCATAACCTCTCGCGCTGCATGTAACGATCTCCGCATCACACCACTCAACCTGTACAGCCACTTTTCCCGACGCCCGCTCAGTTCTTCGAACGCTCGAGTTCGAACTAAGAGTCTCCTCGCTGGCTCCAAATACTCTTTACTCAAGCTTTCCATGCCGACTTTCACCAGATCGAAACGAACAACAGCTCCAAAACCATCGCCCAAGAGGCCAGGAAGACTGCCGGGTGACAGGAATCTTTCTGATGCCGACATTAAATTTATATTTGGACCGGGGGTCCCAACGAAGCTTGGAAACCGAACGCTCGGGGCGCTGCAAACCCAGCGGTTAGAGGGCACGCTGGATTTAGATCTGCCAGCTGACATTACCCGCGCGGTCAGCCAGTCTCAGCTCGATAGTGCCTTACAATGGCTCCGTGAAAACTATCCCCTGAATGAGGATGCAGCAATCCTAGCTCGAATCGAGCGGGAAGAAATTGAAGCGGAGGAGAAACTTGTGCGACGAGCGGAGGAGCTTGGTCTCTATAAGCCTCAGAGCGGTTCCTATGAGAACGAGCTGGGCGAAGAGAATTCGATTTACGGCAAAAGTGTTCTCAAGGAGGCGCGTGAAATGAACGAAAAGCGATTACTAGCTGAAAAGGAACGAAAGCGCCAGGAATGGCTGCAGGGCGAGAACGAGGAGCAGGAACGGTTGCGGCGGCAGTTCAAAGGAGATACGGCATTGCAACAGTACCAAGAGGCTGCTTTGACAGAGGGTAAGTCTTCTTTAACTTGTCTCTAGATGCGCTGCTGATGATTTGCATAGCTCGTCCGCGTGCGGATCCCAATGAACGACCTTATCTTGCCTGGATTCAAAAACATCACATCGCCGCGACACATGAATCTCCAGAAGCCATGAATCTGACTACGGTATGAATATTCCACGTCGGATATGAATCAACTTAACACTAATATGTGACTATCATGGCAGACCCAACGTCTTCTTGCGCCCGCGCTGTTCACTCTGCTCGCTGTTGGCCTGTGCTACTACTTTGCCCAGAAATACGAGTCTCCTGCACGCAAAGACCGTCTGTGGCCGAGTGTTCCTCCTGCTGCTGCAACGGTCGGAGCTATCATCGGAGCTAATGTTGCCATCACCTTCATGTGGAAGTTCATCCCACCTTCATGGAGACTCCTCAACCGGTACTTTGTCATTGTTCCCCTCTACCCCAGTGCTCCAAGCATGCTTGGTAGTACCTTCAGCCATCAGACCTGGCGACACTTGGCGACAAACATGATGGTGCTGGGGCTTATGGGTACTCGGGGTATGCCAATTTGCTTTCTATGTGTTCTGTTCTATGCTGACGCTCCCTCTCCTAGTCCACGATGAGCTTGGTCGCGGTAATTTCTTGGCTATCTACTTTGGATCAGGCGCCGTTGGCTCCCTGGTCTCTTTGTATCGCAGTGTACTACTCGGCTCGCTTGGTCTGACATCACTGGGTGCCAGTGCCGCTACCAGCGGCATCGTTGCGGCATGGTGCATGTATCATTTTGAGTATGATTGCCCCCTCCCGTCCCTGTTGGATTCTCTCTCGGCCACTGATATTTATGCTCCAATTAGTGACAAAATCACCATGTGGATTCTTCCCCACGAACTGCGAGAGACGCTCTGGACTCAGGGCTGGATCTTCTTGGCATGTTTGATTGGAACCGAGATTTTGAGCATGGCGACGCCTGCCCGTTTCCTGCAGGTATGGCCACTGTCCCGTCTCACAAAGATGGACCACGCTGCTCATCTGGGTGGTTATCTCGCCGGAGCTGGGTGTGGATATACCCTTGCGCAGAGACGGAGGAGAGAACGAGAAAGACGAGTCCGAGACTCAAGGTGGTTGAAGAATCCGAGCACTTGATACTCCCATTTTGTTCCATGCCTACCAATGGAATGCCTCAACCTCCTCAGCAGTGTTCATCAATCGCCTCTGTCCGATCTAGCTCTCACATCGCGTGCGGATAATAGTAGTGTCTATAGAATGCGTCTAACTTGTAACAATACACTTCAAAATATTTTCGTATATTTTTTTTAAATGCTTTTTTATTTGGACATGCTTTTCCGGGATTTTGGTTCTTGCTGCCCGTATCACCTCTTGAAGTTTCTTTAAGTTCCACATGTGACGGAATTTGAGACTAGTACGCTATTATACGGGCACTTTAACCTTATCGCTGCAGTGTGGGTGAAATCCGACACTTCACACGGATCTCTCCCATCTTCGATCTCACATTGGTTCACAATTACTTAATTCTTACTCGCCTTTTAGGATCACCTTCATAAACAGCAAAGAATTCATTGCGAAATTTCCCCCAAGGCTAAAGAGAGTGAAGAACATATAGTGGATATCAAACATAAGGAAGCGTCACATGGTAATAGGAACGAAAATGAACATGGAAGTATAAGGGGAAAGCTGACATGAATAGACCAAAGGGGATTTTACATCTTCTCGGTTCCTGCGATACGAACATCTTCCGGGGCAATGGCCTCCGAGACGAGAGGCTGTTTGATGTCGGTCCCGTACGGTTGAGTGTCCGGCGTGGGTGCCTGGCTCTGGTTTTCCACATCCGGTGCGGGTTTGTGATCAGGGCGTTTACGCCCCAGACGATCACACCAATGCTCAGCGCTGACAAGAGTGTCGTTTACGACACCACTAACCTGTCCCAATATATCGAGTCCCTCGTTGGCCAAGACCAGTATCCGGTGGGCGCCGACGGTTGCCTCCGACGAAGCGGCAGGGGAATCGGGATGTGGCTGTGATGTGCTGGCCATCTGGAAGCGATGAGGCAGCGATGTCAAGTGCCGCCGGACTAGGTGGCGCGCATTCTCAGGCAAGGCCCCACCAGCATACTTGGAGACGACGTCGACCACTTGCTTCAGGGTAGACAAGACGTCTTCCTTGACCGCCTGGATGCGCTGTGTGAGAAGCGATGTGTTCTCGGGGCTGGTGGCGCGATCAGCATCGGCTTGTTGCTTCAGGCGTGCTTTGTGGTTTTCCCACTCAGTCAGCGCATTCTGAAGGGCAACGATGGCACGGCCGAGACGGCCGTTTGCCCACCGAAGCCATGTCAAGCAATACTGCAGGCTGCGGAGCGATTCTTCGCTCATGGCCACACCCAAGCCAGACGTCGAAATGACCAACCGACTCTGCCAGGTGGGGTTTTGACGCTCGGGTTTCTCTTCGTAACGCGGCGATCGCATCTCGTCGTAGGGCGGAAGTGTCTCGGTCATGGAGATGTCCGAGGAGCTTCGGGTGCGTGATTGGGTCGCCGCCTCTTCTGGCCCTTGTTCAACATCCATCGAGTTCGTGGCGACGTCACCATTCACCTTCCGACGCTTGCTGCTATGTTTGGACTCGTTACCGGAATCACGTCGTTGGAGCGCCCAGCGCAAACCACTTTCAACACCGGTTTTGCGGCCCACCGTTCCGACGGTGTTAGCGACGGGCGAGCCGATATTGCGCTCTATGAACTCGGCGCTTGACTTGAATCGGGCCGAATACGACTTGGACGTGGCATACGCCGAGACAGACCCGTTGATGGCGGAGGATATCAGTGGGTGAGATGATGTGAGGAGGGAGAGCAGCGGTTCTGGCGGGGGTGGGTCAGGCGAGGTGGGAAGAGCTTGCCGTGAAGCTCGAGGAGATTGCCCAAAGTCGGAGCGAAGGCCTTCCAGGGCTTGGGCAGCCTCGAGGTCGTCCATAGATAGCACACTGGCGGCTCGGCGAGAACGGTCCTCGGGGGACTTGGTATCGACGTCCATCACGGCGGGGGCATTCTGGGGTGAAGCAGGCCGGATATAAGTGGGCGCCAGCTGGGACGAGAGATGTGGGAACGGGAAGATCGCGACGGGGGCCGAAGATCGCAGCGCGGCGCGAGTGGCAAGAGTGGTGCAAGGTGCGAGTCGCACATCGCCGTCGCCAGTTTCACGTGAAGCCGGGGCTTACTCAGCCGGGGGGTGGGGGGGGTTTCTCTCACATGCCGCCCCAACAAACCTTCACACTCGTTTTGCCGAAAGAGACCTGTGCATCGTTTCTTCTTCCTCAGCATTATTAGTCCTCACTATGGGACGCCAGGAGTCTGAGTGGACTGCCGAGGACTATCCTTACTGCACTCGGTATTCTCGATGTCGCCCCCATGAAGGGTCCTACCTTATCCCGTGTACCTTCCATGGAGTACAAACTACAGTTATCATTACCCCAAGGTATTTATTTCTTATTCACGCCGTGTTCGTATGGCAATTGCAGCATCACATGCCCTAGTGGGCCTTTGCATCCGATCTTTCTATGCTTGTCTGCTTGTCTGAACCCACTCCGTCTTTCTCACATTTCCAACTGGGCCACTTGCATGGCACCGTTTCAGACGGTCTGGCGTTGACTTGTTGCATTCGGCCTGGTCCTTTGGCACCAACGCCACTGGTTGAGATCGTGGAATCACCTTCCCCTTCGAGGCATCGCTGGTCACAACTGCCGACATGTGAAGTGGGGATGCGCCGTGACTAACGGAGACACTAATCACGGGCTAATTCCGGCTCTCAGATTTAGGCTGTTATGGTTCCCGCCGCCGCCGAGCTACAGGACTGACCATAGTACATACACATAGTACTGCGACTTACGGTAATCGATACTTCTGTCAAGAGGGCTGTGTATGTGTCTATCTATTCAAGGCCCTACAGACATTCTATACATGACTGGTAGATGCAAATACTCGCGCAGAATGACCCAACACAGTACAACTGGAGCAGTTACTCTTCCCTGAAACCCTTAAGATCATGTCCACCGGAGTGGAATTATGCACGTCGGTAAGAAATAGGAAGCCAGAATGAAAGCCGGGACAGAGACAATCTCTGGTCACCCCCACGGGTTCCCTGGTGATGGATCCCAGGCAGAGTGCTGTAGTAAGTTCCCTTCGTTTATCATGCAACTGCTCTTCTAGGACCTTCACTTCGGTCTCGGTTAGTGTAAGCCTCGTCGCTTCGCTAGAGGTTCAATTGCCACCATCCACAAATCGATCTGCACACCGGACCCTGCCGCAGGCCGGGCCGAATGCACCCACATACCATTGTGGCTTGTCAATCAGAGCTCGGACGTGAAATTGGGAAAGTGGCTAGTATAGTGTGAGTCTACAATACATGATTCTTCCTCTAGTGTGTCGTCAAATGAGTTGTAATCTGTCTCCCTCCCTTATTAGAACCACCCGTTTCTTTCTACGAGGTCTCCGCATGTGAGTCCGCTTGTGCAGAAGTTGTGGAGTCCACAGGTTCCTATGTGAGGTTTTGGTACTGGAGTGATCTCTTCCAGTCCTGTGTCCTAATATGATGGACGCGATTAGCTCCAGTGATATCATGGCTTCATGATCAGCGCTTGGTAAAATCTAGAGCTCCTACACGGTATGAGATTGCTTGATAAAATGGTTGGGGTCAGTGGGACTACGCCGTACCAAAAATGAAGTTTCTGGACAGGTGCTTAAAGCACCTGGAACAGTACCTACTTATTTCACGTTTTTATTATTTGTCTTTTCTCTCTGTCGTATTTGGCGTTTTTCAACACATGCACGTCGTGGCTATGAAGCTGAAACTACTCCTCAACAGCAGCTTCCAGGGTTTCCTGATTCCTCGCTCATTTCTCCATAAGTGAGTACCAGATTAGACGCACTAGAATACAAGAGCCCTTTGAGATTCAACCCACATGAGCCTGGCCCCTTGCATGGACAGCCTGCTGGTGGGCAGATCCCGTTCCAACTCCCGTCCTTGCAGACAACATGCGGAATGATGGCACGATGTGCACCTAGGCGACGAAACGAAGAGACACTCGCTGGACGCGATAATAATAGAACAAATAGTAATGATAGGGCTTGTTAATCATTACTCGTCATGGAAATGCAGGTTGGAGGCTAGCCCTCGATCCGCTCAGATAGCCGGGGCCTCCCAGAACTCGCGCTTGATCTTCATCACGGCAGACTGCTTATGGGGGAAGCTGACTTCGCCTTCTTTATAGAACCCCACATCCTGGAGATAGTTGATGAGTTTGATGTTATCCACGCGGGGCTCCAAGACAACGGTCTCGGTTCGCATATCGGCCAAGAAACAATGATGCACCAGTGTAGTGAGCCAAAGGGCGACACGGTGAGGACCGCGGAACTCATGTTCGCCAACAAGCACATGAATACCCCGGTCATAGTTGTCAACCCGATCGAGCAGTCGACCCAGGGGGTCCTCCTTCACCCAATAGATCTCGAAGTATCCGAAAGGCTTTCCGTCCCAGCACCCGATCACGGGGAAGCTATGACGACTGCTCAGATTGTCCAGCAGGAACTTCTCCTGCACGGACTTTGGGCCGCCAACCTGCCACATCGCTTCCACACGAGGGTCATTCATCCACCGGTGCAGCGTCTCGAGATCCGATGACATAGTTTGACACAGATGTTGCTTGATGCCGGTAACCTGTGAACTGACGGGTTTCGTTGGGGTTGTTGGCCGACCGTCGACCGCCGCCGCAGGTGTAGTTCCTTGTTTAGTCGCTGGGAGGTAGGGGACTCGAAGTGAGATATATTGGCTCACACTGGGGATGTAGCGGACGTAAAAAACCTCCCCTTGATGCGGTGGCTTGGGGCGCAAGGGATGGCGCACACCATTGGTAAAGGTATACTGGGTCGGCGCCGGCGGGTAGTATGTTGGGAGGTGACTGGCCGAGGTGAAAGGCCCTACGGATGTGAACACTTCCGTGTTGGCGGTGGAGAAGGCCGCCTCGGTTGGTGGCAGAGTGCCGGAAGGCAGATCATCTCGCGCCGGAGAAGCATGCCGTGACTGGAAGGGAGTCAGGGAAGGAGATGGCGGTGATCCGCGAGGGGTCATCGTAAACAGGAAGAGACGAGGGTCGAGTTGCCAGAAGGACCGCTGGCTCATGAACATCTTCGACCAGCTCCCGGAATCTCGGGTCTCGACGGGCTGCAGGCCGACCGACGAATCCTCGCTTGAAACCAGGCCCATGCGCTCCAGCTTTTGCAGGAGATTCCGGCCCTTGAAAATGCCCTCGCGGCGGATCTTGACGCGCCAATCACCTTTGGGTTGGCCGACATGAGGTGTCGAGCTAGACGCAGCTGTCTGCAGATGTCGATCGGGTTCCGGCTCATGGAAATACCACCATAACGTCGCCCAGAGCATCATTGCAATCTGACGGGTAGGTGATGTTACCGGCTTGAACTCGCTGGAGGGCGGATTCACAATGTACGAAATATAGAGGCCATCGCGATTCAGTGTGGGATTTGTGAAGCGGCTCATGTAGTCATCGTCATCGTCATCGGACGGACGGCCATTCTCAGAGCCCGCCCTTCCTCTTTCTTCCGGAGGGTTTCCGGCCTTCTCGCTGTGGATAATGACGGTCCAGCCAGGTGGGAAAGTCGTGCTCGTAGTACTCATATCATTCGACTTGAACGTGACCCCGCCGAACACCGGCGATACGGTGAATGCGAGGCCATTCGGGAGATAGCAGGAAGTGTTCCGCATGACGGAAACGGGGCCAATCTGGGGGAGATGGATGAGAGCACCAGGAGCGAAAAACAAGACGGGTCGCAATAAATCGAGACGATCCGTCATATGTTCATGATGTTTCAAGCGGGGAGAAGTGGGGAGACGCGCGACTTTATCGGCGGGCGGTTTGCATTGTTTGCAACGCGAGGGGAGGAGGCCCGCAGCAACATTCCCCTAGGAAATGCTAAGTGGGCTCTGGGCGGCGCAGCCGATGAAGAAGTAAATGAATTCTGCTGCCATTGGCGCAGCAGGATAGAAAGACCCCATTGGGGTACAGCAGATGGTCCGACTCTACAGTCGTAAGTTCACGCGCGTTGATCGCAATACGAAACCCCTTCCGGTCACCGCAGCATCTCCGAGTTGTTGTCGCTCGCTGGAGTGATTGTCGGTCTTGGCGCGCGGTCGACTTTCCTCGTGTTCCCTCGCTCCACCATGCTTCCCGATCGGACTCTGTATGTGCGTTTTCTAGTCTGTCCTGCTATCTGATAATCTACGCGATCATCTATCAACAACGACTTCAATAGTTACTTTGTTCGTTTCAACCGGACTTCGCTTTCAGACTTCGTAGAAATTTGACTCTCTTGGGGTGATCACGACTACTACTACAATTAGTAGTACCCTATGGTAGTTTGCATGTAGATAATTGAACCATTGCCATCGAGTCAGGTTGGCATCAAGCTCACTCAAGTCTGCTCGATAGTATGGATATTCTCCAGTAGTTGGAGGAATAACAGAGCTACTCGCGCTGTGCTTCTAATTGTTTTGAACTTTTGAATACTTCAGCCAGTAGTATATAACGTGAACCGTTCTCGGATCGAGATTGGGTGGAGTATCTCGAAGGATAGGCAGGGGGGCTAGATGTTTGAAAATTGAATGGGATTTGAGTTAAAGGCGCTGCGAATTGGAAGGTATATAGTGTTTCTTAACGGCCTTGAAGATAACGATGCCCGTTCTATCAAACTTTATATCTCGCCCATCATTTTGGCGTATATGCTCACCATCCCAAAATATCTATAGAAAAAAATGCAATCATCACATATCGATATGTCTATGTGATCCGATCCGATCCTACTCGAGACCGGCGCGGTACGGCACTGGGTATATGCTTAGAAGTAACCCGGGAACAACCAGTTCAGCTTCTTCTGGGCCTCGGGGCTCCAGTGAGGCTGCGGGGTGCTGACACCGAACTTGACGGAGCCAGCAAGGTGCTTAGCCTGGACCAGCTCAATGTGCTCCTCACCGGCTAGAGCGTCCAGCACGGCAGTGACAAAGCGGCGCGCGTTGTCCGCGTTGGCCTTCATGTTGCCCATCACCATCTCCACAGTGACGTCGGCGGAGTCGTGCCAACAGTCGTAGTCGGTAGACATACAGATCATCTGGTAGGCAATCTCGGCCTCTCGGGCGAGCTTAGCCTCCGGCAGGACAGACATGTTGATCACACTGCCGCCCCAAGCGCGGTACATGTTGCTCTCGGCACGGGTGGAGAACTGCGGGCCCTCTGGACAGGAAAACGCGGCGAGATCAGTAAAACATTCATGGACACGGCCAAGGTTTGCCCGTGCAAACGGGGAAAAAGAAAGAAGGAAAGAAACCAAAGACAAGGCCCGGCAAGACGAGAAAAAGCTTACCCATGCAAACGATGGTGCCACGGTCGTGGAGAACAACACCATCTCCCTCCAGGCTGTGACCGCACTCCCGCACGACCTTGGCAATACCCTCGTCGAAGGGGTCACCGAAAGGAACGTGAGCAACAACACCACCCTCGAAGTAGGTCCATGGGCGAACACCCTTGGTGCGGTCGATAATCTGGTCGGGGATGACAAAGTCGCGGGGCTTAATTGCTTCCTGGAGACTGCCCACGGCGGAGAAGGCGATGATGCTACGGACGCCAATGGAACGCAAAGCGGCAATGTTGGCACGGGCCGGGACCTCGTGGGGCGCGATCTGGTGGTGAGGGCCATGGCGGCTCAGGAAAGCAACGGCGACGGTCTTGTCATTGTGCTTGCACTGGTGGTGCAGGATGGTGATCGGCGACGAGGGTTCGCCCCAGGGAGTCGAGACGGACAGCGAGGCAACCTGCGTGAATCCTGGAAGCTCGCGCAGACCGGTGCCGCCGATGACAGCAATTGGGACGAGCCCTGGCAGGAGATGTGGCGGTCAGATTGGACGTAAGGTGAGGGGGAGATACGCAGTACGCAGTACGCAGCAGGACAGGGACAGAAAGACGCACCATCATAGGTGTTGGGAAGAGCAGTCATTCTGCGAGCAAGTTGCTTTGCTGACTCAATGCGACGAAAGGACTTGGAGATGGAGGCGCGGACGTGAAGAGACAGCGACCAGCGCATCGCCGAGGGGAATCAAAAGTTCTGCCCCACGAGGGCATTGCGGCCCCACGTGGACGTCCTGAGGCCGCGGATTGCCGGTTTGGGCGAGGCCGCAGTGACACAGCATCACAACATAACTAGTTATCCTTAGCTGCCTTAGGGTATGCGACGCGATGGGTCAGATCTCGGCTACGGAGCTGGACTGCACTTGCCACTGCATTGTGGGAGGTAAGGTATGGGTTCACTATCGGACTGTCACGTAATCGCATTTATCCCCGCCACACCATGATGCCATATGGATCGCGGTCGGCCTCGCTAACAGACACCTCCACGGCGCCATCCTGGTAAACCTCGTCACACGAGGATGGGGCGGCTCCACCTTGTTTCGCACTGTCAGAGATGGCCTGAAGAGCAGCCTGTCGGTCGCTTTGCCAGCGCTGCGACAGTTCCTGCATCAGCTGGCTCTGCATGACCGCGCGGAGGTAGCCACGCTCGGAATTCGAGTGCGCCAGAGAAATAACCACCGAGCCACGCTCTGTGGCGGCAAGAGTCTCGTGATGGCTCATCTCTCCGGTGAAAAGCAGATCGGGAAGATCGGTTCCACGCATAAGCACGCCCGAGCCCGACCCGGGACACATGCCGACGGTGCGAATGCGGATGTGACCGATCGACTGGGACTGGGGGAGGGCGATGGGAATCCCGCCGGGCAAACCAACGCCCCGGCCGATGTGATCGATCAAAGCCGTCAGGGGTTGACTCTCATTGAAGGTGACCAACCGGCCAGCACCGGCCGACTCGAATCCTTCCGGGATCGACGCTGCGGGCGATGGATGGATCGTGGATCGAGTATGGGGGATCTGCTGGGTTTTATCCGCTGATGCTGCAGTGGGGACAGCTTCGGCCTGCGGATATGTAGGGACGGAATATAGTGTCGAGTTGCACCCTTGGGATGCCGAATGGTGTTGCGCCGTGATGGGTTGGAATGTGCCGGTCACCACGTCGCAAAGCCAATCGGCCATCCCACCTGGCACAGTGTCGACAGCAGTGTGGGGGGAGTAGACGCTAATCCCATGTTGTGCCAGTCGTAGAAGCGATCGTTGCTGTGTATCATTGAGGGTAATGGCCTTGAGGCCGCGGAAGATGATAGGGTCTATGAATTGATGCAGTTTGCGTTAGCCGTCAATTTCCCTGACCAAGGGTCCCAGGGAGCCTTACGATACGCCACAATGGCCGAGTCGCGGCGCTGGATGGCCTCCTCCGCGACGGCATTCGTCAAGTCGATAGCCAGCAACACCGAGTTCTTTTGTCGTCGCGCCGGATCAAATGGAGCTTCAAGAAGCACTGCGGGTCTCAATCAGTATGTCACAATCCTGCATCGCGACCTCATGGAATGGAAATTTGCAATAGCATCAGGTTGAACTCACGTCCAGTGTTGTCGAAGCTCTTATCCGCCAGCGCCTCGGGGTAGCTGCAGGCATCCACTGTTAGACTCGCACTTCAAGGGCAGGGAGCTATCCAATTGCGACGCACAGCTTTCTCACGGAGCTCACCACGGCCTGGGTGAATGGCGAAGAATATGGGACTTGAGATGCCATTGCAGGGTAGCGACGGCAGGCAGTCCGCAGAGAATTCATGGAATTATCAACAATATGATAGTCGGGAGTGCAAGGAACCTTAGCTGGGATGCGGTCACGCTGTGGTCACGTGGGTTCGACGATCAGATCTCGGCTGTTGTTAACCTCACAAAGCTATCATGGTATTCCACGCTAGGGAGTTTTTGAATCGACTTCCAGAATTGAACTTATCTGAGAACACTGGACTCATGCCATGGCATATTATTTTTGAGTGGAAAATATTAGGAATGCGTTCCAACCGTCAAGTTGAGTAAAAATCATGTTGATGTGAAACATATATCTCCGCAGATTCATAGCTTCAGTGTCTCGAATCCCCAATAGGCTTTTCCAATTGAACCACGCCACGATAAGTGATTGTATCGAAGCAGGGCAATAGAAAAACAGCCACATAAAAATGCGGTCTCATCTTCACAAAGGCATTTTGGAAAGGAGATTGATGCTTCCACACCCCCATCATGACTTCGCTCAGATAACACAGAAACAGATAGAACCTTGATCAAACAGGCGTGGTGCCAGTTCCGACGCCGAATACCCCGTCGACTAGTGTATGGTCTTGATAACCGTCAGTTGATTGCCTAAGTCACGTATCTCCAGCTGGTCAGCTACCTGGTCATTTACCCAGTCACCTACATGATCAGCTATCTGGATAACTATTCTAGAGAGTGATGCGCTATGCAAAATGAATGGGATCGGGATATAATAATCCTCCCTCATAGAACAGAATGCTCATTTTTTGATTCGAATAGTCAGGACACGCAAGCCGAATAACTAGCAGATACCTGGAAGATCAGGTAGGGGATGTGTTCTGAGGCAGAAGGGGTGTTGAAATTTCTTGTGGAAAAATTACCAAACAAGGAATTGCAAGCAAGAGAGAAAACAATGCAAAAAAAAAGGCGGCAAAAGAATCTCCGATAGGGGGAATCGAACCCCCGGCTGCCGTGTGAGAGACGGCGATGTTAGCCACTACACCATATCGGATGACTATGGTGAAGCTTGTCCGGGTTTAGTTTTTATTACCTAGGTTAAGCCCCATGTGTCCCTACGCACGCCCGCGCGTGCCTGTATCACTTCGCGCCCTCTTCCCCTCTCGAATCCAACAGCCCCCAAAATCTGTTGCCTTCTTTGCCTTCCTATCCCTGCTCTTGCAGCTAGTCTACGCGCCCTCTTTGCCAATCGATTCCACAGCGCCCAAATTTCGTTGTCTTTTCTTCCCTGCTCTTTGCAGTTGAGGCATTTTTGCTATTGATCAGGGTCTCTGAGCTGCACGCTTCGCCATCTCATCGTTCCTGGCGCTTTGCGAGATGCATTTTAGAATGCCCATATTACAACATAATCTAGGATGTTTACCTCTGAATAGATTTCCCGAACCGCTTTCAGTATTTCTCGTCGGTTTTGGGCGAACAAAGCTGTCCCATATCAGCTCGGGATAAGGTAGTTATCTCACTAGCTCTATATTAGCTAGGGAAAAAATTCGTTCTTAAAACATAGAACTGTGCGCCTGCATGTCTGCCTCTGAGTATGCCTTATTATCATAGGGCCCCTGTGAGCGCACGAACTGTTGGTTGGGACCGGAAAATAGGTGCACCACGTGTAAAAGTAGATCTGAGATAGCACAGCAACGGCTTTCAGACTGAAGGCAGAGCAATGGCGGCTTTACCTAATCTGATATGCCACCGTTTTGGGTTGTGGAGGATGTTTTGATGATAAAAATAATGTGGTGCCAAGGCGCCTAATTTCACTAGTTCAAAGACCACAGAGCACAGGCTGCAAGAGTTATGACGGAATTAAACTGCTAAGCCACATTATATTCTAATATAGGGGACCATGATCGCTAATTACCTTCTGTTCACACTTTGAATAGCTTCAAATTATTTTTGTTTGAAGATCGATCTCGATTGCATGTGAGTGGCTATACACAAAATCCAGGAATCTCGCTATCTGATGAGCCAGAATCTAAAAGTTGCCCTAAAACACGCCCCAAAGATGAACTATAGTGTCAGAAATACAAGCCCAAAACTCGCGGTTTCCTGATATGGGAACCGGCTGAACTATCATTCAGGCTAATTTTGGCGTCTAAGCGCATTATCTCTAATAGCAAGGTTGCTATATTCGTTCGAATGGTAGGCACAGGAGCCCGAGCGACTAAGGCTCGAGTGTATCGCGGTTTCTTAGCCCGGAGCGACAGATTAAATGTCAAAGCAAGGGAAAGCCATATCGGTGAGGGGATGAAGGGCGACCAGGAAACAGAAATTTAATGACTGTTTTGACCTTGGCGGGCTGGACCTCACTCAACCTACTCATATATACTATTCAGTTCAAATCGCGCAGTCTCGATGAGGAAGTTCCGAGTCAGCTTTTTCAAGCGATTCCGGTCCGTTCCATTGTCCCGCTCGAAGGTATTGACACTGCTGGCATTTGAAAACCTCGCTTTCCGGCCTCTTCGGTCGACAAGGGCGAGGACAGGGCTGGTGTATCTATGGCTTCCTTACTGAATTGCCTCTTTGATGCTTTCGCTGGTGAGGGTCTGATTATGACAATGACCACAACACATCTATCGTTTAGCCCCTTCATTATTCTGTACTGTGTACTGGCAAAATAGATCGGAAGGTCCATTTTCAGCTTGCGGAGAGCTTTGTCTGCCATGAACCGTTTAGAAAGTTCGTGGGGTGTGACAAAGGCAAAGACGCACGGCCGAAGTCACTTGGAGGTAATTTACGAAAACAGTATGAAAACAGGGATCGGAATGAGGAACCCGGGTTTGGGTCATGTGCCTGGGCGGAGAAAAAATGTTTACTTGCGTTGCCTGGACTAGATAGTAGCACTACACTGAAGTTGGGCCAAAAGTCCGCGAGGTGTCAAGGTGACGATTTTATATTCTCATGCGCACCAAAATTCGTCCTCATCCCACTGTCATATACGTTTACACCATATCGGATTAACTGCTGAACGATCGAATAAATATTGGTTATTTTAGGTATTTATCAACCTACGCTCTGTGTTTTAGGGCTCTCACAGGTGATAGCTATGCATTGGCGTTTCTTATATCACGACGCGCCCTCTTCCCATCTCGATCCAACAGCCCCCAAGTTGATTTGCATTATATCCCCTGCTCTCTGCAGCTGAGGCATTTTTGCTATGTATCGGGGTCACCGAGCTGCAAGCTTCGCCACCTCGTTCCTGGCGCTTTGTGAGACCCCTGCCACTTAATGCAGGTTTGCCGTTTACTAGATCCCCTGAGCCGCTTGCACCATTCCTTGGCCCACGGCCCCACAAAATGCCATTCAAACTTCAATTGGTTGTTCCTTGTGGTGAGGCAACGGTTCCTGGGAAGTACTCGACCGTCCTCTTCACCCCCAGATGTCCCCGCACAATCCTCATTTTCCAGTCTAGATAGCTTCTTCTTCTTCTTCTTCTTCATCACCATGAATTGTCACAGTTCATGTCTATCACATTTCTCTTCAAGATTTATGCTTGGTAGGCGAGAATGCACATGATTCCCCTACATACCTGTAGACCTCTTGCTGTGCTCCCGTGAATTTTGTTGACAGCATCATAAAAGCTCAGATTGAAGTAGACGCAGGTTTTTTCTGCAAAATCGAAAAATCCCGAGTCTGACAATCATGGGTAGTGACCTTAAGCCGTTGCTTCGTCTAGCCACCTATGCAGGTATCGGGTAAATGGAACTTTTCCGTGACTTGGCCCCCAAAATACGTGAAACGTACTTTTGCTATAGCGGCTGAGAACCCATGTCTAGGCACGAAACCAATGCATGCGTCTCCCTCTATCACCCCTGTCTAACCTATGAGTGCTACATCAGCAAGCACCGGGTCCACGAACTAAAGATCTCGCGCTCTCCTGATCCCCACCTTTGCCATTCGCCTGCCACATAGGGATGGTGCTATCTGATCCTTGGCTTCATATTCCCTGTTCTCAACACTGGAGTTGCTCACGCGGACATTTTAGGCCTAGCCAACCCCTCATAATCTCGCACATGAGGCTGCGAAAATGGGTCAGGGGGTGCTGTCTGCCGATTTCACGGTCTTCGGAAGAGATTGGGCTGGCTTGATTTAAACAGGCCAATTGTCGCAGGGGGCGGAATACCTCCCCTTCATCTCAGCCACTCGACACTCTCTTGTCCTGCTTTTGTTCTTCTCGAGATTGTCTTCTTTCGAAACAAGGGAAACAGGCCCATTTTCAAGGTTTTTTGTGTCTGTTTTGGGTAGAAAATACATGTCTACCTAACCAGATCAACACAAACTTGAATCTCCATGTCCGCATTTCGCTCTTTGGCAGAGCTGTTTGACCAGACCTATGCCGACACCAACTCTCCTCAATGCCCCTACATTGTGAGGACTGGAGGCCCATGCAGGAACTGGATGAGCCTCAAAGTCTCCGAAAAGACGAAATCAATTGTCGCGGAATATCTTGGCATCTTCACTGGATCCTTTCGCGAATCTACCAACGCAGCCCCCCCTTTCCAATTCTTCCAAATGATCGCCAATATAAACCTGTGCAAGAACCATAAAAAGCACGCCAATCATGCAACAGAACAGTGGCTCAACGAGTTTACTGAAGAGAGATCTTCTATCATTGGCAAGCTGAAAGAGTACTGCAGCCTCGGAAGTCATGATACGCATGCCGGTGAAAATGGAGATTATGCAGACGAGATTGATTCATCGGCAAACAAGCCTTACTGTGACAACGGGGGGTCGGACGACGAAAAACGTCCATCTGAAGGGAGAGAAGGTGTATCGACACTTTCTAGCCAATCCTCATCGCCAATTGGAGTTCTACGTCGTTCAGCTACACTAGCAGAAGAGGAAGTGGGAAAGAAACTCACCTGTCTTTTGGAGAAGCGTGCTGAAGGCAATTCCCAGAAGCCCGGGTGGATATATGCCTTACGTCCTCTTAACCTTCCAGGAAAAGTCAAAATTGGCTATACCCTGGAAACCCCTCGCTTTCAACGTTTGCAGTATCACAAAAGGTGCACCAGTTTCGGCGACTATGAAGTTCTGATAGCAGAACTCATACCTCATGCGTATCGTGTGGAACAGCTAGTTTTGACAGAGTTCTCTAATGAGCACTATCAGCTAGAGAATCGTTGTAAGAGCTGCGAAGCCATTCATAAGGAGTTACTTGACATCGACAGCGAAAAACTGTTGACGTGTCTTCGGAAGTGGATCGACTTTGTCAAGTCTTCTCCATACAACAAAGAAGGTCAATTGACGAAAGAGGCCAAGGATAATATACCCCTTCCTGCCAAGAGCGAATTCCTTGGCTATAAGCCAAAGCGCGGTCGCACGTCGAGGGGAACGACTCCAAAGAAGAAATCAGGAGGCCAGGATTCTCAAACCCCACCTCCGTCGAAATTGGATTTCACGGCGACCACAAAGAACTCGACAGTTCACGGGGCCGAGCTGAGTCAAGATCAAGATGAAATATGCTCGGCGCTCGAGAATCTTCAGCTTACACCTTCGAAGCAGACGGGAGGCTTCATGACAAGGTTATTATCCATTGCCGGGAGTTTTTATTCACCGTGATCAACAACTGGGATATTGTTTCTGATACTGAAGTTTCTGTCTTGTTCTGAGATTTTGTGAAGTTGCTGAATATGATACACGTGTCTTCGGCGAAGAAACAGGAAGCACGAATTTAATGACGAAAACTGTTCCTAATTTAGAAGGGCAATTATAGCCTTTCATCCTCACTATCGGCTGTAAAAAGGTCCTGGTCGGAAATTTCCTCATCGTCTGGATCTGGGAGCCCATCATCACCCCAGTCTTCACTATCATCCGATAAAATCATCTGAGTCCCATTGATACAATCTCTAGTCATCATCTCCAGATATGGATGCTTGTGACACAGTATTCTTAGCATTTTAATGCCAGGTTGACTTCTTGCGACGTTTGAGGCAGCCATCACCATGTCGTCATATAGTTCATATGCAGACTTTACCTCGGTGCAGTGGCGACTAAAGCCTGCATGGAAGCGATCGGGTTCCTTGAGACTAAGGTTGATGATGATACTCTCGATCTTTGAATCGCGCTCGAGCTCAAGTACACGAGGACAGATGTTATGCATCCTTAAGCGAATAGATCGTAGCGAAGGAATTTTGAGCGCAATTCGAGGACAGACATGCACTCCACTTTGAAACTCGGAGCCGCAAGTGTCAATCACAAGGTCGGAGATCGTAGAAAGATGAAGCGCATCGAAAAGACTCGTCGGTGACCATGATTCAAGATAGTTTGTGACAGGCGCTAGGGGTTTATCCGGGTCAAATTGACTCGGTGCGCGCAAAATAAAAGCCGTAAGGTGTACACAGCGGGTTAACAATTGAATGAAGCCATCATTCAATCCGTCATCAGCATGCCAGTCTGGACTGTGCTTCATGTCAATCGTAAGGCGCTGCAAAAACAGTTTCAATCTTTCAAGAGCTCTTTCAGGAATTTGTCTGAGCCGGTTGGCATTGAGAACCAGGTCTTTGAGCAAAACAGGCTCTGCAAGCTTGCACCACCATTTAGATACTAGTAAACAGCAGGCTTCGTGTTTTCGGAGGGATTCACTGCCGACAAAATGAAGGATGATATGAAGTACCTCAACGGGGAGGCTGTGTAATGGCATTATCTCTTTTGGTGTGACTAAGAGGCCCTAGGATTTCAAACTGCACAGAGGGACAAGGCTCGCGTCCACAGGAGGTTTCGGAAGAGGAACTACGGAGGAAGGTTTTTCCGAGACGATAATCACCATCTCTCATTCTAGGCCTGGGGTTGATGGAAACAATAGTTTATTAGTTGATAGTAATACCCCTCTGTTTAATTCCGCAGATCTTACAGTAGAAAACCTAGGAAGTGCCAAATGAAGAAACGCGAAGTCAAGTTGAAATCGTGGTTCGCGCTCATTGGTAAACAAGAAACCGGAGCTCAGTTGACCTGACAGCCGGATGAAATTCAAGTGATTTTACTTTTAGACCTTCCTGCACGCTACTATTCTTAGGAACCAGGATCCTTTTTGGCACTCCCCTTGAGTCCTCCTCTCTAAGCATACCTGGCTCGCAGATAGGTACCCACATTTGCAATTCATATAGGCACTTGGAAGTAGGCCTCTTATGGGGCGGGGCGGTTCTGAATTTCCGAACCGCGAACCGCGCCTCATAGACCCGCAACCTATCCCATCTCAGAACCGCACCGCCCCGCGGGTCTAACCTTCGTGACCAAGAACCGCCCCTCCGAGGGGCGGGGCGGGGCGGTACGCGGGTCTTGCGGTTCCATGAAGAGGCCTACTTGGAAGCTTCTTCATACATCCCTTTCACATTCATCTTAATGTAGACACGTTTTGTGTGGCTGCCTTGTTTCCGCTATATTGACATCGCTTAACAATATCATGATTCCAGAGAATGAATACAAAGAACAAGACTAGATACTAAGCTTAACGAAGCAAGGGAAAAAGTAAAAAAGAAGAACAAACCAAGACAAAACATAGAACTAGACAGCAATACGGAATTCGAATATTAGAAACATAGAACTAGACAGCAATACGGAATTCGAATATTAGAAACATAGGCCAAAGAGAACTATATATAGTCATCCCGCGACAAGGCTCAGATAGAGCACCCTAGGGTCTAGGCCATCTCCGAGACTCCGACAATAGGAAGGCCAAAGCATCCTGGGTAGAGAAGCAATACCAACCACTCCGCTGTTTGAGATTATAGTTATATGTTATATTATCTTGAGTCACTCTTTTTTTCTTACTGGCCCATGGGCAAGAGGGGATTGTTCTTTCACTTTGCGCTGCCTGTCCCTCCACTTTCTCTTTTTCCCTCTAGACTTGAGATTCTTGTACTTGAATGACAATACTTCGCCAGACTCAGGCTTGAACATAAATTGATCGTTACAAACACATCAATGCTTTTTATGTCGCGTTCCATCTTGTAAGGAAATCAGACGAACATAAATTGAGCTTTAAAAAACAAGCTTAAAAAACAAAAATATACAACAGGAGGGATTCGCATGTGGCCACCCACTATAGTGTACTACTAAACTCCTAGCGTGTGACTTGAACGCGTCCAGTAGTCAGGTGGCTAAACCCTAATACACAACTGGAAATTCAAGTCGAAGTCCAAGGGGCACATAACATACATTGCTCATTCTCAAGACAAGTAACTCTTAGGATTCGCACTAGGCCCTATAAACTGTTGAGAAGCTGTGTAAGATCTCTCAACACCGTCACTACCGAACAGGGCACACAGCCCCACAAAGAAGTCGGTGCCTCAAGTACCTCGAGTGCTCTACCCGTACCCGGGCATGCATGCCCCCAGGTGGAGCCCCAGCGCCAACACCATGGGCCGCACTAAATCAGGCCAAAAATCCACCGACGATATTTTGTTCTTATGCGCACCAAAATTTGTCGCCATTCCACCATCATCAACGTTTACACCATATCGGACCATTACGGTAGAGCTTATTCCGGTTTAGTTCCTATCGACCTGGTTTAGCGCCCGCTGTCCCTATGCGCACCCGTGCGTGGGTGTATATACGCGCCCTCGTCCCGTCTCGATCCAGCAGCCCCCAAAGTGCTTTGCAATCTCTTCCATGCTCTTTGCAGTTGAGGCATTTTCGCTATTGATCAGAACCGCTGAAAGCTCCGCCACCTCCTTTCACCGACATACAGTAGTTTTCGAATTCAGTTTGACCTCACACTCTTTCCACTTGATTTCCGGAAAATGAATCCTAAACATGCGTGTTCTGATTGGATGTTATTTTGAGCTCGTTGAACTAGACCGCTTTTTACAATGGTCTATGTATCTTACAAATACGTCTTCAATACCGTTGATGTTGTGTTTTACACGAAATTAGCGGACACTCCATGTTGGAGACTCAGATATGCCTTTAAATCCTACATCCCAAGCCGCGGAGGGACTGAATACAAAATGCCTGTCTATAAGATTGACGACCGACAACCCAAACAACCTCCCTGGGGAGAACTTCTATTGGAAGTCTACTTCCTCTCCGAATGGGAAAAGCCTCACCCAGATCCCTCACAATCCAACGAACCCCCCGCAGACCGTCGCAAACGGCTTGTTCGCCAATTTCTCGCATTGGGGTTCGAAGGCAGACAGGTATATACCTCCTATCATATTGAATGTGAGGACCATACACAGCAACTGACCCCGAGTCATTACCACCCTGATAGCCTTACTCCCAGAAATCACCACCCATTCCAACTGAAGGTCAAATAGACGAGATTCTTCGACCTATACGCCCCGAGGCTCTACGCGCCTACGCTGATGACACCGGATCTTTATCAGGTCTTTGGCTTCGTCTCTGCTACACTGATGAAGAGGCGCATAAGACTCTATGGGCCGAAAATGAAGATTCAGAATGGGTTAGTTATGACGGGATAGTACTGGACGATGAAAGTATCTTCGGTGGCTTAGATTTGGCAGCTGCCCTGGAAGTTTTTCCAGAGCGTGTTACGAATGAGCATGTTGATCTTCAATTCAGAGATACAGAGTTCAGAGACATGGTAGATGCTGCACAAGAAGGTCCATGTCCTAGTGCGGAGAACTACTCTGATGAGCTTAAAGAGTTTTTAGCGAGAGTTCAAGCGGATTTAGAAAAGAACCCACTTATGAGGTATTCTCTCTGGCACGCTGCTTGTGTTGTTACTCATATATTTGTGGAGGATGAGGTGGCGCTCAACGGTGGAGGTTTATTGCATGTGTTTTTAGATGATTATGGGAATGTGGTGAGACAGTGGCGAGTTGAGAGTGATGGATCAGAAAACAATTATGACGGCGCTTGGTTCGAAGGTTGTTATAAAGAGGCTTTTGACGGTGGTATGGGAGGTAGTATGGAAGAAATTGGGCCTGCTTATCATGAGGGCGGAAGCCGGGGGCCTCCATATTATTAGTATGTTTGGGATCCTGGGGATGACGAGTCGGAAGAGGCTAGTGTAGATAAAAAGATCTTGCTTGATGTCCCAGAAATTGAGATTCATCATCGGTGTAATATGGGCTCATTCTAAAAAGTAATCAGGATCCTTAAGAACCCATGTAAGCTTTCCGGGTGAGCCAGGTTAGATTCAAGACTGGTAACGAATGAGACGCGCTACAAGTGATAAATTCCATAGAGGACTAGTAAACATCCTTCCCTACCAGGATTAGCTCTATACAGGGTAAGCACAGTCTTCTGGGTGATGACTGGCGGGCGTACAAGAGGGCTGCGCGCTCGGTGAGAAACGAGGGGAAGTGGCAACGTGGGATTAGTGAGAAGGCGGAAAGCAGGCTAGTACGAGGCTGAGTTTTGGGGCTGAGAAGGCTTTTTTGTTCTGCCTACCATGCCATGGCATTCCCCCGATCCATGAGTTGCTCTTCTACTGTCTTCGTGTCTCCAAGATTCCATCGTTAGTGAACCAAATATTTGACATGGCCTGCCCCCCACGAGAAACATTCCAAATCGGCTGGATATGTGCCCTGGGGCGTTGGAACCGCAATTAGTCACCTGTGTGGTTACCGGTGCTGTTGTTCTCGCTGCCTCTGGTCTCGCAACAGCTCTGCGTGAGGTCGCCAATAAAATCATAATAATCTAGACACTATTAGCGACGCGTTCTACTAGTCTAATTTGGGAAAGCGGTATAGGCGGCGAGACAAGGGCGGTTAGGGAGGGGGTCTCAGACCTTTGCGGTGCCACTTTACAATTTCGCGTCTACTCCGCCTTTCGCTTTGGCTTTGGCTCGACCATATAATGTCCCACGGATTATCTGCCGATACGCGGAACTCCTTTCGTGTTCGTGCGGTAAGTTGGCTACCCGCTGTTTGTCTACGTTTTTACTAATCTTTCCGTAGTGCGACAATTGTCGGGTACGCAAGGTGTGAAATTTGATATCTGTCCCGGCGTGAGCGATCTTCAATTGACCACGGTAGATCAAATGCAATAAATCGACTCCATGCTCAAGCTGTACAGCTCTTGGGATCCAATGTAAATTGGCTGGGGTGTCTCCTCCTGCTCCTGACACCTCGAATCGGCCAATCCCATAGTAAGGACTCTTACGGGCAAGTCCACACCAATGGCTTATTCTTCTTATAGTGACCAAAGGCTTGATTCCCTGTCGGAACAATTAACTAGCATTCAACGGACCTTGGAGCAGTTGGCACAAGGGCCAACATCACCCAATTTTGGCCCTGTTCTTGCACGTCCCATTACGGCACCTCAGACGGCGCCTACATTTGAAGGTCAATCCTCATTCCATCATCAGAGTCTTCTAGCCAAAGATGCTGTCTTTACTGCAGTAGGGAGTGCACAGAGTGGCCGGCTCGATGACAATGTCTCTGCTGCCCTATCATCACTGAAGGACAGTCTAAATCGCCATCAGGAACCCAGTAGTCAGAGACCACCGGAACCCGAATTCTCCACAGAAGATCTATTACCAGTTGATCTTGTCGTCGCTATAGTGAAACGAGTGAAAGGTATGCTATATTTTTGTCCAGGTGCTTGATGTATCTGGTTGTCAGAGTGCATCGTCGTTTTATCTACCATCTGTATACTTCTTCCTGGCTCGACAATATATTCGGTCAATGTTGGATGGCTGGTAATGATTAACTATCAACAGCCCAACCTCCATTCTTCCTGGTCAGTCAGGCCTGGAGAGATTACCAGCAACTAGAATCACTTTGTCAATCGGTGTACTTTCCACTCCAACCAGTCGCTGCTGGGTCGTTGTCTTTACTACACGGCTTACTATACTATATCATCCGAGACTATATGCACGAGAAACCTGCCGACCTCGCCCATTATGATCTATCGCCAAGTGCAGCCTTTTGCGAACGGAAGCTTTCGTCCTTTCTACAAAGCAATGAGACGATAGTCAATCCCACCCTTGAAAAACTCCAAACATTGCTCATCGGCGTAAGCCTGTCCCCTTGAGAGCGCCACCAAACTAGAAGCTGAGTGTCCCAGGTCATCAAATCCCAGGAAGAGTCAGATCTGCAGCGCTGTTGGACATATCTGTCCCTAGCATTTAACATGTGCCAATCGATGGGGCTCCACAGGTCATACACGCTGACAAACGACAACTTCTCCGTTGCTGAATCGAAACAACATGTCTTCTGGTCACTTTATACTATCGACAAAAACATCTCCCTAAACTTGGGGTTGGCGTCTCACTTTCCTGATCACGATATCGACGCAGATCTCATTACTCCTTCAACTGATCCAAAGCATCGCCCATGGGACATTATGAGCCTGGTTATCGTGGAGTTCGCCGGTATCCAAGGCCGTGTGTACGACGAATTATACTCCATCGCTGCATCAAAGGCATCCGATGAGCAGCGATGGGCTGCGATCGATAAACTCTCATCTGATATGATTGTTGTTAGGAACAAATTATTAGCCATAGACGTCAGCCAAGGACTCTATGCGGAGTCATTGCACGGGATGGCTGCTTGTGCTGACTTCGTCACTTACTCCGTGCTGACTGTCATCTACCGAGCGCAATCCCGCCCTCGGGATGCTACAGCAATCTCTTCACAGTGCTATGAAACTGCAACCCTGGCCTTACACAGTCATCTGAAGTGCTTCACATACTTCCGTGACCGTCAAACCCACAAACAGACTGAATATGTCAATTCGTGCGTACCCAATTCACCCCCATATAGACCCCGCTGATAAAGGTTACCAGGATTCTGTTGTATCCATCCTTTGTACCGTTCGTCATTGTCTTTCTCCACGCTATCACCAGCTCTAGCTCTAGCGATTTGGCTCTATTACAGGATACAGTCAGGTCCCTCGACTTGGTTAAGGGCTTGTCCAGTGGTTCTATGCACCTTTACAGTATATGCGAAGCATTTGCAAAAACTGCACAGGTCCTTGTTGGTACACAGCAAACCCTGACTGGGCTCGAAGAAAATCAAGATGGCTCACTCATTATGCCGCCTTCTTTTGATGGCTCCACGAATATTGCGCTACCGGATGTCTTCTGGCCAGAAGATATGTTGGACTCCAGCATGAACCAGGAGGAAATATCTACTTTCCTGAACGACTTTATCGGTACAAATAGGTCTGTCATGGATATCTTAAACTCCAACCACTCAAGCGAACTTCCGCTTTGAGTGAGACCCGATGGATGGCATGGATATTATCTAAAGGCCTAATGACTGTTACGAATGAGGCAGTCGGAAGATGAGGAGTGGTGGTTTGGAGACTTGGGAGCAAGTATTTACAGATTGGCCTGTTAAGACTTGGTGCTCGTTATCAAGGCCTATATCAGCACTGTCCCCGCCCGATAGTTTTCTCTTCTCTTCTCTCCAGTTTCGCTTTTTCATTTAATGACACAAGTTGATTTCGAATCTTCTTAATGATTGTAACTATGATGATCCTGAATTGTTACACCTACTGATAACCATTAAAGACCTCAAATCACATACTTTACCTTGCTGTTAGCCTTCATATCCGTCGAAATATTGCGGAAACTTACTGGAATGAACAAATATGGGACACGTCGCTCATACTCCGCCCAAGCTTCCCCGTACCTCTCGCGACATCTCTCGGTATCCCTTCTAGCCCGATGGAAGATCATGATCGTGAAGAATACCGGATAGAACCAAGGAAAAGGTGATTGAAATCCGGTGACGAGTCCCCAACAAATAGCGAAGAACACGTCACAAGTATAGTGAACCTTGCGGGCCATTCCATCTACGATTGTTAGTTAGGGCACAGTTGCTCAAGCAATGGGAAACTTACACCAACCTCCGCACAGTATAGAGTCTCCAGTCGTCGTGCGGATGATCGTCGGGTCCTTGACAAACTTCCATGGCAACTGAGGGAAGGTTTTACGGTGGATGGAAACTCCCCGCTCTTGCGCCCTAAAGAAGTTCTTCTGGCTATTGCATGTGTCCCATACCCAGTACACAAAAAGATATGCAATCGCTAATAACCCCAACACCACCGGGTTCCACCTGTACGTGGATGGGTGGTGGGAGGCAAGATACAAGGTGCAGTGGCAGTAACTCATTGGGACTCCAGCAAGGGTCCAGAAAATCAGCATGAACCCCCATTTCTCATAATACATGTCCCTGTTTCCCGTTAGCCAATGTTTGACAACCCCCGTCTCTCGCGGATGCATACCAACTAGTGATGATGAGCTCCTCACCCTTTGCGCATGCGTTAGTGTACAGAAAATGGGCCATGAGCAAAAAGGCAACTTCTCCTGACACATATCCAAAATCTTCCCATTGTTTTAAAGCTGTTCCCAATGTCAAGAGGAAAAGAATGTACCATGGGATGCGCACTTCAAAAAACATCTTCAAATCGAGCCAGCGGAATAGCCGGGGGTTGAGCTCTGCGCCCATGAAAAAGTCATAGACGTGGGTTCCAGTCATGCGGTGTTGGGCGCCACGCATAAAAGCAGAAATATAGGCGACCACAGAGACCAAGAACCCAGAGCAGATAGCCACGGACATCAACGGACCGAACTCGGTGATCAGAGTATCAAGTCGAAAGATGCCGGAGAAATGCAGGACGAGGGACGCCGCGATAGTCACATACCACGAAGACACCGCAGAGCAGTAGTATTCAAGTTGCTTTCCGTTGAGATGGGGCAGTCTCTTTCCTTTACCGTACACCCCGGGCAAGTAGAGGTATCCCGCCCCCTGCAAGACAAGGAATGTCCAGTAAATGATCCACGCTCTCCGATGTGGGAAGGTGGAATTGTAAGCGAGATCAACTAGATGAAGGAGAAATTCTGGAATGCTCTCATCTGGGCCCGGTGTCGGAAATCGCCCGTCATAAAACCTGGCGCCTAGGTACATGTAGTACATCAATAGCGGAAATCCTAGCATCGCGGCTGTCACACCAAGGGTTCCACCAAACTCCATTGTTGTGTTCTCATCCGGATTGGCTGGCCTTTCAATCGAGACTTTATCCTGGCCATTAAGGTGGCGCTGTCGAGACATTTTTTTGGGTGCTAATACACGGTCAACTTCAGGTTTTCAAGGAGACCCGCGGAGGGCCATTCAGACTTACACTCAAGGTAAGCAACAGATGTCTGGCTATAAAATATTGAGCTTGTTCAGTTGGGCCTTGATATCAAGCGAAATGAACTGCTTTATAACTTCATACAAAATGAGCCTAATCGGTATACCGCGGACTCCGCGGACTCCACGGACTCCACGGACTTCACGGCCTCCTCGCCACCCACGATATCCGTGGATTGAATACTCTCTTCAATTTCGGAATGCCAGCTACTATAACACATATCAGGGGAAATGGATCAAGCCTCTCTCGGGGATATAGCCAGCCTGGTCCCTGTCCAATGCCTCCGGCCACGTACTCAAACGGTCCGTCCCTATTCTAAGGTCTGTCCCCACAACATATAAACTCCTACTTCTTTCCTCTTGAGCTTGATCTTGTCAAACCTCCAGTGTGCCATTGCAACCGCAAGTCTCCATGAATTTTATTACTGTAACCTACAAACACAACCCATCCGTCAGCATGAAGGCGGATTTGTTCTCGGTGCCCTGGCAGCTCTATGTAATCCTCCCGAACATCACGTGAAGCGGCACGTTTGCTTACTCACTTCAATACTTTGATGTTGTTTTCGAACGTTTCTGCCTTCCATCACCGCCTTCGCTATTTAGTTGCCAACCCTCATTCGGTAGTTGCTCCTCCTTCCGCCTACAACCTCCGAAACATCGCGCTTCGATGAGCGCAAGCAAACTCGAGATGGCTACGACCACGCGCCATGACTGCCCCCAGGGCTTCGCTGATGATGACTTTGCCGTTGAGAATTATGACAACTACCCTTCCAGTTTTTGCAGCTTGGAAAACGAGAATCTGTTTCCCAGGTCCAAGTTTCCAATGTTTCGTGAGAGGGATACTCCTGACTCGCACGAAGCCTATGCGCTACTACGACCAGCGCTCCTTCTTACGTCCCGAATAATAACGCAATGCTCTCAGACATTTGCCCTCTTTGTCCGCCGTCGACACCCAGGCTCACCGGACGCATGGCTTGGGGCTGATGCCGAGCTCGAACTCTCAAAGGAAGAGATCACTCTATGCATCCAGCGCACTATCCCCAATATCGACTTTGACCCCGACATGGACCCGGATTCTTCCTCGTTTGCAACGACGACCTTATTCCCAGACCGGCCGTCGGATCTCATCATCGTGGACTACAATCTTATCCGACTGCTTAAGAATTCGGCTTCGAGTAATAGTCAGAAAATGGCGGGTCTAGTATTTCTAGCAGTCCTACTCGCTCACGAATTAGCCCACGTTTTAGAGTTCCGCAGCATCAGGGCCGGTCGACTACGGTCTGATGGTCAGCCTTTTGAAACCCCTGCTGGCGTAACTTGCCGCGAGGCCGGCACTGCTTGGGAAATTCGTGCATTTGGAGGCCGGGTTTACCCGGTCTGTCAACTTGAGAATTCCTTGGCCAATATGCGTGGTTTATGCATCAAAAGTACCGCATGGGATTTTGATATGATGAAAGTGAGTGAGAACTGGATTCGTCAACTTTTCACCGAGTCCCATTGGACTACCGTCCAGCTGCCCCTCCGACCCCCAATTGACAAATACGCACGATACGCACTTCTTGAAGATGAACTGATTGATTGGCGGCGTGATCTATTCACGAAACAAAAGGTGCGCAGTTCAGACGTACGGGTAGAATCGGGAAGCCCTCACAAGAAGCCTCGGTCGACTGGGCCGCTCAAGACATGCGGAGGCAAGAGAGTGCAGATGGGGCCGGAAGAGGATCAGAGTGATCTCAACCGAGTCCATCCCGGGCGAGTCCCATTTCGATGATCGTGAGAATGGCCATATTTGATTGGGTTGCATTCCACGGCGGGGCTTCAATGTTGAATCCATCAGAACATCAGGAAGCCACCACGCCATGTTACCACGCAGACGGAATTATCTCCAGATGCCCGCTACCATGCTATTGCTGTTGGTGTAGCTTTTACAGGAGCACACTGTATAAAACATGTGATCGCGTTAAATATACCTAGCACCAAAGCGAAACACATTAGGTATGAAGGTAAATCCATGCCGTGATTGGAGACTATGCATTCACATTCGGGCATTCTTGCAAGGTGACCGATTTGTTCACCACGCATCAGTTTACACTAGTGTAATCATTGATCGAGGCTTTTGCACAATGCCAACGCTAGAAATGGAAAGGTCAAAAAGCTCTGATATGTTAATGTTCTAGTGTGACGTTTATATATAGCTTGCAGAATTTGTCTCCGCCGCCCCCCAACACTAAATAAGTTCAATATATAACTATCACCCTTGCGGCAATCAAACATGATGCGGGGACAGAACCTGAAAACCACCAGTATCAGCATCGCCGCATGCTCAACCTTGGAATCATCGCATGGATAGACCTAAAAAAATCAATTTGTCATTAGCTTCCTGATCTGAAGAAAGTGCCGGAAAATGTCTGCACGACACAAAGGAAATTTATTATAGGGTGATAGAATTTGATATTCGGACGCTAGATTATCTGCTTATGCTTTAGTGATTGTTTACAACAAAACAAACTATAGGAAAATACTTACCATACAAAAGCATTTTAACTTTGTGTATTTTTGCCTTTGTCGGTGCCGCAAGATCGGTACTAACTTCAGGGTCTAGGTCTTAGATGAAGGCGTTCTCGTCAACCATCTTCACTAAACATGAACGTACCAACGAAAAGAGGTGGAAGCCCAGCTCCATTTAAATAATATACATCCATCTTAATTTAGAAGGGCGCTCACGGCCAAGGTCGCCTTCAAACTCTTGGGTCAACCACATGTTATCGATTTGACGCTTCCGATTAGGGCAGTGATAAGATCGCATACCCGCTGTGCACCCAGGTGGAGCCCCAGCGCCAACACCATGGGCCGCACTAAATCAGGCCAAAAATCCGCGAAGTGGAAAAGCGACGATTTTTTATTATTATGCGCACCAAAATTCGTTGCCATTCCACAGTCATCTACGTTTACACCATATCGGATGGTATTGTTGAAAATACCGCCGAGCTTTGGCATTATAAACGAAATTTAGCGTTTATTTGTCCCTATGCACACCCGTGCGTGTGTATATACGCGCCCTCCTCGTCCCCTCTCGATCCAACAGCAAAGCTACTCACAGATATAATTAACATCCTAAGGCCGGCCAGAACAGATCCCCTGATATCTTTCCTTCTCAGCCTCTGTCACAGAAGGGGCCTTAAACTCAATAGCGTTCATCGGAAGCGTTTCATCACTTTGATTGAATTCTTCTGAGGATTGCATCACGTCGCCGTATCATAAGATTTTCTTCTTCGCGATTTGGGCGTGATTTCAACTTGGTTCTCTTGAACCATTGGCGCTTGTTGTCGATTCCCCAAGGTGTCACTCAATCGCGGATCAGGACGAACTCCATTTGGTATGAATTGGCGGCTTGCGGCCTCTCTGCCTACCACTAGTTAAAACACCCGTTATTCATCGTTTTAAGGTTTATGAGTGTGGATTCTATGAGCTTGGTTTTTATCATACTTAGACGTAGACCTTGCGCTAATATTATTTGCCTAGACTGATAGAATGGATCACTAAAATAAGGATGATTATTAAGATAAGGCCACACCTCTAGTGGGTCGGTCACCCAACAAGGTCGGTCAGCTGTGCCACGGGCTATAAGGATAGTGACTGCCCAATCACCTCAAGGTTGTGTGAGGATTCCTCATTCGCGGAGATTACTCTAGGCGATCAATTTTGTCAAGCAAAAATCACTCATAGTAAATTCTAATAGGCTAAACCGGCTTAGATGGTGTCAAGATATCAAGGAAAATTCTTTCGGTCGGGTGATCGGGTGATCGGCCTAGACCGGTCGCGATTTCCAGGAGCCGGGTCGGGTTCCTGTACCGGGCTGTTATTTTTGGCCTCACCGTCTCATGACAGTAAAAAAAAATTCAAAAATGATCTAACCAGAAACTCACTAGGGATAAACAGAGACAAGATAAAAACCCATACAATCACCACAAGCTCATTATTATCAACATCAATTCACTTCACTTCACAAGTGTTCTTCACTCCTCAAATACCAGCACCAAGCCCTGGCATACCGACAATAACGGATCCAACCGCCAAGTCTCCTACAAACTCGATCTCAAATCCACAATGGTTGCTTTCCCTATGATCGGCGCTGGCCCCTACGGCACAAGCCAAAAATCAGCTCGCTCAAGCTCAACCGACGCACCAAAGCTCGATGCAATGGAAATCGAAAATATTTTCCAACAAATCAACTCCTCCCGAGAAGCCTCAGTAAATTCCTCGAGCCGCTTCGGATGGTTCTCGCGACAGTAAGATCAATTCCCTATACTCAGTATTTATAATCGCTAACTTCGCTACGTTAAGGTACAGCAACAAATTCCACCGTCGCGGCAAATCTGAATCTAAGTAAGGTTTATGGGCGGCTCCACATCGATGGATACTATGTGGCTAGGCTACTATTGGCTAGTACACTCTTGATATTTTAATGACTTACATTATTAATGGGAATAAATCTAACTAGTTATAACTTAATCCTACTTTGAATGATCTTTTCCTCTTTTCCTTCACCCTTGCTACATCCGAAAATCCTTACTCAGGCCCTTGCCGATGGCCGTGAATGTAAGTCCAAGCAAGACAGTAAAATCTTATTATTACACACTTGCTAGAAAATGAGGCTAGGGCTATTCAGAACGGGCTATAATGATCTCCTTTTAGGGCTTGGGCTAGTTTTGATTGAGCTTGCTCTTTGTCAACATATTGCCCGTCTTTATTTCTCGAGTAATTAAGGCATTCCTTAACTCCTTAATAAGGCAGGAAATTTGATTTATGATGTCTCATGCGAGTGTGGACTGAGTTACGGTGATCCCACCAGTGCGCCAACACTATGGCCCGTACTAAATCAAACTGAAAATCTGTGCAGTATAAAGGCGACAGTTATATTTCCGAGTGAGATCACGAGATTTTCGGGTGGTTTTGTTAGCTTCGCACGGGACTGGGAAGGGGTGTCAACTTCCGTATAGTATCCGACCAATTGGAGATATCAATGACTCTGTATTTCCATTACCCCTATTCACGCTTTTTATGGTCCAATTTAGTTACATAAGCAATGCCGTCGGATCATCCATAGACCCGGTTTTCACTTTGCGCCAAGTAACTCGGCTATCTGTTGAAGACCTATTTCTCCTTCCCTTCTTTTTGTGTGGTGTATGCTAGTCTTCACTTGCGAGGGTGTTCGTCTGACCTAGAAAGCCTCAGCAAGAGATATTAGGGGCCAACGACCACCCTGACCAGTCGGCGGTTGTTTGCAGGCGAACAACACCCTCAAGGGTTCCTGATGAGAGAAGCCTCAACTAACAATCACCCACTGGGTGCTCAGTCTGTCGTTGCAGTATGCCCATGGCAATGTTACCGGGTTATCTAGCTATCCATGATAATTATGGCGTTCAACAAAGTATGGCACTTGACCAATGGGGCGGTACATCACAATACGCACCAACACCTGACAAGTTGCGTTGGTCATCTCCCCCTCCCCGATATAAGCTACATCAACATCGATCACATGCCCCTGTCGAGTACAGTATATTGGAATCGGGAGAATACGGAAAGTCCGAAGAAATCTACCAGGCCTTAGAGAAGTGTCTTGACGCTTGCGAAACAAGACCTTGCAAATTGGGAAGCACCCCAAGAAGACAATATTGTACTCGGAGAAAGTGATATATTAGAGCAACCATATTAAAGTCCCGGTGCAGGCTTGGTAAAAGAAACAAGGAGGAAAATCTCATAAGATCAATGACGCAAGACGTCCACCTTGTTTTCATTTATAATGTGGTCCGACGTGTGAGACCACGGCAAATTATTAAACTTGACAAGATCGTCAAAGAGATGAATTCAGTCGATTATTTAGCGCTAGAGGAGGGAAATGCGGACATGACCTTCATGAACAACGGAAGAACACAACAACACAACATGACTGGTACGTGTACGGGGGCTCTGGAATCTATCATGCTAACACCAAGAATAGGAAATAGTATATTGCTGAGCGTCAACGCCCCTCAGGAGGTGAGCAGTTCTTTAGTTCCTTCTCTTCGACATAAGTTCGTAGATCTTTGTCCATTGACGGAGTAGTTCCTCTACTTCAGACCCTGGCTCTGCAATTGATCGGTCCACCTGGGCCACAGTGGTGGTCCATGCGCCGATATCACTGAGGCTTTCATTCATATCACACTTACCGTAACTGGAGTAACTGGCGGTTTTTGGGATTGTTTTTGGTAGAGATTCCCCAGGCATATCTTGTGCTTGAGGCCTTCCCAGTCCTCTGTGTCGTCTCTTTCTTCGAGCCAAACAAGGACAGCAAACTAGGTATAATGCGGACCAATAAGACAAATCATCATACACGCAGTCATCTCGATTGGTTGGCTTCGTGAATGCGTCTTTACATTCGCCCTTTCTAGCCCGTGAGATTACTTCACTGGTTGTATTTGTATTCATTGATCGCACTGTTGACGGCTGTGGGTAACGACTCCGTAAAACTGTCGGAACGACAGGATTGCTCTGTATTGCAGTGCTCGTCGAGGCGCTCTGTGTAGGCTTCGCGATGTCATGATGTCTTATAAAATGAGGTCAGCTATACGGAGAAATCCAGATGACTTGGAGGAATGACTCTACATACGTACTGATCCGCCCTCCCAGATCGAGCCTTCCCTCTTTCTCCTCTTGCTCCTCTTGCTGCTGCCATTGCAAATTTCTTTCATGGATTGATTTATTTTCGTGAATCGTTTGTTTCAGAGCGTTCAGCAAATTCGCCGCTTCAGTCGCATCACTAGATTCCAAATGAATGGCTATTCTAATGTCAACTAGAAATCCCGAGGAAACTTCAAGTACTTACTGTGTCTCTGTTTTCAACCGAGCGTAAATAATGACCTGCATCATAAGCTGAAGATCACTTTTCGATTGTTCTAATCCGGCTTGAAGTCTTTGGCGGCGTGAGCTCCTAAGAATCAATATTAAGGAGCCAAAAGTATCATGCCGTGATTCGTTTGCGAATGCATTTAGTTTGTCGAAAATCCCTTTACATCTCGTGACCACGTCATTAGCTGTGGTGATGGCACTGTTTGATATCAAGGGTTCTGGCGCGGCGCCTTCTTCCTTGAAAACTTTGCCAACTTCTTCAAGCACCACGGAAGTAGACTGGACGTAGAATGCCAGGTCTCTGACTTGTTTCTTCCCAGATGAAATGTCGTCGCTGACACTGTATAGTGTTTTCGCGAGTGTGAGGCCCACACCAGCGAGCTGAATGACTGCAGCAGCAGTTCCAACCACCTCCATCGCAATCTTTGCTCAGCGCGAAGTTCAAAAGTTTTCGGGGAGTTGTTGTGGGTGGGGATCCGTTTACAGTAACTAATTCAAGAGGGAGAAACTGAAACGCAGGCAACGGGGCGCAGCAGGAAAGGGACAACTCACATTGCATATGAATTGTGGGGCATATAGATCCAGATCACACTGGTAATCGAAGGTCCTTGTGGAATCGCAATCGCCATATGAAACAATTCTTCCCCGCGAGTAGCAACTCGGATGGAATACGGTAAAACAAAAATGCGATGCATGGTCGGCTTGTTAGCATGAACGGTAGTTTGGCGAGAAGTGGGCGGGGTTGATGAGTGAATCAGACTTCATTCTCTGATCTACTTCATCCCCCACCGCCTTCATCTGCGCAGCCCTCTGGGCCGTCGGCTGCCGCTCCTGCGCTCGCTTGCATCAAGGGAGTACAGTGGACCTGGCACTGCACTCCTAACTGGCACCATCCTTCTCCTTCCGTCACACTGTCCTGAGGGGTCATCCTTTTCGTCGCCTTTTTCCGTGCCGAGAGCCAATGGGTCGACTGCTTGAAACTGGTTTAAGAGACCTGTCCGGACCATGAATTCGGCCACAATTATGCGAGCCTCTGGCCGCGTCAGGAGCTCGTCGCGTCGCAGAGCAACTCCACGGTCGGACAGAGCGTTTCTCATCCAGTTGCGCTCATCTTGGAGTAGCGGGCATTCGAGCAAGATATGATCGACGGTCTGGTTCCCCAGATTGCAACCACATCTCGCTGACTCGCGCCGATTGATGCGAGTCAAGTAGGCAGCAAGGCCAATTCGTCCAGTACGAAGCTGCATCAGAATGGACGCTGTCGCTTTCCGCAGGTCGGACCAGTATTCCAGGGTCTTCTTTGTTGGTCGTTCGACTAAGCGTTTCGTCGGTCGACCTGTTCTCTCTATAGACCATGACCTTTCCCACTCGATTTTTGCCTCGCGGCGAATGCGGCTTTTAGCTGCAGCTGCAAGGCGAATATAACGATTGTTTGGGTTTTGTGGTCCTTCTGGTTCCTGGGCCGCCTCCTTTGCGTGTCGGTCGACACGTTCATTGCCGGCCAACTCATCAATTTGATCGACTATGTGCTGAAAACTCGATTATTCCACTCTGTATGCCAGCACATTCATCTCATCTTCTTCAACCGCTGGATATTGGCTGTTTCTTCTTAAACGTGCCTATAGTCGCCTGATTACCAATCAAGCACGGCTAGGATATAATCACATCGACAAGCTAGATTTCCTAGCAGAATATTCTCAGGCACATCAGGAAACATTTAAACGAGGAACCATTAAAAACAGTTCCTCAGCCCGCAGGTCTAGTTCCACTAGACCCGGAACATGTCTCATCAAAACTCAATATATCACTCCGAACACTCACACCACCACCCAGCCGCCCTACCAGCCGATCAAGTCCATTTATACCAAAAACACCAAAAACAACTACAAAAACAGGCTTCTTCACTCAAGAAGCTCAAAAAAAAGTTCATGAAGCCCTCCTACACCATCCAAAATCGTCCTATATCAGATCATTAAGGGCTGCTATCTCTCAATGCATAATGCTGCGCTACTAGCGCAGGAAAATGCTGATTTACGGGCTATGAATGAGAAGAAACGGCAAAAACGAGCACGAACGAATCGCCTAGTTCGATGCGAACAGGGTGTTACGGTCGGCGAGGGCCTACCACCACCAGTGCAGCCAGAGCAGTCTGTTGAACCTGTTGAACAGCTTCCGCCCGCACCAGTTGAATCACCTATTTCGCCACCCCCACCAGCCAAACGTGCACCTCGGAGATGTAGCGGCTGCAATAGTATTGGCCATTCAATTACCCGGTGCCCTCATCAATAGTTTTTTGAATTAATAGTGTTTTGGTGGTTCTATCTGCCTTTGAATATTCAGTAGTGGTTTAGGCGGCCCACTCGCCCGTGGATTACGTTAGTGGGTGGGCACTAAGCCAAACAATCCACTAATCTTGTCCAGAGCTTCCAGGCTTTACATACTCTACTCAAAATGGAATTTTCCTTGCCTATAACTCTTCTTGGAGAGGATCCTCTTATAAGTATACTGTCAGGGTGCAGGTCCGGTAACAGGTGTATTAGGAGTTAACGTAACAGGCAGTCTACAGTCAGGCTATACACAAGTACATAGACAAGACGTAGCTCGAAGAGCTGTCAACAGGCAAGAATTCGAGGTGAGGTGTAAACAGCGTGAGTCACGTGCAGGGGTGGCCAGGCACCGCGGCCGCGCACCGTGATATAAACGCTGTGATGATTCGACGAGTTGATATGACATCGAAGTGGAGGGTCCTGTCAGTAGCTTTGGCACGAATACACATCCTTTTGCCGTTTACCAAGTCCGCATTCTTGCTTCTCCACTCCGGTATTACAGTACAATTTCTTACGCTCTTTGGTCCAAACGAACTCGGGCTGCAGTGTTGCGGGCGAGTGAGATCACGAGATTTTCGGGTGGTTTTGTTAGCTTCGCACGGGACTGGGAAGGGGACCATAGCACGTGACCGTCTGCCTAAATTTGCACATTCCTCCCGCCCCCACTTAGTCCTGTATCTATCCACCCGCAGAACAATACAAGCGATTACAAGGCTGTGTCTTCAGCTTACCTTTGTATTGCCCTTCTCCTCTTACGGACCCTGTTCGTCCTTCCCTCGTTGGGAAGCTTGCAGCAGCGCCCAACTTTAGACTGAGATTGTGGTCTCGCCCCACAAAAGTCCTTACTTCCCCACTGCCAAGCTTGAGCGGACGTAATCATGGTACTATCATACCAAGTCACCCTATTATTTTTGATTCATCTCACAGACTCATTGGTTCTAGACCGGACCACCTCTCACTCCCGAGACTTTTTCTCCAGAAGGCAGCACTATCAGCTACCCAGGCCGGGCCACTCCGGTTCAAGTTTCCCAGAATGTCACCCGCTCGTTTGCCGGCGCTCTGTCCGATAATTGGCCCCTAACCTTCGCGAATATCCGCTTAATCAGCATCGCAGCTTACACTGATGGACCAAGCCTTAGGGCCAAAGTATCCTTGATGACCAAAATAGAAAATTCCGATGAAGAGATAATTGTTCGATCAACGCACCCTTCACTAAAGGGTTGCCACGAAGTTTCAGTTGTCGAGGGTGGCCAGGTAGACAGGCCTATATGGCTAGTCAATGCGAGCGATGCTCACCGCATTGAAAGCACGCATGCGGCCGGCAGAGAGATTCACATTTTGCCAAAGCATTTTAGCCGACCTCTTTCTTACTCTTATGTGCCGGTCCGAGACACGAGTGTTGTGACGATAGATCCACGGGCTTTTCTTTCACCGCAGGTCATTATATCAATCCGTGAAGCGTTCCCTGGGTCCTTAGGCATCCAAATCATTCTCACTGGCTGGATGTTGGTTTTGTTTCCAGACAAAAAATCACTAGAGGCGTGCTGGGCCAAGGGTGCACCGGACGAGGTCGGGAACCTAAGGGTCGGATACATCCTAACGTCGTGTTGTGCTACAGCTAACGTCATCGAATCCGGTCAAGCTGTAAGCAATGCGCCAGCCACTTTCGCCCACCATGCAGCGCTAGGCCTACGATTACGGCTTCCAGGTGGCTCAGAAGCAATAACAACAGTCACACATGCGTTTGTTCGCGTTGCTAACCCTGGAATGTCGAATTTGAGGAAGGGCTTCATGGAACAGATTCTGTTCGCGAAGGAGTACCTTAGAAGATTGCGACCGCCGCCAAGGCAGACCCAACACGCGGGCATTGTCCATTCAAAGCGATCTTCAAATTCGCCGGTCGGCAAAGAAATATGGTTGAGCGGAACCAATACTCATGTATGTATTGGCTAACAGAATTATAATTATAACAAACAGCATTAACCTTACTACCAGATTGGCACTATCACTGTCACATACGACCGATGTTCACGTCATCGCCTCATTCCATACCCTTATGGCTTCCAACATGATCTCAGTTTGGTCACTGGACCCAACCTCCCTCATCTAACGAACCCCCCCAACACCCCACGAGTGACCGAATGGGGCCCATACGAAGAGGCGCTTCAAGGCAGGCCGGTTTTTTTACACCGCTACAATATCGCGACCGGGAGATTTCATATCTACCAGGGCCATGGGATAACAGCACAAGCCCAACAGTGTATTATCCATGGGACCCAGTACAGCTGGGAGGAGAGATCACGGGGATTCAGTACCGCCTTGCTCTGGAGGACGATACGTGACACTGATAGTGTTCGAGGAGCCTCAGGCAGCGTTCTATGCCTAGGCGAGCCACACCACGAAACAGCAAGAGCACTACTCTTCCAAAACTTTGAGGGATCCCTGACAGCGAGCGAACATGTTAAGATTGCTGACAACGAGGATGCGTCTAAATTTAAAGGCGGGTTCCTCTTACCTGAAGAGATTCGACAATCACAGATCATCACAGTCCAAACACCATTTTCGAAAGTTTTCCGCTCCCCCCAGAGGAACTCTAATTCGGAGGCAGTGACACAGGAAAACAGCATGACCGTGTAGAAGGGTTTGCGATACTAGTGAAGCTACACCATCTCTGACACTTGTGAACCAACCTCGCTGGTCCTGCTGAACTTGTGTCTGCTGGGCCTGCGGTATGCAATTCAATATTTTTCGACAGTATCCTCCGACAGTATTCCCTAGAAGAAAACACTGAGTTTGCATCAGCGTGAACTAGTATACAATATGATACTACTATTACACATTTGAATGTGCAACAATGAGTGTTACCCCCAAAATTTTAGTTTCTTCGATATGGTGTAGTCTAAACTGTATAAAATCTATAATTGTGCTCCATTGACTTTCATCAATCTATCGCCTCTGGCACCATCTCTCACAGCCAGACTTCTTACGTAGTTAGGCTTCCTGTTGGAGTCTCCCATTTGGAACACATATAGTCCCAGAAGGCTTAACACCTTGAGCGACATGAGATGTATAGTAGCCGAGGAATAATATCTCAGATGTTGACCCATCAAGGACCAATATCGATCTTAAGATGATACAAAATATAGATATGTATAAGCATGTGAGTTCACAGCACATGCGCTGCGATGAGTGGTTTCACGATGGCTAAACTGGGTATAGAATCTCTGAGCGAGCCGGTGGCAGATTTAGTCCTAGACCAAATTCGGTAAATCTATGTTCATAGAGATGTTCAAGTCAGCAACGGGATCTTCGCGCGTATTGCTATGTCGTTGCCAGTAAACAAGAGTAGTGTCGTTATGGGCTTGCCAGGATTAAACAAGCACCAGGTTCACGGTTCGATAGGAGCAATTTTGATCCAGACAACCCCATGGCACTGCTCGGTGCTTCATCCTGTACAGAGATTGTGAGGATGAGAGGATGAGAGGTTCGCCGGTGGCCGAAGAACCGGTGATATGGTGTCCCGGGTCACGTCTCATTTGGCAGTACAGAGCTTTGCCATCGCATTGCACAAGGTGTCGTGCTCAGCGCTTCAACCGTCCCGGGGACGAACGGAATTTGCAGTGAATTGTATCCGGAGAAATATTCATCGGGTCAGAAATCAAAGGATTGATCAGAGACCTTATGCACATGCAAATGATAACGAACCGGCTTATCCCACACGATCATAGAGGCCCACCCTCAGCAGTAACATTCATATCGTCGTTCAACATATCGGGTGAATTGTTGAAAACACGATCGAGCTTTGACATCATAAACTAGGCTCAGTGTCATGCGTTATGCATGCCCGTGCATGAGTGTATCACTACGCGCCCTCTTCCCCTCTCGATCCAACAGCCCCCAAAATCCGTTGCCTTTGCCTTCTCATCCCTGACTTTTGCAGTTGAAACATTTTCGCTAATGGATTTATCCGGGTCACCGAGTCCCGAGCTCCGCGGCCTCATTATTCCCAGCGCTTTGCTCGTCAAGGATTGTCCCTTAGCATCCACTAGGACGTCCTAAGTATCTACTAGATATCAAACAAACAAGTGTGAAAGCCACCTGGATCCGTAGAGAGAGATAGTCCGCGCGACTACACTAGTGTAGTACTTCAGCCGAGGAAGGTTATTTTCACCGCACTCTATGAAGTCATTGCTATTTGATCTAGTGGGGTCTATGGAGAGTGTAAGCGTTGATTTCTTGGTGTGATTTTTTCAGCCCGTGCTAATCATGTGGAGCTCTTCAAGGACCCTTCTCAAGGCCGTGGAGTAGGAGAGAATCTTGTGTATCTGTGAACTCGCTGCGGATTTCCTTTCCTTTTTTGACTCTTCGAGACCTTGTCCCGATCGGCGACTCAGAGCATCAAACACCCGTCTCGTGACTAGAATGTACCCGGTACGGAAACCTTTTCCCGGCTTCGCTTTTACCTTATCGGCCTCGATGCATGTATGTTATTCTGGCTTATCCTTGGTTAGAGACGTCGGCATGCTTGAACAGCTGGCCGTTGCGTCACTTGATACTATTAACGCAAATGGAAGGTCTTCTGCTGCTCTTGAATCGCTATTGTAGTTCAATTACACCAAGTGCTGCAGCCTCAACATATGAAAGAAGAACATTGGACCCCCATACTTTTCCAAATGGGGTTGTTTGCCCCGCGACAGAAAACTCTACCTGGTTTGAGGATCTGCAGGTGAAATTCCCTGGTTGGTCAAGGGTATAACGATCACTTCCATTTGTGATCATTGGCCAGGCGAGACTTGTTGAGTTCGTTGAACCTCACCTCACCCTCGCCACATTATGCCATTCAATGCAAGATCAACCATTGCGAGCGTCTCGAAATCTATATCAGAGGCCTTGGACCTCGCTCTATTTGAAGAATGACTATATCTATCTATTCAACTTTCCCACTTGGCACGCAATGTACGCCCTCGCTTTAACACTGGCTGTGTTGGGGTACTTCTTTGTGGCCCCCGTCGTCAAGTACTTCTATGACCCGAAGGGGCTCAGGAAATATCCCAATTTCTATCTTTTTTCTGGCATATCAGATTTACCGCTCATTTACGAATCGCACAACGGCTTTCGCTCCCGAAATCTTCTCGAAGCCCACAAGAAGCATCCAGTTTTGCGAATCGGTCCGAACTCGCTGTCTTACTCTGATCCCAACGCCATCAAGGATATCTAAGGTCACGGTACCAGCTGCATCAAGGATCATTTCTACTCAGAGACGGCAGGTTCACACGCCCATCTTGCAGATGTCGTGGACAAAAAGGAACATGCCCGGAAGAGAAAGACATTATCGAGCGCCTACGCGGCTAAGAATCTTGAAGAGTGGGAGTTCAAGGTGGCGGCAGTCAGCGCAAAGCTCATTAAGGCCTTCGACGAGAGATGCACTGATCCACTGCCACCTAACCAGAACCCAAAAAAGGAAGACCTAACGGTTGAATATCGAAACTGGACGGTCCTCTGGACTGCAGCTGCGATCGCCAATATTGGACTCAGTGAAGATCTCGGTTTCCTTGATAAGGGATCTGATAGAGTGAAGTTTGAAAGTAAGGATGGCACAATCAAAGATGTCTCCTTTCGTGAGTGTCATACTGCTACACAGACCGCGTCCTTCCGGATAGTCTGGGCATACGACTGGTTTCCGACTCTACGCCGAATTAGCAAAGTCGTCTCGTCTGGCTATCGGCGTCTATGGCAGCTAGATGCAGATTGGGGAGGTATTGTTTATAATCGTGCCACCACACGGTTAAAACGTTATGAGAATAATGAGAAATTGGACGATTTCTTCACGGCCATGATGGAGGACAAGAATGGATTACCGAACAATCTGGAATGGGGTGAGATCGTTGCAGAGATCAGCATTATGATGAATGCAGGACATGATACGACAGCTATCTCACTCCGAAACGCTCTCTTTTTCCTACTGAAAACCCCTGATTGTCTAGCAAAGCTTCGTGAAGAGCTTGATGAAGTTTTAGAAGAAGGTGAGATTGTTGCACCATATGGTAAAGTCAAACACCTGCCATATCTCCGGGCATGTATAGACGAGAATCTTCGGATGCTTCCGCCTATTGTTTTCGGTCTCCCTCGCCGAACTCCCATAGAAGGAACTTCCATCCTCAATGAATATGTCGCTGGAGACACATCGGTCAGCATTTCATCTTACGTGATGCATCACCAGGAGTCGGTTTTCAAAGATAATGCCACCTATAAGCCAGAGCGATGGCTGGGAGAGGAGGGTAAAGCTTTACAGCCGTACTTCATCTCCTTCAGTACTGGGGCACGAGGCTGTATTGGCCGGAACATCAGCTATCTAGAACAAACAGTTCTCCTCGCTTCTTTGGTGCACCGATATGAGTTTGCCTTGCCACATCGAGACTGGGATCCTCCAGTCCGTGAGATGTCAAACCTGAATCCGGGTCCGATGCCATTGAAGGTTTGGAGGCGAGTGACTACAGTCGATACGTAGGCAGTTGCTAGAAGATCTCCAGCAAATGCCGCAACCCAGAATTAAAATTTTTAAAGAGAATAGCAGGTTTCAAAAGAGGCCTCGAGAAAGAACCTTTATGGTAATCTAAGGCGATACTGCGTATCGATAATTTGTCAGACGGTTTCTTTTTTCTCAGTTCTCACTCTTCTCTCTGAGACAGTCCAAACTATCTTCTCTCCTGATCTGTTCTTATATCCTTCTTCTTTCTCTCTTTCTACACATTCCTGGACATGACTAAACCCTGCCATCCCAGCGAATGCTGACAAGATCCGCATAGTGCAAAACCCCCACGCGGCGCCAACACCATGGCCCACACTAAATCAGGCCAAAGATCCGCGAAGTGGAAAGGCGACGATTTTATATTATTGTGCGCACCAAAAGTCGTCGCCATTCCATCGTCATCTACATTTACACCATATCGGACCACTTCGATGGAAGTTAGTTGGGTTTAGTCATTATGGTCTTGGTTTAGCGCCATGTGTCCCTATGCACGCCCGTGCGTGCGTGTATCACTACGCGCCCTCTTCCTCTCTCGATCCAACAGTCCCCAGATTCCTTTGCCTTCTTTACCCTGCTCTTGCAGTTGAGGCATTTTTGCCATTGAGCAGAATCGCCGAAATGTTCGCCACCTCCTTTCACCGACATCCAGCGCCTCGCTCAATTCTTCATGAAATCTGCCTTGCCTGTCAAAGGCCGCGGAGGGTGAAGTTATGGCGTGCTCGAAGTAGGTTACTCACGCAAGAGGGGAACATCTTCAAGCAATGGAGATAGTGATTGTTTGGAGTAGTAATTGTGCTATTGACACATTTCGACTCAGTTGTGTCATCTATTCCCACAAATAGCAATCTGTTTACATATATACCTAATTGTTGAATTTGTATTTCTCCTCGCGGTCCTAAAGTACTTGTCAGTCTGAGTCTGCAGGTATCATGAAGAGGCTGGAACTCACCCAGTACTTGTTAAAACCAACACCTTCACAGACTTGGTCATAAGTCAATATCATCGGCGGAGCTCCACTAGTCATGGATCTCTTCAAGCCATCAAGAGCTTCCCGAACGCTCTTCAGATGAGCCGCGACCAAGGTCCAAGGGTATGCAACAGCACTATATCCCAGCTCGGCAAGTTCTTTGGCCGGCAGATTCTCTGTCTTTCCTCCCTCGATGATATTGGCAAAGACCGGAATATCCAGCTCCTCAGCACACCGTTTCATCGCATCGCGATCCGGCAGCGCCTCGACAAAGATGGCATCCACCCCAATCCGCTTGAACTCCCTTGCGCGCGTAATGGCTTCGTTCCAACCATGCATCAAAGCATCTGTACGGGCAAGAATGAAAATATCTCTTCCTTCGTTGCGAGCATCACAAGCAGCTTGAATTCTAGCGTAGGCTTCTTCGCGACAAACGACATTTTTGCCCTTGGTGTGGCCACAGCCTAACAGATAACAATCATCAATGAAATTTCTAGGGAATTTTTAGACAGAAAAACTTACGCTTCGGCCACTGCTGGTCCTCGATCATCACACCCGCTGCACCCGCTGCCGCGAAGCTCTCAACAGTCCGCTTGACATTCATCGGGCTTCCGTACCCAGTATCACCATCTGCCATAATCGGCACGGAGACTTGGCGGAAGGACTCCTGGATCTTGTCGCACATTTCCGCCATGGCAATATATCCGGTATCTGGCAGACCGTATGAGCTGGCGACCGCATATCCTGCGAGGAACACCATTGGAAATCCCGCTTCCTCGACCAGGCGGGATGTAAGACCATCGTATGTGCAGGCGTGCGCGATGATTTTGGTGGGGTCGTGGCGAGCCTCCAACATCATTGTACGGAGTCGTGAGGCTTGGATGGAGGGGATCTTGCCGCGAACATTCTTCAGACTGATCGTGATGTCGGTGTTTGTGCCATCTTGTGGGCCTGTGGCCGATGCGCTGTCGAAGCGGAAGGGGTAGGGAACGGCACTGGCAGACATGTTTGCGAGTTGAGCAGTGAGCTGATGATGATGATGATGATGATGATGATGATGGTAAGAGGGGCTATTCCAGCAGCTTGCCTCCCTTTTAAACTGCTCATATGCGAGCGATATCGGCCGACAGCTGCAGCTGCAGCTGCAGCCAGCTCTTGATCAACATCGGATCGCGGGTGTTTCATACGCGGATAGTTGCAAATTCCCGCGGCGGATAGTTTCCCCTCTTCCTTTCCCACGCCACCGGTTGCTATGAGATGATTTGGCAGGTAGGTTCTCCCTTTGGCCAATGATGGGTGCTGCAATAGGGCACTCGGCAAATTTTCGAGCGGGGAAGGCTTGGTATTCCCCATGGGGCCCCGGATTTTGTTTGGCTGAACTGTTACGGTTGGAGTTCCCTCCAAGTTTGACTCCCTTGATCCGAAACTTTCTCTGTATCTGAACAGTATTTAGCTTGGAATGGTTCTCTTTCGATTCTAGATCTTCCTCCCGCTCTTTTTCTGCGAAAAAGAGCTTTACTGACCTTCTATTGACCATATTGCTGCAAAGAAACCATGTTGGAATCGAAAGAATTGGAGCAGCTTCCAAGCTGCCAGCATTTTGAAAGCGCTGATATTGAGAAGAATCTACCTCAAGACACTGTTCCGGAGGCTAGACAGTCGTTGATTCGCAGGAAAGTAAATAGAGTCCGTTATATTATGATTGCCTGCAAGATAAGCTCACTGATATTGCAGTTCGATCGCCGAGTGCTACCAATAGTTTGCATTCTCTACGTCCTCTCATACCTGGATCGAGGCAAGTCGAGATAATTACGTTCGGCCATGGATCTTTCTCTAACTTCCAGTCAGGTAATATTGGGAACGCAAAGTCAGCTGGGATTGACAAAGATCTTGGACTCGATGACTATCAATGGTCGTGGGTACTGTATACATTCTATATTTGCTACATCGTCTTTGAGTGGACCACTGTCTTGTGGAAGATTCTCCCTGCTCATTCATATATCGCTGTGCTCTGCATCTGGTGAGAACAACTATCTTCGTACTACTGGGAGACATGGACAGCGCACCTCCTAACAATGTTTCTTCGTTTAGCTGGGGTGCTGCCGCAATGTGTAGCGGTGCCGTCCAAAATTTTGCAGACCTTCTTGTTTGTCGAGGATTACTAGGTGTTTTTGAATCCGTCTTCGGTTGCGGTGCGCCCTATTTTCTATCGCTGTTCTATCAAAGAAAAGAACTTGGTTTTCGGTTGTCAATGCTTCTGGGAATGTCCCCGGTAGCGAACTGCTTCGCTTCGGCTCTCGCATACGGTATTACCCAGATAAAAGGCCCTTTGGAACCATGGCGCTATCTATTTATCATTGGTATGTCTACACCGTGCTTTCTTTATGGCAATACTGAAAATAAATAGAAGGCGCGCCTACTGTTCTATTCTCTGTCGTCGTTTTCTTCTTTCTTCCCGACTCCCCTGGCTCCGCAAAATTCCTGGACGAAACTGAGCAAACAGCGGCCGTCGAACGACTTCAAACTATCGATCGAACGGCCAAGAACAAAATCCAGTGGCAGCAAGTTCTGAGCGGTTTGAAAGACTACAAGAACTATGTCCATATGACTGTCCACTTCTGCTGTAACTACTCATTCGCCGGCCTTTCCAATTTCTTGCCGACCATTCTGGAAACCATGGGATACGACTCCGTTAATGCGCAGGGATTAGCAGCTCCGCCGTATCTCGGATCTTTTCTCTGCTGCATTTTTGCCGCCATTGTGTCGGATCGATGGGGAAATCGCGGTTGGGTGGTTACTTTCTTCGCTGCTATGGGTACAACAGGGTATCTTGTCTTGACATGCGTACAGGACGAGACGAAGACTGGCGCGCGATATGCTGGGGTATGGCTTGCAACCTGCGGCATTTTTCCGGCTCTTGCTATCAATATCACTTGGATGCTGAATAACCAAGGAGGAGAAAGCAAGAAAGGTGTGGGTATGGCTCTTCTGGCTGTCTTCGGACAGTGCTCCAGTTTGATCAGTAGCTCCGTCTTTCCTGACAGCGATGCACCAATGTTTACCAAGGGATGTGCCCTGGGTAGCGCTTTCACTGGTCTGATTATGCTACTCGCGTTGGGTTTGCACTTGAAGTTGACCATGGAGAACAAAAGGCGTGATCGCGAATACGGGGAGGTCGACGAGCATGATCGGGTTGATGTGACCGATGGTGGGGACAAAAACCCGAAGTTCAGATACCTGACATGATATGTAATAGGAAGATACATATGGGTAATTTGCTTTAGTGTATTTTGGTCCAAGTTTATGTGACCGAATTATTTTTTGCGGCGGATATTTCGACGCGGCTAATTGAGAGTTGAGCAAATTCAGCTTGGCTTGCTGTATATCCAAACCTTTCATAGCTAGTCATTTTATTCAGCTATAATGATAAGTAACAGTTACCATTCAAAGTTGATATCAATAAACATTGATACCCCACTTTCTAATTTCTAACAAAATGCCAAGCCTGACGAGGCGCGTTCTCGATCGCGGCTATTTGAAAAAGCCGTCGTCCCCGCTTCTCCGCAGATCGGATTCTCCATCCTACACACGCCCATGGACAAGAGGAAACCGCCGCGAAGCAGAGCTCTTCATGACTATGAGTTCCAGCGAGCATACAAAGCATGTATTCCATGCTCCTGGCGAAAGGTGAAATGTGAGCCGAGCGAGGGTGAGAAATGTGTCCGGTGCAGCAAGAAGCGGATTGACTGCATCTTCACGTCGAAAAAGCCGTGGTCTCGAGCGCCGAAAGATGATCAGAGAAGTAGGAGATATCCTGCGCGTGAAGATATAATTCATGAACAAAGGTCTGTCATACGTGCCCCGTCCTCGACCTTTCTGCGCCCTAAAGCAAGCAGGTCGCAGTCCGCTTCTCACGACCACGCCGGAACCAAAGATGGCCATCTTCCGACCTCCATGCTACAAAAGGTCGTCTCGAATAATAAAGATGCGATGGATATACTTTTCGAGGCGGCTCTTCGCGAAGAATCACAGCAAAATACTGAGCAAGAGACCGCTACGCCCACTCCGGTCCCTCGACCCCTCGCCACGGCCGACACGGTGCAGATATGGAATGCCTGTCGGTTCGTGAAGATGGGGTGGTTCTCTGCTCATGAGGCGATGACACTTGTCGATCTGTAAGAAGTGCTTTGTTGAAGAGCAACAGGGCCAAAGCTAATCATTCTCATAGATTTTTCGAAAACTTGAATCCACTCTCTCCTATCCTCACAGACTTCTTCGCCTCGCGCAAGAACCAGTTCTACCTCGTCACCCAAGAGCCCATGCTGTGCTGTACTATCCTCATGATATCTTCCCGATACCACAACCTCCCAGGGGTTGGTGGTCATTCCCGGGCGTTCTTCATACATCACCGCCTATGGCAACATTGCCAGCATCTCCTGCTCCGCGTGACTCTGGGCCAGGAGAAAATATCAAAGGCTCGGACTCGAAATTTAGGGAGTATCGAAGCATTCCTTCTGATGTCGGAATGGCACCCACGATCATTGCAATTCCCTCCGGATACAGATGGCTGGGACTCGGATTTCATTATGACCCATCTGGATGCGCGGGATCCGCCACTAATAGATGAAGAGGTTCCTGTGTCTGCTCGGTGGAGAGAAGATGTGGTTGAGCCGACTAAGCGATTTGAACGTATGTCCTGGATGATTCTGAGTTCGGCGTTGGCGCTTGCTCATGAACTTGGTGTGTTTGATTCCAATCACAGGGTTCCCAAACCCTGTGATCTGCTGGGCGTCGATGCGGGTGTGTATCTTGAACATCTTGAGCTGCGCCGACAGCGGCTTCCGAGCTTACTGTTTGTTTACATTAATGTTTTGTCGTCGAGAATTGGATGCACTTCTCCGATGCCTTCGGATACGAATGTCTCTATCCCGATCGCGCCGCTGCTGTTGCAGCAGAGAAGAGGCAAAGATTGGGCATCATTCATGAAATCGTGGATCGGCATTACGAAAATGTCGAGTTCGATGATGGGAGAGCTACTTCCCTGATGAGTGCACCGATGTCTTTCAGCACGGCGGATCGATTCATGTCGATTGTAGAGGAGAATCAGATACTGATTGCGAATTGGCGGCAACAAAATCTCAGTTCTGCAGGTATGTGCTACACCAGCTCTTGGGAACTCGAGCGGCTAATCCTCTCAGAACCTGGGACAACCTTTTTGGACATACTCTTCATTGAATATCAATACCTGCGTGTTCTTGTCAACTCTGTTGGGATGCAGGTAGTGCTGCAACGAGTCCTGACACACGACAACCCTCACAGCGAGACAACGATCGACCACTCTTTTATAGAAAGGACCAGGCGACTCAATATGACCGGCCGGGAATACGGATTCATCGAAGAGGTCATCGACGGGTGCTGCCAAACCCTCGAGAAAGTTGCCCTTCTCGGCAACACCGGCGCATTGCACTACTCGCCCATGAGAATTCTTTTCCGTACGATCAGCTCGTCGATCTTCTTGATGAAAGCTCTTGCGCTGGGCGTGCGCAACTCCAAGCTTCAGGAGGCGTTGCAGATCCTTGACCGGGCGATTGCAGCCCTGCAGGACAACAATCAAGATGACACGCATTTGAAATCGCAGTATGCAGCTCTTCTTCAAACACAGGCGGCGCGCTTGCGAAGGAGTCTGGTTTCATCAAATCCACCGGCTGTTCAGACAAGGCCAGACCCTCATGGTGGTTCACATGCTCCTGCAACGCCATTGTCAATTTCACAGCCTCTGATGCCAGGTGAAGGGGCCATGGTGGCAGGGCTCGATTTGGAAACCATTTCTAGCTTTGACATGAATGACTGGCTGTCCTTGCCATTTGATCCGTCCATGGCGCCTTTTGGTCCGTATGAGGGCGACCTCGGAGTTCGATTGGATGGAGTTGACTTGGACCTGGACTTTATTTGGCAGCTTCCGCCATAGGTATTTCGTTGATCGCCTTCAGCTATATACCTGCACATGTGTGAGTCCTGTAGTAAACAAAGTGTATAAAGTTCCGCTGATTATTTATGATGGGAAAAGGGATAGCGAGATATAGGGATACGGGTGGCTTCGCTGGACCTCTTCAATGACGTGAAGGTGCCGGAAATGATCACGTATCCCGCAAGCCATACCCAGTTGGCTGCATTGGCGCAAATGTTAAACCTCGAATCCATTTGTGCTTATTCTTTCAGCATCCTCGTATAGAACATATCATTTTCGAATTCCAAACGCTTGTTCCCCTTGCCTGCACGACGGTGGACATCGCCTCGATGACAGGGTCTTGTGTGCTGCCCATCGTTCCGAGAGCGGATTATCCAGGCAGCCATGATGTGGATTATATTACGGAATAATAGAGTTTTATGGTATTAATACTACAGCCCATGAGCTCCCTTTATCTTCAATGCCCGGCACAAACGCTACGACGGCTTATTATGAGGATGTGCATCATTGGAAAACTGCTCAATAAAAGCGATGATCAGCCAAAAGCGTTCAACATATTTTATTGAACTAGGAAGGGCAGGTTACTGGTTGGCGGCTGTCATCTGGTCCCGCCATCCAAATTTCCGAGAACATCCAATTTCTAAGGGACTTGTTGGTCAGTACAAATATGGAGGAAAATGCGTTCACTTTCCCATCGTCGGTCAAGCACAACTAAAGATGCGGGAGAGAAGACTGCTGATGAGTGATATGCCAGTAATGGTGCATCTCTGGCCCCAGAACGGTCAGCTTAGAGGCATTATAAAACGCACCCAGTCTCGTGCCATTGCCGTAGACTTTTTTGAAGCTTCTTTCCCACGGTCTCTACTTCAATGGCAGCCTGGCTTGACTTGGCCCAAGGTAGCTCCGGCTGGACTCTGACGGATACTGGTCGGCTGGAGGCATTGGTCCACTGGATGAGCCACCCCGACACTCAGTATCAATCAATAGTTTGTTTTGCCGGAAATGGAAATCGAGTCAGGGCGCTTCAAGCCCTCTTTCCTCACAACGATGTGACTAGCAGAAGCCCCCCTACTATCATGCGGCTGCACTTGAGCATGGAAACTGCTGGAATGGAACATCTAGTTCTCTTCGCAGAATGCAGCATCTATAGCAGCTCTGGCTTTGCAGACCCGGCACTGTATAGGAACCCCGATAACACATTTCAACAATACTCAGTGTCCTAGCGGACTAGCTCCTCGGCAGCAGATATAAAGCAACATATGGTCTCCTAAGTTTGTCTTGTCCTGGACGCAAATCCTCTGCCTTAGAAATTTTATAGATAGTGTTTCAGAAATGCGAGAGCTTCAGCTGCTGCTTGAACACGCCCCTCAGTCTTCATAAGTCTAGCTATAGCAGAGTCACGTTTGAATAGCAGTGCGCTAATACTCACCTCTGCAGGTGCTTTAAATCTTATATATTTAGTCTTCAATCACTCTTCTGCAGACAGTAGTTTTTGCCACTTCCCCGAGCTCGCACGAAATATTTTCCAGCAGCCAGCGACGCCGGGTCAAGCTCTCAAATGCCTGGCCCAGGTTATAGGCCTCAAGCTCCTCCTCCTGGATAGAAAGTATAATGATTATGTGCTACAGCAGACCCTGAAGGCTGCTGCGTTAGGTCCGGATCGTCAGATTTCTGACGTCGAAACAACATACAACATCGGAAGTCGGGTAGCGATCATTGCCAGTTGAATCTCAGACGGGAAAGCCTGCCTTCTGGCCAACTATCATGGCACCGGTCGGCATGCTAGAATGTCAGCGTACGATTTTTTGATGTCTCAAAGTCAAGACCACAATCCATCGTTGTGGGAAGTGTACGTGTTCACCTCTCTTTCCGTGCTGGGGCCACAGTCATTCATAGATAGACTCAATCTGACCGCTTTCTAGTGCACGATGCAGCGTGGCGCTCCTGATTAGGGCAGTGATAAGATCCGAATAGTGCGGAACCCCAGCGCCAACACCATGGTCTGCACTAAATCAGGCCAAAAATTCGCGAAGTGTAAAGGCGACGATTTTATCTTCTTGTGCGCACCAAAAGTCATCGCCATCCCACTGTCATCTACGTTTACACCATATCGGGACACTACGTTGGAGCCTATCCGGGTTTGATTGTTATTCTCTTGGTTTAGCACCCTGTGTCCCTATGCACCCCCGTGCGTGTTGGTTTATGTGCGCCCTCTTCCCCTCTCGATCCGACCGCCCCAAAATTGCTTTGCATTGTCTTCCATGCTCTCTGCAATTGAGGCATTTCAGGAAGCAAATTAAAAGATACTCTCTGAATATCTCTCTGTTTAAGAGATATAGGCAGTAAATAAAGACAAAGCTCCGCAGCAGCCTTTATATAATTCCATCAGTGATAATAAAGAGAGTGTGTGAGGGCTTCGTACTTAGCATAGTTTACGTCAGACTCGGCCGCTGCGGCCCGGGCCCTGACGCTTCAGAATGGACCATCTTCCCCCTCTCTGGCTGATTTCTACATTCCACGTAGCAGAGTGATAAGATATCTACATAAGCTCAGACAGAGAATTTTTCTCAGGGTGTAGCAGGGCCCCAAGTTCTATCTACAAAGGCACTGGATAAGAGACCACAGAAAAGTATTAGTGAAGATTGAGAGCAAGCGGCTATTATTGAGAATAATATAAATAAGCGTGGCGAGGCAGTTGATCTTCCAGCCGAGACTGCCCCGGCCGGGTGCTTCGGGGCTGGCCCACACAGAATCGTGTATCTGGTCGACTCGTAAGCGTTCCAGATTGCTTGATGGATATGAAACTACAAACATGTAATATAGATTATGCAATAGAATGCTTCCAATGCTGTTTTCCGAAAACAACATACATCCCAAATTCATCTAAATAAGTATATCCACGCAGTAAGATCAATACTCCGCAATATCATAAAAACTGCATATTTTATGCAATCTGTAATCTTCCAATGTTTGCACTGTTTACAGAACCGGGGGTAAACCTCAAAAACGGCGGTGCGGCTCTAGGTCCTCGTGAACCGAACCGCCTCAGGTTCACGGTTCTAGGATGAGAACCTTAGACCCGCATAGACCGAACCGCGATTCATGGTGAGGTCTAGGTCGGGCAGTCAAAGTGTACTTTAAGTGCTGCAAATAGAAGGTCAGTATCGTTACTGCTAGATAGAAACTTTTGCACGTACTCATCGGGAAAGCATAGAAGCCCGTTTCGTCCTCCAACATATAACTGTAGAAGTTGTTCGGTCGGGGGATCTTCTTCAATTCACCTTGAGGTCCAGGAGCCCGGCGAAGATTGTCCAAGCGTCCCACCACGCGAAGCATGGCGGTCAGAGCAACCTTGCTAGCCTCTTTGCCCAGGCAGGTGTGGGGACCTACGCCATAATGAATATAGGACTCCATAGGGCGATCGAGACGGACACTATCCGGGTCGGGGAAAGCATCCGGGTCCCGATTGGCATCCACCTGAACATGGTCAGTACACAGTCCGCTCCAGAATTCGAGTGATAACATATAGAGCATACAAAGCTGACAAATAATTTTTCACCCGGTTTGATGTTCACACGGCGGCCCTGGTCCTTCAGAGTGACGTTAGTCTTCGCTTCGCGATACGAGCCGAATGTTCCATGGAGACGGATCGCCTCCATGCAGTATCGCAGGAGCTTGTCATCCGATTCAGGTGTGTCTTCCTTGGCTATACGATTAATATGAACAAGATGCTTTTGGCCTTTGTCGGAAAGATAGTAGTCAATGATCTGCGTGAAGACCTGAGCCTGGTTGGGCACCATGGCGACCGCCGTGGGCATGATCTGGGACCAGGTAATCTCAGATGGACCCAGCCCAGTTTCAAGGAGGCGCCGGATCATATGGATGCCATATTCCTTGAGTGGATAGCCATTGGCGCGGAAGCTGTCAAAGCAGGATGAGAGGAACCCAGACGACTGGGTTTTCTTCACGTTCGCCTCGACGATTCTACCGAGCTTTTGGGCGGCATCTCGCGCCTTATGGCGTAGGGCAAACGACTTGGCTGGGTCAACATCAAAGAAAATCGCCGTGAAGATGACAGCCATGATCTGGTACATCTCGTGTTCGGTGAAGATACCATGGGGATGTTTCTCTGTTTTGAGGGGGAGCGAGAAGATGCTTGAAGCAAAGTGAACATGTGCCAGGTTTCCGACGCTGCGAACACGTTAGGGATACGATAAACCCAGGAGAATGGATACTCACTCGCGGGTGATGTCGACCTGCATCGCACGTCCCAGTTGGCATGACTTGTCGTTCAGCAGCCGCTTCGTCGTGGAAAGGTAGAATTCTTTGATATGCTTACGCCAGTGACCAACATACAGCGAATTGCCCATCGTTTGCCGCTGGCTGTCATGGAAGGACGTATCACCAGAAAGCATAAAGTCGTAGCCTCCATCACCAAAGACGTAGCTAGTCGCCTCGCCCCAGGTGACGTGGAAAGCGTCCTGGTCACTGAGGATGTGACGAACATTGGGGTACGCAAAGATGTTCGTCCGAGGTGGTATGAAAGCAGGCCGGTCCCAGGAGTAATCCGATTCTCGCCCCAGGCTTTCCATGATGACTTGGTTCTCCCCGGGACAGTCATGGGGTAGTGGGCATATATCGAATTAGGTTTGAACCAATGTGGGAATGCGCGTAAGGCCAGCTTATAGAATACACAGCCTTGGTTAATTTCCAAGTCGTAGTGGGATTCGGTAAAGCCCCAGTTGGTCAGGTTCCTGGCATTATAGTCCACCTATGGACAATTAGTTTCGGTCCTCCCCATGTGGTGTAGGAACAACATACGGTGTAAAACCTATCTCCTCGAACCAGTGCGACCGCATCAGATAGCACGGCGCGCGAGACAGTGTATCCGGGGGCAATTCCCACCCCCGGGACCATAGGCTCCTTGGCCTCTTCCGCTACGATGCCGGGATATAGCTCCACATAGTCGGGCTTTTCGTACAGGTGCCGAAGGCAATTAGCAACCTCCGGGTCGGAATTTATTTCCTCGAAGTTTCGGTATGGCTTCAAATCAAAGAATTTGCGAAACTCGTTGAGGGATCCGACGTTCCATCGTCGCGCTTGTTCTATGCCGAGGATCTCCACCGCGCGCAGCACCTTGGGCACATTGCGCGCCCCGAAGGATCCGGACACACTCTCGATCGCATCTGTCAAAATCGCCACCAGCTCCTCGTCCTTGAATGTCCCATCCACCTGCCTTTCCAGCTGGGCGAATGTCCGTTTCGATGGATCGGGATTAAGATTCTTTCCGTACTCGCCCAAGGCGCCGAGAAGCTCATCCACGGATGCCTCATCTCCCGGTTTCCCAACCAACTCCTCGTATGCCCCTTCAGTCCACTGCTCATCTTGCTCGCTGATGGTGCTGTGCCAGCGGTATGCGAGGTTGAATTCCACGGAGCATTGGTTCCCGAGTCCAGAGGGCGTCATCTCAAGGTCGCCCATTCGGGCGCGGGGATCCAAGCACCAGGTACTGTTGGTGCGGTTCAAGTTAATAATGGTGCGGAGGTAGTCGTAGAGGGTGATGTTGATATAGAGGCCGCAGGTAATGAGCCTCCCCGTTTGGAACAAGTCATTGTCGTACTTGGCCCACGCCTTCTTGGCCTCTGCTGCCGATAACTGATCGTCCTGCGGCTTCCCAAATCGACCGCTTTCGTTGATCTCCGCGAGTTGCTCAACGACATAGTTGTGGAACCGGTTCAGCATGACCAAGATCACGCCACATGCCGCTGGGAGTGCCTGCAGTCGTGGCTCCGTGAAGCAGTCGGGCTTCAACTTGCCATCCTGGAAGGTTCGGATCCTGTCCTGCTCTTCTTGGATGTCTCCATACAAAATGGATAGGTCCAGATAGGAGGAAGTGTTGTTAATATTTTCGTCTTTGCGGTCGGTTTGGAAGATATCTGTCTAGGATTAGTCCTGGTTGGAGTTTGCGTGACGGACGGATCATACCGTGAATAATCAGCGAGGCCCAGGTGAAGAAGATACTGGAGACCTTGTTAGGATGGGGCGTGAAATTCTCTCGAGCAAATAAGCTGTCGAAGACCAACCCCGGGTCCGGGAGATTAGGCGGACGAATCGTCTCGGGGCGGGTGGTGCGAGCATATTCCGTCCGTGCAGCCCCCAACGAGGGAAGTGTGGGGTTATTATAAGAGCCATCTGCACTCCGGTACGCATATTTCTCTCCAACATATCTGTAATTGTTCAGTCCCACGTACATCTATCTCAGTGAACGCCATCATTAGGCATGCGGCGGGATACCTACGCCAGTGGGGGATGAGGGAGAGAATCCCAGAGTTCGTTGAGAAAGACGTTCGTGAGCTTTGTCCGATTTTTGGACTCATCTGGGAGTCTGCTGACCAGCTGCAAGGCAGAAATTTAGTATTGGCCCTGTGGTCCTGCGCAGAATACTCACCTGGATCACACGCTCCATGAGCATCGTTTTGTCATCCACGTACTGGCCAGTCACTTTGTTCTCGAGGAAGGACACGAGAGTGCCCGCATCCTTAATTCCTAGGCTGCGCAGGTCCGCCCAAAGGCCACTACTAGTTTCGTCCTCGACGTAGCTTCCGTCGCCGGTCTCCGTGGGGAGAGGGCGGCGAGCGGCGTGAATGACTTCCCTGTACTGCTTGAATTTGGAGGACAGCTCTGCGTCTGCCTCACTTTCCTTCCTCGCCGGCAGCTCTACACTCGCAGTCTCTCTCTGCTCTCCGGGCGTGGACAGGTGAGAAGCAGTCGCCTCGCCATCTGTGTTGGGATTCAGCTTCATCCTGGTAGATATGTCTGCGACTCGATTTGCAGAGGCTATGTCAAGGGTATCTTTCGTTTGGTGGCAGTTTTGCTAAAATAGTTCGCGCACAACTGGGAAGAGAACGGAATATCTATGAGTCTTTATTCCGTCCTTAAGCTCTCACAACCGCCCCAGGCCCCAGACGGTCCATCCTGGATACCCGGATACATCGATCTAAACTGCTACATTGCCTGTAAGGCGTCAGCCTGACATCACCCGATAATTCCCATATGAATGCGGAAGAGAAATTACATACTGATTAACAAACACAATGTCGAACACATTATTGTTGAGTTGGAGCCGTGGCTGTCGGGCAACCTTCGTTGTACCGCGCGGAAGCCCCGGTAACCTTCGATCGGTCCGAGTTCCACTAACCTACCTCATTATACAGTCACCGCCATAAGTATCCATACAGAAACCGCGCTAGGACGCGTCGCGCCTACCAAACCCTCATTCTTACAACCAGTAACCACGGTTCCATGTACGCCATTATTATCTATTGATGGTAATTGGCAGTGGAAAAAAGAGCTATCTCTATTCCTCCGAGGCCAAATTACCACTCCGCAAGGCTAATTACTCAATCCGGAAAAACGCGACCGAACTTAATTTATCCGCATGAGTTGTTCAGTACACCCTCGAGAAAACGACGAACGTCATGACAGCGCCAGCCTAAGTCGATCTGGACCACCTCTAATCCTATCACCTACCGATCAGCGACACGTTCTGACCCCAATGAAACGTAACCCCTTTATTACGTCTAACGAGATTTGCCAAAGCGTCGGCGTCGCACTTTCTGACGCGCCTATTCGTCGTATGCTCAAAAAATCAGGATAAGGACATTGGAAAGCCGGTAAAAAGGCCTGGAAAACGTCTGGACTTTGCTTTAAAGTATCGAAATTGAGCATGGGATGATTGGCGGAAGGTTATTTGGTCTGACGAATGCCCAGTCGAAATTGGTAAAGGGAAGCACGAACTTTGGTGCTAGCGTCTAAACCGACCGCACGAAAATAGTAAAGGGAGTTCATACAGTGTTATAATGAAGCTAAAGGGCTCTCAGTTATGATTTGGGCTACGATGCGGTGGTGGCTGTTCTAATATCTTCTTTGATGAATCGGGATTCGGCTTCGTAACGGGGTGGCTATACGCAAATCTCCAATATTAAGGCCTTCGAGTCAGAACTGCCATTTTTATATCTGGAACCGGATTTGCTATTTATACAGGATAATGTCTGAATCCATCCAGTCCGAAAAGTTAAAGCGTGGTTCGAGGATAATAGTATTTCGGTGATAGATTGGCTGCCGTACTCGCCCGATATGAACCCTATTGAACATGCCTGGGCAAAGCTTAAAGAAACTATCTATAGGCTAGATCCTGTTTTTGGATCATTTAAAGGAACCAAAGAAGAGGTGAATGAGCGCTTTTTGGTCCTGATTCAGCGTTCGTGGGAGGCTATAAGGCAGGATTCTTTTGATGACATGGGGTTCGGTCGATGGATTCTAGAATGGTGGAAGATGTAAGTGTACGGTTGCAGAGATGTATCTTTCGGAAGGCGGGGGCACGGAAACTTCTGGTAGGGAACTATAGGTAGGCCATTCAAATGGGGTACATCTGGTTCTCAATTTCTCACCCCCGAGCCTGGCCGGGACCCAGGTCCGTCAGTGCGTCAGACCATCAGACCGTGGCTCACATCAACTGGTGCGAGTTCGATAGAGGTCAATGGACTTTACGCATAGAATATCGTCTATGTTGGCTCAATTAGTCCGCCCTACTTGCTTGTATCTATCCAATCCACAACATGCAGGTAGCAAAGACTCCCCACAAACTGCCTGTGGATATAGGTATATCTCTCCCGGTATCAGGCATACCCCCCGGAAGTCTGACTTTTCCCCACGCATCCCACGAAGAAACGGCTGTCCATAAGACAAGACGACCCAAGACGTCCAATATGACCCAATACGATACTGGGCGGATCCCCAAACAGTTTATCCTGTGCTTCGATGGCACCGGGAACAAATTTCAAGGCAACGAGTCGGACAGCAACGTGTTGAAGATCTTTCGGGTAAGATATCCACAACCCTGCGGACGTTTGCTGTAGCACTCATCGCGTCAAGATGCTTGACCGTAGCGATTGCAACCAGTGCCATTACTACCAACCCGGGATTGGGACCTATGTAACCTCGCAGTCGCTCTCGAGCAAGGGCAGGCTGCAGAAGGTGAAATCGGCCTATCTCAAGGCCAAGGATGCCGCCGTCGGTTCGACCTTTGCCGACCATGTCATGGGCGGCTACAAGTTTCTCATGCGCTATTACTCCCCTGGGGATGAGTTGTACTTTTTTGGGTTCAGCCGGGGTGCCTACGTCGCCCGCTTTCTGGCTGAGATGTTAGACTTTGTGGGCCTGCTGGAAATGGGCAATGAGGAGCTGGTGCGATTTGCATGGAAGACTTTCGCCAAGTGGCAGCAACGCCGCAGCGACAGTAAATCATACGAGAAGGAGAAAGAAGAGCACTTCAAGTACATGATGGCCTTCCGAGAGACCTTCAGCCGGCCGGTGACGCAGATTCAGTTCTTGGGTCTCTTTGACACTGTGAACAGCGTCCCGCGGTTTGAAAACCCATGGCTACAGCGCAGTAAGTTCCCCTATACCGCCCGGACGTCTGCGAGGGTCATTCGGCACGCAGTCGGCATCGACGAGCGACGGGCCAAGTTCCGCCAGGATCTGGTCTCCGAAGTCAAGCCCAGAGTGGTGTCCCGACACTCGCGACTTCGGCAGCATCTCCAGCGACATGGACTCCATGTCCATCACCATGGCCAGTCCGGGGATCCTACGGACGCCAAACAAGCCACAGATGAAGCTCCAGGGGACACTGCACAGCAAAAACCGGGTCCGAATTATTCGATTTATCGGCCAGCTCGCCCGGCTCCTGGTCAATGGAGGGCTGATGGCCCCGGGCACGTACGTGAGCGACGGCAATCTCCCGCGAGGCCACAACAGGAGCGGAGCTACTCTGATGCTTCGAACATTTCAGCAGCGGCCGCAAGTGAATCGTGCGCCTCTGTGGCCACATCCACCCATCTTGGGGGCGACAATGCCACCGGTTGGGACGAAGAAGACGAAGACCTGCCGCAGGACATCGAGGAGGTCTGGTTTCCCGGGGCGCACGCCGACATTGGAGGGGCTGGAAGCTCGGAGACGGCGAGGAATGGGCGTTGAGCCACGCTCCGCTGGTCTGGATGGTGCAGGAAGCCCAGCGAGCGGGACTTCGATTCAGACGGGCGAAGCTGAAGCAGTTTCACTGCTGGGATAAATCACTGGAAGCTGAGATTTTAGCTGGCGCCATGTCCAGCAGAGAGGAGCCAGGTTCCAATGATCGAACAGAGAGGAAGGATTCAAAGTGCCAGGTCGTGACCGATCCGCAGTTCTGCGAGGCCCTGTGCCGCTCGAGTACGGATGGACGGCTTCATGACTGCTTAAAGCTGGGTAATGGCCTACCACCGAGCTCGGTCCTATCCTGGAAGCTGATGGAGTGGATGCCATTCCGGCGCATGGACCTACAGTCGGATGGTGCCTGGAAACCCATTCGATGGCCGCTACCGCGCGGAGAAGTGCGCGACATGCCCCCAGATGCCCAAGTCCACGTATCGGCGATTCGACGGTTGCAAGCCAATCCCGACTATCGACCTGGGAATTTGATCATTGGAGGGGGGGGGACGAGGCGTACAAAAGGCCCCGAAGGAGTACGGCATTGGAATGTGGGATGAGTCCCGATATGTAGGGTGTCCAGTGAGAGAAACCTACATTCGCAAGAATGCCATGGCCCAGTCTGCCAGTGTGCATTGACCTGAATATTTTATGGCCTTGGTCGGGAGTCTGAGGAAGAGCTTTTGGCGTATGCCTGATCAGGTGGCTTGCTATTTTCCTATCTCTCATCAGTGTGCTACCGGTTTTCCTTGCACGCGACGATAGTATTATTATTATTATTATTTATTTTCAGGCTTTTTACGTCCTTGGGTCGTATGAAGCCCCCTAGCTAGTGTGCACTGCTCCGTTGAATATGTACATTGGATGGGCTCAACCCCACACGACAAATCAGCCATCATTCCACCTGCCAATTTCCTAAAAAAAACCACTGATTGACACCTCGAATAGTCAAAGATATGCCGATGCAATTAGACTAGGAAATCAACCGATATCTCCTTTGTACCATCCCAGGCGTCTGGAGAGACAAACTGTTGAACGTATTTCTGCCCGGGAAGTTTGCGATTGGCAAAAGCGCTCGCTGAAAGCCAGGCTTCTCTACATTGTGGTTTTATCTCATTGAATAAGCTTAACAGATCAATTGATAAGGGCTGGAGTGCGTGTTTCCCAATAAACCCAACAAAATCCACAAAAGGTAACGAGGGCATAATTTTATACATATTGGATAAATCAGAGCAGTGAGACTGGCAGTTCACTCAGGAAAAGCCAGGTCTGCACGTTATGTTAAGAGCTCTCTCGAATCAAGAGCCATTTTGAACAGGCTCGGCGAAGCCTTTCACAAGACTTATGCAAAATATGGAAGTCAGAGGCGCCTCCATTATTGAGGTTTCAGGGAAAAATCAAAGATATTTTAGAATAGAACTTAAAATCAGTAGTCCTATACCAGCAAAGCTGATGTTGCTATCCACACACGTCAGCATCAGACGAATTTCGGGCAACAGACAAAGGGCGCGTTATGATCATCAATAGCATCTTCACTTGCACATGCTGGATCCCCTTGGTCGTGGCATGTCCTTTCGAAACTGTCACTACCAAACAGCGAAGTATTTATTTCGCAATCACAATGCTCACGATCAATGTGACATCCTTTATCACGAGTTATCTGAGCCCTGTTGGTATTTCTAATATTGGCCGGCGCTATTATATCCCAACTGCCGTCTGGAACGCTATCAATGGTTGCCATCATTCATTTCACATTCGTGGGGACACAAGCATGACAATTGGAAGAGACTGCAACTCTCTTTTACGGTGACGAACATTTTGTCAACAACGCGATTGCAGTAAATTATGACATGGGGTTGAAGAGAGGGAAGTCTATTGTTCACGAAGAAGTCGCCACACCTAAGACTTCTTCTGAAAAGCAGGTTTGAGGATTTGGCATTCGGTCTCATGAAGAAATAGTTCAACGCAGTTCCATGCTCATAAATGCTCCGCCATAAAACCGAGTTGATTGAAAGACGCTAGTCTTGGATCAAGTGTACTCAGGCCGAAATTTGTGTGATGAAATGTGGGTTTGGAATGATTCGATGAGCTGTTTTATTCAAACCTGACTACTTTTGGGACTCCAAATGTAGACAGCTTTGGGTCACTAGAGCCTGAAGGCTAATTGATAGATTATTATTCGTAGTAGCATAACTCTCTTTCGAAATCTCAACATCAGGTGTCAAAATATGTCTGCATCGTTACATATAGCTGATAACTTTTCTTACTACTAAAACATCTTCGATGGTTGATAGTTAGGGCTGGGATATATGATTATTAGACTTCCAAATGGGTCTCCCACGGGAGTAAGGTCACTCTTACCTCCAATCTCACGAAGCCTTTCCTCCTCCCTAAGTTTGCCTGATTCTGTCTGAGTCTACCTAATTCAGCCTGAAATCCGTCAGGTTTTTATATATCAATTTCATATGTTTTAGTTCAGTTCAGTAATGTACCCTATTCTTAAATATATAGTTATTATGATATAAGTTTTATTAGAAGATTCTCACGAAAAACACCGAAGTCGTAGCTGATTACGAAGTATGGATTACGGGGATTACAAAAGAAGTCACATGGCGAAAGACGCGATAGTGGCGCCCTACGTTCGACGTCGCGGCAGACTGCTTCTCTTCCTCCTTCTGTTACGGCGGACAAGGAAGTGTAAAGAATACTGACGGCAGATCAAAGAAGGCTGTCAATATGGTTAATCACGGGTAGGAGGGACAGTACACGTGGGGGTCGGGGATCATGTGTCCGGTACTGGACACATAATAATTGGGGTACATCTCCTCTCTCACTTGGCCAGGAAACCTCCCTCCTTCTCTCCTTCCCCAAGACTCGCAATGTTCGGACAGCATAGCAATTTCGTTGCCAACTTCTGGCCAGACCGAAGACAGCCGTCACGCCCTTCCCAAGACTTGATAACTTTGTACAGAAAATGCATATTTGCTGCCGATCACTGGCCAGATGATAGTATTGCCGTCACAGTAGGGGAAGCCTAGTCGTGATCGATAACAGGCGAAAGAGTCGTATATTTTATGCCTCTTGAGGCTAAACAAAGACAACCTTGCATTTCGTGGGATATTTACATGGTCCCTCGATATTGACTTAACTGCACCGGTACTGAAGCATACGTTGGATCAAAGAAAGGCGGAATCAAATTAACTCTTTCATCTGTAGGCAGTTGCGGTCTGCGCTGAAAGCAGTCTCTCGATCCATAGTATTCACCCTGGTACACAAGTTCGCTCAGTCATGGCCCATCCAGATCAATACCCATTAGAAAAAAGAAGCCATTTGGGAATACAGATTTATTTAATCCATCCTCCACCCATAGACGTCTGGGCGACTTTTCTCCAAAATCCACCCTCGCCTTTCGTCGACTCGTCCATCTCGGCCCGGAGCACCGGGTTGATGCCCTTCTTGCGCATTTTTTCTTGCTTTTCAAGGGGAATTTTATGCACGGGATGGTCAGGTCCAGGCTTCTCATTAGGGTCATAAGGCTTTGGAGTGATGCCCCATTTCATTGCGGCGGCAGCCGCGGCGGCGCGTTCTTCTCGCGAATGATCTTTCTTGGTATCGCTTGTTTGATCCAGGGCCAAGGTTGATTCGCTCGGATTGCTGGACATTGTGGAATTTCTCGAGGACAGAACTTTAATATTTTCTGAAAGGCCGTTGAATGGGTCGTTCCGAGGGGTCTTTTAAATGCGATCCAATGTGAGATTGGGGGCCGAAACTGCACCCACCCCACCCGATGAAATCATAGTGGGGCCTCGAATACTCTCAGGATAGATCATCCATAATCGTGTTGCGCTGACCAGGTACATCTGGAAATTTCAAATCACATATTCCTATGGTGCAACAGAATTCATAGCGGTCGCTTTGTGGTTCCGTTAGAGATTGAAGTAATCGGAGAAAGATATGTAGTGTAACGAGCATTCTCCTTGTTCATCTGTTTCGCACTCCTATTATATCAGCCAAGAAGGCACAAAGAGCGTCAGTCGTTGCACTTTGTGTGTCCTCACTGGCCTACTTTTGCATGTCAAAAAAAAAAAAAAAAAAAAAAAAAAAAGATCATCGCTTGCCACCCATGCCACCTATCCCGTTGTCTGTAGACGGCCAGTGCTTGGCAGACAGAAACCCAACCATGCAAGGTGACATCGTTCAACTGCTCGGCCTCCCGAGACCAAAGCCGAATAGGTCTACTACAGATGGCTGGCCATTGCCCCAAGTATCCAAAATAGCATTGATGTCTTGCACTTCCGGATATGTTAGATACTCCATCATGTCGGCAGGAAAATTGTGTGACGACCCGAGCGCGGGGAGGGGCCCCTGTCGTGATTCAACTGACAATTGTACTGGATCCTTTTCGGTATCTGGCTTCCCCGAGTGCGACCACTTTCTTCTACTAATCTATGAGCGCCACGCGCAAAAAGGCAAAGCAGCCCTTCCTGGGTCGCACGCCCTGGGGTGGGCGATCGGTTGAGACGTTTGGATCGGATCCGTACCTGAACGGCATTGCTACCGGATTGAGTGCTAAGGCATACAAGGATACGGTGTTATTGGAGGAGCCTGTTACGGGCCGTTCGAAAGAAACAAATTCATTCGGTGCCTACTTACGAGAATCTCGAAGATGAAGAAGGAAAGAGAAAGAAAGAAAGTCCGCCAGAAAAAGAGGGGTTAAGTCCCCAGCAAACGCGTTGTGCAAACGACCCAATATTATGCCTCAGGCATCCTTCCACGAGACGAGGCTATTCCCAGGGTCATCCGTCACAGAGCCAAGGTATGTCCTGCTGCACCACTCACATATCTCAAGGCGTTTTGATTGACCTTTTGATAGCATTTTATTTTGAACGAGTAGGAGACCAACCGTACTGGAAGCATGGGAGGAGGCGTTGGTGCTGGCGGTGGTACTGGAAGACCGCCCAGTATGGACTCTTCTTTTTCTTCCCTTTAGAGCGCCGGCGTCAGGCGACGCATAATATTCACAAGCTCTTTCGTTGACATAATCAACCCATAAATTGCTTCCAGTGACACCCTTGACGATATTTGCATTGTAAAACAGTGAATGAGTGAGGTTGTCCCTCAGGGAGGGCATGTCTTCATGTAAAACAACTTTTCAACTCTTCCGGTGCCGATAATGATGATGTGTTCAACTTCGGTGGCGAAATGGTTGCTTGCGTGGCTGTGGATGGCTGTCTGAGAGGTTGTCATAGGGACAGAAGCTGTGGACCAGCTTGACATCCAGGGTCGGTTCACTCCCGGCGTCGTTGAAGACCCTTGGCGAACACATTGTCGACCAGAGAATCGGTATTGGTATAATCAAGCAGCGAGGAGGAAAATATGCCGTGTCTGTCCCGAGTTGGAATCCGACCGGCAAGTTAGATACACGAAGGAGAAACAGTTGTATAACCAAGAAAGAAAAGATTGGTACGTGACGGAGCATTCATCGCGACGGAGTACATCAAGTTATTGTGCGGAGCATTCCGCTCACTGGAGGTCTTCCTCGTGGCAAGTCCAGCAAGTGACTAAGTGGACTGAAAGAAATTTTCTTTCCAACTTTCACCGAGGTTAATGGGGTCGAATAGATTTTGTATTGTAGCGGTAGGGTTTGCTGCGTATGTCGCCTTGTATTGATTCTGAGCAGGGCCATATTCTATTTCAAAGAGCCTGCAACGATGCCTGAGTTCTCGGCGGCTCGAGCGATTTGGTTCTTAGACGCGGTATTCTGTTCTGGCTGCAGCTGAATAGCTTGCTGGAGAGGATATGTACACTCCAATGGTAGGTTGATGTTGCGAGGACTTCGGACCTCATCAGTTAATTCGATGGGTGTCTCCGTAGCTGCTGTTGAGGGCCAGGGTGATCGTAGCAAAGACAAATGATGAAATTCTTTGTAACCGTTGGGGGACGTGGACAAGTGATGCGAGGATCGGTTGTAGATAAATGGATGGTCATGTCGGAAGACCGTGCTGAGAATATAGGCAGGCGGCGCATTGAAGAGGACGGGAGTATGGAAGATTGAAAGACTTGAAGAAGAGCTGGGTCCGAGTCAGTAATAATCCGACAGAGGGGAGCCAAGTCAACAATACCTTTTGTGTGCCCATGGCTGACGAGATGTAGTCTGGTAGTGGTAATGGATAGTGGTAATGGATAGTGGTAATGGATAGTGGTGATGGATAGTGGTGATGGTGGTGGTGGTGTTGTGTTTTTTTTGTTGTTTTCTCCCCTTTTCTTCGTCTTCCTCTATTTCCCTTTCCCCTTTCCCCTTTTCCTTTTCCTTTTCCTTTTCCTTTTCCTTTCCTTTCCTTTTCTTTTCTTTTTCTTTTCTTTTTCCCTTTTTTTTCTTTTTTTTCTTTTGTTTTTAATTTTGACAGATGGTAAGATGAGCAGCGAAGGCTTCGGACTGCAGGCACAAATGCCATATTGGAGTACGAGTAAAGCAGCAAGAAGAGAATTTTGATAGTGGATGTTTGGTAATGAGGTTCTTTTGTTGGGTTTGGTGGATGTTTGGCAATGGATGGTCGGTGGTGAACGTTTGATGGTGGATGTATGGTGGTGGACGCCCGAGGGTGGATAGAGCGCAAGAAAGGTAATAGATAACGCCTTGTTCGGTCATGAAGGCAAGCCTGTTAAGAATTGGGCAGAGGCTCTATTAAGAATGGAGACAGGCTGTATGCGCGAGACGTTTTTCAACGGAGAGCGCGCGATGGCTTGAATGGTGGTAAATAATGCTCTTGATCACTAATGAATCGAGACACGATGGCCTGGCCGAAGGTAGACAAGGGCCTGATGGAGAGGTCTTCGGTGGTAGAAGACAGCGCGGCAGTTTGGTCGGAGGTAGATGTGGAATTGATCGATGAGGAGGTATCATTGGTGAATATAGCAATTTTGATGAAGGACGAGAGCGCGAGGGCTTGGCGATGAAAGTTTGCGTGGTTGAACGGCGTCGCAGTAAGCCCAGGTATACGTCCTGTCCACAGCCCGACTTGTGGATTTCGAAGCAGAATAGCCCCTTGCAAAAAGCCCCGGCAAACTTCCATTCCAAATTTGGAACCCCAAGTTGGGTGTTCGGTATCCGAGAGGCGAGGTGTGCGGACAGTTGTCGACAAAGATTGTAGGGAAAAAGAATGTTTAACGGTGGGCGATGAGTGGTAGTCAGAATTTGGCGACAAGTGAGTTTGACGGTGGTGGATATTGAAAACAGACAAAGGTGTGATGATGGAAATGGCTTCGCGGTGGACAGAGCCTGATAGTCATGCTCAATTATTGGGAGAGCTCAATGATGGATGGAACTCAAAGGTGTGATTTGTGAAATGAACAAGTCATCCGCACGGACAATGATGGTGGAGGTACGTATGAACGAGACCATATCAATGCATGGCCTGTATCTCCGCGTTCCGTCCACAACCTCACTGGCGGTTTTCGAAGCAGAAGTAGCCCCTTGCAAAAAAGCCCCGGCAAACTTCCATTCCAAATTTGGAACCCCGAGTCGAGTCTTCGATACCTGTGGAGGCGAGTTGTGTGGACTGTTATAGACAGAGTGTGTATGAAAGAAGAATGTTTAATGGTAGGCGATGAGTTGGCAGTGGACAGAATTCGACGATGACGGAGTCTGTTCGACAAATTTCGGTAATTGACCGTGTCCGATAGTTGAAGTTGGTGGTAGACGGAGCTCGACGATGATTAAGCTTGATATCAGAGCCTAATGGACAGGTTTTGGTAGATACTGTCCGATGGTTGATGGGTGGTAATTTCCGATGATGAACAGGTCTTCCGTATGAACGATGACGGTGGAAAATATGTAGAAGCGACACCATAATTTTGGCTCGGGTCTCATGTCCCGTCCACAATTTTGGCCTCACTGGCGATTCTCGAAGCAGAAGTAGCCCCTTGCAAAAAGCCCCGGCAAACTTCCATTCCAAATTTGGAACCCCAAGTTGGGTCTTCGATATCTGTAGAGGCGTTGTGTGGATTGTTATGGACAGAATGTGAAAGAAGAATGTTCAGTGGTGGGTGGCGGCGCCGATGAGTTGGTGAACAGAGCTCCACTATGATAGTGCTCGATAGCAGACAAAGTCTGATGGACAGGTTTCAGTAATTGACTGAGTTCGATAATTGATGAAGTGGTAATGTTTGACGATGAAAGAGTCATCCGTATGGACGGTGATGGTGGGAATTAGGTATGAGCAACCCCATAATTTTGGCTTGGGTTTTCATACTCCATGAACAACTTGGAGGACCTCACGGGCGAATCGAAGCAGAAGTAGCCCCTTGCAAAGAGCCCCGGCAGACTTCCATTCCAGATTTGGAACCCCAAGTCGGGTCTTCGACATCCGAGAGGCGAAGTGTATGGACGGTGGTGGGTGAAGATTGTACAGATGACGAACATCCGATGCAGACAGCGAGTCGGCGGCTGCTTGAATTTGACCATGGACGAAGTTTAATGATGTTGGGCCTGGAGCTTAAGAACAGACATAGTCTGAAAATGAAAATTACTCCATAATGGGCAGGGTCCGAAAATTGATCATGTCCGACGGTTGAAGTCTGGTTATTGATTCTTTCGTGGTGGTTGACGGAGCTCAAAGATAGAGCTCAGCAGTGTGTGGAATAGTCTTTGGCCATAAGCCAGTCGATCATATGAACGAAGATGGGTGAAGGTATGTATGAGCGAGACCATGTTCATGGCGTGAATTCTCATGATATGACCACACTCTATCTCACTGGCAGATCTCGAAGCAGAAGTAGCCCCTTGCAAAAAGCCCCGGCAGACTTCCATTCCAAATTTGGAACCCCAAGTGGGTCTTCGATATCCGGCAGACAAAGTGTATGGACAATGAAAGTTCGTGATGAACGGTGATCGGTGGTGGACAGAATTTGATCAGGGATGAAGGGGTGGTGGACTCAGAGCTTGAAAATAGACATAGTCCGATGGTGAGAAACGCTCTGAAAATTGACCATATCCGGGTGGTTGATGTCAAACTGGTGTTCTTTTTGTCGTAATTGAAAGAGCTCAATGATGAAGCTCGGCAACGAGTGAAAATCTTTTGGGCATAAGCCAGTTGTCTGTATGAACGACGATGATCGAAGGTGTCGAAGGTATGTATAATTGAAATTGTGTTCATGACGTGGATTCTCACGTCCTGTCCACATCCTCGAAATTGTGCCAGATCTCAAAGCAGAAGTAGCCCCTTGCAAAAAGCCCCGGCAGACTTCTATTCCAAATTTGGAACCCCAAGTCAGGTCTTCGATATCCGGCAGACGAAGGATATGGACGGTGGTAGATGGACGGAGAGCGCACGGAAGTGATTTCCGAAGTGGACGGACTCGGCTGTGGATCGAGTCCGATGGCCGAGGAGGCCCAATGAAGAGTGGAGTAATCTTGGCGACGAACAAATTGTCGGTATCGGCTGTGGGCAAATCGTCCGTAGAGATGATGATGGTGGTGGAAATAGCTTGTATGAATTAAGCCATATTCGTGGCACAATCCTTATGTCATGGGTTCGTGTCTGCTCGCGATTCTGTAAGCGGAAGAGAGACGAAGGAAATAGATGGCAATGAGGGACAGTGCATCAACGGATTGGTGTCCTGAATCCTCGCTTATTGTTCATGTCACCCCTGTAGATCTCGAAGCAGAAGTAGCCCCTTGCAAAAAGCCCCGGCAAACTTCCATTCCAAATGTGGAACCCCAGGTGGGTCTTCGATACCTGGCAGACAAATTGAATGAACAGCGGTGGACGCGGAGTATGTGGACGAGGAAAAATCCGATGATGGACGGACTCAATGGTGGATAGAGTCAGATGGTTGTTGGAGCTCAAAGAACACCCGAGTAATCTTCATCGATGGAGAAATTGTCTTTATCTTGTGGAAGACAAAAGGTTCTGTCGTACAAGCGAAAACGGTGGAAAGTGGTATGAATTAATGGAGCCCCATTCATGGCATGAATCCTCGTATTCAGTTCGTCCTGGTTTGCGAATATCGGAATGGACATACGAGGCATACGGTCGGCGATAAGTGAAGAGCCTGAAGGCGAAGTGGTCTCAATTCCATGAGGCTTCGCGACATTTTTAGGTCGTCACTGGTAGTAACCTCGAAGCAGAAGTAGCCCCTTGCAAAAAAGCCCCGGCAGACTCCCATTCTTGTAGAACCCCAAGGAGGGTCTTCGAGATCGCATCAATGAAGCCATGTGCGACAGGGATGAGGGTCCGCTCAACACAAGATGGAGTGGTTTCCATTGCATGAGTGCTCGCATCGTTTTCACGTCGTCACCGGTGGATCTCGAAGCAGAAGTAGCCCCTTGCAAAAAAGCCCCGGCAGACTTCTATTCTTGTAGAACCCCAAGGCGGGTCTTCGAGATTGCATCAATGAAGACGTACTAAATGGTGGATGAGTTCCCATGTGTTGAACGGGGACGTGTACGACAAACGAAGCCATGCTCCCTGGGCGAGACAATATCGGAGAGGCAGATGTTGTGGACCATGTGGGCGAGTGCCACAGAAACGCGGAAGCACAGTCAAAAGTCTTGATGAGCTCTGGAAGTTGCTGCACGCAGAGAATGTTTGTCCTGGCAAACTGTGGTAGTACCACAGGCAGAGCATACTCAAGGCTCAAGTGAGTGAGCTCCGTTGGAGGAAGGCTCAGCGGGCGAAGCCCCTGTGAGAAAGGCTCAGTGAGCGAGGCCAGTGAGCAAAGGCTCAGTAAAGTAAAGCTCCCTAGAAGAAGCCTCAGTGATGCGGGTCTCGATGGAGGAAGCTTCAGTGGAGGAAGGCTCATGGGGGGAAGGCTCAGTGAAGCGAGCCTCGATGGAGGAAGGCCCAAGTGAGCGAGGCCTCAGGGAGGGAAGGCACAGCGAGTGAAGCCTCAGTGGCCGCATGCATGGCCGATGAGCAAGCAAATGCATGGTGGGCAAAGCCTTGATGGATGAACAGGATTACCTGTGGTGGGTTGATGGATGAGAGTGGGAGAAGAGTGATGGATGAGAGTGGGAGAAGAGTGGAAGATGGGAGTGGGGGAGGAGAGAAGGAGATGACGGGTGGAAGGGCACGGTTGCCTTGGAGTTCCTTCCCTTTTAAACGCCCATTGTGCGAGCACGTGCCCAAGCGAGACCTGCGAAGCGAGTCACGCCACTACTTTTACGGAACTTTCCTTTAAAATAATTCTACGGAGTTCTACGGTTGACAGTTGCTAGGTGGGAGGGGGAGGGTGTGTGGTAACCGAGGGGAGGAGGATTGGGTCTTCGATAATCGCGAGCGCTGTCCGTAGGTAGACTGATGATCTTGAAGTGGGTCATTACTTGGAAGCTGGAGACACACTTGAACTTCTGCTTGGAATTTTTGCCACTTTTTCTTTCCCTCGTACGCGGTAGTGGCATGTGAGTGCGTCGCAGGCTGTGTGGTTGGTGCGCGGCGTCCGGTACGCTTCCATACTGGAGCACATTACGCTCCCCGTCTCCGACTCCTCAGAGTAGAAGAATTCCAGTGAGGATGGTGAGGATCCCCAGTCCACAACAAGCTGTATTACATTGCCTTTTTCCATTCTTCAAAAGCGATTGATCTCCATAATCCAGGAATGCTTCAGCGTGGCCTCACAGCAAACTTGCTGGACTCAAGTTACTTTGACCATCTTCCAACAGTTTAAATCAGTCTCTTTAGTGGCATTTCGCTATACGTTCAAGTCTATTCACGACAGTATCAGGATTCTCTCACTCGAAGTATTTTGGTGGGGCATTTTATAGATCGTGAAGGTGGGTCTCTTCCTGAGGCACGTCCTATCACATCCATGGATGTGGTGAGCCCGGCGATCTTCTTCAGCACTCAGCCACATCGTAGTATCATGCTGACAAACTTGGAAATGAACATTCATACATTGGCCGAAGATCTCCATCAGCCTTGAGACAGGTGGACCTCATGCCTACGGATAGTGTCGGCCAATCGACAAGTGGAAAGCGCCGTTACAGCTCCAGTGGCTCATCAACTTCACATCCTCAATTTCATATGTAGATAAGGGGCAGCGGACATCCCGGCCAACATTCAATGGATCAACCATGCATAGAAAGAAATCATCCGAGCTTGGTTTCCCTGGTTTTGTATTCCCAGACACCAGCGGTCAACAGCATGCACTCGCCTCCGCAATCAATGGCCTGGACTACGGCTCTTCCAGTCTTTGGAGCACATCTACTATCGAGGAGTATCTGAAGCAGCATAATATGACCGAGGCCCGACTGAACGATATGGCCATTCGTAACCTCATCGGATACTACTATGTCAACCTGGACAATGGCACACAACCTTTGACAGCCGAACAGGACGTATATGTTGATGTCCGTGGTAACTACGCTAAGCTGATTCGCTCTCACGGATCCAAGTCGATGGCCCTTCCTAAAAACGAGAACAACACTCTTCCCCTCAACAAGCCCCATAAAATGGCAATTTTCGGCTCTCATGCCCGCGGGGCTATTGCTGGACCGAATATGGAATTCAGCGTTGAGGGCTCTAGTCCTGTTTACGATGGCCACCTGGCCACTGACTCTGGCTCTGGACAAGGATCTCTGCCTTACCTCATTACTCCCGAGACTGCGTTTACCATCAAGGCCGCTCAGGATGGTACCATGCTCCACTGGGTTGCGAACGGTACCTACTCCTCTTCCGGTGGCTCGACTCTTGTGGTGCAAGGATCAGACAGCACTGCCGTGACTCCATCCATCAGCAAATATGCAGAGAACATTGACGTGTGCCTTGTTTTTATCAATGCATTTGCGGGCGAGGGGGCTGACGCACCGAACTTTACAATGATGACCAGGACGCTCTCGTCAACGAAGTCGCAGAGAATTGTGCCAACACGGTGGTAGTTATCAACACTGTTGGCGCTCGTCTCGTCGACCTGTGGATTGAACACGAGAACGTGACCGCACTACTGTATGGCAATCTTTTGGGTCAGGAGTCTGGAAACTCCATCATTGATGTTCTGCAGAGGCCTCAGAAACTGAATGGACGGGATGCAACGTCTTCGCCACATTTTCGAGTATTTCGAGGTCGCGTCAACTCTTGGTGGCAACGATGTGGAGAAATAGAACAATGAAATATGTGAATGGAGAGTACAATAGGACCCTAATTCATGGTGAGCTTACGAGAGAGGGGTTAGTGGTGTCCGGGATTCCACTGACCAGTTTGCATAATCAGCAACCGAAAATCGGCTCGATTGTGAATAATCAGAAAAGCAGTGTAGATGACTGTTTAAGCCCAGTCGTGCAGCCTCTGGACACCTGTTTTCAATCTATATCGACATCGATATCGAAGTCCGGAATATATGGAGCTCGTCCCAGGAAAAGGGCAGCAGTACACATAAGGGAATATATAATATCTAAATACTGTATTATAACAGTTAGAAAACAGTATTGAATTCTAATATAGTATCTAATTCAGTTTCGTTAAGCAACCGTTGTGATAGCGAAAACTGTATTGAAGTTTTAATACGTGTTTAAAAGCTAATATAATATTGAAATCTGAATCCCGTATTTAAGTAAAGATACGGTTATAGATTAAAAACTGTATTGGCGTACAAGACTGTAGTGAAACAGTATTGGGGTTCAAAAAACGTACTGGCGGGCCAAAACTGTATTGGGTGGTCGAAAACGTATTGGCGGCTAGAAAGGTATTGGCGATATTGACCCGAGTGACTGTACACGTGATTCATGCTTTTAATGCTCTATTACTAATAGTGTTTGTACATCACATGATCACGAGATCTATCCTGCCCCCACGCCTTCTGGTGCTCCATATATCCCGGCCCCTTTCATCCCGGCTAACCCTGGCGCCACGCCTCTCCCTATCCTTCTCTAGACCAAGCAGTATGCCCTCAATCACAATACAATACCGCGATCCTGTAGGATTCGTATAACTGAGTTATCACTGGGATTAGAATCGGGTTGCTGTCAGAGGTGGTGCACTGTAGCACTGTTCTAGCTCAGTCTGAAAGCTTTGTGATACCTATGCTCATAATATGATATTGGAGTCGGATTGGAGTCGGATTGGAGTCAAATTACACCAATATGGAGTCGTATCGCAATAGAGTATATACTGCACAGCGTATGTGACAGTAGGAATCTGGAACCTAATGCCTGTATCATGGTCAGTATACTGCCAATATGATGTAATCTGGAAAAAGACTGGATCTGTCGTGACAATGTACAGACTTTTCCTGGATGTACCCTGCAATAATTGCTGTCTGTATGAGAGATGAAAGTACATCGCATGTTCTGTACCATCACATCATAATACTGCACTAGGTGTGTGGAGATACACTGGGATCATACAACCTAGATTTTCCGGATTGGGATATGTTGAAGTTATCCATAGCATGAGTCGGTATGACATCTGTTGGTAAGGAATGATGTAGAATCCGAGCCTGATGAACGCTAATTAGCTCGATTCAATTTTGTTGGACAAAAAAGTCACGAAAGGATAAGGGTATCCTTATCTTTCGAATATCTTGGTGCTGTCTGTACTTGGAAGGTTGTGTTGTTGATCTGGGGTCCATCGTTGATACTTCAAAGTTGATAGCAAGTCACCCACAAAAAGAGTCCCCTATGACCACACTCCAAGATCCCATAATATAGTATGGGTGATTTTATCTTGTGCGTAGGAGTATGGCAGATGCGCAAAGTTATGATATCTAAAATGATCAATGTTAGCTTAGGGTCAATAATTGAGTTGTTAGATCCTTTATGCTATCGCACTGTTATTAGCTAGAAGGAGAATAGATCTTGCTCTTGCCAGTCTGTCGCTTAGCCCCTCTAGAGGAAATTATTAGCATTGCGGCTATCATTTGGATTTTGGTGCCCTTGTTTAAGTACAAGATTCCCAAGAGTGACGTAGACTCAGAGAGCATTTATTATTATCTCTGCGTTTTTGTTTGAAATGTGGCCTGTTACTGTGGGTTTTCAATCAATGTCCTGGGCTAGTGGCGTTATAGGGCCCGGCTGGGCTTTAGATAGAAAGCCATGAATATAATTGGGAACCTCAGGCAATACTATTGCCAAATCACTGTAACCTCTATTAGTATGTGGTCTGAAATATCCACCTTAAGGGATTCCAAGGTTGTCAGAACACAAAGATCTGTTATATCACCTTCCAGAAGAGCCATAGATGCTCTTATTCCTACTATCTCCCTACTTTATCCACCTATTTGGTATTATTGTTCCCCATCATCTGTGAACAAGGTGATATGGTCGCTGGATCGGATCATGTCTCTTCCTGTCCTTTTAGAGGGCCAGAGAGGTCTAGATAGAGAATAGAGAGTTGTTGAACTGAAGAGTCGAGATACGTAAGGGCTCTGCTCTATTAGTGTTTTATCCTTCCACGGGGGTAAAACATAGGCATATCAGGGGTTCTTGTGGCTCTGAAGTTGAGCTGGATTGGTCGATCGGATATATCGAAGGAAGGAAATATTAGGTAGTGAGACAGTGAGTTGGATCGATATACAATAGAAACTCTGTATATAGCGGTGGGCCAATACTGGATAACGTGAAGTGGTTTGGTTTCTAGAGTAGAGACATTAAGTTAGTTAAGAGCTAAGACATGTGGGAGCTTGTGGAAAACTGCATCATGGTCCACTTAGAGAATGGAATATGAAAATTTCATTTCCCCTTGGACTGGAATGTCCATTATATGATAAACAAAATAATAAGATGGCTCGTGGATAATGGCAGAAGTGATGTTGTGGGCATAGAGAGTGGTGTTGAGGAGGTGAAGTTGGGAGAGAGTGAGCACGCGTCCGGGGAAGAAAAACAACACACTTACGCGTAACTCTCCCGATAATCTAATATACTAAAGGTAAGCTTTTCGCCTGAGGCGATGATACAGTCTAGCGTAGTATTCTTTAAGAGGTGATTTTCGTAATTTTAGAATATACTTGAGGCCACGACAGGACTATGTTTACTCTCTGTACTCACTTCTACAATATAGCCATTCTTATGAAACTTTTAGTAGTGTCAGAATGGTTTTTTCTGATCTACATGAAGTTAGCAATTAAGTAGTTCTGTAAAATAAAACAAAACCAGTAAGGTGAAATCAGCACTGTATATGAAGGATTACCAAGAGATTGACATTGAACACTGTGTAATAAAATGACTAGACTTGTAGCAAGCATCCTGTGGGGTCCTATAAAGGCCCTGCTTTAAAACTTGGACATTGTTTCAATATGCGATCAGTTACTCTAGCGTGGAGGAAAGAAATAGAATAGACAAAAGGGGGTGGGGGCTGGGGGCTCCTAGGGAGAAGCTTAGGAAGGCCGCTAAGTAGATTCTGGCTTTGAAAATGAAACCAAATCTGGTGCACGCCGATCCCTATCTGGTTGTTCTAGAAGAACGAGATCTCCCAGGTGCAATAAACCAGTACGTGTCCTGGCTCCTTGTCACCTATCTGCTGCCCTTGGATGTTGGTGATTTTTGCAGCCCTTGTAAAGTAAGGACGCTCATCTGTAATTGCAGGGAGCCCGACAACGATAAATTGGTCTTGGACAAGAATGTAACGCGGGAGGCCCAGATCAGGGTCTGTAGCCCCTGGACCCACAACTGGTCGGACTGGATGCCCGTAGAGAAAAGCCCTCAGTTTCCCCCCCAGTAACTTGTGAGTAAAAAAGTTAAGGATTAGCACAAAGCTTCCATTCTGGAACTTGGCGAACTGGTTTGTAGACAGAGTTGTGGTTGATGTCTTATCCCTATAAATCAGATTATTAGTGAGTGTCTTGCGTCAAGGAAAATTTATTAATATATACCTGTACTGGAATGTTATCTTGTTGTACCAGCGTAAATAGCCTGGACCTGGGTCCACAATGTGAGGAATCGAATAATCGGCATTATAGGAATGACGTAAAAGGTCCAGGAAAGAGCTTTTCATTCGTAATAAAGAAAGCTGGTTGGGGATCCCAAAATGATCCTGGTAGTTAGGAGACCACGCCCTGATGTTGGAGTGGAATGGAGTTTCAGCTGGATTCTCGGACTGTCCTAATATGCTTTTTTTCTTCCGAGAATTTGAGCCAGTTTTGGAAGGATCATCTGGAATAGCAACACCGTAGCGAGATCTGATTAGAGAAGGACATGTCCGGGCGACCTTACGAGCCATTTCAGTTCCATCTGGGTCATCGATAGCATAGGCTCCTTCCATCCGAAGCTGTGTACCCCTTTGAAGGCATTCATTCAAGAGCAGGTGCTTTTCTGGATTCTGATGATTGGTCTGTTCTGCAAGCTTCTTCAGATGCCTAAAATTTAGGTTAGTAAATAGATCAGAATTGAACTTGCCGTCAAGGTGCTCTAAGACTCTAGATATGACTGGGGTTATTCTTACCGATGTTTGTTCTCTCCAGGAAGGACATTGCTATTGAAAGGAGTGGCATACTCCTCTAAGTCTTCTTCAAAGTGAAGCGCAATATGCATATTTGGCCTTGACAACATATTATAGAACTTATCCCCTTGTTTAGTCAAATTTGCTGGCTTTTCTTTGACTCGAGGGATAGACGAAGCTCCATGCTGTGAAGCGGTTTTGCTAGTCTGGCGTTGAGGAGGTGGAGCCCTGATTTGCGATGCTGATGGTGATCTAGATACTAAGCCACGTCCTATAGTTGCCCCATAGGCTGCTTTCAGGAGGCTCTGTAGTTTAAGCCGAGGAAGTCTCACAATCTTATCAAACTCTTGTCGGTCCATTGATGAGATTGTTGGTGATACCAGCACTGAATTGCTTTTTGCAAATCCTGCATAAGCACGGATAATTCTGGCTTCACAAGAGACCTGGGCTGCAACTGGGCCATAGAGGAGGCGGTTATAAAACTTATCATTGATCCAGCTCCTCTCCATTGATTGAGAGAGTATGAATGGAACAATCACACTCATTCTTGCATATTCTTGCAGTTGAAAATTTGCAAGATGATTCGTAGGCGACTGGATCCGTGTCCATCCAGCTGGGAAGGGGTATGTCTCAAGGATTTTAGAAAACGCTGCACAGCCTTTGGGACTGAGGATTCCTTCAATTAAGAGCTCAAGAGCCATTTTGCATAAGCCACCATACTCGGAATGAC